ACCAGGGGTGCTGCTGGCTGCCGTGCAGTGCCTGGGGCTGAGCAGCACCAGGACACAGGGACATGTGGGATCTGCAGTGGCTGCGTGGAGCAGAGGAGCTGTGCAAGGTGTGGAGCTGCAGGGTAACTGTGTGGTGACATGGAGATGTCAGCTCTGGGCCTGGCTAGATTGGAAACAACTGACTGCAGCTGTGTGCCTGACTCATCTGTGGATCTCAGACGTAAGCTCTGCTATTCATAATCTTCCACTGTAGCCAATTTATCATAATGATGCTTACAGTAATGCTGTTGCTGCCTCCAAAGTGTTTTCTCTTCAGTTCATGGAGAAAGAAGGTTTACGAAAATGTGTGTGTGTGCCGTGGTCCTGCCATGCAGATGGAGAGAAGCAGAGCACAGGAGAGCTGTGTGGCTGCCAGGCTGCAAAACGAAGGGGGGCAGAGGGAAAATACCATCGTGTGCTGACTTTGTTTGGAGCTGATGGGGTCTGAGCAATGGAGCTGCACATCCCCACCAGCACTGCCTGCCGTGCTGCAGCTGTGGGACAGGCTGTGAGTGTTGGGAGCACATCAAGGATGTGTTTGTAATGAGGCACTGCAGAGATTTGGTCATCCAGTAAAAGTACTTCAGCTGAGATGGTGTTCCTTCCTTGTAGACTTCCTGGGCTTTGAATCTTGCCCTGGTTTGCTGTGCTGGGACAGCCATGCAGTGCTGCAACACACTGCATCCGTGCAGTGCTGTGCCAGCAGGCATTGCATGCGCGACGTGCAGAGCTGTCCCATTGCACCTTTGGAGACACAGTTCTGCCCCTTGGAGCAGAGAGAATTCAGGGGGAGGTGTTCAGAGTGAGGTGGGGGTGTGGGCTGTCCCAGCGTGGGGTTATGGGGGTATCTGGAAGCACGGATGGGATGTGTGGGCCCTGGACACTGAGGGCAGCCCCTGGCTTTCTCATCCATGTTTAACAACCACTCGTTGTCCCTTTGCTGGGGAACGTACCTTCCTCCCACAATAGGAGAGGGGAAGGGGCACCTTGCCATTCAGCAGCATGTGTGCATACCAGGGTGTGTGTATTATAAATTCTCTATTTTTCTGATAAAACCGCATCACTACGGTGAAAATCAAATCCAGCCCTCGATATTTTTAGCATGAAAGCGTGAAGGAACATTAATGCTCACAGAAGGGAGAGCTGCGGGCTGGTGCTGCTCGGAGGGGAGGGTCTCCATGGAAACAGTTTTCTTTAAATTCTCTACATTCGGGGCACTGAGCATGTAGGAGGCAACGAAGGAAATAGAAACAGAAAAAAAAAGTATTTTTCCTTCTTACTGTCACACTGTCACAAAACTACTATAGGAACCTTAGGAGAAATGGACTTCAATTATTGATCATTTCAAGGCACATACACAGGAATTTTAATGAGTAATTGCTGGTCTGCTCCGAGCACGGGGTGGGAGCAGCGGGCGGCAGCCTGCAATGCGCTGTGCTGGGGCTGCAACTTTGACGTGGGGCATCTTCCAGGAGGACCCAGTGCTGCTCTGCTGCTGTGCTGTGATCTTTTCTAAGCTCCATCCTTCTCCCCAGGGGAGATGCTTTCCCGGCTGCTGCCTGCCTGCTGTTACAGCCTGAGGGTTGGGGCAGAGCCCAGGCCTGGCCCACTGCACCCGAGTGAGGTCCCACTGCCGGGGGAGGAGCTGGGGATGAGCCGAGTGCTTCAGCCGCCCTTTGCCCACCAGCAGCTTCAGGCGGTTTGTCCAGCACAATGTGTGTGTTGGGGCAAACGCCGCTCGTGTCCCTGGATCACACCGCTCTGCTGAGGAGGGGGGAGGCTGCAGGTTGGGTCTGGCAGCGCTGCGAGCAGCCGCTGCTGGAGGATGTCTCAGTGCAGCAGGGAAAGTTATTGCAATGCACTGACAAACTGAGTGAGCTAAAACCAGAGATGGTGAAAGGGAAGGGGTTTTAGAAGGAAAAATGCCTCCTGTTGTGAGGTGCAGCTCTAGCACAGCTGTGCTGCTGCAGCAGTGTCTGCTCAGCCCTGTCCCTGTGCTCTCCAGGTGCCATTTCTACTGACATGGAGTTGGCAGAGGGGCCGTGGTGATGTTCACCCCACTGGAGGTCACTGCACTGCGTTGTGCACTGCTGGAGTCGGGGCCTTTTCCTGCCCTGTGCTCCATAGCCAGGGCTGCTCCCTGCCCTCAGCGTTGCGGACGGTGCTGTGCTGCTCGGGGCTGTGGCTGCTGCTGCCCTCCCAATAGACAAGGCATTGGGCAAGTGTGTGGTTGGAATTCAGCCTTAGAATTAGGAACTGTTGCCTATCCTGTGCTAGAAAGTAGCATAAGAGTTAGCAAATGTTGCCTAACCGTTGCTGGAAAGTAGCATTGCAGTTGCAAATGTTGCCTGAGCTGTTGTGTCCAGTGCACTGACCACTGGAAAAAGTTAACAATGAATACCCCGGCTTGTATGAGGGCTTAACCTGGCGCTGCTGAACCCCAGCTGGTTCCAAACACAAAGTCTGTCAGTGTTTGTGTTTTGTTTTAGCTGTGATACGTGTCTGCTGCTGGGGATGTAGGGAGATGTCTTTTGGATTGATTTTTCAGGGCTATAGGTACCAACAGCTGTCCTGGCCTGCAGGAGGCATCCGCTGAGTGAGGGGATCGGCTGGAAAGGCCCTGTGCCGGTGGATGTTTTGCTCACTGAAGTGCTGCTGATTTCATTTTGGAGGCCCATGCAGCACGGTTACTCTGCAAAGCTTTCCCTCGTGCAGGGGTCTCTGTGTCTCCTCGCAGTTCTACCTTCAGCCCAGCAGGTCTGAGGTTACAGCACGGGGTGGGTGCTGGGGCAAAGCGCTTCCCAGAGCTGGTTATTACCTGCAGCATCAGAACCACATCCTCCTGGGTGCAGCTGTGGGGCAGCTTGGGCTAAAAGCGTGAGGAAGGCTCTGTGCACCCCTCAGTAACAGCTGTGGGCAGTGGTGCTGTCAGCTCATGCAGCTGGGGGCTCTGCCTGTACCCAGTGGGTGCAGGGAGTGCTGGGTCATGGGGGGCTGCAGGCTGTGCCACCCACACGTGGGCTCTCACTCCCATCTTCTGCTTTTTTTTTTTTCCCATAACTCCATGGGGAAGAAAACAGCCAGGAAGGCTTCCCATCCCGATCTTTTCACTTGCAAAATGGGACTGATGTTTAAGCAGTAATTCAAATCCAGTCAAGCAGAAAATAGCAGGTGTGTCTGAAGGAGCTCAGGATCCGTTTGGTAGCTTGAAATGAACCCCCAAAAGACTGAAATTCCAAACAGGTGTTATCAGTGCTCAGTGATGCAGCCAGCACCGCTGCACTTAGCCTGGCTCTGAACCAGGCTGGCCCTTCTGCTTTGCTTTTCAGTGCTTCTATTAATGTTAGTAACAGATGGTTAAAACCTTCCCGACAGATTCTGCTGCCCACACGTGCAGGCTGATGCAGAAGGGCTCCATGCAGAGGACAAAGTGCTTTGCTGAGCAGCGTTCCCACGCAGTGCCTCAGCCCCCATTGCACTCCTGGTCCCGTTCGTTCACCACTGGTCCCTGGGGTTTGTCTTTGCAGTTCCATCTCCATCTGCAGGGAAATGGGCTCCCAAGGCTGTTCACAGCCACCAAACATTGTAAATGAATTACAACAAACTTTGGAATGCATTCGTGTGTCGTTACAAATATGCTAACTGCTGGAGAGATGGGGTAATGTGGGGAAGAGGAGCACATGTTGCATGTTAATGGCAGCAGCATGGAGTTCATCACTCACCTGCCTGCTGCCATCTGGATTCTCCCAGCTTGGCAGATGTGGGGGCTCTGTGCACATCACCAGGCTGAATGGATGCAGGAAGTGAGTGAGCACCCAAAGCTTTCACTCACTCCAGGGAGTTTATGAAGGTCCCAGTGACTGCGGTTACTCTGGAGCTGCAGCTGACAGCTGAGGGCTGTGGTTACAGCTGGGGCTGATGCACAGAGGGGATCTGCCACCTCAGGAGCAACAGAAGTGGGGCAAAGCCATCACTGCTCACTGGTGCCATTTAGGAAAGCACAGACATTGAAAGGACTTCAGGACGCAAAGCCAGGAGGAACTTTGCTTTCTGGTTGGCAGAAATAGTGACTGTGTGTTACTAATGGTGATGGCAGGGTCTGCTCTGTGCTGAGCTGTGTGCTCTGGACGAGGCTGTGGCCAGTTTGCTGTAGTGGCCTTCTAGTGGGCGTTCCAGAGGGATGCAAACGATGGAGGGAGAAGGGGTGATCCAGACCGTGTGTTTCAGGTATTCCTTCTGCTGCCCCATGGCAGCCAATGAGCAGGAGAGGCCATTCTGGTGCTCACAGTATTTCTGTCCTGGGCACACTGCTGCCAGCACATGGGGTCTGTGAGCTTCTGCAGGCATGGGAATTACAGCTGTGGATGCACTACCCCATAGGTATGGGATATGAGAGGGAGCAGAGAGTGATTCTGCCAGCCCTCACTGCAGGAATGGGCTGGCGTTGCAATAACTAAGTGCCTTTCATTGCAAAATCAATCTCACGCCAAGCACTGGGGCTCTGAGACTGCATCCACCCTTCCCTGTCCCCTGCTCTGTTTGCTGCGCTCGAGGCAGCTGGTGACACCAGTCGGGCAGTAATTGTCATGGAATTAACCTCTGACATTGTTTTAAAAATAGCCCCAATAAATCCAATCATTAGCAGCTCTCCTGCTTTGCCTCAAGGGTAAGCGCCGCAGATTAAAGTCTTTACGTGCCGCAGATCCGCGAGTGCTTCCCTGCCTGTCCCCTGCCGTGGTGGGAGCATCCCTGCGCCCCGAGGCTGTGGGACGCGGAGCAGCGCTCCAAAATGCTGCAACTGTCATTATGTACAATAGAAAAGCTGAGATGTGTGGAAATGTCACAGGGGAGAGAAGGCGCTGACAGTATGCGCTGCCTGAGCTGCGTGGGAATGGTGCATTTAGATGCCTGTGAAAGCCACTCTGCAGTTACTTAAATTGTCTTTGTCTTCTTCCTTTCAGCTGACATTATCTCTACAGTAGAATTCAACCACACCGGAGAATTGCTGGCAACAGGGGACAAGGGGGGTCGGGTTGTCATATTTCAGCGTGAGCAGGAGGTAGGTACAGAATGCCATTTTATCCTTGTAAAGCAGTGTCCTGTTGTTTCCTAATCTGTGCCTGTCACTCTTAACCTCAGTTCTCTCCTAGCAGACTGAGAATTGGAAAGAGGCAATTAGCAGCGAGACCAGGAGTAAGGCTGTAGAATGCCCTAAAATGCTGCCTTGCATTCCCACACACGTCCAGCCATGCTGCAGCTCCCCGTAGCCCAGCACAGCTGGCTGCCATCCAGCCCCTGGCCATGCTGTCCCACCCCCAGACCCTGCCTGGGGCACTGTGCCCTCAGCTCAGAGCTGCAGGCCTGGCTGGGAGCAGAACTCCCTGGGGTTCCTGAGAGGGCCGCACTGCATGAGGCCACCAGCAATGCTACGGGGCAGCAATGGGTTACATTTCTCCCAGCATTAAATCTGCACGGTATTTCTGTGTACACTGGGGGAAACTGATCAGTATGAGGTTACGTACAGAAGCTTTCTGTTACTGTTCTATTTCATATTTCTCTCTTTTTTGTTATTCTCCCACTTTTCTTGAACTTCCACCTCCCTGACACCCCCTGGGATGCGTTCTGTCCGCCTCCTGTTTGACACAGCCCTCTGCTCCAAGGGACCAACATCAGTGTGTGCAGGAAGCGACCTGCAGCACAGATCCACTGAACTCCCCCAGCCCCACTCAGAGCCCCGTGCTGCACAGCTCTGTGGGATTTGGAGAAATGCAGCCCCTGGCAGACGGGCGCTGTGCCTCTCAGGGCATTGATGGTTCTCAGACGTTGTCACCTTTCCCGGCAGCATGATTCCCATTCTGATGGGCTCTCCTTGTGGTGCTGCTCCCAGTGCTGTCTGTGCCACAGGGCTCTGTGCCAGGGCCCCGACCTGTCCCCTGGGGGCTGTGCTGGCAGCACAGGGCTGCACGCTCAGTGCAGGGCTCAGTGCAGGGCTGTGGGCTCACTGCAGGCTCTGTGCAGGGCTGTGGGCTCACTGCAGGCTCTGTGCAGGGCTCATTGCAGAGCTCAGCTCCCAGCCCCAGGGCAGTGCTGGGTCAAGTGTGCAGTGAACCTGGGGGCGAAGGAGTCAATGGGAAATGTTCTCTCCATGTCTTACACCCTCTCTGTCCTCCTCCTCAGAGCAAGAACCAGCCCCATCGCAGGGGTGAGTACAATGTGTACAGCACTTTCCAGAGCCACGAGCCGGAGTTCGATTACCTGAAGAGTTTGGAGATCGAGGAGAAGATCAATAAGATCCGATGGCTCCCGCAGCAGAACGCCGCCTATTTCCTGCTGTCCACCAACGGTGCGTGTGGCTGCAGGCAGGGAGGGGCTCCTCTGTGCGCTTTGTTCTGCTGATGGCTCTTGTTGGGTATTTTTTGAGAGCTCTCTGGGTGAAGTTTTTGTTGTTGTTTTGGTTTTTTTTAAGCCATGGCTGCTGTGTTTCAATGCGCAGCTGCGCTCAGCTCAGCAGTTCCGTGTTATGCTCAGATAAATATCGGGAGGATCCAGGAATATTGCATGGGATGAATGGGGCCTTAGGATGGATGTGGCTTAATTACTTTGGGGGACAAGGAGGGTTCTAATTATCTCCCGTAAGCAACTAACTTTGTGTTACAGAATTGACTCTATTGATCATTGTAATAAAATTTGAAGATTTACTAAACTCATCTGGGGGAGAATTACTGAAATGCAATGAAGATTAATTATAGAGCACGATGATCTGTTAATTGAGTTTTTAAATAGTTTTTTGATTAACAGGGATATTATCTCTGTGTTTAGGACAGTGTTTCATGTTGTAGTGAGTTACAAAGCGATGCTTTGTAACATATTCCCACGCCGCACTGTTTCTTTCCGTTCTCACTCTCGAAGTGACGTGGCACAGAGATTGACCCTGAAGGAGAGCGGGCTCATAGCAGTAGCCAGGCATGACTCTGTTCTCTCGCAGATAAAACTGTGAAGCTATGGAAGGTCAGTGAGCGCGACAAGAGGCCGGAGGGCTACAACCTGAAGGATGAGGACGGCCGCCTCCGAGACCCCTCCATGATCACCTCGCTGCGGGTGAGTGGCCGGCGTGGTGCATTTCTTTGGGGGCAGGCATGAGACAGCAGTGGGTGCTGGCGGGGCTCTGTGTCCAGGGACGGTGCTGACTGCTGCTGGGGGCACAGCCGGTGCCGCACAGCTGGGGATGCAGGCACACTGTGAGCACAGTGATCCCACAGCAGTGCCCAGAGCTGCTGGGACGGAGCTGCAGAGCTGCCTCCTTTGCGCTATTTGCAGCACAGTGGCAGCTTCTGCAGCAGCAGTTCCCTCTCCGTGTTTCTGCCCACCTAGGTGGATTATAACAGGCCCCCCGAGTCAGATGTAAACACCTAAGGCTGCGTGTGCCATCTATTGCGAGAGAGATGCATGCACGGACCCTTTAAAGCAGTCACCCTGTGCTGGCAGTGCTGGCAGAAGGTGCAGCTGAACCCACTCCTCCTATGAGGGTCCCTGGGGCCGTTTCTGGACTTTATCTGTGCACAGAGACCTGGCCTGGGCAGTGTGAGGTCCTGAGGGGGGGCTGCACAATGAGGCCACGTTCCTGTGCTTGAATTCAGAGCAGAGACTGAAGGTCTCCCTTCACCTGCAGGCCTGGGAACTCCAGGTACACAGTAATGTCATGGTGGCATTAGTCAGCCAGAGCAGCTCAGTGATTTATTAACCTCCTGTCAGGTTTTGCATTCTAAGTACTCGAGTTTGGTATTTATGAATATAGCACTGTTGATAAGTCTGCTCTGCTCCTGGCTCACTTTGTAGCTTCAGGCTTCACTGCCAATTGAGCCTTCCAGAACCTCAGGCCCAGTTCTCACCTCTGCTCCAGGTGCTCCCGGGACCAGCAGGCATTCCTTTCACTGAGCAAGAGACATTTCATGTGTATCTGCATCTGCTGCCACATTTCAGGCAGAGTCTGCAGCCCACAGGAGGGGCCTTCCTGGGCTCTGGGTGTTGGTGCTGTAGGAGCTGTGCTTACTGGCTCTGAGTGGGATACAGGTGGGTTTTTAAAGGACGGTGTCGTTAGGGGTATAACTGTGGGTAATAATTTGAGCTCAGGGTAAAAGAGATGCCTGTTTCAGTTTTCAACACAAACTGCTTGAAAACTGATGCTGGTGTTGGTACATCTGCCAGGTTTCCTTCCCAGCCCGTGCTGCTGTCTGCACGGTTGGCTGTTGGCGTTGGCTGATGGAGGTTGGCTGCATCCTGGCGTTGGCATTGGCAGCTGCGGGGCTGCAGTGGGGTCGGACCAACTCGGGCACTTGTTGCAGACATTCAGCCCAAAGTCACAGCTTGGATCGCAGCATGGTGCTTGTTGGCTGCACAAGTTTGCCTTTTTGGTGTCTTTTAATGCTTCCTACAGTTTCTTGACATTTATAGCAAGCAGCCCTATGGGAACGTGTGATTCCTGTTCTGTATCAGCAGGTAGAGGTAAAGCACGATGTGATTTCTCGGTGTCGTGGGTATTGGTATCCATGTGCACAACGCCTTCTGTCCCTAAGGATTCAAAAGAGAGCAGCCTTCGGTCTGCTCCAGTTCACACTGATGGCCTTCCTCAGGCAGATATTTACATAGCTTTCGGTTTTACTGCTGCTTGGTGTATCCTGAGCACTTAATGCTCCTCTGGTGCTCACGTTTTCTTCATCCACGGTTCCATGTTCAACCGCAGACAAGCAAAAAAAGATTTAAAACCACCTTGCTGCAATCATCTCTTCCTATTCATTGTAATGGTTTGGATTTACTTGATGAGCATTTTTATCAGAGGAATTTCTAACCCACGTGATGCAGAAGGACTGTTTCCCTCTGTTCAGACCACGAGAGCTTTGCACACCAGGGTAGGTCCCAGCCCGCAGCCTCTGCACCGCATGGCGGGGCTCTCTGGGTGCCTCTCTGCAGCACTGTACACCAGGGGCTGTTTGCAGGAATCATTAACACAGATGACAGCCAGGGCTGAAAACTCTTTAAATAAGGACTGTGTTGTCTTGGATCCCTGCACGGCACAAGGCAGGGCCGAGAGGAGTATGGCTATTGCTGTTGTCACAATGCTGTTTGTGATTAAGAGCTGCTGTTTCACTCAATTCCAACAACATCCATCATAAATAGTTTTATATCTCCCATTTTGCCAAAACATTCATATTGTTTGGCTTCTGGGTGCAGTTTCATGGAGAGTTTGTTCTTCTCCTGTATCAAATGTATCCTTGCTCACACACACACCCATGGCCTCGGGAGGGCCGTTTGTTTTCTGAATTCTTACTGCAGAATTCAGGTGCGGATGATGTAAGTCATTCTGAAATGTAAAAGCAGGGACAGATTTTCAGTTTCAAACTAAAAAAGGATTCTGTCCTGCCATAAACACAAGGAAGGCCAGGGGGGCAGCTGGGCTGGGGATGGTGCTGGCAGTCACTGCGCCGACCCTTCCAAGGTGCTCTGACTGCACTGCAGGGCTGGGTTTGCCCTCACTGCTGCAGGTGCTGCTCCTGAGCCCCTCTTCCCCCAGCCAGGCCCTGCGGGGCACTTTGGACGTGGTAGCTCTCATGCAGCGTTGGCAGCAAACCCATCACTTGCTGTGCTTGGAAGTCCACTCCCTCATTTGTTTCTCTTGTCCATTTTCATGACAAGCTTTCCAGGCTGCATAGCCAATTGAAACTAACTTTTTCACAGCACCAAGGCTTCAGATTTGAGATATCACCTCATAGGAAGGGCTCTCCCACACCTGGAGCTGTGCTGGTGTTGCACACATTGCTCATACTGGGTGGCCGGGAGCAGGGCTGCGCTGGGGAAATGAGTGAACCAGGAGCTCCATCAGTGCACAGCTAGAGGCCAGACAGCAGGTCTGTCTTAATGGGAAGGAATCTTCTCAGATGGCTGAGGAACGCCCAGTAAGACCAAGTCCTGAGGAACGTGAAGCTGTTGCTCAGCCATGAGCGTGGTAAGGAGTGGTGGGGTGGGACGTGTATGGGTGGTGGGAGCACTCTATTTGCAGGGGGTGCCTGGTAAAAGGCAAAAAGAAAAATGAAGGCATAATTTTTTTAAAGTGAGTAATGAATGGCATTGCCCCCTTCCACAGAACAGGAAATAATGTAATTTATTAATGCTTTATTTTATTTGACAGCCATTCTATGTACTTGATGCGGTTTGTTACACCAAATTACCCTTTAATAATGGGTGTATATAATACCAGGCACTACCCTGCGGGTCAGCTCAGTAACTGAAGGGCTGCACCCAGGAGTTCTCACTGTTGGTGATGGAGACGGCGAGGTGCAGCCCTGCACCTGCACTGCTCCCTTCTGCTGCAGCCAGGGTAAGTAGCACACTGAGACCAGGCTGGGACCGTGCAGGTGTTGGATCTGCAGATGACCCCGTGCCCTGTGCTGTCGTTGCAGTGCTACTTGGGCTGGGCACAGCCACGGGTCTGACTGGGACATGGTCAGGCTGCACAGCAGTGCTGAGCTCTGGAGCCTGTGATGTATTTATTTTTGCATCCAGAGTGGCCCAGTGTAACGTTTGAGCCCACACCCTGTGCAAAACCATCATGTTTCTGACGGTCTGAGTGACAGCCCACGTCCTGCAATCTCTGAGCACGATGCGAGCTTCTGTCCCCAGATGGCTGAGCAGAGTCCTTCAGCAGCAAACGATGCATCATTGAGTGTGTCAGGCTGAATTAGGAAGCAGGCGCATCACATTAAGCTCAGGCTCCGGGCTGGCAGTTCCTGCGTTCCTGTGTCACTTGATCTGGCTGTCATGCTCCCATCCCCACCTATGCAGCCATGGGAAACCTCTTTGGGCAGCACACAGAAAACATTTGCTGTGATGGAGTAGCTGGAGGGCACAGCTCCTGGCCGGGGGAGCACAGGTGCACGCAGCTGCCTTAAGAGCGCAGTGTCTGAAGTTATTAAGTACACCGCTCCTTGCATATGCTGCTTCTGTGCCTCCCTCCATCCCCTCGTGTTTACGTGAGTTATGCTTATAAATCCAAAGGCAAACATGTGCGACACTGCTTCCTATTTCCTCCATCTGTCCCTGCCCTGTGCTTCCCTTCCATCTCTTCCCCTCCTTTACTTCCACCATTCACTGTGGGCAAATCCAGAAAATCTGGAAGAAAAACCGGAGCTGATTCAGCTCTTAATACAGCACTTCAGTTAGCAGCAGGGCAGGAATGTCACATTCCTAAGCGACAGAATAGAAGCGGTTTTGCTGTCGTTTGGCCGAAGAAGGAAGTGTTGCTGCAGAAGAGCTCTGGACCCGTGCTGTTGTCTCCCAAAGCAGATGATGCTGTGGCGCTGCCCCATGTGGCTCCCAGCATCCCTTCCCACTGCTGACCCGCCGATCTCCTGCAGGTGCCGGTGCTGCGGCCCATGGACCTGATGGTGGAGGCCACTCCGCGCAGGGTGTTCGCCAACGCGCACACCTACCACATCAACTCCATATCCGTCAACAGCGACTACGAGACCTACATGTCGGCCGATGACCTGCGGATAAACCTCTGGAACTTTGAGATCACAAATCAGAGCTTCAGTATCCTTTGGTGCACGCACCCCGTCGTGTCCCTGCGCCCCAGGGCTCACAGGGAAGCACTCAGTCCTTTCTGACCCAGAAAAGGGAGAACCAGGGTAAAGGTTTGACCCATTGTGATTTTCTTTGCCAGTGTTACTAACTGGTCCTGCTCATTACAGGTTCATTACTGCCAGTTACTCCAGATCCTGCCAGGAGTTCGGTGCAGGAGAGGTGGAAGTGCAGGGGCAGAGCACAGCGAAGCACTGCTGCAGGGCTCAGTGCTCTGCAGTACCCACAGCACCCTCGGTCACAGCTTTGGATGTCCTCGTACCCAGAGCAGTCACTGCTGCTTGTGCTTGTGTGCATGGGCTGAGCCACGGCAGCGTGCTGGCAGTGCTGGGCGCTGAGCCTCCCGGCACTGTGGGACCCCCACTGCCACCACTTTGAGTTCTGCCTGCAGGGCTGAGCCAGACGGAGGGATCGGGGGTGATGTAGAAGACAGATGCCCTGGGGGAGACGAGCAGGGGAAATCTTAATAGCGCAGCAGGGTGACAGGCTGCCAGTCAGAGGCGCACAAACGAGATCATGCCTGTCACCCTCCTAACTGCTGCATCAGAAATAATCACGGCGGGGCACTAATCACCGCTGGTATTTATATCGTGTTCTCTACTGAGAAGCCCCCGGGGCACGTGGCAGGGTGAGGCTGTGCAGTTCAGCAGCCACAGGCGTGTGGTTGGTGGGGGCCCACGTCTGAGCAACGCTGCAATGTCTGCTTATTTTGGAGGGGAGGACTTAGGCAAAACTTGAGGGGTTTGGTGGGCCGAGGCACCAATTCCACGCAGGGAGCAGCGGGCTCCTTCACTCACCCCCAGATATTGTGGACATCAAGCCAGCCAACATGGAGGAGCTGACGGAAGTGATCACGGCCGCGGAGTTCCACCCCCACCACTGCAACACCTTCGTGTACAGCAGCAGCAAAGGCACCATCCGGCTGTGCGACATGCGCACCTCCGCCCTCTGCGACCGCCACGCCAAGTGTGAGTAGTGGGGAGCTGTGTGCTGCCTGCTCTGTGCTGCAGCAGTGGAGGTGCAGAGGGAAGCTTGCATGGACATCTGGAGATCTGGAAGTATTAGCCATCCCAGGCAGGTTGTGGAGTCTCCTGTGGAGATGTTCGAGGACGCCTTCCTGTGCAGCCTGGCCTTGGGAACCTGCTTTGGCAGGGGGTTGCACTCGATGGTCTCTGGAGGTCCCTTCCAAGCCCTATGATTCTGTGAATCTGAATCCCAAACCCTGAGCAGAACGCGTCTCTCTGTTCTCGCACTTCATGACTGTCTCACAGTCCTACAGTGACAGCTCCCAGCTGAGACTCGGGGTGCAAGGACAGCGCTAGGGCAACCCCTTTCCCTGATGCTTTGGAGGCAGCAGTCCCTACACGGCCACTGCCTTTGTTTGGTGCTGCCACAGCCTGCAGCCCACAGTGAGCACCAACCAGCGGCGAATAAGAGTTCAGTTTGATCTCTGCCTTGAAATTTTCTTTCTCTGATTTCCCTCTGCACCTCTGAAGCAGCAGCCTGAGTCGATTGCAGCTCAGCAGATATGTAAGTTGAAATTGAGACAGTTCATCAGAGTTCAAAATGAAAAGCAACATTGGCTTTGGAGGCAAATTCTCCAGCAGGGGTATTTAATAGCTGCCAGTAGTTGTAAATGGGGAGTTTGGTGGCCCTGAGGCAGGGGGGTTGGAGATTCATGATCCTTGAGGTCCCTTCCGACCTGGGCCATTCTGTGCTGGCACTGCGCATCCCTGTTGTGTTCATTTAGACAGACGCACTTGGCAGCTTAGGGGCAGATTTACAGATAAGCTCTTCTGCTTAAATTATGCCATCCTGTTTTACCTGAGGCTGCTGGCAGTGGCTCTGTTACCTCCAGCCCTGCAGCTGGAAGGGAGAATGGCCCCTTCCCGTGTCAGCACCGGGACGTATGGGGTGTGCCATGGTATTCAGAAGGTCTGGCAAAGGGACAACTCTGTGGGCACAGAGAAATCTCAGGAGTTGTCCAAAGCACCATAGGAAACCAAGAGAAGAGTGGGACTCCTGGGGCAGGTGGTAACACCAGCCAAAGTCATCCTGTTCTGGAAAGCCTGAAAAGAAAGAAAAGCCCCATTGGGTGCGGAGCATAGGGTGGGCTCTGTGCTGGGGGTTGTAGCAGAAATGCTGAGTCAGAGCTTGAAGCAGTGATTGGGCACCTGGTGGGAAGGCAGGGCCAACCCAGGGGAGCTCAGCTGTATGCAGTGTGCCTGATGGAAGGACTGGAGCCAGGATCCACACCTTCCCAGCCCTCATTGAAGGGCTGGCAGTGGAGGTGAGGGGATCTCGCTGGAGATCCCTGCATACCTGAGGCCTTCCAAAGGTAAGCAGCTTTTTCCTTTAGTTTCTGTGCTCACAGCTGTTCCATTTGAGCAAATCCTCACTTGCTACAGCTCAGGACTTTGCCACCCCACTGTTATTGCTGTGCTTTCTGTTGTGTTACAGCCTTATGGGAGTCAGCCCTGGGAACAGGCTCACTTTGCTGCACATCTGCTGTCATCTTCCTGTTGGCAGCATATTCTTCTGTTGGTTTTTTTTGTTATTGTTTTTTGGTTGGTTTTTTTTTTGTTTGTTTGTTTTTGTCTTTTTTCACCAAAGCCTTTTATACAAGAAAAAGGGCACATAAATAAAGTGCAGGGATCTGATCTCACATTAGGAACTCCCTGCTCGGGGCACATGAAGCTCATCTTGCCTGGGGCTGAGGGTCTGTGGTGCAGAGCTCTCATTGCCTGCTGTCAGTTGGGGCAGCACACAGCTGGTGCAGAGCTGAGATGTGGCAGTGCCTCCAGAAACAAATCACCTCCTTCCTCAGCCCCGAGCAGCAGCTAACGATGTCCTGCTGCATGCAGTAATAAGCCTGGCAAGACCTCGAGCTAAAAATTAACAAGCTGATTGTGCAGAATCTCCGGAGGATGACAAACCTTGTCTGCCACCTTGGGCTCATTTAGCTAATGAGGAAACAAACCTCTTTGCCTCTGCAGCACTCCCCAATCTCCATTTTAAGTGAGAAATCTGTTGTGGCCTGCAGCACGATGAGAGTCCAGCCTGGAGAGATGGCTGTGGGCTCCGCAGCCCTGCAGGACCATTGCTGCAGTGGGGGCTCTGGGTGCTGTGCCACGGGCTTTGTGCTGCTTTGGATTTCCTGGTATGTGTGGCTAATTGTCCTGATTAGAGTCTAAATGAAGGAGAGAGAGAAAAGACGGGGTTTGAAATGGAGGAGTGGTTGCATTCACTGAGGAATGGAAAGGAGCCGTCGCTCTGAGCTGCCAGCAGAGCCCTCTGGCTGCACGCACAGCCATGCAGGAGCTCGGGTGGCAGTGCTGTGCAGGAGCTGCTCTGGGCTGCAGGTATCGGGGCACCCTGCAGCGTGGCACAGCTCGGCCCGTGCAGAGCTCACAGCACTGCGGTGTCGGGATCTGTCCCCAGCCCTTCTTGCTGCTGCCCTTCTCTTCCTGCTCATGTTCTTGGTGCTGCCATCTCCTCTTGGGTTTGCTCTCTGAGGCATCTTGTTTTTTAAGCTGCAGTTCTAAAGTATTGGCAATATTTCCTCTTGTTCATTCACTGTAAGTGTAACATCCCCAGCCCTAAGAAAGGGCTCTATTTATATGTCAGGCTCTGCTGTGTTGGAGAATAGCTGTGATGAGTGCAGGACTGGGCCAGGGGCGGTGGAAGTGAGTGGCTGAACCCAGCCCTGGCTCTTGGAACAGCTCCCTCCTGCCTTTGTTTTCTGGGTACAGGGAGTGTGGGTGCCAGGCAATGCTCATAAGCTTTATGGCCATGTCAGTGTGGGACAGTGCGTTTCTTTCCAGTACAGCATGAAGGAGGAGGAGCCTCTCCTTGTTCCCCAGCAGTATTCTGTAGTGCTGAGCTGGTGAGGGGTCTGTAGGGGTGGAAGGAAAAGGTCTGACAGATGCGCCCCAAATGCAGTCCGTTCGCTGGTGCCAATCTATTGTTTCCTTTAAAGCTATGCCTGCCCAGCTGACGTTACTTTGAAATTAAATGCATTTAATTTGGACCTTCATCAACGCTCTTCAGGCTGTACAGGCTGTGATTTATTCAAAGACATCGGATTAAATCCGTAGGTTGCAGTGGCTATAAAATATTTACATTGACTTTCAGTTATACTACGCATTGATTTCTACAGAGAAAAGGTACACGAGGCTTTAAATGTTTTGGCCTTCTCTTGTGCTGTTGATAGATTGGTCTCTGCTGACCCTTCCTGGTTATTGCACTCACCTAAAAACAAAGGCACTTCAGTTGCATGGAGTCCATAACATGCAGGTGCTTGCTTTATGCTGTGCCCAGCAGTGGGAGTGCTCGCAGTGGGTCAGCACTGCAGGCTCAGGGTGCTCGTGGCCTCCTGTGTCCCCTGCTGCACTGCACCCCTGGGGCCCCTCCGTGCTGGGCAGGGCAGCGGGTCCCGCAGGGTCACTGATGCCAGGCCTGTCCTTTCCTCTCCTGCAGTTTTTGAGGAGCCTGAGGACCCCAGTAACCGCTCGTTCTTTTCTGAGATCATCTCCTCCATCTCCGATGTCAAATTCAGCCACAGCGGGAGGTACATCATGACCCGGGACTACCTCACTGTCAAGGTGTGGGACTTGAACATGGAGAACCGGCCTATCGAGACCTACCAGGTGGGCAGAGCGGGGCTGGGGGCAGGGCAGGGTGGGATGGGATGGGGGGATGGGAGGATGGGAGCGGCCGTGGGACCTGGCATGGATGTCCCCTGCCTCATTCCATCGGCCCTGCCTCCAGGTCCATGACTACCTGCGGAGCAAGCTGTGCTCGCTGTATGAGAACGACTGCATCTTCGACAAGTTCGAGTGCGTGTGGAACGGCTCTGACAGGTGAGGGGTGGCTGTGGGGCTGGGCTGGGCACAGCTGGGGTCTGTGTGTGGGGTGCCTGGGGGTGAGAGCGGCTGCCCGGCTCCTGGGGCAGTGGCTCCTTGCTTACCTCAGCCTGGCTGCGGCTGCAGGGGCAGCGGGGCCGTCGGCCTCACAGGAGCACCAGTGTTTGTCTGAAACATCAGTGTAAAGAGTGAGACAGCTGGCCTGAATTCTGAGTCTGATCTAAATTGTGTTACAGCTCTGTGTATTCCATTTAAGTCAGGGGGAGTTTGCCTTGAAAAAGCGTGAAAATCACTTGGTCTGGGTCAGCCAAATCTTTGCCATAAGGAGCGATATCCGTGTAATTATCCTGGAAGAAATTCTTGTCTGCATGAGCTCTCCCTCAGCTGAGAAGAAAAACAGAGGGTTGAAGCAGCTCTGCACAGACAGGCTGAGGGAGCTGGGCTCGTGCAGGCTGCAGGGAGACCTCAGTGCAGCCTTCTGCTATTTAAAAGGGGACTATAGACAGAAAGGGAATCAACAAGGGTCGACAGGGATAGGAGAAGGGGCGATGGTTTTAAGCTCGAGGAGGGAAGGTTTAGGTTGGATATCAGAGGGAAGTCCTTTACAGATGGAGCAGTAAAGAGGTGCTGGCACAGCTGCCCAGAGAGGCTGTGGATGCTCCATCCCTGGAGGTGTTCAGGACCAGGCTGGATGGGGCCCTGGGCAGGCTGGGCCAGTGTCAGACCTGGAGGGTGGTGGCCCTGCTGTAACATAGGGGTTGGAACTTGATCCCGGTGCTCTCCCCCAACCCAAACCATCCCGTGATTCTGTGAGATGTCTGAGCACATGCCTGGCGCTGTGTGGGTGCCAGGCTGAGCGGGGCTGGGCAGGGGAGGAGATGGAAATGGGGCCGTGGCCGTGCTCACTGACTCGCCCTTCCTGCCCTCACAGTGTCATCATGACCGGCTCCTACAACAACTTCTTCCGCATGTTCGACCGCAACACCAAGCGGGACGTGACGCTGGAGGCCTCGCGGGAGAACAGCAAACCCCGCGCCGTCCTCAAACCCCGCAAGGTCTGCGTGGGGGGCAAAAGGAGGAAAGATGAGATCAGCGTGGACAGTCTGGACTTCAGCAAAAAGATCCTGCATACAGCTTGGCACCCTTCAGAGAATATCATTGCTGTGGCAGCGACAAATAACCTGTATATATTCCAGGACAAGGTTAACTAGGAGGACAAGTTATTCTTTAGGAGTCTCTCATGTACTGAATACTAGTAAACACAGGATTCCAAATGTTTCTTTTCTTTTTTTTTTTTTCCTCTTTCTTTGTTTTCCTTTGTTGAATTGCTGCTATGTGAATGGCAGTGTGCAGGGGCAGGTGGACCAGCTGCAGTGGGACCGTGGCTGAGCGCACCGAGCAGCTCCCAGGTTTCCTTTTACCCAAGTGCTGGGAGCTCGGACTCAACACGGAGCAGCTGGGGGGGTTTGAGCTTTTGCTGTCCCAGTGCCCTGGTGGTGTTGCTGTAGTGGTGGCTGATGTGTGGTGTGGTGAGCTGGCAGTGCAGGGCATCATCAGCTGCAGTGGGAGCAGATGGGCGGCTGCACCTCAGTGTGGGTGTGGTGGGTTTTTGTAATCCATGCTGATTCTTTAAAGCTTAATCCTGGAAATATCCCACCTGTTATTTCACAACATCAGAGCCATGTCCCCATTTTTCACTTCTGTTGTTTTGCCATCATCATTTCATCTTTTTACCAACAGCAAAACCAAACACAGAATGGAATTGTTGTGCCGGAGCTCCCAGGAAACGCCCCCTGACACTCCCCAGGATTTGGCTTTGTAGATACTGTGGTGCCTTTTGGGTATATGAAATACCTTTATAAATGATGCTTCCAAAACACACTGATTGCAAACCAAATTGAACCTGGGCTTTTTTTTTTTCCTTTTTTTTCTTTTTCTGCACTTCTTTGCTGTGGTCACTTTTATTGTCCTATTGCTGTACGCTCCCGCACTTCATGCTCTCTGTCTTTCTCTTTTTAATTTATTTATTTATTCCTTTTTTTTTTTAAAGAAAAAGTGTAAGTTGCTAATTTATGACATTCTAAAAGAGAATCCAACCCAATACTGCTCTCAGCACCTGACTGCTTCCTTCAGGGGCTGCCCATGGTCCTAGGTTATAATAATAATTATAATAATAAAACCAGTAACTCTTCCTCTGTGCATGGCCAGGCTCCCCCTTTCTACTGTTAAGATTGTTCAGATCCTTTTTTTACTCAAGCAAATGCTAAATTAAAAAAAAAAAAAATTTTCAGTATGAAAACTGCTCCTGCAAGACCAAGTAAGTGAATAAATAAAGTCAATTACAGCAGTCAACACCATCACTTTAGCAGTGTCCCCGTGGGGGTGGCCCTGCTGTGCAGCTGTGCTGCATACACACCTGTGTCCCGCAGGGAAGCTTTCACCCAGCTCTAAGGGCAAAGTGCACTCTGCCCACAGCCCCTCTTGTACTGCATGCTTCGGATGCCCTGCAGCTCCTGTGGTACCTCCAGCCCTCAGCCCCTAATGAGGAGCATGGGGAGGCCCTGCCTGGAGTCTGTGGGGCAGGAGCAGGGGGCATTCACCATCCCAAAGGGATGAGCAGGGGGGATGTGCACTGCCTCACACATTTACTACAAGTGGTGGCTTTCAGGAGTACCTTTTTTTTTAAAAATGGTTAAAAAAATGCCAAGAGTAAAGTAAAATTTTTTTTTAAATGTTCTTTTTTTTTTTGTTCTTGTACAGAAAGCCTGCACTCTGGTACCAGAAGTAAAGTTGTTCCAAACATGCCTGTGTGGAGCTGCTGATTGTTGTGCTTTCCAGGTGGCTGCAGCTGGGGGCCATGCTGGGGGGGTACAGGACCTGGGCAGCCCATAACCCAGTTGCACTCACTGCAGGGCACCATCCCTGTGTCTGTGAGGCAGCTCCCAGCTAAGTGACACCTGGGAGGCTGAGGTTTGCAGTGTTCCTTCTGGCCACAGACTGCACAGTGGGGCACTGCTGAGGGGAGCAATGCTTGCAGCAGCAGCTATCAGAACTCAGTCAGTGGTGAAGGAGTCACCAATACAGCAACAGGCGCTGGCTTTTTCTTCAGGTGAAACCTCTGCTGGTAGTGGAATTGGGTTCACAATGAAACCAAAGCCAGACCCAACGCTGTGCCAGAGCAGCCTGCACCCCCACAGGGACAGGACTCATTACTGATAACATGCTACACTGAGCTGCTTCCTCCACGGCCCAAGTGCTAATTCTCTGCTGCTGCTGGTGATGAATTTAAACAGAGGCACCTAATTAGAAGCTGTAGGGCATGGATAATGCTGCAAAGGCAATGTTATACAAACAGACACTCATTTACCTTCATATTAATGGCATGACCTTAATCTACCACTCCTCAGCCCAGAGGGACAGATCCACACTGCCTGTGCAGGCAAAGGAGGAAACGCCACAGCCTGAAGAACTGAACTGGAAAATAATTCTGTTTGGCACCAAATTGCACAGATACTGATCTGAATGTTTATGAAATTTAATTTGATGCTGTACAGTATCACACAGTTTGGCAAAACACAGCCAACAATTTAGGCAATAGGACTTCAGTTCTTTGCTCTGCTCTTGAATTCACAACTCCAACAAAACCCAACAAAAACTGGCGTTAGGCCTGTACAATCCATATAAAAAAGGAGTTGGTTTATTGTAGTTCAAATACATAAACTGAACAATCCCAACATTTCAAAATTAAACTTTAGAAACACAAGTTTAACATTCAAAACAGGAGTATAGTTTACAAGAATTGCCCAGAAGGGGAATCCACAGTCTAATCCAGAAGTATGCAAAGATCACTTATCGTAAATAAAAACATTTATACAACCGTCCTGCTCTGTTGGGTAGCCACTGCTACAAGCCACGTGTTTCCAACTGGAGTAAAAATCATTGGACAGATCTTTGCCTGGGCAGAGCAACCTGATTTTGTTTCTAATCCATGGATAGGGTAAGGAACAAAGCAGATCTGTGAGCAAATTTAATTTGGTCTCTGCAGTGCTAATTCTCCTTTCAGTTTTAACTCGGGCTCCAATGGATTTATCACCACATACAAGGGTGAAATCAAGCACAGAATCGGCACCTGTTACCATAACACGGCCCTCAGGCATCAGCAGTTTCAGCATCTCACCTTCACAGACAGACAGCCCCAGGGCCACGCTCACACCTGAGCCCCATGCACAGCTCTGGGAGCTGCACAACACGGCTCCTCCTGCACCACTGCTCCAGGACAGGGCCCCGACACAGTCAGCACAGCTGGGCCCCACCAGTCCTGCCCTACAGAAACACATAAATAACTGCCATGTTCTTTTTTCTTCCTCTTTTTATATACATTTTCTATTTTTACACAGAGACCATTTTATGTTCACAAATACTGCTTTTTCCTCTGTTCCTAAGATGGTTTTGCAATATATTCACGGTAATGTATATGTATAAACCTGACAGATGGCTCATGCAAGCTTTTTGATTTAACAGATACTCTTGCCTTAGGTGAACTCAGCACTACTTTGTCGTCCGTCTCGTGGGCTCCGAGGCTGTGGGCGGTGGAGGCGGCCCTCGGCGGTCCAGGTCATCCACGTAGGACACGATGAGCTTGCGTCTCTCCTCTGGCACGCAGTCAAGCACCAGATAGCGCTTGTCGTTCTGTAGTATCTTCTCCACATCCTTCAGATGCTGGTCTGACTCCTGGATCAGCTTTTTGGATCTGGAAGCAAGCACAAGGAATTACTGCCCGGCATGGCCTGGGCTGCCACCCCACACTGCAGTGCAGGCAGGCGGGGGGAGGGCAATGCAAGGAAACTGCACAGAGGTTTGGGCAACAAACACTTTCTGCTCAGAATCAGTCACAGCAGCACTACTCAAAGCAGAGGAGCTAAAGTATTTGTAGCCTTTGTGCTAAATTAATTAAGCATCATGGAAGACTTCTGTCTGCTGCCGTGGCCTTGTACAGCACTACATGAACTGTTTAAATGCTAAAAACCTAGGGGGACAAAAATCAAGAGTTTTAAAATAGGCATCCAACTGAGGCAGACAATTAGAATTTCACAGCTTTGGTAGTAAACTGTGTGCACTGCATCAGTTGACAGCACTGTGATCTGCTCATTGAGTGAGTAGCATCACCTGAAACCAAAACTCCAAAATGCTACAAGGACGACTGGAGGGGCAAGGACTGACACAAGCACAGAAGATGGCCCTCACCACAAAATGAATCCAATGCCTGACAGCCCAGGGTACATGTAATGCTATTCTGAAGCAAAAGACAACCTGACATCCGTGCTGGTTTGATTTTCATTATTTGTTAACCATTAGCGAAATGTCAAAGCAAACCAAAACAAATCATTTATCAACCATCTATTTTCTTTTCTTTTTTTGACAGATTATGAAAAAATTATAGAATAAATTTAGGCAAAATTATTCTAGGGAACAAAAGAGCAGCCTGTTGCCACTTATACGCAAAAGTACAAAAAGAGCTCTTCTGCTACACACCTGTATGTTATAAATTTGGTCTCCTTCAATAGCGTTCGGAAGTCAGCTTTGGCAGTAATGTATTTGTCTCTAATGTACTCCTCAAACTCCCTTTGTTTTTTCTGAAAGACAAAAGACAAACTCAGAACATCGAATGCAGACTTCATGCAATTCAACATACTGAATAAAAGGAGAAGTCACATGATGAATGTATTTTTGTTTACTTTTTGCATTTTTTAATTAAAAAATATTAACGCTCACATAAAGCAGGCACCATTTCAGCAGTCCCTGATTTTCTTTCTCCGTACCCTGCACCCACAGTGAAGGCCAACAACAGTAATGCAAACCTCTTACCCGGTCACTTGAAGAAAATTTAATGCACCTCGGATCTTCTTTAATGATTTTTTTTACTTCTTTCCATGTCGATGTTAAAGTTATCTTTCAAAAGAAGCAAAAATAGTTAAAACTGCAAGAAAAATTGTATCCTACAGATGTCGAATATAAGTATAACCACATCTGAAAGTAAATATCCCCAAAGCACACCAACAAAATCACTGCTGTATCCAAGTGTTGGGTTGTTATCGTTCCTATTACTGTCCTTGTATTTTTTATTATATGACTTCATACATCCACTTTTCTTCAGACACTTTCAAACCAACATCCTCCCAAACATCATTTACATTCTAAGGTCTTCTTCTAGAACGTATCTATGGATATATGCTTTGAAAAATTACCTACAGGAAACTTGCTTCAAAATAACACCTGCCATTTGATTCTCTCACACTAAGATCTGCCTGCTGTTCTAAGAGCTTTTAACCAATGCCTTAAAAACACTCAAAGCTGCAGGGTTAAGAAAGCTGACTGAAGCTTGTACACAATTTTAAAAGACCAAGACTCACTAGAACCCCACAGCACACTGAGAAGATGATAGGCTCCCTCAGCGTGGCACAGAAGTTCAAATTAAAAAGCATGATTTAAAGCAGAAGGCTGAGACAGACAAAAGATCATCTACTGGTATCGAGTTAAACACTTGGTTATTTGAAAGAGCAAGATGCCATATAGAAAAGAATATCAAGCAACTCAATACTGAAGAAACGTTACATCCTGCAGGAGATAAAAAAAAAAAATCACTGATTAGAAGTTTAAGTGCAAATGAACTGTATATTAAACTGAAAAAGAACTCAAGATAAGTAAGGAAAGGCTTACATTTTTCTTATGGAGAAAAGAGACTGTTGAAGCAAATGGTCCCAGGAAATAAAGCCAAACAAAAATTAACTCGTGACAGAAAACTGAAAAATCCAACTCCCCACGGACTTACAAGTATCTCACGTTTGAGCATATATAGCTCTTACCGCTGAAGTTTCATCCAGAAGTTGCCTAAAGTGTTCCCTCTTCTTTTTGGTAAGTGCTTCGATGTGCTCATTAAAGAGCTTTTCTTTCTCTTCTCTTTCCAGCAAGGAGCCAGACTCCCATCGGTGGTCCTTGCGCAGGGTCCTTCTGGTGTCAGACCACGACACATCTGAGGAACGCACCTGGGCAAAAGGACGATTACTTCTGTAAATATGTTTGCCTATGGTTCACTGACAATTGTTACTTAACACTTCTTCTATCCCTTCTTTTAAGCTGTAGTTCAAATTAAAAATTAAAGCTCTTCAAAAAAATTAAGAGACAATAGCAGCTTTCTGTGAAACACTAACCAAGCAGCAGCTGAGGGAAGCCTATGCATTAGTTCAAGTGCAGGAGGAGAAATCACACTGACCTGGAAGAGTATTCTCTTGTAAAGAAGATGAAGATAGTTCTTATATAAGCTTAATTGCAAATGCCAAAGTGCTTTTCATACAGGGCATCTACTAGAAAAGAATGCACTGTCAAGCTCCTGGAAAGAATCAGAGAGAACCCATTTGTGTCTTACCATGTCAGACAGCAGTGCTTTGAAGTTCTGAATAGCTTCTTCCCGTTTGTGCTGCTCACGTTCCCTGTCGATCTCCTTGGTTTGCTCTGATCGAGCTTTCTGCACTTCTCTTTCTCGTTCACGCAAACTTGCTTCAATGCGAGCTTGTCTTTCCAGCTCCTTTTCTTTTTCAGAATCTAAATTCTGGAATGTAAGAATAGAAGTTTTTCCTCAATAAAAACAATGTGACATCTTGCTAAGATTTGCAGTCATTCCAGGGTACTTCTACAAATAACCACAGTGCAGAGTTTTCTTAAGCGTGGAAAGAAAGCACACGTGAGGCTGTCTTACAGTTAGTTCCTTCACACATCATCAGCGAGGTAACCAGCGGAACGTGCAAAGTTACACTTCCAAATGGCACACACATACCTTAGCTATTTTTTCAATGTACTGTTTGAAAAGGTCTTCCCTCTGTGAAGAGCTATCCACAGCTTTGTAACGAGGGTCAGTCTCTACTTTGTCCTTCACTTTGCTCCAGCGAGACTGACTGTCCAGGTGGTGGTTAGCCAGTAGTTCAAAGAAGTCCATTTTGATCTATTTTACAGACAATAACAGAAAGATAACACTTGAGAAAGAGACTTTGATATGTAGCAGTTTGCTCTTATGAAAGAAGAAGTGAACTTACCTCCATTAGAGGGAAGTATACTAACATTACATACCATTTTAATTTAGAAAAAGCAATAAAACTACTAAAACTCTGAATTTAGACCTCACACATCTAAAACTCACTTCCTTTTTGGGAAGACTTTACCAAAGCAAATACATCAGGAAGACCTGCTAAATCTAAGATGAGCTACATTCATTAAAGAATGATTCATCAATTTTATTTCTTCAATTTCAGCTTCTTTTTTGAGCTTTTACATATCAAAATAACAAGCTATTGATTCTCTGCTGTAGCATTTTACTATCAATATCACAGAAGCTATGCAGTTTTAAACAGGGCTCTAAATAAATCGTGTATTTAAGGACTCATATTCCAAGTATGCAATAAACAGAGGTAAACGCTTGGATCTACTCATAAGTAGCAGCATCTTAAGATGGGTCTAACCAGTAAAGAACACATACAGTAGTGGTTAAGTGAATTACATTAAAAGACAGATATGCAAATAAGGAAAAGTTTTAGTTTACATTTTCAGTTTTAAATGGGATGTCAACACTGTCTCCAAAATGACAGCACTACCAAGGGCTGGCAGAGCATCAGTCCTGCTGGATTTTTGTTCTGGTTTATTTGTTTGTTTTTGTTATTGTTGTTTGTTTAAATCTTAAGACAAAAGCTAGCAGACAATTTTCACCCAAACTCCCAGAATCAGCAGTCACAAGAGCAACTCCTGTGCCTTACTGCACCGCTGTTTTCTGGGGTAGATGATTTCCCTCTTTCCTGACATGCGTTAACTCCCAGCTAATTTTTCCTTTTTATTTCCAACACCTGATGCCACAGAAGTCTGGTTTGGCATTTAAGACCCCATGTGTGAGAACAGAAGCAAGGGACCTGTGAGCCTCGCTCCCTGAACAACCTGGAGCCACTGAATGGACAGACTGGACACACAAGGTTGAGCTCGCTGCCTTCGCAGCATCCCAAGCCTTGCTGACCTACGGAGCAAAGTCTTTGGTCCCGGCACACCGCTAAAATATTAGTTAAGGAGGACTGGCCATTCAGTTTGTGACACTTATCACCTCTCCTCATCCGTTTGGAAAAGAAAATCACCAAAAGCAGTTCAGCTCTGGAACACCGAGGTTCACAACGGAGGTGAACACACTGCATTTCCAGAGAACTGCCAACCTGCTGCTCTAAAAGTGATTGGTTACAGCACGTCAGAATGAAACAAAGCTCAGAACAGCATTCTGTGATAACTTAAACTCTTCACAACATTAATACGTAAACATAAAGGATTTATAGACTTTTTTCTTTACTATCTCAGAAAGGTTCAGATAGTAAGCAGAGATCAGAGAACAGTGGTTAGAGCCAGCCAAGAGTTACTCCGTATCTACAGCACTATCATTTTGCTTAAAGAAGCTGAACAAAATGCTAAGCAAACCATTTATTCATTTTAAGATAAAGAATGTTGTTTCAAAACATCTTTAAACATGCATGCAGTATAAAAGTATGAAGCTTTCTAAGCCATGGCATTAGAAATATGTCAAAAATCAAACGGTGCCCAGATCATAATACAGAAGTCTATAAGGTAAGGGTCTCTCAGAGCTTAACCAGAAGCACCCTGCACAAACACCGTGCGACAGGCACGTTCCATGCAAAAAGCTGGTCAGATCTTGGAGCACAGCACTGCAGGAAGTGCTTCCATGGCAGTGCAACACAAACCCAAAGCCTAACAAAGCCTGCACCGTGCAGGGACAGCATCCCAGCCCCAGCACTGTGTGCTCCCCCCGCCGCCCCACTCCCCCAGCCCCCACACTGATGCTCCATAAGCAATGGCTGCGGGAGGAGGCAGCACTGAGCCAATTCCCCCCTAAGAAACATGAGTGACTCTGAAAGCACGGGTTTAACTTCAGCCAGAACTACCTTCCACCTGCAACACCTGCAGCACAAGTACTGCAATTTGCTTTTTAATTAAAACTTCAAAACGTCCCACCAAAGAGCAGCCTTTTAGGATCAAGCTCTTGGATGTGAAGTTCAGGGTATGTAAGCACACAGCACAGCAACCAGCTGGCACCGCCGAGGGGGAACCCTCAGCAGGTGCTGCCCAGCACCGAGAGCAGCAGCACGGAGCCACAAAGCAGCATCCCAGTGCCCAGCACAGCACCTGCTCCCTGTCTGCTGCCCCACATCCTTCACCTCCAGCCCGCAGCACTCGCAGCTCCCTGCCGCTGAGAAGCTGCTGAGCGGAGCGGCAGCTGAAAACCCAACCGCCCACCAGCAGCCAGGGAGCCACAACTCACAGCCAAAACCAGAACACTGGACAACTCCAAACCCTTACGTTAAAGATTTCTGTAAAGTGGATTCTCCTTAAACAGAGATTTTGGACTTTTAAAACAGACTGAGAAAGCTTCAAGTTCAATGCTTTAAATTTTCTTTTGTTTTAAGCACTTTCAAAATCAAAGGAAAATAAGACCGAAAATATTTCAGGTGTATTTAGGTCTTTTTTTTTTTTTTGGCAGTTAACACATTGCAGGTACAACTCTCATCACTTCACAAGGAAAAAAACTAAAAAAATGTAAAGTACCGGAGCTGCGGGAGGCTAAAGTCACCACACAGAGATACCAATTCTTTCCTCACTAGGGAATCCCATAATATTTGCGTGTCAGTGATTGACAGCTGTCAGACTGAACTGATTGACAGGCCGCACAGCACATAACTGTAAAGTCTATCCACTTGTTATAAAACAGAATACATAAAATGGTTACAAAAGGCTTTTGGAGAAAAAAAACATTATTTCAAAAGCAAACAAACACAGTCTCTCTTCTTTTAACTTTAACTTAAGAACAATCATGCAACAATACAACATTTTACTTTGCACTAAGCTGCAAGAATGCTTTAAAGTTCCACGTTCATAACTGAAACGCAGTATGTAAAGTTCTAGCTCTGAAATACATCAGTTCTCCTTTAAGAGCATCATTTACTGAAAATATCAGCAATAAGGCAACATTTGGAAAAAAAAATCAGAGTACCTGGATTAAGAAAAAAATACGAGACATACGAACAAGAAAACTGTCTGCAAATCTAATGTGCTGTTCAGCATTTTTCTCTTCTGCAAGTATTCTAAGCGAAACATACATTAAGTTTACGGTATGAAATAAACAGTGCAGACTTTAACATGTTAAAAATGATCAGGCTTTAGAGGCTCTTTTCTCCACTCACACACCACACAGGGACATTGCAGGAAGGCTGCAGGTTTTAGTGGTAACACCCAGTGTCACCTCCGCAGTCAACTGCTCTCCTGGCACCGAGAGCACAGCAAGGGAAGGGAGCCCAGCAGGGCAGGGGAGGTGATTCTGCCCCTCTGCTCTGCTCTCATGAGACCCCACCTGGAGTACTGCGTCCAGTTCTGGAGCCCCCAGCACAAGGAGGGCGTGGAGTTGTTGGAGCAGGTCCAGAGGAGGGCTATGATGATGATCAGAGGGCTGGAGCACCTCCCCTCCGAGGACAGGCTGAGAGAGCTGGGGCTTTTCAGCCTGGAGAAGAGAAGGCTGCAGGGAGACCTCATAGTGGTCTACCAGTACCTGAAGGGGCCGACAGGAAAGCTGGGGAGGGACTTTTTACAAGGGCAGGTAGTGACAGGACAAGGGGAAATGGTTTTAAACTGGAAGAGAGTAGATTTAGACTAGATAATAGGAAGAAATTCTTTCCTGTGAGGGTGCTGAGACACTGGAATGGGTTGCCCAGGGAGGCTGTGGATGCCCCCTCCCTGACAGCACTCAAGGCCAGGCTGGATGGGGCTGCGAGCAACCTGTGCCATGGGAGGTATCCCTGCCTACAGCAGGGGGCTGGAAATGGGTGATCTTAAAGGTCCCTTCCAACCCAAACCATTCTCTGATTCTATGAAAGCCTGCTCTTGACTATTGACACTACGGTCAGATGACATTTGGAATTCATTAATCTTTAATAGCTGACCTTTAATTCTAATAAGCAGCAGTTTATACATAAGATATATTTACTGAAAGATTAAGTCACTGAAGTGCTAGCTTTAAATGGAAAGAAAATATGGAAGCTGTTTGAAATTTACTTGGAGCAGCCTGCAGAGAATTCTAAGATCTTACTGCCTTCACTAAGAGAATAGAGAGGTAACGGGCAGTTCTGGGTCTCCCAGCCAAGCAGGACAAGAATTGTGTTCCTCTCAGTGCCCAGGGACAATATCTTAAAGTGTTCTCAGTGTCACAAAAATGAGCTCAACACACTCTAAGTCCGTATACCTGCAAACTTAAAAGCAGTTAGTTTAGAAAGACCAAAGAGACATCTGTGAAGTGCTTACATTGTAAAACATCTACAGGAAGGGAAGGACGGAGTCCCAGACAAGGCATGCTGCCAAGCAAGCACTAGCTCTGTCCCATCTCACTCAGGCTCACACCACTCACACCGCTGAGCTAAAAAAAATTCACCTTACCTTCTCACCCCTGGTCTTCGAATCTTCTTTTTCCTTCTTTCTTGCCGCTGCGATAAACTCATTAAACAAGGCCTCTCGATCTTTCATCTTTTCAATTGCCTTGAATCTCGAGTCTTTAGCATGCTTGGCTGCAAATTCACTAAAAGTAGTTCTGCAACAAAATGGCAAGTGAACTAATGTGGCAGAGCTGTCTTTGCTCAGAAGCAGGTCCAGCAGAGAAATACTTCTTCTGCTGGTATACATGCCAGAGTACAATGAAAAACCAAAAGAAAAAAAGAAAAACCATCCTACGTTCTCACTATAGAGATGCTTGATCAATGAATTGCAGAAAGGAGTCCAGTGTAGGGACGCACACGTTAGATACTTGTAAGGTGTTGGTTTGTTGCTGTTTTGGATTAATAGAGCTACCTGCAGAACATGCAGGTGGTAGGTGTAGGAAGAGAAACTACAACACAACCAAGAAGAGGAAACAAAAACTCAGCTGACTATAAGTTGTCTTTTTTGTGGTTAAGCAGTTCAGCCACCAGTCTTGTCCAGGTATTTCACAGCTGTGAAATTAAAAACTTTGCATGCATTCACTTGCAGCCAAACCATGCTAAGAGTTTACCAAGGAAATCATCTTACTGTGTTAGTCACAACATAACACTGGCTGCTGAAATCTTCCCCTACAGAGTGAACACTGTATTGCCTTATCCTAAAACATGGAGTTGAAAATACTTCAAACACTATGGGCAGTTGCAGCAGTACTGGGCTTTCAACCTATTATCCCCATAGCATTTTCCTGACAGTTCTCTCACCTCCAGGGCCAGATTCCAATCTGTGCAGTAGATATAGTACTGCCACTTACCTCAAAAAAAACCACTATTCTGCTTTTTCCAAGCTCTGATGCAAATCTGGCCCCAAGAATACGTGAGACACTTATAATCATACGAATGTTTTCATCACAGCATGGAAATAATTAGACTTGGAAAATCCAGCCTACTGTTGCTGTAGGGTAAATTGAAACAAGAAGAGAATTTGGTAGCTTATTCAAAAAGATTAGAAAATGAATGTACAGCTATATTGAAGAACAAGAGCTGCTTAAGTGGAACACAAACTCTTGAGCATGTTGGACTGAGATAGATGATTAAAAGTAGTCTGACGCTCACAGAGGTACAGCAATATCTTTAGACAAACACTGAAACCAGAAGACAAAGGATAAGATTAAACAAGACAGTCTTTCAGTCGGAGTTCTCTTTCCCACCCCAGTCCATAATTATGTATGAATTAGTCCCAGTAAGACACACTGAAGATATCTTGGAAGCTGAGAACACTACAGCTAGCAGGAACCTTTGATGTTAGTCTGTGAAGGCTACATGGAGCTCACCAATCCATTTTTTCTTAAAACGTCCTCATGACTCCATTTGTCCTAGTCTACCAAAATTTCTGCCCTTGTTAAATGAGCAGACTGGTGCTTTGCAATAAGAGCTGTTAATCAGATTTGAAGATGTAAGAATTTACATAACACTGGGTTCCATCAATTTCCAACGCCGATCACTAAAATAATTAAATTGAAGCAAACCAAACAAGCAGTTACTTCACTGTAAAAGAATTAATGCCAAGTAAGCCAAGAGATGCTGAAAGAGAATGCTCACCTGTTGACATAAGCACCTATTTCATGAACTCTATGTGAGAAAGTTGTGAAACAAACATTTCTAGCAATATAATCTCGAACGTTAGTACATTTACTGTTATCATTTCACTGTTACCACTGCATGCTGGCCTGGGTGAGAAGGGTAAGTAACAATTTTCATACTAAAGTAATCAAAACATTATGTCACATTATTATTAACACACTTTTAAACAGAAAAATGTCCCCTCAAACTCTCAGACTGATGAAACTTCCCTAACACTTCTCAGAGACCACAAATATTCTTAGGAAACAGGGTTATTAAAAAACAACGGTGGTAGATCTTGAAACCTCTCACATTCCAGAGAACATTGTGGGAATTTCTTCAAAATGACTAAAAATACATAAAACATGATAAAGTTCTATTATTTTATAGACTAATATACTAGGCAAAAAAAGATTTTAATATCTCATTTTTCTCCTCTTTGACCATTTTGAAAGAGGTTAATGAAGTTAATCTACCTACCACCACCCAAAATACTTGGTTCTTACAGTGCTTATGCACATGAATGACAAAGAAGTTCCTACCTCGGGTTAATCTTTGATTCTTCCATCATTTTCTTGAAATCCTCCTTGGCCTGCATTATTTTGTTTTTCTTCTCCTTGCGCTCTTCTTCTGCTCGGGTTTTCACATACTGATCAAATACCTACAGAAATAACACAAAACATAAAAACCTGCACCCACATCAGCTCTAGGCAAGGAGGGAGAAAAATCCCACTTCTTTCATTTTCCCTTGGTTCTTTCTCCCACCACAGAACCAACAGAGACAAGGCAGAAAGAATGGTTACAAGTGCTTTGTACTTGAATATCTGAATTATTCCAATATACTGAACTCCAACATACTGAGCATGTGACCTGAGAACAGGGAACAGTTCCTTACATGTTCATGTTAACATTTTACTAGGACATGTGTTTAAGCAAGCAGACACTTCTTGTGTTTTTGAGTTTTCTATTTCTCTACTTCCATTCAAAGCTTCCTGAGTGAGAACTTGCTTAAGAATAAATGAGGTGTTTGGGATTTTTAAATTATTTTTTATTACTATTATTTTTTCAACTGCATTAATCATTATTCCAGTAGTTTGACAAGATCCGAAGATTCTGACCATTTCATTCAGGTTTTGGAAGGGTTTTGTAAGCATACAACTTTTACTGCACTAAAATGCTGTATCTTGGAACAGCAGAACTATCAACTAACTTCTTTTTGGCTTTTTCAATTTCATAACAAACCGTAATCATAACAAAAATCCCTTGCAACACTCATTACTCAGGAAGGCTCGCATGAAGAAAAAATAACTGATGAAGGATTTAGATAACACCTGCAGTAGCTGGAAGGAGAGTGAATTTGACTTCTTTACCTGTTTTCTTTCTTTAGGGTTGAGAAGTAAATAACGAGGATCAAAAACTATCTTGTGCAGTTCTTTCTCCCACGTTGAAAAAGCAGAGACCTTTAATTAAAAATAGTCAGACTTTAACTTAGGCTTAACTTTTCTCGAATATACAGAGGATGTACAGTTTTGCTTAAAAATATAGGATATGAAAAGATAGAGACAAACTCATGGTGATGTTTTCATCACTAATAGATGATGAGCTATGGGGGGTGGCCAGAGCAAATTCCAACACTAATTGGCTCTGTAAATAGTAACACACATTTAATTACTCATTAAAATAACTACTGCTGTGTGACATTAAAAGAAAACTAAGAAGTCAGTCTTGAGATTTTATGTTCTCAGAAAATATACAGAGCAGACATTGGATGCAAGTGTTATGATTTTTAAACAACAGTTCTGGTACAAGAGATTCCATCTTAAACAGACTCAAGTTAATCTTAGGAAAGCTTTATTACAATTAACCCCTGACATTTAGTTGTTGAAACTAAAAAAAAGCTCACTGGCAGCTGGAACCACTTCACATATTTAACTTCCAAAAAACCTGAATTTATACTCTGTCTAATTTATTTATCAGAATTGATTGGTATAAAGGAAATTCCCAATTTAGTTAACTAAAAATAAAAAGTCTCCCATTTAAGGATAAAGATGTACAGACTGTTTACTGCTTTTCTACGGAATTTTACTACTTACTGAAACTTACTGCTTTTCCCATGTAGGAACACCTCCCAAAACATTAAGTGTCCATTTCTTATTAATTTTCACTGGCATTTTCCAATTTTATGCTTACTTAACTTGGATTTTATTTTTTTTTTCTCCCTCCTCCCCCCTCACCTCCATCTTGAAACTGTTTAATTTCACCTATTTAGAAATGAAAATGTTGCTGATTTTAACATTCATTGAAATATAGGCTCTTGTACCAAACACAACCAAGAACTGGAAGAATGATGAAATTGTTTTCCTTGCATAAAGTGCTGGAGGTCCTGAATTGGCTAAGAATTAAGATTTCTGTCTCAATCTCCCTCTCACCCCTTCACTCAGTCACTCATTCACACACGTGCTTATTTCCCTAACCCCTCTTTCTAGAAGCATGTCCTTGAATTGTTTCATCCGAGCCTCCAGAGGGACGATGGCTCTCTCTCGAGCAGCCTTAATTTCAGCTTCCATAGCAGCCTCCTTCTCTGAGTCAATATCTTTGTTATCATCCTTCCTGGGAAAAAAAAGAAAATTAAATATATAGTATGACTTGAAGTAGTACGTCAGCTCTGCTGGTCAGAGGTTGAATGATAACAGGTCACACAACAGATAGGACAGGTTAATTCAGAAGTATAGGCTTACAAGTCATGACCATTCTCTGAGACTTGGATAGGAATGCTTTCATATTGAAAGAGTTCAAGTAACCAAGATATTTTCAACAACTTCAGTGCCAACAAACGAGCCTAAGAACTTAACACATTCTGGTTGTGTTCAATGGCCTCGCCAGATGTGCAATAGATTTTAGGTTAGCTGCACTAATTCTCTCATCTGCTGTTCAAGACTGTGAGGCTCTGTGAAAAAGACTACAGCAGTTAATTCAAATTGAGAATACCTTACAATGATTAAAGCAGAAAATGTTGTAATAGAAGTGATATTTATCCATCAAAACATTACCGGAAAGAAATGCACAATTTGGTGATTTATATTTACTATGGCAGAAAATACACATTACTATATTTACATATACTATATTTATGCTTAGCTCCAAGCACAAACTCACAAACTAACTATGAACAACTTTATGATCACCCCTAAGAGTACAAAACAACAAACAAAACCATGAAACTATTTTTAAAATAGCATGTAGAAGTCACTCTGACTAAAGTAATGCCTATTGCTTCCATACAGAGAACAATGTGAAAAAGGAAATAAAACATTTAAACTACCATAGAGTGAAAACAAATCTTACAGAAATAATTGCTATTAAAATCTAGACCGTTGGACTTTGTGCAGATACTCATAAGCAAGATTATCAACCAACTCAAAACTTACTTGCGCTTTTTAATTTTAATTGGCTCATCCTCATTTGCTTCTTCTATTGATTCATGCTCTTCTCTAACTGTAAGAGATTTCAATACTACTTTAGGTTTTTATCTTTGATAACTCACACATGAAGCCTTATGCAAAATCAGAGGATGGACAATACACGCAGTACTGCATTCTGATAAAAGAAGAGGAATTCTTAGCTGCTTCCAGAAAAAAATCATCAAATGTTTTGGTGGGACTAACAGATTCATGGCAAGCTTGCTATTTAAAATGATGAACACTGACCTTTTATTTCCAGGAAAGAACTCAGACTAAACAGCCTAACAAAGCACATCTGGATCTCCTGGTTATGTACTTGCACTTAACTCTCCTCCAACTACCAAGCCCACGTGTCATCCCAGGATCATTTACTACAACCCATACCAGAAAGATGCCTCAACTGAGCAGCCTCTTATGTGCTCTCTGTTCTTGGCAGCTCTTTTCAAACTGTACCACAGCTGATGTTCTTGCATTCCCACCTTCTTTCTTGAAGAAATCCCAAAGCTATATGCAATTTTTGATATTTTTCTCACTTATTTAGACATTACTAATTTTGGAAATGAACACAAAATAAATGAGAAATTATATTCAGACTTTTAAAGGAAGGTGAAAACAATGCTCTTACTGAGTTTTTTCCCTTCTTCCATTCCTTTTTTGTGAGGAGGTTCTTGAATAATTTTGTCTACATCAGCTCTTCCAATAAGGTCATCTGGTCTGTCCCACATAGACAGACGTGTGGTAGGGTTATAGAAGAAAACACGCTCATCACCGGTCCACACCACACACCTAGAAATTTAACAGAAAACAAAATGTCTCGTTTCATCTTGTGATATCCTGTTCACATTGCCGTATGAGTATTCCACATTAAAAAAACTGGATTGTTTTGGTCAGCAGCTGCACCTATTCTTTCCCCAAAGCATAGGGCAGAAGTAGTAAACAATTTTGAGGAGCCAGAATTTCCTACCAAATCAGGAGGAATCGGCAGCAGATGAAGGGGAATGGCTATGAACCTATGCTAGTAATGTACCTCACAGGACTGCAGACTGCAGCGAGCGTGAGATACAAAGACTGCGCTACAAAGACTACTGCCTGAAGGAATCCACTGTTATTTGAATCAGAAGTGCACCATAAAGGATCTTCATGCACTATTACTTGTTCTACCTATCCAGCAACATTCACTGTGATGTTTCAGTCCTCCAGTTGCAGGCTGCAGGGAAAATCAGTACTTACCATGGGGTTCCTGGAATAGGGGTGGTTGCAACTGGCTTGGCTTTCTGAGCTGCTTTCTCTTCTTCAGTCATTTCTTCCTCTTTTGGCTCCTCAAGATAAAAGCAAACAAACAAACAAACAAACAAACAACAAAATCAAGTTACAGGATTTAGGCAATGATAGCTGGCAACTACTTGTTTATTACAGGGTAATTTACTTGTTTTAAACAAGCAATTGTATTTTGAAACAATGCTAATCACCAGCTCCCAATTCCACCTCAACCACACTTCAAACAAAAGCACTGGAATTTCATCACATAGACTGTAAGTGCTGCTCCAAAACTCAATCTAGAAAACCTCCAAGTGTTTGCTTTGCTTAGACTTGATTGAAACCTTACTTAAATACATCCCTAGATCTGCACAAATCTTTGACATAGTTCATCAAAGACTAAAATGCAGGGGCAAAGAAATACATATCTGTTCTTAAAATTCATTTATCCAAAACAAAGACGTGGAGCATGAAACAGTCAAAAGTCTGCAATGACCTTTGTAACAGAAATAAACAAACCTCAAAAGTAAACAGGACACAGGGGTAGCAAAAATAATAATTGAGTTCTGCATTTTTGCTAAGAAGTGTACATACAAGTTCACAGAAATCAATATAAAAACATTTATTTCATTTATTTTCATTCAAGCACACTGGCATCTTCAAAACCTATGCTTTTTCAGCATGACAAAATGCTTTTCAGGAAAAAAAAAAGGCTGATTTTTTTTACTGTAGCACAAGCACTGAACACCTTCTAGCACATGCTTTCCTAACAAACTAAACAGATTGGTTATAGCACATGGAAAAGTGTAAGTTTTGTTTCAAAGTAGGAAAGAAACAAAGAAATAGCTATTTAAGGATTTTAAAGGAAAAGTTTCATTTTAGTGAACACTTTAAGAAGAGCAAAAGATGATTATGTCTGTGCAATCAGATTACCTTTTTTCTTTTTTGCTATGTTCATATTAATTTTGTAACTTAACTCATACTCTACGTTTTCTTTTAAAGTTGTCTTTTTCTGTAAAAAAAACACTATAAGGCCAAAAAAAAAAAAAAAAAGAAAAAGGCTTTCAAAAATCACCCCAGAAATTCAAGAACTCAGATTACTAACCATGTTTCCTGTCAATAATGCCTGGTCTACAGATGCATCCACCCCTGCAGGATGTAGGAACTAAAATGACGATACTATTTGGTTGCAAGGTCTTTTACCTCCTTTATAAGTTCTTTTATAGGTTCTTCTTTTGGCTCTTCTTCCTCCGTCTCCATTGGTAAAGGTTCCTCTGTAGGTTCTTTAATTGTCTCTTTAATCTTCTCTTCCATTTTTTCTGCGTAAAGATAAAACTTTCCTTAATATTGTTAACAAACAATTATAGAAACAGTTGTGTTTTTTCCAGTATGATTGTCCAGGCACAACAGCAAAAACAAAACTCATTTTTAATGTATTTTCACCACATTCCATTCTTGCGCTTTACAACATCTGCTTATAGAGATGTGATTATCTCCAGTAGCAAGATCTATCTGGGACTGAAAATGGAAATAGTGTAAGACAATCTATTAGAAAGCCAGCTGAACGCACCATCCTTCAGACCAAGTGCTGAGTTCTGCATTCTGGTTACAAAAATGCCATGCAACACTACAGGCTCGGGGCAGACTGGCTCAAAAGCTGCATGGAGGAAAAGCATCTGGGGTGGTCAGCTGACAGCCAGTTGAACGTGAGCCAGCAGTGAGCACAGGTGGCCAAAGAGACCAGTGGCATCCTGGTTTTGTATCAGGTCCTATCAGCGCAGCCAGCAGGAGCAGGGAGGTGACTGCTCCTCTGTACTCTGCACAGGTGAGGCTGCACCTCCAGTGCTGTGCTCACTGCTAGAAAGACACCGAGGCCCTGGAGTGTGTCCAGAGAAGGACAAGGGAGCCGTGAGGGTGGTTCAGTGGACCACTCAGGAGTGGCTGAGGGAGCTGGGGTGGTTCAGTTTAGAGAGGAGGAGGTCTGGGGGAGATCTTATCACTCTCTACAGCTCCCTGAAAGGAGGCTGTGGTAAGGTGAGGGGGTCAGCCTCTGCTCCCAGCTAACAGCAACAGGATGAGAGGTGATGGCCTCCCATTGCACCAGAGGAGATTCAGGTTGGATATTAAGAAAAAATTATCCTCAAAAGGGATGGTGAGATATGGGGACAGGCTGCCCAGGGAAGCAGTGGAGTCACTGTCCCTGGAGGTGTTGAAGAAAAGGGCAGATGTTGCACTGAGTGACATGGGCTGAATTATTAGAAAGCTGGATATCAATTACTTAAATAACTGTATAAATGTTCAACATATGTCTAAACAATGACTTCTTGTTACCGAAAGAACCATCAGACAATAAAAGGAAGCACTTTCTGGTCTGACTGGATTTTCTTCCCCAAAAAAGACTTTACACACTGAATAAGAGCCAGGAGATTTTTCCTCTTTCTTCCTTCTTTCTGATACAAGTATTTTCCTCCAAAGGAGCAACACCCACGGACACAAAGTGGATTAGAACAAATGCAAGTCACAGAACACGACCGGAGCACAACTTCAGACTTAGTGGACAGGAGGCAATTTCCTTTTTTTTTCATATTTCAAAACTGTTTACAAACTTAGCCTTTCACTTAGCCTTCAGAATTTTAATGACTTTCATTTTCCCTGGTTTATAAACTTTAAAATAAAAGATCTTTTTCCCCATTTTCTATGTTCCTGTAATTGAGGTCTTCTCATATTTGTGAGTCTGTCCAGTACTTACATTCTACTGGAGTGGAAAGGTACATCTAAAATTGCCACCTTCAGACTCGTAAGTGACTTAAATGGATCCATACAATCAAGGTGTAAAGATACGCTTAAGACAGATGGGGGATTAGACAAATTCTTGTCCACATTTCAAACACAACCATCAATAGTCTAAGCAGTTTTGCCGCTCTCACACAGCTATATTTAAAAAAAACAGTACCTTTTTCTTTCAGTTCTTGGGGTTTTTCCCACGTTGACTCCAAAGTCCTGTTGTTGTAATAGTACGTCTTTCCATCTGCTGTTTTGTACTCTGTCCATTCAGAGACTGCTGTTGCTCCAGCCAGCGTGGCAGGGGAAGCAGCAATAGCGACCTGAGGATGGATCATAGGTACGATGGGAGGCGCCATTCCCGGCAAGACACCTGCAGGAAGGGGGAGCAAACAGAGGAGACAAGAGAGAAAAGAAAAGGAAACAGAACAGTAAGTGACAATGAAATACCAAAGACCCCAAACCTAGCACGTTACTGACTGACTTTACAAGTAATCACCCCCCATCAAAAAAGGTTATTTTCTACATGAAATTGAAAGCAATGCACTGTTACTAAGTTTTCTTCCTACACATTAATGAAGACCAATGCCCATATTACTGGGAAAGTTACACAAATACAACTTAATTTTAATTAATATTCAATTCTGCACAGCACAAGGACAGCTGGGCTTTAGATGTTTGCTTTAATACATCAAAATGAGGTGTATTTTTAAAGTAAGTTTTTATTATTTCTCTGTGAATGATTTAAACTGCGGAATAGTTCTGTCATTTTAGGATCTTCCTAAAGCTGCTGTGAAAAGAAACAATGCTGGCCTGACTCTGAGCCACAGGATACATCATGGAGCAGAACTCTGCTAAGTCTTAAATCCTGCCTTCATCCTAGCATCAATTCAGAGCCTTGGATTAAAAGCAAAAAGAATGAAACTATTTCAGAGTTCGTGATGGTTCTGTTTAGTAGTAAAGACTGGAAAAAAACATTTTATTCACGTCCTAAAGCAAAATGACAAGCAAATATGCAAAATAAAACAACCAAAATGCTACATTATTATTTCTCTGCTCGATCAAACAAAATGGATATACTGACCATGTTTTGAGTGACAACTTCTAGAAAAGCAATCTGGATATGACCAGCACTACGAGATCATAACTTTGAACTTTTAACATTTTTGTGAAAATCGTTTCTTTTTAAATAAGGGAAAAGGTACACATTACACATTGCCATGAACTTATTTCTTAAATGCACAATTTGAAAAATGGTAAGTTTCATATTAAGACACACAAACACGCACACCAACACGCGAGCACAACCATGTCACTGCACATGTGGGGGGAAAACAAAAATCCACACACAGGAAACTACTATCTAAGAAGTATGGGCATGAAAAGGGACACAGTTATCACAGAACTCAATGGTTACAGAACACTGTACTGGGTTTGATGTACAAAATTAGCTGACGCTAACAGTTAATTGGGAAAGCTACTTCCTGGCCAAACATGATACTTGCATTTATACTGGTTTTGAAAATAAAGTGTGTATATATATATATATATACTCAATCTATTGGAGAAGCAAATAAATAAATAAAATATAAACCACAACATTCACTACCATGCCAACTTACAGACAAAACGAACTAAGATGGGTTTGAAAATTACCGGTCTTGGTGGTAGCGACTGTCTTTACATACGGGCAGCTGACTATTTGCATCATTGCTACACCTGCAAAACGGATAAGCAAGCATGTTGGAAAGCTGCCATGGTACGTCAGCTACCACTGGGAGTCTGGGTGCTAAGATTTCCTGCCACAATTTGGGATGCCATTCAGCAGGCAATAAGAGCCTCCCGGCAAGAGAACAAACGTTTTTTACACTGATATTTTATGCCAGATCCAATTTTAAATTAATCTTTATTAAGCTGTAGCAACGGTTTCTACCTCCATTAAACCATCTGTTCAGCAATCGCTGGGATGCTGCTTAGAAAAAATAAGTGTGCATCTGAACGATGACTCAGGGGTTTAAGTTCAGTCAGGGGGGAACAGAGCCCTGCATGCAGGGGCAGTACCACAGGAGCATTCTGCTAACGGAGATGTTCTCCACGGACAGCATTCGCTCAGACAGAGCCATGCGAGCAGCAGCAAAGTGAAGCTATCAGTGCTGCTGCTGTGCCTGGGAAGTGGAGGGAAGGGCAGCAGGACAGTCAGCCCGGCGAGCACAGCAGGGAGCTGTGGGGTGAGAGCTGCACTCAGCACTCTGGAGGAGACGCGGGGTGGGGGAAGGCTGCGGCTGGAAGAAAGGGGTGCAGTAATAAAAGCAATGAAGCTGCAGAGGAACACGGCACTGTGCTACTGCAGAGGCAACAAACATGGTCCTCATTTTTCATTTCCTTGTAAGCTGTGAGCTGAAAATGCTCTAAAAAAACAACATCAGCCCTCAAAAGGCAGCAGCACGAACTTCTCTGCTCTCCAGCTCCTAAGAAATGGCACAGCCACAAAGGGGAAGCATCAAATCCTCCTCAATTAGATGGAAAATTCAGTAAGAAATTAGATAGGGAGAAGGAGAACGCATTTCCCAAGCCCTTCATTTTCGGGTATGGAAGGATACTGCAGAAGTTCTTTCTGCATTAGTCAGGTTTTGACACTCGGAAATGGAAATGCTTCAGAAACTTCCTCCCCTAAACTGTATCAATGCCCCATGCAAAGCTGGAAAACCTCCAGTACAAAGTGAAATTAAACCCCTGTGTTTATAACAAATATAACTAATGTTTTTCTTCAGTAGAGATCTAGTACCAAAAGCATACTAAAAGTACTGCCAATTTATTTAAAAAATATTTGTGAGAAGATAGAATTGCAATGATCTTTACTAAATACGTCCATGAAAGAATCCAAAACAAGTTTTATAAAAAAAAAGTGTGAATCGAGACACAAAAACATTGACTCAAACAGCACTGAATGAAGTATTTGTCTAAATTTAGGAGGAATCATGCTATGTTCTTCAAAATGAATGAGAAGATTCGTTTTGTTACGGAAGTTACAGCATGTCTTAAGGGGGTCAGAACAAACAGTGCCGTCTGCGGGATCGCTGCGATCAGAGATCCTGCAGTGCAGATCACACTGAGCAACACCCGAGCTGTTTCCTCTGCCAAGCTCCAACATACAGCTACCTTTTAACAGACGAATTAAGAGAAAGCAGACTTACTTTTTAAGATCTGAGATTATGAGATATCACTGATCAACTCTTCCACTGCTCCGTCTTACTACAGCGTAATGCAGAGAGTAACTTTGAAATCACATGGCAATGGCATTCATCAGCTCTGTCTCTGCAACTTGAGAACAATCCAGCTAACTTTACGTAAGGTGCTGAAAGTCCCAAATATCTGCACATTACAACTTTGTGAACCTTCTGGAATTCACCTTGTACCTGCCTTGGAGTCATCTTAACTTCTTTTCACTTTCTTTTTATTGTAAAGTAGTTTAAAGATTTCCTTTTCTTTGATGGTAGTTATGAACTATTACAATCGAGCTAGAGCTGGCTGAAAGGATTAAGCTGTATTTATTCTGTGATCAGGCTAACTAGCAACTTAGACTCATTAGTGGAAACACGCTCTTTGCTGCTAGGCACCCTCCCATATGAAATGAGTTCAACCCAGAAGGCTCATCTCACCAAAGGCAGTACCAGGAAAGCTTTGGAAGAATCACGTTTTCAAACACGAGTTTAAGAAGAAGACTGATGCTCTACCTTTCCCTCTGTATTGCAATACTCAAGAAATTCTTTCACAAGCAAAAAAACACCAAACCAACCACACAGCCCCATCCCATTCCACTGGCACCCATCTCTGCTGCTTTAACCATCCCCATGTTAGCAGAGTTCACACTTCAGGAGCTGATTAAATCCCCCTAACATGCACAAACCCTCCATGCTCTGCCGATCCCTTGCTGACAATGTCAAGAACTGCTCTGAGAACAGCTGGCTGACTGCTTCTGAGGCCACTTCTGCTGTTCTCCAAACCTCACAATACTGACATCAGCATTCTCCCTGTATCCTTTATCTATTTTTCATTCAGCTAAGGATATTATGTTCAGAATAATATTTTTGCCTATCCTAGAACAGCGAGAGCTACACTGCCTTTCCAAGCACAGCACAGATGACAACAGCTTTACCTCACTGTTCGACAAAAAATACTCTTTTAAAAAGAGCAACTATCAGTCAGTCCTCTCGTCTCCCAAAAAAATGCTTTTTATTCAACGCATTTTTAACGAATTAGCAAAACTAATATCCATCTTAGCTGCCTTGACATTTCTATCTTTTGATAAAAGAAGGTATGGGAAGTGTCCTAGAGTATTATTTTTTACCCAATCCATTCACTGGGAGGCTAAGAGCACCCCTCCTATGTACTGCACCCATGTACTGAAGGTACAGGAGAAAGAGTCACCTTGCTCTGTCTGCACAAAAGCACAAGGAGGCAGCTCACAGTCCTTCCTTGTAAGTAGAAACTAACTCATATCCAGCATAACCACAACCTAAAACCTTTCCATGCACCAAAAAAACAGCGTGTAGTTCATGCTATTGCACATCAAGGAAAAAAAAACTAGAATAGGAACTCAACAGGAACTCACTGCAAACTGAATTATTTAAGTAATTAAGAATCAGGTAGGACCCGTTCAATGATTACAAACAGCAAGTCAAGTCCAAAGTTTTGCCAGCCTAAAATATTCCAGTATCTAACTAAATATTTGATCGAAACCTGATAAAATTTGATTTATCTAGACACCAGAGAGCTCCCACCTAAGACTTCTTCACAGTAGACTTTGCACCTGAATACCTTCATTTAAATTATCCCCAGCTTAAACCTCTACATTTTGCTTCAATTTTCAGCATCATACTTGAGAGCTGCAACAGAAGAGAGCTAAAAACACCTGACATCATCAAGAGCAATGCATCTGAATGGTAACTTTTCCTGCTCACAAGTTATTTTAATCTCTTTCTGGGGGGAAGGGGTGAACAATCCATGTCCTAATTAATATTTAAGCACAAGACTCTAGGTCTAAATCAAGCAAGCAGAATAAAATTAAGGCAAAACTGTAATCGCTAGAATGCAGTCCTACCATATTCTCAGTCACTTATAGATTCTGTCCAGAATCTCACTCTTAAATAGGATGATGAGATGGACACCTGCTGTAAGACAAGAACTGCACTAAACACTTCCTGGTACTTTCAACAATCTAAACCCACAAATGTTTACATGTTTAAATGTACCTAGTTTCTGATACGGATATCAAAGAATTAGTAGTCAAAAATTTAATGTTCATTGTTAATTAAAAAGTCTGTCTGCTATCCCTGAATTCTTTCAAAAATACTCTAAGTGGAGAGGATTCAGGCAAGTTCCATACACAGTGGACACATGAGTGCAAACAAATTGACAACATGGACATGTAGCGGACAAGACAATCACAGTTTGCCAATTTACCTGGAAGTGGAATAGGCATGCCAGGAAGGGGGACACGAAATGGAGGTACCATTACTGGTGGAAAAGCAGGAATTGCTGCAGTTGGTTGAGGTACTGCATGAGGAACTGCAGGAGGCAATGTCTGTGGGACTGGCTGGGGTACAGTCTGCACAGGTGTAGCAGAAGGAGCAGAGGTTGAAACACTGACTGATGGTGTGGCAACTGAAACACCCGAACTTGGGGTCTGGTCTTGTGTAGTAGGTGCTGATAAAAAACAAAACAAAACAAAAAAAACAAAGAACACCTTGTATCTCAGATACTACAATATATTCGCTGCAAACATACTGGCTCTCTGTTTCCCAGCAGATGTTACATAAGCAAGTATGCTTAGAATCAACAGGAAGACAATCTTGGTCAGAAAATAGTTTTTGCCTTCTCTGTAATGCTAAGTATTCACAAAGGAAGTCCATTTCAGATTTTACTTTGTACCATTCGTCACTCCTAACAGGACTGTACAGTGGTGGCAAGAGTACAGCAAAGGACAGAGCTCATTCAGTAAATACATTAAATTCTACTCTGCATCCCTGTTCGGAAGAACAGAAAGGGAACATTACAGAAAGTTTCAAATGGAAAAAGCTTATTCTTATATTGAATTAACAAAGGTTCCATTGTAGTGAGCGTAATAACCAGCACGTGCATGATGACAGTTCATTTAAAACCATGCTCATGAATTTGTGATCCAAGAATGGAAAAATGTCAATTAAGGAATGCATAATTAAGCACGGAAAAGGAAAGTACTTTTTGTCCAGAAGCTGCAAGAACTTTCTTGATTTTCAGTGCCTCCCAGTGGAAAAAGACAATACCAACATTCAATTCAGCAATCCCTGTAGCATGCCTGAAATCAGCATGTAACCAGGAGCAGTGCTACATGACAAAGCACTGGCAAAACAGAAACTAGAGACCTGATGGCTTGAAGTCAACGACCAGCCCTGAAATTCATACTCTGAGGTTTGGTAGAGGAGGAAATGTTGAAAAACGTGTTAATTAAAAAAAAAAAAAAAAACAAACAACCAAAACCCCTAACTTATAAGCACATGATATATGGGCACCCTGGATGCTTTCTTTATTTAACCATAACCAGAAGCACTCCCAGTCAGGTATCAGCATTAAGCTACTTAGAAAAAGATTTTTGGTCTGTTGATCTTAAGTGCTTCAGGACAAGAGAGAGTTCTTAGCCTAAAATTTAGGGAAACAGAGCCAAGAGTGAGCATGTGATTTGTTTTAAGGCCTTCATCAAATCAGTACCAGATGAGGATGGAGCTCACCAGAAGCCACAGACTTTTACAGGCCAAGCCCACGAGTTGTAAAATTATTTCAACTGATAAAATGTTATCACCTGGGCACAGACACCAACAGTCACAGTTCTTGAAAGCAAAGACAAAGCTTAGCAGGTAGAACAGGCAGAAGCGGAACAGACTCTTAGCATTTAGTATCAAGACATTTTGCTTCAGAGAAGGTGCATGAAGAGCGACATCAAAACTAGGAGCAGTTCTCAGAAATCTATGCCAGCACCAAACGTTCACCTTCTGCCTGCTTCCAGTTTCTCAGCAAAATGGCCGCAGCCTCAGGTGATGACACCAGACCTATTTCAACATAGCAGCTGATCACAGCTCTATCTTTCATATCAAAGCTCTAAAAAGTTTTGAGCAATGCAGATTTTTTGCTCCTTTGGTGATCTCCTTCCAGGACTAACAAAGTGCACCTTGTGGGTTACCCAAATGCGACTTGCTTTCAAACAAAGATACCAAAAGTTTGGGTTAAAAAATTAAGCTTGACTTGTCTCTCTTGTGACAGCATAAAGGTCAAATATTTCAATGGGACACATCTGTGTGCTAGAGCTGGAGTTCAGACAGCTCAGCAATTGCTCATCTTCTGCAGATGACTCTGCCTGGCCCACTGTACACGTTTCTGACAGCACAGCCACAACAAGGGCTATTAAACAACAGGCTTCCAGAGCAGCAGAGATGCTGTGCTTTCAGCGCCCTGCACACAGGCAGAACACAAACCAAAGCGTTTGTTAATTAGCATGCCTTGCTTTGTCCACACACTGTGATTTTACTCAATTGTTTGCTGGTGACATACACATGCAGATAGATTTGAGTACCTAAGATAAGAATCTGTGTCAATGCTCTAGAGGCATTTGTGAGCATATATATGCTGACGTGTATTATAAATTATTGTTTGATGTAGTTGCTACATATAAACATTCATTATGTCCATGCTGCATAAATAAGATCCCTAAACTCCTGGGGCTTCCCAGTAAGAAAATCCTTAAAAGCAAAGACTTAGACCATGTAATCAGCAGTAATCTTCAGGCTCTTATTCAAAGGTCATCTGTGAATAATAACAGGGCTAAGGACTTACTTTTTCCGTTTTTGTGCAGCTCCAGCAAATGGGAACTTATGAGTCTCAGCTAGAAAGCTACTAGTGGTAAAAATAAGACATCAGAAGCAGCTCTATTCTGCAATCAACCAATTCTATGTAGCCCAGAAAAAGCACTGAAAGATTTCCTCCTAAAGCAACAAATGCAGTTTTGGAAACAGAGGAAATTGGTACAATTTTAATTCCTACCTCAATTTTTTTTTTTTTTTGAGATACTTTTAAAACCAGTTTTGCTTTAACTGCAGTCAAAAGGAAATGGATGTATAATAGCTTTGATAATGATGTGATTTAAAAAAAAAAAACAACGCACAAAGACCTAAAGAAAAAGGACTGCATGCTGACTGAGATTCATCTACCCCAGCACAGTACTACTTTAACTCTTCCAAATCAGGAAAAAACAACAAAACCCATGCAATGCTCTTATGGATTTAAATACTGTACTTTGAACACATCCCACTCGATGTGGAAATTGCTTCCTGCTGGATACTAAGCTGTTGCTTCAGCAGTTCCCCAAAGCAGCACCCCAACAATGCAAAGCCGAGAAGCCCTCAGGTACTCACTGGAATTTGTCTGTGAAACCGACGTGGCCGTGGTTGTGGTAGAGGTTGTGGAGGACTGAGTGCTCGAGGAGGTTGACGGCGACGCGGCACTGCTGGTTGTTGGTGTGGAGGCACCGACCTGGGCCTGGGCTGCCAGCATCGGCGTCAGCTCTGACTGCTGGATGACTTTCACCCCATCTGGCTTAGTCCACGCTGACTCACGCGTACGTGCGTTGTAGAAATAGACCTACGAGTTAAGGATGTCACTATCAAACAGGTGCTTATCTGAAAGGGGAGCATTTACCAGTGTTTTAGCTACTCCTGCCCTAAGCACAATTACATAATTTCAATAAGAGAATCAACAGAATTATATAGGATTTTACCATGCAAGCTTTTTAAAAAAATCTGGAGTGCCCGCACGTAGGACTGCACGAGGCAACACCCTGACAACAGCAGCAAACAGCGGCGACTCTGCTGTGCCCGGTGGCCATCTCACCTTGCCATCTGGAGTTTTGTTCTCCACCCATATCTCCTCAGCTGGGGGCATTGCTGGTGTCCCAGGGGCAGTGACAGGCGGCATTCCTGGAGGGAACATCATTCCAGGAGGTGGTGGCATGCTGCCCATGGGAGGAGGCATAAATGGTGGTCTCTGAAGGCAAACAATAGTAATAATGTAACACCGTATTCAAACTTGCATTTATTGAAGCATCAGCGCTCATTACAGCCATGCTAAGGTTAACTGCCCATCCTGAGAGCTTTAACAGACCAACCTTAGCTCAGAGAACTCCCCAGCAAACCGCCGTGTATGGCGGAACAGCAGAGGGAAGCACTTCACACCCGAGCCGTTACTGTAAATGCAAAGCAGCAGAAAAGAGTGGTATGAAAAGGAGCGGAATGAGGGAAAACGACTCTCTGAAAAAGGAGAAAAAATCCCTATGCGTAAAAGAACGAGTGGTGGAACTGTTCCTGAGTAACTGTAACTGCCCCTCAGACTCCTCACACTGTGAAGCAAAACGATTTCTTGCATTACTACTGCAGTCACACAATGATAATTATTAAAGATTAGAATCACAAGCAAGCATCCCATTAATTAGCACAGTAGAGCTGTAGATTTTATTACAACCCACCATGCATCTCAAACATCCATTAACTAGAACTCTAGCTAATGCTAATTAAAAAAAAAAAAAAAACCACATATCTTAACCATCACATGATCAGAAGAAATCCAGAACTGCCCTGCACATTTGCTCTCACAAGAAAACAGAACGCCTGGTTTTGTAATTAGAGGTACATTCATTTATCTCACTTGTTTATTTGGACTGTTCTGAAATTTCCTGTGTGTAACAAGCACAACAAATGCTTCCCTATAAAAAATTGCAGTCAACAAAATTCATCAACTTGTTTAATTCACTGCATGCACCTGCAACTGCCTCACATAACTCCAGTTTTAATTAAACTTCAAAAGATTTCCTCCCCACAAAAGCAATACCAAGACAATTCACTGCAAAGAGCTTCCAGCCCTACCCTCCTATCTGACAGGCTCCATACAGAAATGCACACACACAGCAGGATGGATGAAGGCTCTGCTAAAGCTGTGATGTTTGCAGGAAATCCCATTAACAGCAACTGGTGGCTCAGTGAGGTGTGCCGTGCAAGCCAGCACCGAGGCTGCACCCTCGCTCTGGAATCTGAGTCCTACCCATGGTAGCTTTCAGTGTGTGCTGTGTCCTGGGATCCTGTGCACATTTGGCTTCTTTTGAAAACTTTCCTGAGATAAGACCTCTGCTGTAAGAGATGCATTTTTAACTGCTTTTTAAACTCATGTACCAGCCCTGATTTTTGTTCAGTACCACTGTAAAGGAAGTCAAAAGGCCACTGACAGAATTAAAAACTAACGACAAAGCTATTAAGGTAACTTCCTTTCTTCATGACTTCTCTGCAGCTCCTCCATCTGGCCGTTAGATGATCTCTCTCTTTACTACCCTACAGCCTGTAAGAAGAACTCCAGTAGCCCACTTTTAGTTTGCTGCTGCTGCTTCCTGAACAAAAATGAGTTGGATTGTTCCAGGGCAGCACGAGGAGCAGAGAAGAGGACCCCAGTGTGCAGTCAGGGGATCCAGAAAACAGCTCAGCTCCCCAGTAAGCACCACATCACCTTTAGAATCACGTGCAAAGCAGAGCACTGTGCTGACAGCAAGAAGAAACATAGACAAGCTTGGTGTGTGAGTTCCACGTATGGCAATGACCTATAGAAGACATTTAGTGCATGGTATGCTTGAACAGCCACAATTAACAGCTAAGAGCAAAAGCACATTCAGAATATAAATCAAACACACAAAACAATGAGATGTCAGGGCTCCGGGTTTCAAATTAACTGGCTGATTCTTGAAATGGTGCAGGCACCAGGAAGCATGGTCCTGTGTTTCCTTCCCAGGTCCACTGCACACTCCCACACCTTCATTTCCTTCAGATCTCTCTAGTCTGTGAATGGGTGCATGAATTTTAAGACCATACCAGTGGGAAAACGGGACCACAGAGCACCAAGAGAAAGGCACGGTATGTGGAAATAGTGTTAAAAAAACTTAAGCTGAGCATGAAATCATCCAAGACCAAGAACAAGGCCCTGGTACCAGATGAAGGGAACAGAAAAGACAACTTTGCACTAGATGAGTGGGGGCTGCTGACATCCCACAAAGTTACTGTTTCCATCTTCAACTCCACAAGTCTTTTCAACTAAAAAGAAAAGCTACTTCACACTGCCAAGTTCTAACACTGTGCTTCATGTCCAATGGAAAAAAAAGCCTGCTATGGAAAACACACACTTTTTTTTTTTTTTTTTAAAAGATCTCATACTCAAGGTGATGACAGCACACAAGATGAGGCTGCAGTGTAATGTTGATTTATTTCACATGAAGTCCACATTAAGTCCTTGCTCCTGCACTGGTGGCTGCTTTGCTTCCTTTCCTGCTGCTCCACCACTTGCATAAAGCTACATGCAGAGCCATACACTCCCATGCATTGGGAATGATGTGGAAAGAAGCTTCTATAGCTCAGCTGCCAAAGACAGGCAAAGCAAGACCAAAAATACCATAAAAATACCAATAGAAATACCAAAGAATAACCCATGTTACCATGTTTTCTGTCTTCTTGCCCAAATCCCTACTCTTTCAAATAAATTTCACAGCACAAAAGTATCCAGTATTCCATTACAAAGCGTGGATTTAAACCATTATTTAAACACCACACAGTATTATGCACCACCTACAACCCTGCACAGTAATCACACCATCCTGATACCCCTACATTGCTATTACAACAAAACTTTTCTTACTCCCAGATATGCTGTACCTTTCAAACGGTCCAGGTATCTGCAAAGTAAGCAGAAATACTTAAACATACAACATGATAAAAGGTGAGCACAGATGCACCTGACTTGAGCCCAGCAGGCTCACAATGCACTCAGACTAATCCTGTAGATGCCAAGAACACTCAAAGTTAAAAAAGAACAAAATCCAGACAAGCACCAAAGGTACTTTGCAGTAAAGAATGTTCTCCCCCAAAGGAGAACAGGGACTCATGTCAGTATGAGAGCTATGTGCTGATGATTTGGTCAAACCCCGTGCCTACTCACAGGCTTTTCAGATGTTTGCTCAGTGTTTGTCCATTGACAATTTCTGGTGCATCACTATTGACATAACCTTCTGAATACAGCACTGAAACAAAACATACTCGATCGCTGATCACAGATCTGCTTATCAGAATTACTGCTGGCCTATCTGACCGCTCCACTGACAGTGAGAACTAACAGCAATTGCTGTTATGGTTCAACTCAGGTAGAATTCAGCTCAGTGTACCACAGTACCTTCTGCCAGTCTGTGCTCATTCACCACTGCCCAGTAAGCAGTCACAGCACACCAGGATGCCCCAGCAGGCCGACACACACATCAGGTGTGCGTTTTTCCAAGTGCAGAGGGCTGTGCACAGCTAACTGCTGCATTCTGCATGGCCAAAAGGCACCAAAGTGCAGCTGGATTTTGGTTAATGCAGGTGGTGAACTCACTCTGCATAAACCATTAACACAGAATTGCAGTAAGGAGTTGAATGCAGGGCTCTTCGCACCGCCACACGTCAGCCCGCGTTCCATAACACCACACAGAAACTGTGTGCTATCCCAGCTGCCTTCCTCGCCCTCCTCACCGCTCTCATCTCCCTGTTCCCACACACACACACACACACAGACGGACTGCCCGGCTTACCTGCAGGTGCGGGGGTCCCATCGGCGGCGGGATCCCTCCCGGGGGCGGCATCGGAGGCATGTTGGGGTCGAAGGGAGGGCGCCCGAAGGGGGGGCGCGGCGGCGGCGGGGGGCCCCGCATCATCCCGAAGGGCGGCGGAGGCCGCATCAGCGGGGGGGGGCCGCGCAGCACCGCGTTCGGGGGCGGCGCCGGGCCGCGGAACCGCAGCGCCTGCTGCTGGGCCATCCTGCGGGGAGGGAGAGAAACCGGGCTCCTATCGTTCACTGCTGAGCCGCAAGGAAATCAGTGCTCGTTAAAACAAAAAAAAGGCGAGAGCTAACAAAGCGCAAACGCGTGAGGAAAAAGCACCGAACCTGAACTACGTATGAAAAAAGCACGCGCAACCTTCAGCAGGTTCTTCCCTTCGCAAACTCAAAGGACGGCTCTCGCTAACTTCTACGCACGGGGAGAAACAACCGCCTGGGGCTGGAAGCGCCCCGCCAGGCCCGGCTCCGCGCCCCGAGCGCCGCACACGTGCGGGGAACGCGGCGCCCAGCGCTCCGAGAGCGCGACGGCACGAGGGGAGCGGGGAGCGGCACGGCCCAGCGCCGGGCCCGGAAGGAGGAGCCGCGTCCCGCACCGCACCGGCACCGCCCGCCTCCCGCGAGGTCCGGCCCGGCCCGCCGGCCCCGCGCGGCGCGGACAAAGGCGGACAGGGCGGGACAGAGCGGAGCCCGCAGCCCGGCTTCCCTGAGCCGCTCAGGCCGCGGTTAGGCCGCAGGGGCCGGTCGTGGCCGCAGGGGCCGGTCGGAGCCCCGCGCCGCGCGGTACCTCAGCTCGCCGCCGAACCGCTCCGCCGCCGCCGCTGCCGCGTCCCCCTCGCCGCCGCCAGCCCCCGCGCCGCCGCCGCCGCCCCGTTCCGCCATCGCCACCTCGCAGCGCCGCCGAGCCGCTGCCGCCCCGGCCAGGCCCCGCCGCACCCCATTGGCCGCCGCCCACGCCCGTCAGCGGCGGCGGGGGCGGGACCGCCCCGCGATTGGCCGCTACGCCCGCCGACTTTGAATGGGGGAAGCCAGACGCACCGGGATTGGCTGCCGGAGTCCGTCCCGCGCCGCTCGCGAAGCGGTCACGTGAGGCGTGACCCACGGAGAAGACGGGAAATGACGTCACGTCCGCCGGAACAGGCAGTAGGAAAAAAAAGCGACGGGAACCACGTCCAATCAGCGGGCACAGCGCGTGGAACACGTGCACCAATCGGATCGCGCGGGCGGCTGCGTTCTTCCAATCGCAAAAGGCGAATCGGCGCCCAATGAGCAGGCGCGGGTCTTCACAGCCGCATGGGGGCGCTCCGCTCCCCGCCGTGCTGCCGTGTCCGCGTGCGGGCGGCGTCGCTCCGCCCGGCTCCGCCCTGCGCCGTGCGAGGGGCCGCGGCCGTGAGGGCTGGGAGCCGGCGGGCAGCGGCGGGCTCGCGGGGCTGCCGTCGGCTCGCTCCGTGCGGGAGGGCTGTCCGTAACGAGTACCTGGGGTGGGAGCCCCGCGGCCCCGGTCCTGCCGCGGCCCCAGGGTGTGGGTGCCGGTGACGGGGCGACCCCACGAGAGCGGAACGACGGCCGCCCGCGGCTCCAGCACGGCGGCGCTGCCCCGTTCCGCTCAGCGGGAATGTTGTCCGCTCAGCCCGGCGGCCGGAGGTGCGTGCCCAGCACTGGAGCGTCGGAACACGGCCGGCCGAGAGTCGTGCAGTCGGTGCGGGAAATGTGGCCGCAGCTCAGCGGCTCTGCCGCGGCTGCGTCGCTGAAACACACGGCGCGTTTCCGTGGCATATTTATTTCCGTGGCATATTTATTTCCGTGGCATATTTATTTCCGTGGCATATTTATTTCCGTGGCACGCTCGCTGGCCCCGGCTGCTCAGATGGCTGAGCCTGTAGGAACCGGCTGCAGGAGCTGCGAGCCCAGGCGTGACGTTGATGTTCCATTTGAGATAGAAGACGTTATAAAACGTTCTGCTGAAAAGCCCCCGCTGCCGAGTTGCACGTTTCAAAAGCAAGAAGCACCTGAGAGCGCCAGGAGGCGGATCTCAGCACGTCCCTGCAAGGCCGCGGTGCTGCAGGCACATCGCAGCCCCAGCAGGGCTCGCCGGGTCCCCTCGTCCCAGCCGGCTTTGGTTCTGCCATCCCGCTTTTCCCATCTCTTTCTTTATGTCACAAAAAATAAAACAAAAATAAAACCCCGTCTTTTCTTAAATAATAATTGAAATTACTAAGGGACTTTTTGATGGGGCTGTGCTGAAGAGACTGTTGGATACTTTGATTCCGCAGCTCAGTTTCTTTATTCATGAGTTTTGCTCCAAGTTGCTGCGGCCATGAGAGCAGCTGACAGCTGTGGGTGGTTGGGGCTCCCTGGCAGCACAGCCCCGCTGCCTTCACCCCGAGGAGCTGCAGCACGGAGCTGCGTGTGCAGTGAGATGAGAGCCTGTGCTGCTCTGCAGGGACGGGACGGGCTCAGCATCCCCACCCTGCGCCCCAGCAGGAACGCCGTGCTTTGCGATGGCAGGAGATTAAAACAATTTTTGGACGTGATTGCTTAGATCCTCCCCAAACAGTGGGGCTGTCTGTCTGCCACTAGCGTCTTTCATCCTCTTTTTTCATCTGCTTGTTTCAGGATTGTCTCAATAATTCATTAATTACGGGCTGGCAGAGAGGAGCATCTGCAAGGCCCCCTTCTCGCGTTCAGCAGAGATCTGGCCCCGTTCCACACACAGCCCCTCACCACAGCCCCTCCCTCACTGCTCAGGTTTGTTTTCTCAAGAAAGTATCAGTCGGTAATTCTGAGACTGCAGCTGTTTCAAGAGCAATTAATTGTGAGATGCAATGTGCAAGTCACTGTGATGAATTTGGTGTCAGCTCTTCAGCACGATGTGGCTTTTGGAAATAGTACCATCTATTGCATTTTAAATACCTAGGTTTAAACTTTATCCAGAATTTAGTTGAAATCTAGATTCTTATCCCACAAGTTGCTGTGTGAGGGATGCTAATTGTCAGCTGAGAAGACTCTGGGAGTGTAGAGACAAAACGGGAGCAGTGGGACGCAGCCACCAGCAGGGCCAGGCTGCTCATGTAATGCACACCATGGGCAGAAATCCTCAGGGCTGTGGCTGCAAACACATCTTGGGTTTGCTCCTTGGGGGAGTGTGGGTTCAGCAAGCACTTGGCCTTGGGGTTGGACCCTTCATGGGGTCCCAGTGCTGCACTAGCTCTTGTGACTGCAGGCAGTAAGCAGAGATGTGACAGTGTGAATGTAATGTCTGCAGGGCAAGAGGGGTGTCCAGAGAGCTTCTGTAAAACGTGCAGCCAGGGCAGAAGCAGCAGCCTGCTGCTCCTTCACTACTCCTCCCTGCTGCTCTGGTGCTGCACCCACAGCCCTGCAGCTCCAAGCATCACGGCACAGAGCTGCTGCTGCGGGGCCACTGGGAAGGGAGTATTTTCTTGTGGATGTTTCTAAATGTTCCGCCTTTCCAAGTGTTAAGGTTGCTGTAATTTTTAAAAGAGTATTTTTTAAGTGGTCCCACATCACTGTCAGACGTAGGGGAAGGATGCTTGGAGTTCCATGTTATGATTGTTCTTCCCAAATCTGCCAAAATTCTCAAAGGTCCTTTGGGTACGTCAGGTGGCCTTTTCCTCCCTGCTCACAGTGATGTGACAAACGCTGACCCCAGCGCTGTGCCAGGCACCCTGACGTGCTGCCCCAACCCCACCACATCCAGCAGCTCCACCACAGGCTCGGAGGTGCTGACATGCTGTCATTCTTTTTCCATTTTTGTTTCAGATTTCAGGTTGAAGTGTGATGCTGAATTAAAAATCTTGCCCTGGGCTGTCTGCAGGGCCTGCAGGCTACTGCAGTGCCAGCATCTGCCAAGGAGACCCAGGGGTGCTGTGTTGGAGGGCCAAAGCCCTGGGCTGGCACCGGGCAGCAGTGGGGAGCCCAGCTGGAGGGGGCAGGCAGCACTCCTGGCATTCCCATACCTGATGTGCCCATTCCCAGCGTCCCCATTCCCTGCCCTCCCTCTCCCCTTATGCTCTACAGCAGGACTACGGGCTCGGTGTGGGCAGGGTCTGCACAAGAGCCTGGGACAGACCCCCAGCTGCCTGCAGTCCCATAGCAAACAATGCAGCAAACAGGAACACTGAGCGTCTGTGCCGGGCATCTTCTAATGATGCTGGTTCCTGGCACCACAGCTCCAGCACAGCAGCCTGAATGGCTCGGGAGGCAGATGTAGGGGCTGACACCGGGTGATGGCCAACCCCTGCCCCATGGGCAGCACATTCCCCTCACACCCTTCTGGCTGCCGTGAGCTCTGTGCTCAGCCATGGGGCAGAGCCTGTGGTGGCTGGGGGGAGGCACCCATGTGGGAGCTCTGGGTGCTGTTATACTTTAATGAGGTGTGTCCCTGCATGCCTCATTCACTGCCACACAGCACAGTGCACACAGACCACGGACACGGAGCAACTTGTTCTGGCCTCATTCTTTCCCTACAGTTCCATGAGGAAAATAGATTTCTCTCAGCACAAGGTGCTGAGGTGCTTTCATAAGAGAACAGAAATCTGGCTGCATCAGCTGCTTTGCAGTTAGAAAATACTCAGTCTGTCTGTCCCCCCTCTCTGATACAGCACCCATCCCCCTGTCCCCAGCACAATGCTCCTCCCTTGGCACCCCGCACCCACCCCCTGTCACACTGCTCTGGGCCATGCCTGGTGCTGCTGAGGAGAAAGGACCATGGCTCTCGGCCGTGGTGAGGCTGCAGAGATGGGACAGGTTGCAGGATGTCCTCTGGCAGCGAGAGCAGAGGGTCCTCAAACCGGGGTTTGTTTGGAGGTCAGGGAGTGAACACAGCCAGCAAAGCTGGGCCAGCTTTACTACTGGAAGGTACAGCACGGCTCTGCACTGCAGCACCTTCACAGGGTGCCTGGCCCTATGAATGCCCCCAAAGCCATGGGGAGCCTCTGAGCAGCGCCCGCCCATCGCAGGGCCTGGGATGTGGCAGGAGGGTGCAGCGTGCCGGGGACACTGAGCTCCGTGGGAGTCCAGGGAACGTCCCCTGCTTGAAGAGCAGCCACATATCTGACACTAATGGAAAAAGACCATTAAAAAGCTTTATGATATTCTGTTCTCCTACTTCTAGTCCCTCTCTCCCTTCATTGCTGCTGGCATTTTATGAATTATTGATGTGTCGAGGTGCTCTGCTCCCCGGTCCCTGCTCTGCTGCTCACGGTGCCTGTGCTGCTCCTTCCCCGCGGTGGCTCCATGGGCCCAGGCTGCTCATTGCAGCCACCAGCATTTGGTGCCCATCGGGTGCCCGGCGGCACAGCATGAGGCCCCGGGCCACGGGTTCCCCAGGGCAGGGCTGAGTGCAGAGCTCCGGGGGCGGCAGGAGGCACGGAGGAACAGGCAGAGGCTGAGGGGGCTCAGCAGCATGCAGGAGCAGCCTGGGGAGCAGGGGCACGGCCGGGCCCCGAGGGCAGAGCTGTTGCAGAGCTCCCTGGGCAGTGCCCCGGTCTCTGGTGAGCGTTTGGCCGCCAGGCAGTGCCGTGCATTGGAGCAACGTGCTGCTCTGCCTGTGCTTCAGCTCTGCAGCGGAGTCCTGGGTAATGGCATCAGTGTTCAGTCCCAGGACGTGGGCTCTCACGGCCAATTGCCTCAGGTTTCAGCGGCGGGGGCTAATGCGTTTTCCATGTTGCTGTGTGTGCACGTGGCACACGGCCCATCGCACACGTGGCGCTGCCGATCCGACCCCACTCGCTCACGTGTCCACTCACAGATACCGGGCCTTCCTGCATCCCCCGTCATCGTGGCCGTGTCTGTGGGGCGAAGGGACCCCCGGCTGTGTCCCCATGTGGGAGCAGTGCAGGAGGGCAGCCTGGGCTGGGGGCACAGCCCTGCCGAGTGTGGGCAGAGCACAGCCGCCCCACGGCACGGGGAGCAAGCAGTCCTCCTTCCCCAGCAATAGACAGAAGTTGGCACATTTCCCCGGATGCTTTTGTATGTTCTCACTGCACTACTTAAAGGAGAATTATTCTTTTTTTTTTTCAGAGGCAGAAAACTGCACTCAGGCTGTAACGTGGTAATGTTTGTAGACTAATTTGTTCTGGCATTTGGGGAAGAAAACAGATTCAGAAACAACTGAGACATCAAACATTAGATACTGCCCCAACTCGGATCCCCGCACACCGTGCTCTGGCTGCAGGATGGCTGCTCACACCCCTGTCTGCACTGCAGTCCCTGCCTCTGTGCTGCACTGCTGCTGCCCATACACCCCTCAGACAGTTCCATCCTGTAGCAGCCTTCACAATTCGTCCTGCCCAGTTCATTACCTGGTTTGTCCCTGGGTTTGTCTTCCAGACCTGATGTCCCTTCATGTGTTTTGCCATGTGAATTCGGGTGTGTTTGGGCAGGCTGTGAGCAGCACGGTCCTACAGGTGGCCCTGGAAGAGGATTTCAAACATTGGAGATGAAGGGATGTTCTCTGCGTGCCATAGATGCTGCAGCTCTGCTCACTGTGTGTCTGAAGAGCTCAAACAGCCACAGCCCACTCTGCTTGTCTTCTCTTTTTAGAACAAGTGATGCAGACAGGCCCGATGCACAGTGCTCAGCTCAGAGCTGCACTCACGGCTCTGTCCCCCTTCCAGCTGCACAGACAGCTCTGGGTGCTGCTGGGGTGCAGCCTCTGCCCTGCATGGCTGCGGGTCCATCCTGCACTGCAGTGCCTGCTGCCCTCACAATGCTCTGAGGACCCAATGCAAACACAGCCTCACAGTGTGTGTGCATTGGGCACACTGGGCTCAGGAGGAGAAAAACCAAAGGTTTCCCTGCAAACCCACCTGCATACACCTCTCACAGCCCTGCAGCCCTCTCATGCATGGTGTGCTCAGGGCACAGGGTAGCTGTTCAAACACTCTTGTATCTACTTCTACATTTACATCCCAGAAACATTTATTGAGTCCTCACCAAATCTCTGGCAGAAAGCACAGCAGCTCAGCAGAGCAGAGCCCTCTCCCATGCAGTGCTCCATTTTGGCCACGCAGAGGGCAGCACCCCCCAGTCCCACCCCTGGCCCTGAGCACCCAATGCTGCCCAGCACAGGGGATGTGTGGAAGTTCCTTCCATGCATTGGAGGCTAATTTCCAGCAGGCAGGCTGAGGGCATTCAGCTCATGCAGTGCTGTTTCAGAACAGCTGATCTTGATTTGTATAATGGTATTGCACATTTTTAATTCTCTTCAGATTTTAAAACAAAGATTTCATTTCGTCTGCATGCTGTGCCTCCATACAAAATTCTGTTGAAGACATGGTGACACAAAGCTCCATATATATGGTTCTGAATTTTCTTTAGGAAACAATGTCTAATTCATATCTTTGTGATGGAAGAAATTTGTTTCTAATATTTCTAAGCAAACTGCAAAGCACAACCACTCTCATTAATGACAAATTTGCTTAATTGCCTTAAAACACTGCTCTGAAAGTGACTGGCACAGCCACTCCTCCTGCTCCTATGGGTGCAAAGCAGTGTTCTGCTTTGAGCCCATGTGCTCCCACAGAGCTCTGCTGAATGCCCACCTGAAGCTGATGGCACTCAGCATCTGCAGAGCGATGGAGAGGAACGCAAGGAGCGGGGTGGGATGTTCTGCTTGGGTTGGAACTGGGCGGGATGAGAAACTGCGTGCACCAGAGATGGGATGGAGGCCCTCGGGGTGCCCAGCAGTGCCACGCAGCCCATCCTCCCCTCCTGCCCCTCCTCTCCTGCCCCCAGCTCTGTGCATCTGGGGGCTTCCCCCCCGCCTCTCCCTGGGATATCAGCTGTGCTTCTATTGATTTCCGCCCCACATTTGTTTTTGCTATTCATTATTAATGGGATCGTTTTTCTATCCTTCGTGCATGAAGGCAAATTTTGTGTAAAAATCAATTGAGTGAGCACCGCCAATGGCTTGTTTGGTTTTCTTCACTTTCATCTCTGGTGTGCAGTCCCCGGGAGACGCAGGGCAGGATATTAAGGAACAAGCATGGGAGGGAGAAAAAAAATAATAAATCAATTGTTAGCGGTTTGTGAACCATACGAAGGGATTTGCCTACTGGTCTTTGTCTCTCACACGTGTCTCACAGAGCAGCTCTCTGCTGCCCATCTCCCTTCGGTCATATTTCACTTTCTGCTTCCCAGTGCCTTGAAAGGGGCTGCCCTTCCTCCAGGGCAGCGAATCCCTCTTCCTGGGGGTGAGTCTGGCCATGATCCACCACGGGCCACAAGGCCGTGCTACAACCCCACCGCTGTGGATTGGCCACAGAGTAGAACTCTTTTCTTAGTCCCAGCTCGAGCCCTGTGGCTGTGCGGGAGGGAGTGGGCAGAGAGCAGCAGTGGGAGGGATGGGTGCTCTGCAGGGGGTGCTGCCAACAATGCTCTTCTGGGTGCCAGCTCCCCATCTCCCTTCCCTGCATTCCCCCTGGCATCGTTTCCCAGCTCCAGACCACTGCCCCTCACACCAGGAGGAAAATACATGCCATTTTCCTGTGCTCCTCGGCACCAAATGCCAGCTTTCAGCTACTCCTGCTGAAGTCGAAGGAACTGATGCCCCAACTCTGGGGGTTTTGTCTCAGTGCATTCACTGGAGCTCTGGGAGCCAAACTCAAGGCATCAAGAAATGTTAATGCAGTGTGTGCTGACCTCCAAAGTGAGATCCTAAATGAAGCACTCAGGTCATTCAAGAGAATGAAACTGGGCAGAGGGTCACCTCAGCCCTGGGCCATGAGGAGCTCCTCCCGATGCAGCTCTGTCTCCATGCAGAGGAACCTGGAGCAGGGAAGGATCAGGTGCTCAGGTCGTGCTGTCAGTGTGGGTGGGAGAGGAGCATGCAGAGCTCTGGTTCTAGAACAGTAACTGTAAATTTCAGAGTCTAAAGTTCATTTAGGTCTTGTTTTACAACTTTAGGCCATTTTCTGGACCTGGCCCAAAAGGACAAATGTAAGACCATCATACGGCAGAGACAAAACCAGACCAGTCACAAATTAAAAGGACACCTTTGCCATCCCAAGAGCAGCACGATCCCAATCCCCTTTCGGCAGCGGCCGGCAGGAGGACGCGTCCCCATGGCGCGGCACAGAGAGGTGAGCTGAGCCCGGGCGGGGCGAGCAGAACGCAGCTGAGCGAGCCCAACACGGATTGCAGCCGGGAACAGAGCCGTGCGAGGAGCGCTTCAGAAGCGCTGGAATTCCTGTTCTGTGCTGGAAGACAAACAAACGGCGCGAGGCTGCCGCGTCCTTCTGCAGAAGCGCTGACCGCGTTCAGTTCGGATACTCCTTTTCCGTGGGTTAAGGGCTCCTCGGGATTCGGATCCTTCTGTTTGAAAATTCCTTCGAATTCCGTGTATCACAAACAGTATTTTCGCTTTAACAGAAGGGCTGCGTCGGCTCCACTCCCCGTCGGCATCTCCGGCTGTGGGACCGAGCAGCAGCACCGGCAGCCGCCCGAGCGAGCAGCGGGCAGAGCTGCGGGTGCAGCCCCGGCCCCTCCCGGCTCCTCTCGGTCCGGCGGCCGCTTCCCGGGCGGGGCAGGCCGAGGCCGGGGCCGTGCTCGCCGGCCAGGACCGGGGAAGGAGATAGAAATGCCCCTACCTGCTTTTATGGCGGAGCTCCCGTTGGAGCTCCCGGCCCCGGCGGCACCGCCCGCTCTGCCGCAACGAGGATCCGCCGAACCGCGAGCGGGCAGAGGAAAGGCTGCCGTCTGGATCGCCTCCTGCCCTTTTTATACAGTGAGAGGCAATTAATATTGCATCACCCTTATTTTAAATTTTCAGAACCCACAATATAATGTAATGGCATAAGGGCATGTATTATTAAAGGACATTTGATTGGGGGAAAATCATTGGGGCTGATTGGAAAAAGGCGGCGAGAGAAGCGCGCAGCTTCCCGAGAGCCGCAGCGAAGGGCGGAATTGTCGGATCCGCTCCTACCGGGGGCGGCGGGCAGACCCGGCTCCGAGGTTCGGTGTTCGTCACTCATTGAAATGCCAAAGCGAAATATTCAGAAGAGCCTCGCGCTTCGACCATTAATTTTTAATCGTTAAGGTGCTGCTGGGAATCATAAATAAAAGCCTTTTCCCCTTTTAAACAGCATTACAAATGAGCCCGCGGTGGGTTTGTTTGGGAGACGTTTTTGTTCCACTCCAACCGGAGGAGCCGCGGTCGTCGCCCGCCCGCCCCGGGTCCGGCGCCGGGGGCACAGCGGGGCCCGACGGGGCGAAGCTTCGTCCCGGTGCCCGGGGGAAACGCACCGGAGGACGATTTTCGTTGATTTCGCGCTCGCAAACACTTTCCTCGGTCCTCCCAGCGCCGCCGGCTCGGAAACGAGAGAGGGAGCCAGAAACGACACGTTCCCTTCGGGTTGAAAAATAAAGCCTTTATTCCAGAGTCGAGGTGGGGAGCGGCGCTCCGTTCGGAGGGCGACGGGACGGGACGGGACGGGCGGGGAGCGCAGACGGCCCGGAGATCCCGGCGCTGCGCCCGGAACGGCCCGCACACGGCTCTCCTCGCGCGACAGTCCGGGAAACCGCGGCCACGAGGCCTGGGGGTTGAGGGCGGCCCGCCCCGTCCCGGGGCTTCGGTGGGGCAGCGCCGGGGGTTCTTCCCGTCCCGCCCCGCCGAGCCCCGGGCGCAGCCGCGCCGTCGGTGGGTGCGGGTGCCGCCCGGCCGGGCCGCCGTCAGTGCACCGCGGAGTATTTCATGCGCTTCTGCTTCTGGCGCTGGTTGCAGAACCAGACGCGCACCACGTTCTTCTTGAGGTCGAGCTTCTCGGCGATGGCCGCGATCTTCTCGGACGACGGCCGCGGCTGCAGCGCGAAGTACGCCTCGAGGGAGCGCTTCTCGGGCGCGGCGATGGACGTGCGTTTGCGTTTGCGCTCCGCGCCCGCGAAGAGCTCCGGTTTGGCGGCGCGGTCGCGGTGCGCGGCCTCGGCCTCCTCCAGCCAGGCCTGCAGCACGGGCCGCAGCGCCGTCATGTTGTTGTGCGACAGCGTCAGCGACTCGAAGCGGCAGATGGTGCTCTGGCTGAGCGAGCCCACGCCCGGGATCTTCAGGTTGGCCAGGGCCGCCCCTACGTCGGCCTGGGTCACCCCCAGCTTGATGCGGCGCTGCTTGAAGCGCTCGGCGAACGCCTCCAGCTCGCGCGGGTCGGACTCCACGTCGGGCAGGCAGGGCGCGGCGGGCAGCGGCGGCGCGGGGCCCCCCGGCGGACCCACGGCCACGGGCAGGTGGCCCACGGCGCCCAGCGGGTGCGGCGGCAGCGGCGCGGGCACGGCCGGGGGGTCGGGCAGGGCCAGCGCGGGGGAGAGGTGCTCCAGCAGCTCGGCGTCCAACGCGGGGTGCGGCGGCGGCGCGGGCAGCGCGGGGTGCGGCAGCGCGGCGGGGGCGGCCGGGCCGCAGGGAACGCCGCTCATGGCGTGGTAGGTCGCGTCCGGCTTGAAGGGGTGGCTCTTGGCGTGGGAGACGATGTCGACGGCCGCCAGAGCCTCGGCGCGGGCCAGCAGGCTCTCATCAAAGCTTCCAAATATATTGCCCTGGAGCTGCGAGCAAGAATGCGCATAGTGCAGTCAGTGGGGAATACTGTCATCTCCGGATTAAAAACCTCGCCGAGCACGGAGATTCCTCCTCAAAGCTCAGGTCATAAAAATTAATATGAAGGCAGCGGCTTTGCTCGAAGAGACATGTGGATCAGAGACGGGAGAGGGGAGCGGGATGGGGGAGCGCGGAGACGCGCGATTGTTCTGCTGACATGAAAAAAACATTAAGCGAGCGCCTGTCAAAAACCGTGCCTTAAAGCGGTAATTACGCTCCAGCTACATACCTGCGGGGCCGGGAGGCAAACCCTGCGCATCGCCTCCGCGCCGGCGTGCAGCCCGGAGTATTTGGGCTCCTGCAGGGCGGCGTGCATGGGGAAGGGCTGCTTGGCGTTCATGGCCATCATCTTCGCGCACCTCGCAGGTAGGCAGCCCCGGACATCGATTCAGGGTTGTCTCTGGCTCGCCGCCGTCAAAGTGAGCGATTGGCACTGACGGAGCGTCCCCCCGCCGCGCCCCCCCCGCTCCCTCACTCATCTTACACCGCCGCCCGGAGCGGGCCCCGCGCACGCGTGTTGCGGGCGGGAGCGGAGGGCGCGGGGCCCCGCACCGGCTCGGGACGCGCCGTCGGGGCGGCTCGGTGGGGGGCGGGTCGGGATCGGCCGCTCCACCGACCCCGAGTTCTCCCCGTTGATAACTGCCGTCGGGGGACCGCCGAGCCGGGCCGGCCGGGGGGCTGTGGCCGAAGGGCAGCGCTCGGACCCCGCGGGACCTTCCCGCGGCCGGGGGTGCCGCGTAACGCGAGGCCGAGCTCGGGCCGCACGCAGCAGCCGTCCGTGCGGACCCCGCGGCTCGGCTCGGCTCGGCTCGCTTCCGGCTGGGTGTGTCCGGGCGAGGGGCGGCCGCCCGCACATCGCAGTCACGTCTGCGGGGCGCACAGGACTCTGTCCTCCCTCCCCCCCGACCCTTGACTCGTTAAGAGAAAACGGACAACTCCCTCCTCCCGAAATAGTCTTGAAATGGGCATAACTGCTCCCGAGCGGTTGTTTTCGATTTTTGATTTCTCATCACCTTCCCACATCTTCAGGCGTTACCAGACTTTGGTGGTCTGGGGATTTAAGTAACCTGCACGTGGGAATCGGCCGATTATTTAGTAAACGTAACACCTGTGCCCAGCTTTGAGGTTTGTGTGCGGAACAAGTTTGGTTTGGTTTCCTGACCAACGCGCTGCCCGTGCCGTGGTGGCCGGAGGAGAGAAGAGGCGCAACCCGAGCGGAGCGGCGCTCGGTGCGGGACGGCGGCACACAGCGCAGGCGCTGCTCCGTCCTGCTTCCCTGTGCGGGGCCGCGGGCTGGGCGGGGGACGGGGCTCCAACGCGTGGGGAGATGAAGGGGCGATAAAGGCGGCCGTGCGGGGCGGCCGTGCGGGATCAGCACCGCGGACAGCGCAGCGGCGGGGCGCTGCGGGGCGGCACGGCGGTTCCCTCCCTCCGGCCAGGAGAGCCGGCGCGGTGCCGCGAAGCTCCGTGCTCTGATTTACGATAAAAAATTTAAAGGAAATCATTTATATTTCAAAGGGCCTAAATAGCTGCATGAAAGTTTTATCCGAAGCGGCACCATATTTATAGGCGGTCCTACTTCGCTGGGAGTAATTAATAGAGGGATGCTTTTCAGACCTTCGTTTTATTCTTAACCCTCCCTTTATTCACCCGCTCTGGCTGACATCCGTGCAGCAGAGGATCCCGGCAGTGCTGGGTGCAGTGCAATGCTGGGAGCAGTGCTGGGTGCAGTGCTGGGTGCAGTGCCCCTTCCCTGGAGCTCCTCTCCCCACCTGAAGGATTGCACTGCACTGGCACTTCTCCCCATCCCCACACTCCCCTTCCCTCTGTCTGCCAGGAGCTGCAGCAGCCCGTGGGGCCTCCATTCCCACTCCCACATGGGATGGCAGATGTGGCCCACGCACACAGCAGCCGAACATTATGTGTGTGCACAGAGCTCTGCCCGGGGCTGTGTGGCATCCCAGCCCAGCCCAGCGCTGTGCCACAGCCCAGCCCGAAGTCCTTCTGCTGCCCACACCATGTGGTGGCTTTTCCTCCCGAAGGCCACTGTTCTGAAAGACACTGAACGGGGTAACCTAGCTGCTGAGCTCCCTTTAATTAAAGCTGTAAAATATTGATGTTCCTGGCCCTGTCTACTGACGTTACACCTTACAAACAGAGGAGAGGAGTCCAAGGGATAAACAATAACAAGTTAAAAGAGCCCAGATGGTTTGCCATCAGAAACTATCTGCAGACTCAAAGGTGTCACTGCCATAGATTTCAGAGATCATTCATCTACTGGTAAATAATTAATGGTATTTCTGGAAGAAAAAAAACCACCAAGCCCATACCCTGATGAAACATCACCGCTGACTCATTGAAAATCTGAAGGCAGCAGTCAGATTGAAGGCGTGTGCTGAGCCCACGGTGCCATCCTATTCTTTGTCACCATTTGAAGGTCGTTATCCATTTTCCTAAAACATCAAAACATTCTGCTCTCATTTAGGATTTAATTCAAAGCCCATCACAGTCGGCGCGCTGTCAGCAGGCTCTTGGTTTCATTATATCATTTAGTTGGAAGGATTTATAGTAAATGCATGGGGTGAGGGATGCTCTGACATACAGAAGTCCGTCCTTTAACACAGTTTGTCCTCACACACTCTCTACAACAGGCGGTCGTCAGTGCTGCCCAGCACCACCACCAGGCTGACGAATCTCACCCCATGAATTTTCCTCAGTTGCTCTTTAAAGCACCCGTGGTTTCCTGCAAACAGCCCATGGTGCTGCTTTACACGTGAGCAGCTGAAGTGAGGGGACTGGCTCATGGATGTGAACCTCCTGTCCCTTTGCACACACAGCTTCCACCCACTGCAATGGAGCTGCATCCCCTGCCCAGCACTGTGTGGGGTTTCCCCTCATTCTTCTTCACTGCCTGTCTATAAAATGACATTTTTTTTTTTTTCTCAAATAATGTTTTCCACCCTCCAGTAAGGCTCCAGGGCCGAGCTGAGCTCTTTGCTGAGGTGCAGCACCTCCTCTGAGGTCGCTGGAGCCCTGCAGGAGGAGCTCTGTGTTGAGCCTGGGAGGTTCTCAGTGCACCCTCAGCCCCACACAGCGCTGCATGCAGCACGATACGGCCGTTCCACTGCACAATCTGATCGAGGAAATGGCTAGGATTACCCAGACGGTCAATTATTCATCAGCTAAACGGCCCAGCATCAATTACCTGGCTTGATTCTCTTATTCATTAAGGAGATTGAAGAGCCCGACTTAACAAAGCCAAAAGAAAGTTGCTAAGCTACAGCAGCTGCCCGGCTCATGGGAGGGCCGCAGTGCCACCCTGCAGTGGGGCCGGAGCTGTGTCCTGCTGGGGTCACCTGTCCTGGCCAAAGGAGCAGCTGAGGAGGACGTCGTCCCTTCGTGCCTCTAAGAGTGCATTTATTTCCCTTAGAGAGCGTTTGGTGAGAAAGGTGGAAGTTGGGGTCTCACCTTTGGGATGTGGGATGTTGAGATGGTGACAGCGCTGCCCACGGAGCTGCTAAGAGGAGTGGGGAACTGTTGTGATGTGCTCACTGCTTCCAATTGAATAATAGAGGCTCTCTCTCACCTTCTGAAATTAAAAAAATTAAAGCATTTTGCCTTCTTGTCTTTTGCAGCTGCATGTAGGGGAGCTCTCAGAGACCTCACCTTTGGATGTGTCACTGAGCACAAACACAGGAATTCCCAGAAAGCTGTGCAGGTGTTTGCAAGTATCACCTCGAGATCAAAAGTATTCCTTAGAGGAATATTGTGTCTGTATTAAAATATTAAAAGATCAAAAGCAGTGATGTGTGTCGGAGGGCAGCAGGGATGGCACTCTCCCATCGCAGCCATTGGGACAGTTCCAGCTCTGAATTTTTCAGCCAAGGTTTTGGTTGAGGTCTGATGGACACAAGGAGCCCCATGCACTCCTTTGTAATGTGCATGAATTATAGAGCTTGTTTCGTGTGTCTTTCCCTGAAATTAAAACTGTAAAGAAGCGGACTCTGATGCTCGTTAAAAATCAAACCCATCTGTTTCCAATGAAGATCACATGAGTGACAGAGCGATATTTTCCAAGGCAGGAGGAGGGCAGAGTGCTCATCTATCAGGCATCTCTTTCTTGTTATATTTGCTCCTAACTCTAGAAATACATCTAAATGTGGTCTAACAAGACTCTGCTCCACAAGAAATTAATGAGGAACAAACATTCATTATTCATGGCCTGAAACAGGAGGTCTGCTAATGTTCCTGCTCATCAACAAGTCGCACAGCTGCAGCGTACAGGGCAGTCCCGGGGAGGAAGGAGGAGAGCGCTGCGATGTGTGCCTCGCTGCCTCCGAGCCGCCGCACCAACCCGGGGCTCCCAAAGCCGCCTGGTGGCACCCACGGTAACGTGGGACAAAAAGACCCCGGGCATCGCTGCACAGCCGGCCCCGCTGCCCTCCCTGACCCGGGGAAAGTTAAGGAATAAGACGAGGAAACAAATGGCCGGAGCGAAACAAACGACTGCAAAAGGCACCGGCGGGGTCCGGCTGTGCGCCTCGGAGCCGGGAACGAGCATTTGAGCCGGGAACGAGCATTTGAGCCGGGAACGAGCATTTGAGCTGCAGCCGCGATCCCGGCTTTACTGCGGGCGGAGCGGGCGGTTCTTCTGCGGGCCTTCATTTGGGTGGATGCGATGATGTGAACCGAGGTGTGCTGGGACGGCTGCCCGGAGCACATTTAGAAACTGAGGGCTCCAGTTAGGAAAAACTAAAATTCACTGAAGCGTAATTGGACAACGAGTTTCTTCCAGCAAAGAGATCGAGATATTAAACAAAATCAAAACATGTGTTTCCTTCAAAGAGACAAAATTACGCGGCCCAGAAGTCTCCACATCCTTTCCCTCTGCCAGAATCCTCAGCCTGGAGCTGCGCTCCCAGTTCTGGGAGGTCGTTTATTGCTGTAACAAAAGCAGAGAGCGGCTCATCCATCTCAGCGCAGCACGGCCGTCCCCCCGCGGTGCAGCGGGCGCTGTTTGTCTGCGCAGCCACCTGGAGGAGCCCCGAGTGCGTGGAGCAAAGCGATTTGCGGCGTTACAGAATTCAGCAAGAGGCAAATTGGAGCAAAGGGGGGCAGAGGAAGCCGCTCTGCGTCCACCCCCATCCGCCTCTGCCAGCACGGCCCCGTGGCCTCACATTCACCACGTTTTGGTCATCATCCGCAAGCCAGTAAGAGCAAAGATACATTTCATTAATTATCCATGATAATTAACATAGAGATTGAAAAACTTAAATACTTCCACAAGGGAAAATAATCAAACTGTTTTGCATTTGGAAAACTTTGCACTCCCCATTCAGGCCGGGTTTAAAGACCACAAGCTGTGCCAAAGCAGCATCAGCTCAGCACTGACCCCACGGCAGCCTCAGAGCCAATGAGGTCACACAGACAGACAGGTTTTGTGATGTATCCACACCGTGGAGTCTCTCCTCTCTGTGTCCCACACAGTTCAAAACTCCATTCAAAACTGCATCCTAAAACCATCCCAAGGGGAGGATTGGGCTGCTGGGATCCTGGTCTGCATTGCAGCAGAGCCCTTCCCTCCCTCCAGGACCCCAAATCCCCCGTTCAGCTGCTCACCTCTCTAACACCAAACCCAGAGCCCTTCCCGCTGTAAGTTTCCCATCACGTGTGCTTTGGGAATTGCTCTGCCTCCATTCCGGCCGTGCAGGGCGCAGTGGGACCCCCGGGGGCTGCGTGTTGTGCCAGGGAGGGGATGTTTGCTGAGTCCCCCGTGGGGGCTGCGGTGCCCACGGGCTGAGAGTCACAGCACAGCAGTGGGGGGGCGGGGGGTGCTGTGCCCCATAGCTCTATGAAATTATTCAGCCCTGCGCTGCTTTCACATTCCTTTTACGTTAATGCTCCCTGAAATCTTCATTAAAATTTGAAATTAAAATGTAACAATCGGAGGGGGGCAGGGAGGAATTCTGTCACCTAACATTAAACTCATCGCTCCCACATTTACATTTCCTGGATTTTTAATTAGAGAAGTCACACGAGGCGGTCACTCGCACCGCACAGGGCTGTGTGTCACCGCAGCTCCGGGCGCTGCAGGGCTGCAGGGCTGCTCTGCTTTCAGCAGCTCTGCTTGTCAGCATCTGTGACATCTCTCTGCTTCTTGCTCGGTTTCTCACCTGTCAGACGTGTTGAGGAGCGCTGCTGTGATCAGGCAAAGTACATCTTGACTCGCTGAACCACCTTACACCGAGGGGCAAATGGCCCCCAGAAAGCCTGGCAGGTGAGAGGTGTTTGCAAAGCAGCAGAAAGTTCATGGTTAAGAACCATTGCAGAAACCCCTGGGGGTTCATGGAGCACCTCAAGGCTTTGCTGTGCAAATTTTCCCACACCCACAGTGGTTTATTTTGGGGGGAGGGTGACCACAGGAGTGCCACTCAGAGCCCCCACAGCCCTGCAGGTTGCTCTATAGCTACTCCTGGAACTCTCTGGAAGGCACCGGTTCCTCCCAGAGCCCGTGGGAGCCCAGAGGCTGCAGGGAACTGGTGGAGCTGGGCAGTGGAAAATCCTACAGTGCAGCCCCAGGCAAGAGCTGCATCCTCCTGAGCACAGCTGAGGGCCGGGAAGTGCAGGCGGTGGGAGCTCCTGGCACTGTCTGTCACCCCATATCAGCCCTCTGCCCACATAACCACCCCTCAAGGCAGCATACGCCTTTTGGGATCCCTTCCTGCACATTGGACAGAGTCAGACACTGACACAGTGCAGCCAAATGAGTGAGTCTTACTGCTGGCCTTACTGCTGGTCCCAGTCGTCCCCCTGCCCCAGCAGAGCCAACACCTGCAGCCCCAGGTACCTCCTTACAGGCAGCTGCTTCTGGCCAGAATTAGACTCATCTGTCATTATTTGGAGTCGGGAGTTGGGGATTCACCTCTCAGAGAAGTCCTCCTCACTTTTCTTTGACCTACAGATAACCCAAAGTCACATTAAAAAGCAGAAACAAAGAGTGGATGGAGTTGCTATTTGACATATCTTAAGCCACCAGAGACCGCGCAGAGGTACATTATACTGAGTCGACTCCAAATAATTTTCACATGAATTACTAAAGTGCCAGGGATGTTTAATTCATCAGCATTTAAATAAATCAGAGCAGAGGAGCTGCACGCTGCCGGCGGATGCTGTGCTCACCTCAGGAGCACTCAGCAACAGGGAGCTGCACCGTCCTGCATCACACTGCACAGCACTGCCCAGCAACTGCCCCACACTGCACTGCACAGCACTGCACAGCAACTGCACTGTGTCACACAGCACAGCACAGCACAGCACTGCACAGCACTGCACAGCACAGCACTGCACAGCACAGCACTGCACAGCACAGCACTGCCCCACCCCGCAATGGGGGGGCTCTGCTCCCGGCAGCCCCCAGCCCAGCAGTGTGGGACAGCTCGGCTCCGTGAGGCCGAAGGACCTTTGTTGTGAAGGTGGATTCCAATAATAGGAGCCACAGCATCAGCTCTTCTGACAGATGCTGTCCTTCAGGTGATACAAAGGCAGCCCAACACAGCTGTGTTTATAAGCTCTCAGTAAATATCTGGGCTGAAAGCAAGATGGGGAGCAGGGGAACACTGAAAACCCACAGCAGTGCTGTGAACGCATCGCAGCTCGTGGGAAGGCACACCCAGGGTCACACTGAGAGCAACGCGCACAAAGCACAGAAATGCACTGGGTGCTGCGTGTGAATGCGGGGCTGCAGCAGATGCTGCCTTGCAGCACGTTTATCCCGTGTCAGTCCTGCACTCAGCCCTACAAGCACAGCGGTGTCCCAGCAGCAGCGCAGATGGCAAAGGGTTTGGAGCATCTCCTAGAGAGGGGAGGGACCTGGGAACGTTGAGCCTGGGGAGAGGCTGAGGGACATCTGATCAGTGCTTGCATTGCTCTGAAGGCAGGTGGGAGGCGGATGTGCAGCGATAGGACAAGGAGCAATGGCCTAAAACTTGAGCATAGGAAGCGCTGTGCTAAGATGTGGAAGAACTTCATGGTGACACAGCACTGGCTGCCCAGAGGGGTGGTGGAGTCCCATGGAGATGTGCAGGACCCATCTGACATGCTGTGAGGAACTGATGTTAGCTGGGGGTTGGGCTCAGTGATCTCTTCTACCCCTTCCAACCCCGCCATGCTGTCGTTCAGCCACCCCCCAGCACAGCAGGTCCATGTGCTCACACACTGCAGATCCACACACAGCTCCAGCACCAAAGTGATGACGCTCTTTTTGTGATCATTGGGTGGTTTGGTTTTTTTTTTTTTTTTTGAATGGTTCTGCTGTCCAATTTATTTAAACTTAGTTTTCCTTTTCTTTTCTCCATTTGGAACCATTCCCATAGCATATCTTTATTGCAAAAAAGTCAACATGCATCTTAGAAATTCAGATTGTAATCAATAAAACAAACATTACATATATGAATTTAAATGTATAAACAGTTAGAAATTCAACAATATCTCCTATTACACTATTACACAAGTTCACAATTTTGTAAAAACTATAGTACAAGTTTACTATACACCAAGGGAACTTCATTCCTTTTCACATGATTTTGTTAAGGAGGAGGAAAAGAAGAGGTGCATTCTCACAGTAAGCAGGCGACAGTTTCCACGTTAACCTTCCAGCTCTGGGGTTGCTGTTCTCTTTGCCCAGCTCACACACAGTGCAGGCAGTGCAGCTCTCCCTGCCCACAGGTGCCCTCCGTCCCATCACACACAGCTCACACAGACTGAACACCTCCTGCACACACCTGCAGGCACTGCCTGCTGCACACAGGCTGCGCTGCTGCCCTCACAAAGTACGCGTCAGGGTACAATGGCACCACAGAGTGAAGCACACAGTACTGCCACGTCACCGAACACCCAAACCAGAGCAGCTCCGTATTGCCCAGCACAGCCCAAGTTACAGGGAGACCCACGAGCTTGGGCAAAAGGCTCACTTCGGAACACCCTTCCTACTCTTGAAACACCAGCACTGGGATCGCTGCCCATCACTCACACTGCAATGAGGTAACAGTGCGCTCCCAGTGCACAAGCTAAGCTCAGATGCACAACTCATTTTTTCACTTCAGCACTCAGAAATCGCATCTGGGACGTCACTGCCTGTGTGTGCTGTAAAGGAAAACAGTAAGAAGAGCAAAGCAATCGTGGGAAGCTCTCCAGAAACCACTCCTCCAGAATGGAGCAGCGCAGCAGCTCATCCTGCCATCCCAGCCCAGCGGCCGCCCTGCCACAGCCCAAACCATATGAAAAGGAATCCCGTTCTGTGTCAAAGGCTACTGCAGTTTTTCTTACAGCTTCATTCATTCACTGTAGTTTTCATTTTCCAAATACAAAAATACAACAGTTCTTATTGAAATCTATACGCTGGTAGTTTTAGTACACAAAAAAGCAAAGTATTTACAAAATTATACAGTTTAAGAAAAAACTCTGTACAAAAAAATATATAAATCCTTTGTTCCCTCTATCACTTTTAACTGTCAGGACTCAAACACAGTTGCTGCAATGGGTATTTCAACATATACACTGACTGAACTGCAGACAATAAGAACAACATCAGAGATGATGGGAGGAGAGACATTGGGAATAGCTAAGATACGTTTTCCCTCATTTCCTTGCATATGCAATTTCACCTCACTGTTAACAAGAATGTCCAAATTACATACAGAGGTTTTAACGTGCAGAGGCGGAGCACTGAAAGGCAGAATTCCCCTCAGCTGATGAGGAAACTGAAGATGACACCGCTTGGACTTCCAATGCACCACCACAGCAAAAAGGGAACGCAGTCAGGGAGCAGCAAACACAGCGTGCTCAGCTGTGCCACCAAGATCAGAGCCACAGCAATTCAGGGGTCTCTCTAAATTTTCTTCAGTCGGGAACTTGCTGGCAAATACTCTGGTAAACTAAAAAGAGGAGAGTATTTTTCACTGACATTCAGTTTATTTTGTATAGAAAAGCACATCAAAGTGTACTGAGAAGTGCACTGTACAAATGCACAGCCAAGGAAAATGCTTCCTAAGTGGCACTGATGTTGGCGAGCCACAAAAGCCACGCAGCAGTTAAGAGACGTGGCTTCAGGATCTGAGCTCGTTGTCCTCATTCCTACCATTGCACACCGCTGTGGGCGTGGGGGTGTTAGGAAATGGTACAGCAATCGGCACTGAGCATGGAACGGCGCCATCTGAAACGTGTCCCAACAGAACCCGAAGGCCAACGAGCACCGCTCCAAAGCCTGCAGCACTGCCACCCTGCAGCACTGCCCACCTGCAGCGAGGCAGGAAGCACTGTGCTCTGAACACCGCATGGATTTGGCTCCAATATAAACAGAACTCAGAGGGGAAGAAGAGTTTCGAAGGGCTGCAAGCAGTTGCCCATGTAGGGGGAAAGCACGAAACTCATTCTATTCAAGCTCACAGATACAGAAATGCAGCAAATGAACAGTCTGGCTGAAGCTGGAACCTTGTACTGAACTACAGAGGGAGATCATCAGTGAGTAAACCCTGAACTGAAACCTGTGTCATTGCTGTTTTTGCAAAGCAGGGTTTGAAGGACAGAGTGAACTGGACAGTGTTACAGTCATACCCTGTTGGATTTCTTGTTCCATCCCCTCTCACAAAGCAAATATTGAAACTGTGTGGCTTTCAAACATCCTTAAATGTCTGATGAGTTTAGCCACTAGTAACTTCTACAGAAAGTGATTGCATATGAAATAAAATGCTACCTTTCTTCAATTAGTAAATGAGGCATTTTTTTCTTTCATAACATTTAAAGAAAGTTTGTGTCTTTCCCCCGAGCCTAGAATATTGCTAAATAAAACCTGCAACATCTTTTCAATTATAAGCTAACAAATCAATCACGTTATAGAAAACCCAAAACAAGGTAATAGAGGGTGACACAAAAAGAGGACAAGAAAATACTAATATTTGTTTTCTTTCTCTCTTTTTTATCCTTCTCAAATAGAAAAGAATCACCATCCTGGTGAGCTTGATACTTCTATAAAAAGTTACTGGGCCTTTGGCTAGGTTGGCATCACAGCTCTATCTCTGAAATGTTTTTATAACAAACTTTGCTCACTTTAAATCTTGTGGTTTGAAAAGAAAGTAAAGCTTTTTTTGGCTCATCAACTTTCTTAAATAAACGTCTAAAAGATATAGCTTGAACTATATGCCTAAAGTTATACATTTCTAACGTCAAGTTTCATCTTCTCCAAGAACGGGATTCATCCTCATCTTCATCCTCATCATCATCATCTTCGTGCAAAAACAAATCTGAGGTTTCAGTCTCCTGGATGAAGAAGAAACAAGGTTTGAAACCAAAGTTCCATGCAGTAACGCAGGATCTTGTCATACAACACAGCATCAGCTGCACTGTATGTGCACACAGCTCATTACATTCCACAAGCCTCAAGGGAGGAGTGGTGGACTCTTGCATCAAGAAAGGGAAAGAAGCCAGACTTCAAAGGAAGCAGGAATGAACAACCACCCACCCTCTCCAAAACAAGTCCGTTAAATGACAAGGTCAGAAAACCCTTTAAAAGCCTTTAAGTGCTCATAATTGCAATCTAAGAATTAATAACTTATCCTTCAGTGGAGGATTAACACCCAGTAATAAAAAGATGAGCAGCCTCTGTATATGTGAGAATGTGAGGTTTATCCTAGCAGTTTGCAAATGCAAGTTTTCAGTGGTGTTTTCTTTTCTTTTCTTTCCCCCTTTTTTTTTTTAAATATGGAAATCCTACTGGACTAATCAAAACCAGAGGAGTTTCTGGTTTGCAGAAACATCTTCAATGAAACTTATTCTGTAAACAGAAAACTGAATTCTAAAGGAGCTCTTATTACTTTACCCACATGTTTTCCTACCTCTTCCTTAGATTCCTCTTCCTCAACTTCTGTGGACACAGAGGGTACCTTAGGTTTGTACCATGATATCTGCAGCCTTCGGTCTTTAAACTTGGATCCCTGGTTAGCAGCCTAGATTATATTTTAAATGAACACGTTTTTAAAAGGAAAATCAAATTAAGAATTCTTCAGATCACCAATAATGAGTTAAACCCAGTGAGCACTAATTATTGCAGATGTGTATCTGAATATCTCAAACGCGCATCACCTTCTTCAGTCTTCAAGAGCAACTTCACTTAAGCCCACCTACCATCAACCTAAAAATATTAACAGAGTTCTAAACTGATTGTGACACTGAATCCACATCAGCAGAAAACCCATCTTAATACATTAAACATGAAGTACATCCCCCTTTAACAACACTATATGCAGAAACAACAAATATTTGCACTATGTAGCTCAAACAAGTGGGATCCAAACCCACTGAAGTTTTAAGGACAAAAAGGCAGTCACAAGCAGGTAAAAATTCTTATTCTGGAACTGAGGAAAAACAAATCCATCACGTCACTTACATTCTCAGCTTCAGAGCGAGATTTAAAGGTCAGAACAACACTTAGTGGGGACTCTTCTTCTTGGAGATCCTCAATATCTCCAAATTTCTGTAAGAAGAAAAATTGATGAGGAACAAAAGTAATGTTCTCCTCCAGAGATGTCATCATCATGTGCTACAACTGAATTGCTTTGGACCACAGCAGCACCGAAACCTTGTTAGTTTTTGGACAGAACTGAGAGAGAGAGGAATCTCAGCTGCACTGGATGGCAACACTGCAGCACCTGTGTCTCTATTTTTGGACAAAAGCTCAGATTTATTCACATTCTCATAAATGGAACTTAATTTTGCAGGAAAAAAGGAAATAAGTGTATAACTGAATTAAATTCAAATAATTCACTGTTTCATTTATCTTATTTGCCCTTCAATACTACCCTACTACAGACTTGCTAAACCAGTCCTTTAGAGCTCATTTATTTGCAAAGGAGATTGCTACGCACCCCTGAGTATGTTCTGCAAATACAGAACACAATTTTGCCTGGGACCATGAAGGAAAAAATGTCTAGCATAGCCAGATTAGCATAAGGTTTTATTTTTAGAAATTAAACACCATGTAAGAACGAAAATTTCAATGTCCACAGCTATGACAGATTAAAACCAAACCATGCAAAAAGCAAAACATAGCAAAAAAAAAAATTAACAAGGCCGAACCACCCAAATCCCAACACAGGCATACAAAAGGACTTATGGAGGCAGCACAAGCAGCCTAAAATCCCAGGTGGCCCCGAAGAGCAGACAAAAAGAACTCCACTAGTTTGCAAAGGAGAACATGCCATTCTGGGCAGTGTAACTGAGGGAAATGCCAAACGTGTTTTTCCTTTAGCATCAGAATGAGCTAACATAATAACACACTCATTAACTCACCTTGCACACTACCAAGTTATTTGCTGTTTCCAAATAAGTTTAACTTTTATGAAACTGAAAAAGCAACAGTGTTTTGCTTTCTGAATTAGAGAGAAACAAGATAAATGTGCATGAATTGCTAATACTTGTTAAAGCAGACACACTGATAGGTATTTCTCAGCCTTCTCATATCTGTTTTTAACTATTTTAATGCAGAATAAAAATAAGCCATTTGGCTTTTCCTATTAAAATAATGCACTAGGCAGCCAATGTAATGCCTTTTGTAGCTGCTTTACATTTACACTCTTGAAACTGTTTATTCATAGCTTGTTCCACAAATTCAGGAGGAATTTATACATACTACAGAAAGGAAAGAAGACTTTCATTCATCTTTAAGACTCTGGAAAATAAGCTGTTGCTTACAGAGTTCTTAGCCTGCCTCTCTCTGCAAGCACACTCTCAAGGTATCAGTTACCCACTTCATCTGAGATTGAAAGTGCAGCCCTAACTGTCAGCTTCAGTTTTTCTTTTTAATGTGACTCAATACTTACAGAGAAGTGCTGCAGCAATTCATCTTTTTCCTCTTCAATGAATCCTCCAACTGTTAGTGCTTTGGGACGATGGTCTACCACCATATGATTTAACATTCCCCTTCCTCTCCCACCACGGCCCCGTCCTCGTCCTCTCCCTTGGCCTGGAACTGTCTTCCCTCGGCCAGCAGGCAAAATGCCTAAACGGGCAGCCTGTTAAAAAAGAGAAAAAAAAGGCAAATGAAGTGTAAAGGTTTGAAAGGATTTTAAGCTTGTATATATAAAACGCATTAAAAGCATAAATCCAGACATACTTACCTCTACTTGCAGCTGATTTAGCTTTTTCCGCAGTTCAGTTGTGTCTTCTCCAGAAGAGAGTCTTTTGTGGAAGTCTAGTTCTGCATCCAGAAGTTCCTTTTGTGCCTTAGAGAAAAAAGTACAGAAAGAGAAAATGGAAGTGGAAAGCAGAACATTAATGCACACTTTTAATGCTTTACTCCCCTCTTTAGCAGTAAATTTATGTAACTGATACAAAAAGATCAATACACAACAGCCATACTTCCCCCTAAATTCAGTTCATTATGCTTTTGCTTGCCTCCAGGACTCTCCCCCAGTCTCATTTTTGGAAGGACCTGGAATTCTATGCTTCAGAACTGGAACAATCTTGAGTGAGCTGTAAGTAACTACCTCACCCAAGTTACTTAGAACCATGGTTTGCTTCTCCATAGTTACCAGTCAAATTCAAAATACTGCTAGGAAGCATACCGATCTAACATGGTTGTGTTTTTAGGACACATTAGAAACAGTTATAGAAGACAGATGTGCAAGTGTATTGCACAATACATACCTCTGTCTTGGATTTTAGTTTTGATGGCGTAGAGGTTGTAGATGAAGTTTTTAACTCATCCTTTAATTGAGATATTTTTCCTGCTAGTTCTTTTAACGTTTTCATTATTTCTGCTCTCTCTTCTGGTTTCATGGACTTGTTTTTCTCCAGCTTGGATATCAACATCTATATATTAATAAAAGAGCAGCAATATAAATTCCAGCAAGAGTAATGCTGAACAGACAGATATCTACAAAACCAGAATGTGCTTAATGGAAGTCATTCCAAACTCACCTTCTGGCATTCTATTTGTTTTTCTAACATCTCCTGCTTCTTTTTCCTCATGTCTTGTTGGAGTTTCATTGCCTCCTAGGAGAATAAAACTGTTCCAATCAGAAGAAGTAGTCTAGCATTACATGTACTCACATGTCACATTTTCTTTTTCAAGCTACAGAAGTGAGGGCCATAATAAAAGCCACTAGTCTGCAAGCCACAAAAGTATTCAACATATCTGGTCTGGAAAATAACAGTGAAATCTTGCCAATTTATTGCTATGAAGTACTCTACTAACTTTTTTCCACCTCCAAACACCCCTTGAAGAAACATATCCTATGCTGTCAGTTAAGTTCCTTTATTTGCAGAGATTAAAATCAGAGAAATGCCACCAGAACTCCATTCCCTCAAAAAAAAAAAAAAAAAAGAAAGAAAGAAAGAAAGAAAGAAAGAAAAAAGCCTTCAGTGTGCATTATCAAGATTGTTCCATAATGATAAAGCCTATATTGACTGTGTGCAAAACGCTATACAGTAACATTTGAGGTTTAAATTCTCTATCAATTCTTTCTTTTTAAAGTACTTTAGCCACTGCACTGTTCATCAAGCAACACACAGCACAGTACCTGCTTTTTCTTAAGAGCTTCTTGTACGTCATGAGGTTTAGATCCTGCGCCAGGCTTCATAGCCGCCTTCAAGTTTGAAGAACTATAAACCATTTTTGAGTGGCTTGTAGAAGTAGGAAATGTCTGAAACAGTAAAAATGCATACGCAACAATATGTAATAGGTTAAAATTAGTAACTTTAAATATATTCTCTGAAACAACTTATGCTTCCAGAATAACAAAAGGAGACAAATACAGAAATGCAATCAAAACATGCAGGGAGACATCAGTCTAACAATCAACCTACTTGGGGGCTGTCAGCATAAATGATTATTAAAACGCTTTCTGCAAAAGATCATTTCTTTTGGTCTTCATCCAAAAACTCCTTCTCCATCCTGATATCCATGAGGAACATTGCTAACGCTCAGCTCTTGTATCAGAACTAACCCAGCTTGGTAGCACAACCTAACACACTTTCTGATCAAACATTTAGAAAAGAAATAAGGCAGCAACTGTCACTTGCATTCTTCCTTTCTTACAAGAAATAACTTCTTTGTGACCAAGAAGATGTGCTGCCTTATTATACCAGTGTTAATTAAACTGTACCAGCTCGAAGTCTTTGCAGAAGTATTCTGTAAATTTCCAGTACCATTGTTAAAGCATAGTGTAAACACCAAAATCACTGGGAACAGTAATTAGGTTAGTCAACAGAAAGCTGACAGCACATGTAAACTGTTAAATTTGTTTAAAGTGAAAGTGTCAAAAATACGTTATGCTGCTAAAAAGGGTGACACTGTTTCTGAAATCATTCTCCCTGGTTTATATAAAGCAGCTAATGAAAATTGGAAGAAATAAATGATCATGTCTCAGAACATCAGTGATAAAAGGAACAACGAACTGAGAACTTGCAAATTCTGCTCCATTTACTAGTTCCATTCTTTAAGCTAACAGACACAGCTGTAAGTGGAAGCACGAAGACGGTCAGTTTTCATAACCATACCTGACAGTCCTCTACTACAGCCCCAGCCTGACTGAGATCAGACTGATTTCCACCTGCTGCTCCAAGGCGACGTTTCACCGGGACTTTGTTAAGGACATAGGCACCAGATGCCAGCGGTTTATTCATTGCCTGCATATCAACAGATATTAAAAAATGAAAGATTACACACGCTGCATTTTAAAAGCAGCTGTCACTTAAGAACACTGATAAGCCACAGTACTCTGAAGGTTGTTTATGAAAGTACCTTGGACATATTACTGTGCATTGTCACAGCGGGAGCTGGGGTCAGGGCTTGCTGCTGAAGGTGAAGTTGGTGATGAAGAGACTGTGAGGGTGACTGCTGCTGTTGTTGCTGCAGCAGCGGGGGCTGCTGTTCACTTTCTCTGTGCCAGTGCACCCTTATAAACCGATTGTTTAAAACTGCCTCTGTGCTTGAAATTGCCTTCCTAGCCTCATCGTTAGTTAAGTACTGAATTAGAGCAGCTTCAGGATCGTTCTGGAAAGCAACCTAAAAGAAAGAGTTCATGAGAATACATTTCTCAAGGAAGAGAATATGCCAACCAGCAGGAATTCAAGCTACAAGCAATCCACAATTACAAGTGGAACATGTAATGGTATTAGCAACTTAAAATGAAGGCAAAATACTCTATGTAATTAGAATCAAGTACATTTTGCAAATGCTATGCATAATTGCAACAAAGACTATATGTAGTACAATAAAAATTGAGTAAATAATTTAAAAAATATCATCAGATATTCAAAGTACTGTAAACTAGAATAGAACTGAAGAGACCCACTGCTGACTCCAAAGCTCTTTATTCTGACCTCCTGAAATAGAAACACTGTCCAAGGACGTACAGTGCAAAGTTCACCTTCCCAAAGAAACCTTATCTAACAGTCATACAAAAGTATTTTTCTCTAAAAATTAATCATCACAGGAATGAAAATATACCTAGTACAATATGATTGAGGCAGCACATTTTTTAGAATGCATTACCAAGATTCAGAAATAACCAAAGTATCCTTTAGGCTAAGGCATAAAATTGTGAGCTCAAAAATACAGAGGCTTGCCAGGTATCTGTCTTTATTCAGACCTCGAACTGAGGATGAAGGAAGTCACTGTTTTCTGTAAAAATAAAACAGTACTCTAACTATGTAGCTAACTGTGTTTTGTTTACATAGTGTTTTCCAAGGGACACCACTGAATTGGAGCTTCTTGTAGGATGTAACATGGTAACACCCATAGCATCTTGGCCAAAATCCTAGGAAATAATGCAGATTTCCACACCACACAGAGTTTTATAGAATCATAGAATTACCAAGGTTGGAAAAGATCTCTAAGTTCACTTAGTCCAAGCACTGACCTATCACCAGTATTACCCCACTACACCATGTCCCCAGTAAACACACAGATGATTATTGAACACCTCCAGGTACGGTGACTCCACCACCCCCAGGGCAGCCTTTTCCAGCACCTCACCACTCTTGTGGAGAAGAAATTTTTCCAAATATCCAACCTGAATCTAGAAGATCTTTTTCAAAAAGTATATGCAAACTGCTCAAACACCTGAGAATAGTTTAGATACTGTTAAATCTGCAAGCCTTTCAAATTTAACAAGAGCAACCAAAGGCACAACAGCCCTTCAAAAACAAAAGAAAAGGCTTTTTTGAATTTGGTGACCTCCTCCTTCTAGCTTCCTCTAAGATTCCTCAGGAACAGTGTTTAGCTGCAGTATTCCAGAAGGCTCTAGGGGAAAATACCCACATACAGACATAAAACTGAGGGCTTTTTTTTGTTTGTTTGTTTATTTTTTACCTGAATGTTTACAATAGTTCCAAACTTGCTGAAGTGCTCGTTGAGTTGTGTGATATTGTTCAATTCTGGTGGAATTTTTCGAACTTCTAGTTTTGTGTTAGTGTACTGATTCTTTTTCAGAAAACCTGGCTTATTCTGGTTATTATTTGCTTGCCTGGAGAAAACAAGCACAAGAGAGTCATTTAGAGAGACATGCACATACCTAAGTAAGGTAGCAAGTTAATGCATATTTAAATTTTCTCTAGAGGTTAGAAACAACAACCTCCCCAATATTTAGTCTCTGATTATATCAACACATTTTCTGACTCAGTCAACTCAAATTACAGAGGCCAATGAATTACTGTTTTTACAGCATTGATAGCAATCGAGTGCATCCAAGTTAGCCAACTGCAGCTGTTAATTCTTACTTTCCCAGCCATGGTTTCTTCAACGGTGGACATTCCAAACTACTTGGAGACCTTTTTCTGCTGTCTGGTTCAAGCACAACTCTAGTTACATTGCTGCTATTATTTGTAATGGGAATGGGAGGTTCAGTCTGGATGATGATATTGGCAGCTGGAGGAAAATAAAAAGGCCTGTGTTATTTACCACACCTCAATGAAAACGTTGAAAAAAGCTCTCATTTAAACAGCAAGATAGGAATGAATTAAAAAACATTTAAAAAAATAGGAAGACTATTAAGTCAGTCAGTTCTGTTTAGCAAGTTACTTCAGAGATAACTTACTAGCTTAGCTAATCCATGGGAGAAATACAAGCATTTAGTCCTGCCAGCAGAGATGAGACTTCTAACCTTCAAGATCAGTACCAGCTTGAAGAAATGAAGTTTTGGCTTTATCTCACAGGTACTGAAACTTTTGGTTTGAAAATTACGCCACTGGCACACACAAAATACTCAACTCCCATAGAGAAGTGCGAGATGTAAATCAACTTCTTATCGTTTTTGTGTGTGCCAGAGTTCTGCTGATTACTCTGATGAGAAAAGTCTAGGCATTTTCAGGCATACAGCTTCATTCTTAAATTAGGGGATGATTATAGGGAAAACCTTTCACACACGTGACAAGGCAACATAACAATTGGTCTGAAGATCCACCTCCAAGATTTACAATTCCTTACAACTGGAATGGGTTCTTAGGCAGAACCAGAATACAGACCCAGTCATAATTTTATGAAATTCATTAAGATGGAAACAGCAACAATGATTTCTGCAACAATACTAATAATATTCTATACAGGGTGAATCCCTGGAAGGAAATTCTGGAAAACAAAACAAAAAAACAACAAAGCAAACTTTCTTGTCTGGTAAGTAAGAAACACCAAAATGTAACAGCAAATACTGACATACAACAACTTTTTCCTTAGAGATCATGAGCAGAAAGCAGGAGGAAAAAGGCAACTATGCCGAAAACACAAAAATTTCTTTTAAGACCTTTAACTTGTATAAAATTTCTTTTAAGAGAGAGAACACGTCACCATTAGGAGACTACATCCACGCTCATCCAGTTTATGATTCAGAATTACTGAAGTGTAGACTGGGATTTCCATGAGCTAGAAGAACTAGAATGCTATCTGCAACAATCATTTTAAATATACCACCAGGCTGAAAAGAAGTAGACCATCAGATACAAGCATATGCCACAATAGTTCCCCTCACCACGACCTCCAGAAAGCCAAGGCTCTTACACATGTCCTTGTCAAATCAAATCCAGCTTCAAACTCCTGTTTAAAGCCAACTTCCTGCACCATTTGTTTTCTTCTTTCTACTGGCCCAATACTCAAAAAGTACCTCTGTAGGCTAACATGAATAAAAACCCACCCATCCAACCAACAACAACAATAACAATAATAATAATAATAATAAAAACAACGACCCTTCTAACATTCCCAAACAAGTGGTTATTTTAAACCAATAAGACTGGTTTGACTTTAAGATTAGCATTAAAAATTTAAGAAGAAAAAAAAAAATAGTAGAGACGTCAGATTTTTGGATGTCTGAAAATTGCTCTGAAATACTAAATCAGTGAGAAAAAACATTGCTTTTAGCCTGGAAAATGTAAAAATAAACATTGATGTTCTGAGACAAAAATAGGAACCCTTCCTACCTCTTGGATTTGTATCCATCTCCCCAGATGTTAAGCCAATTAGATTTGGACGCTGTGTTTGTGCTCTTGTAAAGAACTGCCGATATTGAGATCTACCAGCACTGGTAATACTGGGAGCTTCAGGGTTATAGCCATCTGGCTCATACGTATCTATAAAAAAAAAAGGAGAGAAAGGTAAGTGTTTTTCAAATGAGCTTAAGACTCATGGTCAATCTACCTTTAAGGAAATGCATGGGTGTCCAAGAATAAGAAGCTGTTTTTGAATGAAGAGAGAAGAGAGGTCATACAATGAATAGCTACAAAAGCCCTTAAGCTTTAAGCTCAAGTATATTTGGGAATATTCTCCTATTTTAATGATTGTTACTGTTTGTCAAAAGCGTGTAAGTCTCCATAACTGAATATTGATGGCAAACTGCCTGAAAAAGAAATGAGGTACCTCTTTCACAACCTTCAGCAAGCCTGAAATTGCTCCAAAAGGAATAACAGAAGATTTAGTTTGAGTATTTATTCTTATGTCTTGTCCTAAGATGCAAAGAGATTTTCATTCTTTCCTACCAACAGGTCATATTACTTCAGAAGCTGATTTTTGAAGAATGCAGTTAAAGGATTTCAATCAAAACAAGCTGAGAAATCACGCAGCTTGCCCCATACTTACCTACTGAATTCTCTTAAGTCACATAAGGGTGAGATTAGCTGCCTACCTCTAGTGATGTACTCACAATGCTAATTACAAGGGATAACTTTGAGAAGATGGCGACAGAACTGACTCACATTTTTCATCTAGTCCGCAGTACATTCAGGACGATGCATTTTTCAAATAATAAAAAAGGAAAACCTATACAAGAACTTGAATGAGTAAAACCCAACAAAAACCTCCTCAGAAACACAGTAGATCCTGGAACAGAAATGGATGCTGATACAGAGGATCCACAGGACCCAAAACACTCTACATGTCCTTATTCTAAGATGACAATGAAGACTACAGTCTTATGCAGATGCCTCGAACTTCAGCACTGATGTTTTGTCATGCAGTGCTGACTCTGCAGTGAGCACAGCTTCAGACACCACCAAGAACCTTCACTGAACTTGTGTGAGCTCAACCACAAGTTCCACCTCCTCAAGGATTCGTCATGCAATTGCAAGATGACAATCAGCTGTAAGTGTACCAGTGCAAGAACAGGTCATGAGATCCAACCTCTACAGAAGTTTAAGAGTATTACATAGTGGAATTGAAGTCACTGATGCCTTGTTAGTTAAAACAGACAGAAACAGCCCTTGGAACAAACTTCGAAGCTGAAAGAATCAGATGGGAATGTGGTCTGAAAGCATTTGGAGGCAACTGAACAGAGACCCTGATGAGATACTTGAATGACTCTAAAAAGTCTTTCAGGTCTCTAAAAATGACTTTCAAACAGCTCTAAAAAGTACAGAATTCACAAAGGAAATAACACAAACCATAAACTGAAGTTGTCCTCGTATAAAACATCAAAGTGTGATTACTCTTTTCAATACCAAAAAAATATAAACTTTATTGGATTTAAAAAAAAACAACTTAGGGTTCTCTAGTTATTTTGTTATTCCTTTCATAAAATACACGTTTAAAAAAAATTGTGCTCTGTAAAGATGATGTCATATCCATCAAATGTCACGTGTTTTTAGTTAGAAAGCTAGAATTACATCAATTCTGAAAAGAAAAGGGGATAGAAATGAAGTACTAATGTATATGAAAAACGTAGAGACAGTTTTGATAAACAGCAAAGAAAACAAAATCTCTCATGTAGTACACAGATCTGGGTAGAGATGAAGACCAAGCTACCCAGTAATTACAGATCAGCAGATGCATCTTTCCCATGCTGATACTCTACTAAACAGTTAGGAAATGAAGGGATCCCTTTGTTACGCTACAGTTTTGCTACTTGGAAAATATGAGATGAAAAAAAATCTCCCTACAAACGACTTTTCCTCGGGCAGTGACAGAACACTGCTGCTACACCTCACAGCAACAGCAGGATGATGCGCTGTCCGCAAGGAAAGGCAACACTTTTTAGATTTGTGTTTACCGGAAGAAGACAGAGGTAATAACCTCTAATCCCACAAACTGAAGAAATGTAACATTTACATGCCAAGCACATTTAAGAAAAACTAAAAAATTGCTTACGTTCTGATACTGTGTACAGGAGGTTCTGGGGTAGCGGGGGGGGCAGCCGTGCTCCCACAGGCGCCAGGCTGGGCACTGCGCTCGTCCCGGGCTGCTCACGGTTATTTATTAGACTGGACTGAGTTAAAGGTGGTCCTACAACGACATCGTGGAACAGATCACTAACACTCCACAGAAAAAACGTGCAAACAATTCTGTGCAATTCATTTATTCCTTGTAAAGGATCACAGCTCTACCACATCAGAAGTTTAAGTTAGATGAGAAGCCCCACTCAGGTAAGTTACTCTGATTACAACAACCTTTCCCTCTATCCCAGAATGAATCAAGCTGTAAGCTTAAGAGTTAATATATATATATTTATATATATATAAAATTTTCTTCCCCAGAGCTTTATTATTGTTGGAACTTCATTAGCTAAAGCAGCTCCTCCCTCAGCCTTGCCATGGAGAATCGAGGCTTACTCAGAACAAGACGTCACACCAGCAACATTTAAACCACATAAAATTACAGTTCTAAACCAAAAGCTACAGGGCAAAAGGTGTTAACAGGCAAGGTCTAGCTGTTTCTCCCTGTATGCAGCACACACATGCTCCCTACTTACTGTATTCCAAGGAAGGACACTTGAGATAATACTATGCAACATACTAAAATTAACAATGATACACTCAAGCCTTCCACAAAATTATAGCCATATGTAATTTCACCAGAAGCATCATTTTAAAATAACACTAGCACAAACAACAACTGTATTCCCAAAGATTAATTTATTAATTAATCCTCCTACAGCCACTTGGAAATGTTTTCTAGAAGCCTGCCCACTAATTGCTTAGTGTTAACCAGATACAGAACTTATTTTGCATCCCATAGCTGCTATGACTGTCAAAACATGTATTGTGTTATTGGAAAAGAGAGCAATAAAACCACACCTTCAATATTCTTAGATTTTTCTTCATAGAATTTACATTATAAAACAATGAGAAAACAGAAAAGGTTGAACTGCCTCAGAGATCACTGCTGAACAGGTCATGGATCTATCAGGTATCTGCTGCTAAGAAACTGGATACAATATAGTACCAAAACCATTTATTAAAACTTTGAGATTAGACCTCTCTGTTTTTGCACTAGAAAACAGAAAAGTTGTCAGTCCAAACAACACTTGTGTTATGAGACGGTCTGAAAGATTTTTCCCTTCCCCATCTGTTCTATTCATCTAATTCAATTTGGAGTATAAGAAACATCACGTTTTACAGGCTGAGTTTTCAAAATTATTTTGGCAATCTTTTGGTTAGTACATGGCTAGAAAAGAAACTGCAACTCATTGCTTCAGCTACAGGTACCTTCCTTTCAGAAAGAGTCACAACTTTAACTTTTAAGACAGAGTAACAGAGAAAAGTGCTTTAACTTACTTGGTACAGGAAGCACAACAGGAGGTGGTGCCTGCGGATGAGCTTGTGGAACTGGGATCCTCAAACTGCGAGCTGGACCTGGCATGGGAGGCAGAAGCATACCAGGAGGGGGTGGAAGTCCCGGAGGTGGTGGAGGAAAAGGAATCATACTTGGCAAGGAAACTTCATCTACTACTAACGGATCATTTCCATGATCAAATTGACAAAGATCACCAAGTACACAAAATCCTCTCTCTGCAAAACAGAAAAATTATATTTTCAGGAAAAAAAACCCAAAACAATATCACCCCAGTTTTTTGCTGGGATTTCATCCTAAAGAGAACACACAATTACTAATTTAGGACTACCACATGCATTTGCAGAACAACTCAAAGTAATCTTCCATAAAAGCATACAAACATACATTATGCACCATAAAATCCGTGGAAAAATAAAGATGCATGACCTGTTTTAGGTTAAACATGTGCAATGAAACCTTTTTCAGAACTGCTAGTTGCTGAATTATTTGCCAAGGCATATACAGAACTGTGATCAACATCTGTATGTCCGCAGCTACCAAATTAAAAGTAAACTGCTCCCAGCAAGAAAAAACTCTTTCTCCAGTTAAATATAGCTCATACATACATGCATTTTTATATACAAGGTACTCTAAAGGCTTCTGCATTTTGATTGAAAATTGAAAATGGGGAAAAAAAAAAATGGAAATTGTAGTATAATAAAAACTAGGCAGGAATTCAAGGACTAGAAAACAGTTAGCTTACCATCATAATCTTGACACCTTCTCTTAGGTGGAGGATTTCTGCCAAATGAACTGGGATTGCTATGATTGTTATAATAATTTGACCAACTCTCTGTTGTGTTTTCAAGATGGTGCGCAGGTGCAATTACAGTAACAGCACTGGGAATAGACTGTGCAGCAGAATACTGTTCAGTAGAGTTACTGGCAGATGCAGAAACTGGATTATATGTGCCCTCAACATCATTTCGTTCACTCTTGAACTTTGATCTCTCACGGTGCTCTGGTTAAAAAAACAAAATGAAATCAAAACAATTCAGGTAAGCCTTCATGATTTATTCTGTATATCAGAGCCCTAGAAGAAAAAAATAAAAACCCTACACAACAACACAGACACTTGCTTAAATATTCATTATTCTGTACATGAAATTGTTTTTGAAGATTAGTCTTACCCACGGATCAACAACTAACATAACGCAGGCACATTTTAAATATCAGAAAATTAGATGGTTTCTTTACAAAATGAATGTTCTTTCTTTTACTCCTAATACTTTCTTGGATTTTAGCTTTCCCTCTTGAAGTAGAAAGGGTGAACCTCCACCCATCAGTAATTAAGGTGGTCTCAAAACACATTTGTAATCTGTGCCTCTAATTTTTCCTAAAGTTCTGAATTAACCCTAAAGAAATAAAGGATTGTGTGGTAACAACCTTCACTATGAAAGGACCTTCTCTAAAAATGCATGGTAACAAAGTGAAAAAGATTTACACTACTTTGCAAAAAAGAGTGCATCTTTAAAAAAATCAGCAGCTTTGTTAGCATATAGAGCACGTAAATATCAGCTACTGATATCCACTGGTATACACCTGTGGATAAATTAACAGGTTAGCAAAGAAGAAAACAACCCCCTTAATTATCCTACCCTGATGAACAGCATCTTAATGATTTCAGGAAGACAAAGTTCTCGAAAGTTGCTCAGATTGCTCCAGGGCATCTACAGCCTGCTAGACTATACAACATGTAGGAGTCCTCACACATCACTGACATTAGATGTCCTCCTAAAGCAACACCTTGAGTACTCACCAACACTTCTGTTTGCATCATGGTCTTTGCTTCTACCCCTGCTGCGGCTGCGACTTCGACTCAGCCCTCTGCTTTTACTCCGACTTTTGCTCCTGCCTCGCCGCCAGCTGGACTTGTCTCTGTACAGGTCACTCCTGTCGTAGTATCTGTCATAGTCCCTCCATTTTCCATCATCTCTCCTTTTCTCTCTGGTTCTAGAAAAACACATATGTAGACTACATTTATGAAAAGAGAAACTAATTCATTCACAGAAAGCAACCAAGGGAGGACTAAAAAATTAGACCTGCGAGGCAGTTATAGATGAAGAAAAACAGAAGAAGTTTCAAGAATGATGTATATTTGTGTCTGTCTTGGTGAAGGAGACAAGAGAAATGCAGTAGGAACATCACCCCCACCACCAATGATTTTCATTTATATAACAAGAGAAAGAATGGAACTGATAACATCTCTAGGTATCAACATTGGAAAAGTATTGCCATTTTTTCCCAAGGAGACCAAAATCTAGGGTAGGGTTCTCATACATGCAATCAGCACAGAAATACACTGCAGACAGAGGAAAGTGGGCAGTAAATCACTGTTTTACGTTATAACCTAGCTAAGAGGTATAAACCTTCAGCTAAAGACTGCTGGGAAATACAGAAGATATCAGCACTTTGGTTCAACTACTAGCCTTTGTTCACTGGAATCTGCACGGCTTCTCTGTGGACTAGAATGCTTCTTCTTCCTGCTATCCCGCTCTTCTTCAACTGATTCTTGAAAATTCTGTTTAACAGACAACTACAAAATAAGGGTAAACATTACCTTTTTTTAAAAACAAAGATTTTTTTTCAAATCAAAACAATACAGAAAGGCAGCCTTAAATAACGATTCAATCATCCCTGCTTAGGATTATTCAGGAAGAATTGTTAGAAATACTCAAGATTTGCCTTGACAGGGCTCAGGATAGCCCAATTTGAGGTGATACTCTGAAAACATGTTTGGATGGCATGATCTCCACTACGATCCCTTCCAACCAAGGGTTACGTATGATTCCATTCTCATTTTATTTTCTGCCCTCCATTTGCAGGAATCATGCAATACACTGAGCTGCATGACAAATCAAAGTCCTGAGGTACAATAGCTACTGAATGTCCTGCCACATAAAACTATCATCAATATAATTCTTTTTCTTCTTTCACATCCCTGAAACACAACCAAAACAAAATTAAAATCAAAACCAATCAGTTACACAAAGCAGTCCCCCCTCCCACCATTAAATTGCTGTTTAAGTTAAAAGAATAGTTTTAAAAAACTGAGAAATTATGTCAGTTTTTGAAGAATTGATCAGCAAACTATGAAAGCCTTCTGTAGTTCCAAATCACAACCTTCGATCACCAAAGCTACAATGACAATAAACTGTCACAGAATTCTGGAGCTAACCCTCAAACACAAAAGGACATAAGAAAGGAAAGACCAAGTAGCAGCTTTGATTGAAATGGACTGATGAATCGTTTCTCCCAAATAACAATCCACTTTCCACAATACAGTATAATACAACTTTGTTTTAGCTGACCAACAGAGTTCGATCATCAATTCTTTGTTACCATCGAGATTGTCCAACAGTTCAAACACTGAAGACAGAACAACTCATTCCAGCTCACGTCCAACCAAGATGTGAGCTCATCTTATATTAGACTCACAAACACAAGAATAAATTTCAATACCAATTCAGAATACTTGCATCAAACAACATTTCTTAAGGTTCATTTGTAAGAGAACAACAGTTTTTGCTCTTAGCACTTCTTGACATAAGCATCCCTGGAAGGGAAAGAACCGGAATATTTTATCTGCTTTGACTTTATTTGAATCTTTCCCATAGCAAAGGAAACACACATGTAGCCTAAAATATCTTGCAAATTGTGCTAAGACTATACTGAAATAAAGAAAATTTACTTCTGTAGCAATTTTCCCCAGCCTTTACTCAAAGGTGATACATTAGAATACTACAAAAACACAGACACAAAGCTCTTCCCTTGGAATACTACCAACACAGGAAAAAGAGAAGTACCAAACACAAGTGAGGATGATTTGAAACTGAAAGGGGTTTGGATACTTACAAAACTATTACTTGCCTTCTCAAAAACTGGAATGCTTTCAATTTCGTTAATAAAGGTTAAAAGCAAGACAAAAGCAAGAACTGCTGGCAAAGGAATGCCACCTCACTTTTTTCAGTAATTAATCCTCAATAGAGAATTCAACTGTAAGTATTACAGAACACACTTAAAATAATTTCCAGAACATTTCCTGCTCCATTTTTTTAAATATTCTGTAAGGAATAGAATGTTTTCTCTTCTTCCTCACCTCTGAAATCCTTTCAGATCAGTGACAGTTCATACTACCAGGGACAACAGAACAGGATTTTTGAATGCTACTAACCTCGATCAAAGGCAGACTTCACAAAGGGTTTTCAAAATATTCTTGCCTGAATTATCTTTCATTTTCATAGTAAGGATCACTAGTCCCAACACAACAAAGTGGATTTTGCTATTGCGTTTTCTCCCGTAACTGTTACAGGATGGCTACACTCAAAATTAGAGGCAGGTAGAGAATGAATACGGTTACCTCCTCCTTGATGACTTCTTTCTCCTGACCTGCAGGCTTCACTTCTACTTTCGTGGGTTCGTGAGAAGGAAGGTAACTCTTCGTGTACAGACTTTCAAAAAGTTTATCTACAAAACCTGAAGTTTCTGAGGACAGAGAAAACAACAAAAATATTATCATATATCCATGTATGATTTAAAATAAATCATCTTAATATATGATTTAAGCCGTTGTTTGGAATGGATTTGCCAGAAAAGTCTTTGGAAAAAAAAAAACCCTTGATAGACTGCTTACAACTATAGCAGCAGTAACTCAGATTAATGATTAATAGTTCAAGAAAATGGAATTACATTTGTGGAGTTTTACCTTGTCTTTTTAGACAGAAAAAAAAATCATTAAATGCATCACAGACAAAAACACAGACTTTTCTTTCAATCACATTTACAACTTTGAAATGTTCTAAGAGGCAAAAGCGATTGGAATTTATGATCAAGGAAAAAGGTCTATGCTTAGCCTACCAAATAAAATTAACAGTTGATTTTAACACCTTGAATTTGAACCAAACGGCCCTGAGAAGCTCTCCAAAAGCTCAACATGGGTCAGGTTTTCAGAAGTCATCAAACATCTGACGGAGAGACTTCCAGCAGTATGAGACATTTTAAAAGAAACTCAAGTGTTAGCTTTTAATTCTTCCTGCTCCCCACAAACAAGACCAGGCTACAAAAATACAATCTTGTGCTAAAACAAAAAGCCCCAAACCAAACGTGACTCAAAGTACCTTTTTGCAGAAAGACGTCCAGCTGATCAGCACAGAAAGCTTTTAGCTCTTTCTCTGGTTTGTCTTTCTTAACTAATGCCACAACATAGTTGGCTAAGGCTGATGGGTCTGCATCACATCTACAGAGAGAAAGAACCATTCTTGATTCAGCTGAAGAACACCAAAACCACTGCACATTGGACACTGACTGTTACACAAGGACCGCCAAACAAAACCCATATGCAGCTCACCTGCTGACACAAGTGCACCAGGATGACTGAACTAGCATTCTCCCCCTCCCCACCCCATTAATTACAGCGAAATACTTTAATTGTCTGGTGACCGCCCCCACCCCACCACAGCTGACAGCTCTCCCAGTCTTTCTGAGGCTGCTCCAGAATAATAACTTGCAGCCTCTTTACAGAAATCCAATTCCAGGGCACATTTTTCTCAACTTTCTCTAAGCATTGGCAACCACCACCAAGAACAGCCATACAAGAATTGCAGAATGAGAAGAAAAGTCACTGCATAATTGTCTTAAAGTACTAAAGTGGTTTTAAAATACACATAGTATTTAATATATACACAACATATATCCCACAAAAATATATCCCAAAAGCACATATTAAATATGCACACGGATACATTCTGTACAGCTTAAGTTACTGTGCATAATGCACAGCAGTTTTCATTTCCAGGATTTCCACACCCACAAATTTCACATTAGTCCTTTAATTCTAGTAAAGTGCAAAAAAGTGTAATTATTAGTACAGAATCATTACGCTCCTCACCTAAGCCCTCATCTAGCTTCATGAAGGCCAAAGATAGGCGACTTGTGCAGTGATACTCTGCCACTAATCTTTGAATTGGATATAGTTCCACTATTCAATATCATTAAGCACTAAATCCTCATTTTGCTCCTCTTTAAGAAGATGCAGATGTAAACCATCAGAAAGCAGGCAACACCACAAAGCAGCTCAATGATTCAATGTGTTTTTCAAACCTTTAAATCTCAACACGCTTTTTAAGAAAGGAACATCAGCTATAGAAACATGAAGGAAGAGTACAAAGCGTGCAGACTCCAAAACAATCTCAGATGAAAAAACTCAACAAATTAACAAACACACAAACTCATGTAGACAACAACTGGTTAAAGAAAAGACTTCTTAATGAGCTGTCAGTCAAGCAGTTCTGCTCCACATTAGTTTGCCTGTTCCCAGGATCCAATTAAAACCACGTAAAATGCAGCAATTAACCACAAAGAAACCACAAATTTACAGATTTTACAGTTCTTATGCGCACATGGAGAAAAACAAATAAACTGCACTAAATGCATTCTGTGGCAGTGACCACGTGGAACTGACTGTAAGTGCTATATCTGAACAGGAGGAGATGACGATCCACCACTTTGTGACCCTTCTGCTCCTCCCAGGTGTTCACATGGAGCTGTGGGGAGGGGAGCAGGGATGGGAGTGCTGGGAGCAGAGCCTGAGGAGCCCTTCAGAGGGATCTGACCGAGCGTCAGAGAGACTCCGTGAGAAACAAAGAAGCAGGCAAGGCAGCCACCTGCCAGGGGGAGAGCAGGAGATGCTTTGCTTTGGGCACTTTAAGATAACTCCTTCCAGAGATTCAGTTTCAGAGTTTCCTGTAGCAAAGCACACGTGTCTGTAAGCGCTCAGCTACTGAGATGTTCCACGTTTCTCGTTGCCCGCACTTCTAACAAACCAAGCTGAGTTTCGGACGCGCATATTCCGACCGTCGGTGCTCACAGCAGCCACACCGCAGCAGGACAGGTGTGACAGGCCGGTGAGTCCCCAGCAATTGGCACAAGCTGTTGACGCGCCGCGTGCAGGCAGCCCTGCGCTACGGCCTTCCGCGCCGACACCCCGCGGCCCCAGGCAGCGCCGGGCCCCGGCCGCACCGTGCGCGGAGCGCCGTGCCCGTCCTCAGGGCGCTCCCCACGGCCCGGACAGCGATCGGCGACTCCGGGCAGCGCTCGCCCCCGGCACGACGGGGCGGGGCGGGGCAGGGCAGGGCAGCCCCGAGCCCCGCATCCCCGCCTCCTCCTCTCCCCACAGGCGGCCCGGCCCGGCCGCGCCCTCCCGTCCCGGCTCCCCCAGACATGAGGACGCAGTAACCGCCCCGGCCCCGCCACGCCGCCCCGGCCCGGCCCGCGCTCACATCGGCTCCAGCAGCTTGGCCAGCCAGGACTTGAGCGCGTCCACGTTATCGATGAGCATGGTGCCGCCGCTCCGCCGCCCCTACGGCTCTGCCCGCATCGCACCCGGCCCGCGGCGGTTGCTGCCCGGTCCCCTCCCCCCGCCGAGGCCTAGTACCGGAAGTGCCGCCCGCCGCGGCGCAGCCTGCTGGGCGCATTGGAGGCGGGACCCGGCCGCCGCTCGCCAATCAGACGGCGGCGCCGCCGCGTGACCGGCCAATGGCAACGGCCAGGCGTCCGTCCCGAAGGTCAGCGGGGCGCCGGCGGGCGGGGCCGGGCGCGCACGTGAACCGCGGGGCGACATGTTTGGGGGAGCTCTTAAAGGGGCCGCGCGCAGCCGCGCGTCAAACGGGGCGGGGCTCGGGGGAACGGGCGGCTGCCGCGGGACGGGCAGAGCCGGCGTTACTTTTATTCGCGTTCGCGCGAGGCGCCTTTCCACGAGGAGCCGCGGCTCCGCACTCGGCCCGCGGCTCCCGGCAGGCGGCCCCGACTCCGCCGCGGTGGTACGGCCCGAGCCGGCCGCGCCGCCGCCGTGCGCTCCGGCCGCGGGGCGGGGCGCGGCGTTCCCCTCCCGTCAAGCACGGCGCGCCCGGCGGCAGCATGGCGGTGAGTGGCGCGGCGTAACGCACGGCAGCGCCTCGCGGTCCGCTCGGCTCGGGCGTTGCGCGGGGCCGCTCTCGCGGGGCGGCAGCGGGGAGCGCGTGGCTCCGGTACCGCTGAGCGGCGCCTTCGGAAGAGCCGCGCGGCTCCGTGGCGGAACGCCGTCCCGCAGCGCTGCGCGGTGCGACGGGGAGCCGCGCCTTACCGCACGGCGCCGCCTTCGCGTTTCCCGGGCGCGGTGCCCCGCCGGTGTGGTTCCGTGGTGGGTCCGGCCGTGTTTCGCAGGCCGGGGCGGCGGCATCGCGCTGCTCTGCTGGGCCGCGCTTGCAGCTGTGCCCTGCAGCGAGGGCGGCCGGTAACAAAGTGAGCTGCGACGCGCTGCAGCCCCGCTGTGTTTGCTGGGCCCTTCGTGCCGACTTCTGTTCCTCCGCGCTTCACAGGAGCGAAAGGGGACGGCGAAGGTCGGCTTCCTGAAGAGAATCGAGAAGGAGATCCAGCAGAAGTGGGACGATGAGCGAGTCTTTGAGACCAGCGCTGCGGACGGGCACAATCCTAAGAGGTGGCGTTGTGTTTTTTTGCATGTTTTATTTTTAATTTTTTGATGTTTATTTTTCCCCAGGGGACGTTTTTTCCCATCAATACCAAGGGTAAAAACGTGCCTTTCTGTGAGCCGTGCTTCGTGCTGTGCTACGCTGATGACCGTCTGCTGCTTGGGTCCCAGCGGGCTGGGAAGGGCTGCCCTGCGTTCCTGGGTGCTATCAGTGCCCCCTGGTTATGAAAGTGAGGTTCTTCCCAGAGACGTCAGCTGTCAGTCATGGAGGAGCTTTTTCAGTGTGACAAAGTGGGAGGTCAAGCAGTGACTCCCCCAGGTAGGAGCAGAGCTCCTTGTTTGAGGTGAGGCCATTCCCAGGGCATGGCTCTGCTTCACCGAGAGGGGTGGTTTCACACTCAGCTTGGGTCCTGGCACAGGCTGACCTGTTTTCCTTGGCACAGAGATGGCTGTAGACCAGCTGTGTTTCCTGGTTTGATTTCTGCCTGAATAACCCTGAGAAACCTGTTTGAGAGTGAAGCTGTGGAAATACTGAGTGTGCTGAATCCCTCCCCGATCAATAGAATGGCTATTTACAGTGTGGGAAGACTTGTGAAGCAGCACTAGTAGCTTGAGTGGGTATTGTAGTGAAAAAATGGCAGCCTTGGCAGCGTGAGTTACTTCTTATCTTGGGTTAGTTTGGCTTTCCTGTATAATAACTTAAGTGCTCTAACAAACAGCACCTTCTTGAACTGTAATCTTTGGCAAGCAAAGAAATGACTTGGCTTTTGTTTTTGTGTGTTTCTGAATCAGAGATGGTGTCAGAAGGGTGGGTCCATGCTGTGGGTTGGGGTAGAGTGCAAAGATGGAGGCACTAATTGCAAATGGCCTAATGATCTAGAAATTATGTTAGATGTTTTGGAAGGTCAGTAATCTGTATTCAAAGTGCTGTGCAACAATATCATGGCTGATTACTATCAAGTGGTTATATGCAGTGTTGGAGTGGAAAAGCTGAACTCAGTGGGAGATAAATGATTTCTTTGAGCCTTTGCAGCAGTTCATCTACAGAATCGGGACTAGAATTTTACATCTGGGAACGTGTTGCATTTAGTGCAGAGCTTTGTGATGTCAGTCCTATGAAGCTACGAGGTTGTTTTATGAGGTGACTAAGCCTGTTGTCATAGCAGTGCTTTAAAATCAGGCTGTTTTTGCAAGAATCAAATTATTTTGATGTCACTGTGTGCTGATAATGCCCGAACAGATAATGATATTAACTGTGTTGTTTATGCTTTTCTTGATGCTCGCTTTAAAGCTGATTGCATTGGGTGTTCTAATTCTTTGAATTTCTTCCCAGTAAAGGGAAGTACTTTGTTACTTTTCCTTACCCCTACATGAACGGCCGACTTCACCTGGGACACACGTTTTCTTTATCCAAATGTGAGGTAAATGTTTTCCTTTGCCAGTACCCTTAAATGCTACTTTTGAAATAGCAAATGCTTCTTTGTAGCTAACAGACTGCCTCGCTAAGTGCTTTGTAGGCTTAATGATGATGTCTTCCTGCTTTCTTATTTTTCCCATATTTTCAGTAGGAATAGTACTGTTTGGGGGGAGAAAAGGGTTGCATGTAACTTGTGTAGTTCTAGGAAACTGGACTGCAGGTGCTGCTTTTTCGGAGGTCGGAGGTGTTTAGGAGATGTTGCTCCTTATTTCTTGTCTAGCTGCTGACTGGCACAAGCATCACAAGGAGCCTTGTTGCCCTCTTTGTAAATACAGTGCTCTGTTTCCTACTTTAACAGGCTTTAGATAGTATTGGATAGGATTCCACGAACTCCATCTTTTCTTTGCATTCTTCTGTAGTCTAAAGCAGCCTCCTGGGAAAGGATGGCAGGTTTGTCCTGATGTGGCCAGGCAGTGCAGGTCTGGTAGCAGGATGGGTTTGCACCTTTGTTTCCTTCAGCACCTTTGTGCATGCTGCCTGCTGCATGCATCTGCCTTTCAGTAGCTTAATGGGAGGAAGGAACGTATTTCCTTTTTGGGATGGGTGCTGTTTTAACTTTTTGTCATTCTTTTTTCATTTTTCCACTTTATGTAGTTTGCAGTTGGATATCAGAGGCTCAAGGGGAAGAACTGTTTGTTCCCATTTGGTCTGCACTGCACTGGGATGCCCATAAAGGTAGGACTTGCTAAGGGGTTTTACCTCATGCTTTCCATTCTTAGAGGTATGTGGAACATTGCTTTCTGTCAGTGCAGAACATCATGGTGATTTATTCAAAGCTTTATCAAGATAGTGTGATTTGAAACCTGGCTTTGTAGGAAAGGTGTGTTCTTTACTTGAACTATGCAGTATGACTTCCAAGAAAATGAAGTTTTCAAAATTCAGCTGAAGCACTTTTTTGTTTGCAAGTTGTAGCAGGGATGCAAAGTCACAGCTTGAAGCAGTGATGGAGCACCTGGTGGGGAAGGCTGGCCCAGCCCAGGGAAGCTCAGGTGTGTGCAGTGTGCCTGAGTAAGTGGAAGGGGTGGAGCCAGGATCCATTCCTGCCCAGCCCTCATTTAAGGGCTGGCAGTGAAGGTGAGGGCATCTCTTGCTGGAGATCCCTGCAAGGCCTGAGGCCTTCCCAAGGTAAACAGCTCTATTCCTTCATTTCTGCACCTGTGACTGCTGTACTTGGGCTCGTTCTCATTTGCTGTAGCCAAAGACTTTGTCACCCTGCTATTATTGCAGTACTTTTCATCCTATCCTGGTATTACACAAATCCTCACTGAACATCTTCCTGCCATCACGGGCATTTTTCAACTAGAAAGCTCTTCTAGAAGTTGATGCAATGTCTGGAAAAAGTTTGTGTTGTAGTGGAAAGCACAGTGTCACAGTAAAAATCAATTGCATCATAGATATGGAGAAGTGCTGACAGACTTCCAATAACTCTAATTAGGCTTGTGCAGATAAACTCAAAAGAGAAATGGAGCTGTATGGCTGCCCACCTGAATTTCCTGATGAGGAGGAAGAGGAGGAAGAAAACTCTGCTAGAAAAGATGAAGAGATTATCATCAAAGATAAAGCAAAAGGAAAAAAGGTAAAGTTGATCAAACAGGGATTGGTAGCTGTGTTCTCAGAGCTTCCAGTTGTGTAGCACAGCCTGTTCTCCCTCCTTCACGCTCATCAGAGAGAAACGGGATGCAGAACTTAAATTGTTTTTCCAGGGCAGCTCAGCACTTTTGATGTTGACTTGAGGAAAAATGCCTCAGCTGCATGGATCAAGAGATAACATTTTGTTATGTGAAAACTTTACAATGAGCTGATGTACTGTAGTGATCATATTAGCTTCTATATCTGGAAATAACTTTAATGGGGGGGGGTAAGAGCACATGCAGGTATTGCCAATGTGATAACGTCTGATTGTCCTCTCAGAGTAAAGCTGCTGCCAAGACTGGTTCTTCCAAATACCAGTGGGGAATCATGAAGTCTTTGGGTCTGTCGGATGAAGAAGTGGTCAGTTTCTCTGAAGCTGAGCACTGGCTGGATTATTTTCCCCCCCTTGCTGTCCAGGACCTGAAAAGTATGGGATTAAAGGTAACTTAGAAATGTAAAGCTCAGTTCTGAAAGCAGCCATATTTGTATTTCTGAATATGGTTCTGTTCCTCTGGGACTAGAAATCATCTGCACAATAAAGACATTATTCCAGAAATGTTTCTATTATTTATGGAATTATTAATTTAATCTTTTAATATTAATCTTTTAATAGTCTTGTGTGATTAAGTGCTTTCTTGTCTAGAGAGTATAAGTTGTGTGTCAATCATTCCTTGAAACAAGAATCAGATGAAGAAATTAGGGCATTCTTTTCTTGTTTCCATACTAAGTTACCATTTTGTAATCAGTGTTGACAGTAGTTTTAGGAGTAATGATATGATAATACCTAGAGATAATTGTCCTACTGATAATAAATTTTTAAAAACAGATATTGAGAAACAGTGATACTGAAATTTAGCTTTGTTGATTGGTTAAAACTTCTACCAGACTTCTAAAATACACAGTTGGCCCATGAGGCCTGGAGTCGTGCATGTCAGCTCTCAAAGGCTGAGCATGCAGACTGCTTAACTGCCTTTTTAAGCGTGCACCATGAGTGTCTTATTTTAAAATTAGTGTAGTGTTTTGTGGTTCCTTCAATTTCTTTATTGTTTGTACTTAGTAGAGACTCCTATGCATTTCCAGGTGGACTGGAGGCGTTCCTTCATCACCACAGATGTTAATCCGTACTACGATTCCTTTGTGCGATGGCAGTTCCTAACATTAAAAGAAAGAAATAAGATTAAGTTTGGGAAACGGTAAGGCTGCTCTGAATTCACTGTGAATGTGGATGAACTGAGTTTGTGAAAGATGGAATGCTGTGACACCGTGTTTGTAACTCAGATTAAACTAAAAGGCTTTTATTTCAAATGCCCTATGGGTGTGAAAAGGTAGGGTGCTTATTGTGCTGAGTTTGTGAGATAGTCTGCTTGTGTTTTAGTTTTACCATAGCTGTCAATTCAAGGTTAAATCAATACTGACAGCTCATGCAATAACGGTCACTGGCATCTGTGGATAGCGAGTTAAGCAAAATTTGAAGATATCCTTTGGGCTCTCCCTTTGATGAAGGTGATTTTTCTCTATAGTTTATAAATGCACACTTTTACTTTTTAGGTACACAATTTATTCTCCAAAAGATGGGCAGCCTTGCATGGATCATGACAGGCAAACAGGAGAGGTAGTGTTTTCAGTTGTTTTCATGCATTGCTTGTGGTTCTTATCTACTGAAAGGAAAAAAAGCATCTTGGAGCAAAATGTATTTCATACATTCCAAACTGCCTGTTCTCAATTGTTGGTACATGGGGAAAATTGAGTGAACTCCACTACTGAGAGTACTTATCTTGAACTGCAGATAATATTTTCCATTGTGATCATTGCTTGTGAGTATTTGGCAATTTGTGCTATCAGCATTGCTGCAGCATATCAACCTGTTGAGACATAAGCTTTTATTTTGTTGCTGAGATAGCTGCTTTCATGAGTAAATTTTTGGACAGAGGTATAAAACAGATCCTCTCTCTTTAGTCTGCATTTTATGAAGCAGCATTTTGTTTCAATAGAGTTGTGATTTACTTTGACAAAAGCATTGTTGCCTTAAATAGCATTTAGGTTACTACAGAACAGTTTTTCTTTACTGCTGGAGTCAACTTCATGTATTGATTGCTGCATTGTTTATGTGAACTGCAGGGTGTTGGACCTCAAGAATACACTCTAATAAAAATGAGGGTGTTAGATCCTTATCCAGCAAAGCTAAGGTAAGTCTTCAATCCATAACAGCAAGTTGCATCCCTCTTATGGCCAAAAGTGACCATTAAAGTAGTCTGGTTTGCCTAATGCGGGACTTAATTTCATCCTGTTACTTCTGTCACTTCCTGAACTTGGTCTCTGCTTTGAGCTGCTGTATTCACTGAGCTGTGTGGAGCTCAGATTTGAGTTGAAACAAGCAGACATGCACCAAATGAGAAGCAAGCCCTGCACTGAATTTAATGAGCCAGTTAGGAAATGCAACATATAGTTCATGTTGGCTTAAGAGCATGTTCTGTGTTACCCTGAATGTTCTTATTTTGGTGACTTATAAAATGCTTTTCCCCCCCCGCCAGTGGCCTGAGAGGAAAAAATATCTTCTTGGTGGCTGCGACGCTCAGACCAGAGACCATGTTTGGGCAGACCAACTGCTGGGTTCGCCCAGATATGAAATACATTGGCTTTGAAACTCTGAATGGGGATATCTTTATCTGCACCCAAAGAGCTGCCAGGAACATGTCCTACCAGGGCTTTACGAAAGACAGTGGAGTTGTACCTGTTGTGAAGGAACTGATGGGAGAAGTAAGCATCTTGCAGCTTGCTGGCCAAGTCTTTTTCTTTCTATGAAACCTGTACTTATAAAGGTGGTGGTAGAATTCTACATTTACATTTTCCTTGTAAGTAGTTTTGGTAGATGAACTCAGCAAGTTTAAATGAGTATCAGCAGGAAGAGCTTGCTTGGGCTGAAAAAATGCTGTTTTTGTAATTATATTCCTCTGCCCCACACAGGAGATTCTTGGTGCTGCACTTTCTGCACCTCTCACCAGCTACAAAGTTGTGTATGCTCTTCCTATGCTCACAATCAAGGAAGATAAAGGTAATGCAGCAGCAGCAGCTTGTTGAGGTCTGTTTGGTGCACGCTGTGCATTCAGTATGTCAACTGATATTTTATCTGTTGCATCTTTTTCTTTGTAAAGGAACGGGAGTGGTCACAAGTGTCCCCTCTGATTCTCCAGATGACATTGCAGCCCTGAGAGATCTGAAAAAAAAACAGGTTCATCTCTTCTCTCAATCACTTCTGTTTTTATTTCAAAGGTGTGGAGGGACAAAAATGGATATTCAGTGGATAAAAAAAAAACTCCTTTTAATTGGAGTTTTGCTGTCCCTAACTTCAAATCATTGTAGTTAAATGAAATTAGAACTAGCTGAGCTCAGTCAGGGTTTTCTTCCGTATTCAAGAAGGATTTTGAATGGGAATCGTGTTGCTTTTGTCTTAGTGTGCAGAAGAGGAATGTCAGTGAACTAGAAATGATTCCTGTTGTGGAAATGAATTTGAGATGAGAACTCTATATGAATTTCAAATGAATCTTAAAGTAGCTGTGGCTGTTACAGCTTCAAAAGTGATCACTGTCTAAACAGCTGTCACTGGCTGCTGAGTTTTTGTTGCACTCATTTTCAGTGGTAATGTGTTTTCCCATCTTTAGATACGTACATGTTCTGATAGTCACCTGAAAATTAAACAGATTCAAGTCAGATGTGTGGAGTAGTGAGCTGGCAGAGCAGCAGTTTTGTTTGTTTTAATCTAAAATAGCATGTATGCAAAAGAGCTTGGGAACAGATAAAAACCTTCTAAGGTAAATTTTTTTTCTTCCATTCATATGCTGTGTTTTTTTTCCCCTCTAACTTTCAAAGGCTCTCAGAGGGAAGTATGGTATCAGAGATGAAATGGTCCTGCCGTTTGAACCGGTGAGTTCACCCACTTGGTGCATCTGCAGTACGTGTGGTGGCTTTGTGCTTCCTGATGAGAAACGTGCCAGGATGGTGCATCTCTTCCAGAACTTTTGTCTGAATTCTCTTCAGCTGAGAAGCTTAGAGTGATGTTTTTGTTTTCTTACAGTTGTTGTCTGGGGGCTGTTAGCGGTTGCAGTCTTTTTTTTTTTATTCTGTGTTATAACAAATGTACAAAAGCATTTTTTTGTGGGAATTACTATCATTATCCTGATAGCCTGTTGGTTACAGTAATAATCCTGTCTTCAAGGCAAAATATAAAGGACTGAAGTTACTTAACTATTAATGCAAATGATGGCTGAATCAGTTTTTGTTGGAAAACATAGATTGCTGATAGAGCTGTCCCAGTGTTCTGTGTTGGCCTTGCTTCCATGGGCCAGCTATAGTGCTGGTACAGTGTGATATTGGCATGATATGAGGAGATAAAACTGGGTTATTGCCAGTGGGAGAACAGGTGAGGGATCTCGTAGGAGACATCAGGAACTCTTGACTCGTGCAGGATGCAGTAGAAGTTGGCCGTTGCCCTGACACCTCCTGCTGGTCAGTACTGGTTTTTGCCCTGCTGTCATGCAACACGTTTAGGTAACATGTCAAAATTGCCTTTTCTCCTTTTGTCATCACTTGTTCAAACTCCACTGTCAGCTGCAAAACAAGATAAAAATACTAAATACTCATTTCTTATTGAGCACATCTCTTTTCCTGAAGAGAAATCTGGGAGATGAATTCTTGTGTGGATTTTATTACACTGAGATGATTTGAAGTAAATACCTGATGCTGTTCTGTTAATTCTCAGGTGCCCATCATTGAAATCCCAGGTTATGGCAACCTTTGTGCTCCATTCGTCTGTGATGAGCTCAAAATCCAGAGCCAGAATGACAGAGAGAAACTTGCTGAGGCCAAGGAGAGAGTATACCTTAAAGCATTTTATGAAGGAGTAAGTAATGAAGGTGATTCTGCTTAGTTTGGGAGAAAAAATTCCCAGGGCAAGAATTAGAAATAAATAAAAAAGACAGGAAAGGGGGAGAGGTTTCTTTTTCACCAGTCCATTTTTTGTTTAAAACTTCTATAGTTGGAAGAGTTGTGTGGAATTGAAGGAGAATGGAGAAGTGTGTGACTTCAACTTGAGGCTCATAATTTAGTTTTTTTTGGAAATGGTCCCATTCTGAGGATCTGATCAATGTTGTTGCAAGTGTTGATTTGGAAACTGGTATAAAAAGATAGCAGTTTTTTCTGTCTGTGCTTACGTGATGGCTTACTGTGACGTATTCCTCAGGTCTGTTTTTGTAAGCTGGCAACAATTTGAATTTCTGCCTAGCCCTGACTGATTGCCTGTGTGCATGCTGATGTGTGCAATTTATTTTTAAGGAAAATATTGTTTATTGAGGAAACAAAACCAAAGCAAACCACTGGACAAATGAACAAAAAATCTCCAAAAAGCAAAAGCTTGCTTCCTATTTTTGCTTGTCAGAGATAACAAAATGGCAATTATTGCTGGGTCTAAAACCTACTGCACCTCCTTCTTGTTAATTTAAAGTGAATAAACTCCTCTGACTCATCTTTTACAGGTAATGTTGGTGGATGGATTTAAAGGACAAAAAGTTCAAGATGTCAAGAAACATATACAGAAGATGATGGTGGATAATGTATGTAGTAGTATGCATACCTATATGGGATGGATAGCTAAAGCAGAGACCTTATTCTCTGCTTTATCTCACAACCTTATCAAGGAAATATTTTAGTCTCATTATCATATTTGATATAAGGCAAAGGTACTGAAAATGTAGTATCTGAACTGTAAGTTGTCTTCAAGTAAAAAGTAAAGGATATTGTTTATATGGAGATACCCCTTCTGGGGTTCATCAAGCAGAGAAGGAAGGGTAGTAAGTGAAAAATGAGCATGTCATGTCCAGTAACGTTTTCCTGATGAGGACAGCAAGTGGGACGGCATCTGTTAGTCTGTATTTGCCTGTTATTGCAGCACTGTAATCTTCAGATTGTAGTATAGCACTTTGTACTACTTCATGCTGCAACAGAATGGATGGTCTGGGAAGGCAGAATTCCAGTTCTACTTTTTTGCTTTCCCTGCCTCATGTTTTTTTTTGTATTAGCTGTGACATACGTGTGATACATTTTAGATTCAGCTATGAATAACTCCTTACAAAAAAAAAAAACAACCCACTAAGCAGTAATTGGTAGGGAGGTGATTAATGAGTAATTTTTGCTTCTGCCCTCCTTGTCATTGTGCATGGTGATGGTATTCACAAAATTATGTGACCTGACACATCTGAGAGGTACACAGTCAAATATTATCTTCATTTTCTGGAAGGAAATGCTGGGGCAGTGCAGTAATGAAGCAATGTAAGAAATGCTGTAAAACAGACTGGAATTAAGATGATATACATTTTAGTGAAACGTGAGGATTTGCAAGACTTTGTAAATGTCTCAGATCTTAGCTTTATTGCCCTTCCAGGTGTGTAACATCTCTTCTTGTAGGATGAAGCCATGATTTATATGGAACCTGAGAAACAAGTGATATCAAGGTCTGCTGATGAATGTGTTGTGGCCCTTTGTGACCAGTGGTAAGTGAAGCAGAGGTGTAGTTAAAAGTCACTGTTAATTTATATCCAGAGATATGGTGTTTTTTAACAATAAAATGTTCTGACCATAGGTACTTAGATTATGGTGAAGTGGAGTGGAAGAAACAGGCATCGGAGTGCTTGAAACAGCTGGAGACGTAAGTTATAAAAGCAGATGTGAAGAGGAATTGATTGTTTGGTGGTACTCAGAGTGCTGGGAGGAGTGGTTATTAATAGCTTGCTTCTTCCAGGTTTTGTGAAGAGACTAGGAGAAATTTCGAAGCTACTTTGGGCTGGCTACAGGAGCATGCGTGCTCCAGGACATATGGCTTAGGTAGGCAAAGCACTCCTTTTCTTTCTTGGTGCTTTGTAAGCATGGTATTCATTACATTGTTTGAAAGGCTGAAGTGCTGTCTAGAATCCAAAATGGTATAGTTGAGTGTAGAGCAGACTTAACCAACTTAAATCTAGATCCAACGTCCCTGAGAAGGCATAATGTATCTTGTGAACTCGTGTGGTACAGAACTTTTTCTTGGGCAGTTTTGGAAGGGATTTCAGCAGAAGAAACTGATGGCCATTTCTTTAGCATCTCCCTAAATGACAACTGCAAAGTGTGAAAGCAGGTGCTGCAAGCAAGGGGTGGTACTGTCTGATACCTGGCTTCTGCCTCTTCCAGGTACCCGTTTGCCTTGGGATGAGCAGTGGCTGATTGAGTCTCTCTCAGACTCCACCATTTACATGGCCTATTACACAGTAGCTCACCTGTTACAGGGAGGTAACCTGAGAGGTCAGGGAGAATCTCCTCTAGGCATCAGGTAAGGAGAACGTAACACCATTTTGCTTGTTCAGTTGTGTGCTTCTCTTCTGAGTTGTTCTGACAAAGACTTGCCAAGCAGACTCATGCTTTGCTTTTGTGTTTTTAAAAGCATCACTGTCAAAACTTAACTTGCTGATAGCTATGTTAAAGCAGTGGTGTAGAAGGAGGAATGAGGGAAAGAGAATGTAGTGCTGTCCCCAGAGAGAAGGGGAGGAATGTCCTTGAAAGCAGGACTGCATGTGAAGTAAATAATCTTTTTTAGTACTTGTCTGACTTGCCTTGAAATGGTCCTCCCCAGGTGTTTGAGTGATTTATTTCGGTGGCTGCTGAAGTATCTCAGTTCTTGCTGAGAGACTGCTGTACAGCTCTGAAGAATTTTATGGTTCAGTGTACATAGAGCACAAGATCAACACTCCAGTTTTGTTACTGCATTAAAAGTTGGTAACTCTTACAGGCATAGAGCCCTCCATCCATAGCCCCATGTGGAAACGCTCAAAGTTGAGAGGGACAAAGCATTTGTTCTGAAATAGCTCTCAGAACTGCTCTGACCTTTTAGATGGAATGGCTGAACTTCCAATGATGAATATCAGAGGTGATGAGGCACAGCTGGTCTGGAATTTAAAACAAACAAAAACCACAAAAAACCCAACCCCATGGCGTTCTTGTCTTGAGTGTTATGCTCTAATTTTGCCTGTTTGGAGTAGTTGCTTTCTGGAGTAGTTCACACACTGTGGAATTGCGTCATGCCTTTTTTGATGCTATAACTAATCTGAGAAGCATTTCCAAAGTAATGTGCATACAAACAGAAGTAATTCTGAAAGGTTTTCATTTGGGTTTGAACCTTTCTAATTACAGAGAGCTTACCAACATGCTAGCCATGCCTGGATGCAAACTCTGATGTAATCATTCTTAGCACTGAGTTACAGATCTAACATGGTTAAGTACGTAAAATTACAGTGTACTATTGCACAAGTGGATAACATCTTTCTTCTTACTACTAAGAAGTGCTTTTTGCTGAGACTCTGTGGGGTAGGGTAAGTGAGGGCTCTGTGGCACATCAGGTGCTATTCGGATAAGCAACCTTAGCACCAAACATAGAAGTGAGGACACAGCATACACTAAAGCATAGAACAATAAATACCAGAGATAAAGCAGTGGAGTGGTGCACAGAAGAGTGTGTTAGACTGGTGGTGTTGTCTGTCATTTGAATTACTTGTTTAATATGTACAGAAAGTGCTTTGGATCTAGAATGTGTTCCTTTCTGCATAATACAGGGCAAAGCACCTTGAGAAATGTTAAAAGATGGTAAACATAAGTTTGAAATTATTTGGTTTGAGATGTGTCAAGTAATATCTGGTGGACTCCCCTGAAATGGTAAGAAGCCAGAAATAAAACTGTAGAATGAAAACTATTTCTAGTGCAGGCTGAGCAGTATTTTCATTCAAACTTGCAGAGCGAATCAAATGAGCAAAGAAGTTTGGGATTACATCTTCTTCAAGGAAGCTCCATTTCCTAAAACAGAGATTCCAAAAGAGAAGTTGGACAAGCTAAAGGAAGAGTTTGAGTTTTGGTATCCTGTGGATCTCAGAGTATCTGGCAAAGATCTTGTTCCAAATCACCTGTCGTACTACCTCTATAACCATGTGGCAATGTGGTCGGATCAGAGGTAAGTTTGGAAATGATGCAAAGCAGGTGTGCAGGAGATAAAGCTGCAGACCCTGCATTGCATGATGTTATGATGTGCGACACTGATAACAAAAATCATAGAACCATGCAGACTCTTAGCAAGGTGTAGTTCCTGTGCATGAGAACACAGTTTATATTTCCTTGAATGTCTATTTAAAAGTTGTATAAAATTCTGCATAGGAAAAGCTATTTCCTGATTGTTAAATATTAAATCTGCTTCCTCCACTGACCAACAGACTTTTGCCCAACAGAATACAGAATAGCTCTCCCCAGTGCTATTGGATAGTGCTAATGACTGAGGTTTTAAATTACATGTACCTGAATAGAGGAAGGTGGTGTAAATGAAATATAAGTGTGGAAGCAGGGCTCCCTGCTTTGTATTTCAGCAATGGTAAGCCCTGCCCCTTATATTGTAGTTCTCCTCATTTTCAAAGACATTCTTTGACTTCTTAATTTTTAAGACACCTCCCAGATACTTTCTTGAAGATTCTACTTAAGGTGTTCATCCCAAACTGGAAAAAAACAGTTCATTTTTTGAAAGAGAATGTGTTTACTTTGTAATATGCTTTGTATCTTCAAACAGAGAAAAATGGCCAGTCGCTGTTAGAGCAAATGGACACCTCCTTCTCAATTCTGAAAAGGTATGGTGAGGTTTTGCGTATGAACCACTTGTGGATGTTCAAGTAGGCCCTTACCAGACTCAAAAAAAAAAGAAAAAAAAAATCCATATGAAGATAAAAGGAGGAAAGTGAAAATTCTAGTTCTTTCACTCTTACCTTCCAGGTTTTCATTCACCAGAGGTGACTGGAGGGACAGAAATTGCTGTTCCTCCATTGCTGCTTAACATTCTTCTGTTAGCTCTTCTATCACTTGATTGGTTTAGTGAAGATTTCAGAGAATTTCTGTGATGTTTTAGGATAATGAAAATGTAGTAAAACAAAAAAAAAAATCATTCTGCTTTCTAGCTTTGAGGCCTGGAGTCAGTGTAAGAAGAGGAAATTTTGTGTGCATATCTTGCTAACGCATATGAGTTCTGAAACTGAATTTGAATGTAGAAGTGCCTGAGCCTAAGAATTTGGCCTTGGAGATTGTCTGATGTGAAACCAAGAAAGCCGCTATGATCCTTCTTGAAAAACTGATGCAGGATAAGCTGAAAATGCTGATTTTGAAGTAGTATTTAATTTTCAGGGATTGGATACGAGTAATTTCTGGAACTGAGTTTTGGTGCCAGTTGTCCCATTTTCCAAAACCTGAGAAGTTTTGGAGTGGAACCCAAATGATCCAGGAAGCAGCTGCAATTTCCATGAGTTTATAGTGTATGGCTACCTTAGTAATTACACAGCTTGCCCGAGTCACAAGCTGAGTTCAGTGTTCTGGATCTGTGCTTGTGAAGGTCAGTCTGTTTTTGCAGTGTGACCTGGCTCAGATTTACCAAAGTTCCTTTGCTCTAATTCATGAGAAAATACTTTCCTACTGTTTTCATCAAACTTTTTTTCTGTTGTCTTGCCTGTCCAGTAGTGGACTTATATATGAGAAAACAAAGGTTCTTCTATTTCTTTCAGATGTCTAAATCTACGGGCAACTTCCTTACCCTAACTCAAGCTTTGGACAAGTTTTCTGCAGATGGTAAGTATATTCTGACCTGTCTCTGTTATTTCAGTGATGCCAAAATGAGAACTCATGTTTTGCTCTCAGAGGAGCAGTGGGTATATTGGAGTATTGCATTGCAATAAACCTACCAGCTGGTTTTGTTTGAAAAGCTGAGCTGTGTTTAGAAAATTGGGATGTGCATTAATGGAACACCTGTTTAAATCAAGACCTCCTCCCAGGTTGAGGTCTTCTGGAAGATGAAAATATCAGACAAATGCTGCTGATATATGCTGTGTGTTCCTGTGTCCTGTGTTCCTCCTTGCATCCTCCTGGTGGCTCTTTTTTTTTTTTCTGTTCCAACTTTGACAATGTCAGGCTCCTGGTTCTTGCTGTCTGTTTGATTTGCTTCCTAAGGAAAACGGTGCTCATCTCCTTGGTAAAGTGCATCCTCTGAGACATCTCTCTGGTTGGCCAGGCAATTTGTAACAGTTTCACATTTGCATTAACATGGAATTAAAAGTTAGTTGCCAATGACTTTGAGTCCCTTGCCTCCCGCACCCGCATCTACCAGCTAATTGCAGACCAGCCCTGTTGGCTAATGTGATTTCCCTCAGGAATGCGTTTAGCCTTGGCTGATGCTGGGGACACTGTTGAAGATGCCAACTTTGTGGAAGCCATGGCTGATGCTGGGATTCTTCGTCTCTACACATGGGTGGAGTGGGTAAAGGAGATGATTGCAAACAGAGACAGTTTAAGAAGTGGTCCTGCCAACACCTTCAATGACAGAGTCTTTGCCAGGTACTGTGTGAAGGCTAATAATACAGCGTGGTACGAGCTGGTTTTCTGTTTTATTTTTTCTCTTGCAAGGATTGTCTTTGTAGTAGTCTTGTGGAATTCATTAACTTACATTTAAAAACATTTCTTAAATTCACTTTCAGAAGAGCTGATGTGACTGTGTCGTACTGGTGGCATTTGTTGCATAGTTCTGCACAGTATTCCTATTAACAGGGTGGGCTGTGCAATAGTGGTGTTTTCACTTTCCTCCCTAGTGAAATGAATGCAGGCATAAAGAAAACAGACCAGAATTATGAGAAGATGTTGTTTAAGGAGGCTCTGAAGACTGGCTTCTTTGAATTTCAGGTAAGAGTTCTCGTTATAGAAAAATAATGCTTGACATTTATTGCTTTGTGTGGGTTTCTTTTGATCCTGATGTCTGTGATCCTTAACCAGACAGCTGAATTGGAATTTGAGTTATATCAAGAAACCAATTATATATTAAGACCAATTAAGCTTAATTATAAAGGTCTGTTTGTGGCATTTTGCGGAGGCCTGGAGGAAGACACCTGTGATGTTGCATGTAGACACTACTGAGAAGAATGTTTCCTGTCTCTAGGCTTTCAATAAAGTTTCTTTTAAGTAATCCAGATAACAACAGAATTTTCTGGAAATAGTGCTTTTGATACACTCCATAAACCACATCCAGAGTGTCTGCATTCCACTTAACAAGTTACAGACACTCCTTTCTGTGGTTTCTCTACATTTGGGAAGGGGGTTAAATAAGCTGAGTTGTATGCATAATGATCATTTATTGCTCCTCTTTGTACTCATTCGTATCTGTGAGGGTATTTCGGGGTCTTTTATATCTGTTCTAATTAACACTAAGGTACTTCTTGTAAAGTGAAGTTGTCAGCTGACACATTCACAGTCAGATACTTGAGAAAAATGCACTACTTCCAATAATCTGTTATTGAGTTCTAAGCTCCTTACGTTCTAAAGGCATCTTGGAGCAAACAGCTGGGTGATCTTCCTTTCGAGTGCTTCTCCGTGGCAGTTACTGAGTTAATGGTGATGTTGGCTTTCTTCCAGGCAGCAAAAGATAAATACCGTGAGCTGGCGATAGAAGGGATGCACAGAGAGCTGGTGTTCCGCTTCATTGAAGTTCAGACTCTGCTCTTGGCTCCTATCTGCCCCCACCTGTGTGAGCACATCTGGTCACTGCTGGGAAAGGTACTAATGGATGTTTGTTTTGTCATTTGATTCAGATCTAAGGTTTAATTGATTTTTAGGCTGGTGTCAGACTAGTAGATTTCATTTGTTTGCAAGTAGGGGAAACATCTATCCTATAATGTTAATGTATGAATTGCCATGACAGGACGTGTGTGACAGCAGGTATGTTGTGTTAACCTGTATCTTTGGTTACTGTAATGATACAGGTGACTTTAATGCAAGTCACTTTGACTAACTTCATACACAGGAGTGATCTAAAATTAATCTGATAACAAAATATTCCTGCATCTATGCATGGAACAGCTGCTTTTGTGCTACCAGGTAAACTGGGGAAACAAATCAAGTGAAGTTATGCATCTGTGTGGCAGGTGTGCTTGTGTATGCAACACAAATAAATGCACGTTGGCTGTGTTCTTACTCTTTACGACTGAGTAATGGATGAGTGCTCATTGAGATTCATACTGCCTGAACTTCTGTTTCCAGTCGAGCTGTAATTGATTGAAGGACCACCAGGTACATGCACGGAGATAAAAATGCACTGTAATTTCTTCCCTTCTTAACAGCCTGATTCCATCATGAAAGCCTCCTGGCCAGAAGCTGGCCCTGTGGATGAGATCTTAATTGGCTCTTCTCAGTACCTCATGGAAGCAGCTCATGATCTGCGACTGCGTCTCAAGGGCTACATGGCACCTGTGAAAGGAAAGGTGATGTGTAACAGGTCATCTAAGTGTGCACAGTTGGTAATTCTGCATTGCCTCCTCCCTCCTGATGTTATGCATCTCTTCCTTTCCTCAGAAAGGTGCTAAAGAACCTTCCCAGAAGCCTTCTCACTGCACCATCTACGTAGCCAAGAGCTACCCTCCATGGCAGCACACCACCCTGTTGGTTCTGCGCCAGCACTACCAGGTAGGAGTTCTGTGGTTTTCTTGGGCTGCTTCACTGCTTTATCTGTAAGGAAGCTTGTAAGTTGTAACTTGCTACCAAATTACTTACGTGTAAAGTGAGGTAGTTTTAATTTCTTCTACAAATGTCCAAAGAATTTTAATGCTTAATGAGAACATTCCAGGGTGTGTCATTAATTCAACAGTATGTCCATATTGCTTTTGGCTGTTTCTGAGTAAAAATGGGCCCATGTTCTCTTACATTCAAAAGGCTATCCACTTGTTAATGTGGAAACACAAGCAGTGTTTCTGAGGAAATCTTACTGACCAAGAGATTAATGTTGCCTTGCTGCACAAGTGGGCTTAGAGGTGTTTTCTGCTCCTTAAGTAGGCACATGCTGTTCAGTGAGGAGGTTGCAAGAAATATGTTGAAATGCAGAACATGTGTCCTAAGTGCAAGAAATTCATTTCTCTAGAAGTGGAGAAATGTGTTTCTGACCCAGACTGCTGGGTGGCTTTCGCCTTGCTGGTGAGCTGTCTTCCTCAGCATTGGAGCTGACACCTTCTGAGTCAGGACTCTCATAACTTGCAGTATTAAATCGATATTTCTTGTGTGAAACTTGTCTTTTGAATATTAAACACTGGGAATTCTATAGCGTTTCTTGCATCAGCATTAAATTCTGCAGTTCAGTCTGGTACACTGGATGGGAGTAATGGCAAATACCTGAGCTGTGAATGTAAAACAAACGAGGAAACTAGTGCTTACATATCTGCTTGAGGGTGGACTAATGCATTTAAGATGCACTTTACTTGATAATTTAGGTACACTAATATGTTGTTGCAGACAAGATTAAAGAATGGCAGTAGATATCCATGGGTTTTGGTTAATTTTACATTTTAAATGTTTTTAAAGGGATAGGAAAATGATTGTATGGAATCAATGATGATAACAGTCCTTGATGGCATTTTGGTAAAGCATTGAGGATATATGATAGTAATGGGAACATGTTGTGGTTTGTTTTTCCTTCTGATCCTTCTACTTAATGGATATTCATCAATATTTAGGTCACTGGAGGTCAACTGCCAGACAATAAGGTAATTGCCAGTGAGCTTAATGCCCTGCCAGAGCTGAAGAAGTACATGAAGAAGGTCATGCCTTTTGTTGCCATGATTAAGGTAAGTGTCAGAGTGACTGCTCTCATGCAGAAGGCGGCTGATGTTATCCTGACCTTGCACAAAGTATTGCCAGCAAGTTGAGGGACTCGGTTCTTCTGTTCTGTTCTGCACTGGTGAGGCTGCACCTGCAATACTGCACCTGGTTTTGGGCCTCGCAGTACAAGGGAGACAAAGAGCTACTGGAGAGTTGCCAAAAATATGCCTTCAGAGGAAAAAGAGAGAACAAAGCAGCTGCTGTAAAGTTTCCTGCATAAGAGAAATTTGTAAAAAGAGGTAGTATTTCATTAGATCAGCTCATATGCTTGCAATGTATCAGCCAAACTTTCAGTCATACAAGCAGATCAGGTCTGAAATGTACCTGTTCTTTTTGTCTTTAGCTTGGCAATTAATGATTCCCTTATGCAGGGAATGGTTTGGCATGCTGAGACTTACCCAACACTTCATCCGTGTGCTTTGAAAGAAGAGCAGTAAGCAACTGCATATAAATACATAAAGAAACACTTAGATGAGTGTGAGCTTAGATTCCCTGGACCAGTATGTTCTCTGAAACAGATTATTCAGCAGTTCCAGGGTATAAGAAGCATTTCTGCTTGAGCTTCCTATTTGTCAGAAGATAGGGCTTTGTGATTTACTAAGGGAAGTAATTCACTGTTAGTGCAGGGAATCTTGCACGTTACACTGATGAGGGAGCCATGGCCATGCTGAGTGTGGTGAAGCAGAGCTTCAGAGGAGACAGCTGACTGAGCGTGTGGAAGCCAGAGACTAATTAAATTCCAAAGAGGAAGCTCTGTTTTACTTCAATAAATAAAAAGTGGTTGTTACATTGCTTTTAATACTTTGGCTACTGTTGCTGTTGGTTTCCTATACTAATTAATTTACCTTTATTTTAACATATAAAGTGGTTGTTATTTCCCTGCAGAGAACTGTTTTATGACTGTTGTGAACGTGTTCAGCTGTTGTATGCTTGTTCTTTATTCTAAACTAGGTCATAAGACTGAATTTCATGCTGTGAAACAGCAGTGAAGTGCTGACTTATTGGGAGAATTCTCAACTCACACATTAAAAGGAGATTACAAGTGACAGAATATAAAACACCTTTGGAGTTCTGTATTAAAGATGTGTTATAATTGCTCTTACTCCTCCCATCGGTGTCACCAGCTCCCTGTAGAAGATACCCTGTTACAGGAGAATTATTGCTTCTGTGCCAGCATATTGTGCCAGCAGAGAGCTTGCATATTTTAAAGCCTGTTCTTTTCATAACTAATGTAGATTGCAATTTCGAAGCATCATCTTGCAGTATTAGATGGTTTTAATCCATTTTTTCTTCTGGCAGGAAAACCTGGAGAAGAATGGCTCCCGTGTTCTTGATCTAGAGCTGGAATTCGACGAACGGGCAGTGCTCATGGAGAATATTGTCTATCTGACAAATTCCCTGGAGGTTAGTTTGTATTGGTGTGCTTGTTACTTGGTTCTTACTGGGATAACTGGAGGATCAGCCTCTGCAGTGCCACTTCTGAAGGGATGCTTTTCTCTGACCTTATGTTGTTCAACTGAAGGAATTAGGACATGTATCACTGGGAAGAATGGTTGCAGTCCTTAGCCTGGAGTCCTCAGACTCTGGCAATGGCACACGTGAGCTGTAGCAGATTACTTCACTCTTTTCAAAAGCTGAATCTGGGGAGGGCTTTTAAAACTGTTACGAAGTAAAATGGCAGTCCAGAGGAAGTTATGCCTGCTTACTATGATCATCAGAATACATAATGAGGGGAGAGCTTGGGCAGGTTTATGAGAAACAGCTTGTTTCAAGAGTTCAAAATTTCAAAAATACAAACCACAATTTAATTGTCTTCAGTTGTGCAATGTGAAATAAAAGTGGGTCCATTGGATTTGTCCTGAGCAAAGTCTAGAGCTAACAGTGCCTGTTTTAAACGCATGTGTAAGTTTGCTATCTGTGATAAACTGTGGGAGGAAGGAGATGTCCTGCTGCACAGTGGGGCTTTCATGCAGGAGTGTGTCAAGATACATAAGAACTGAACTGCTTTGTCACACACAGTTCAGCAGGAGTTGTCACATTCAGAACCTTGGCACAATTACTGTTTCTGGGTGAGCTGGGGGTGGCTGGCTATCGGCTCTATGAAAGACTTGGTTTATTGTGGGATGTCAAGTTCAGTGTGAGTGTTCTGCTACTGCAAATGAGCCATGCTGTTTGTTGACCTAGATGAGAAGGAGTTACCTGCACAGGATGTGATTTGGCAAGCCAAGGGAAGCCATCCCTCCCAGCTCTGCTGATCTCAGACTTGGAGGATGTGTGTCAGTGTTCTGCCCTCCTTATTGTCCCCCACACCCTACCCCCAGTGTTAGAAAGGCTGGTGAGGAACTGCAGCTTGTTGAGCAGAGGACATCAAGAGCGTTGGTGTGAACTTCTTGATGTGCATGGAGGTCTGGTAACTCCTCTTGATTCCCTCCCCTCTCCCTGCCTGCCTTTCCTGCAGCTGGATCACATTGAAGTGAAGTTTGCTTCTGAAGCAGAAGATAAAATAAGAGAAGAGTGCTGTCCTGGAAAACCATTCTCTGTATTCAGAACTGAGGTAACCAACAGCAACAAAAAATCAGATGTTCAGATGTTGAAGGTCTGAAAAGTGGAGTACAAACCAACCCACAAATGTGCCATTTGAAAGTTTACTTGGAGATGTAAATAGGAACTTTTGCTCTTAACACCCTTCAAAACAGGAAACATTTACTGAAGCAATTGCTGTTTCTTTTCTATGTATGCTGCTGTAAATGGCCTTCAGGTGCTTCAGATCAAATCTTTCAATTGTGCTGGCTGGAAGGCTGTTAAATGAGTGAGCATCAGTGTGTATGTGTGTCTTTTTCAGTCACGTGCCTTGCCTACCACCCTTCAGATAAAGTAGACTGTGCTCCAGCTAAAACATGGGCCAAAAAATAGAGAACTGAGAGCTCTTGATCCTACTGATCTGAATTTCACTTCTCTGCTGTTATTTAGAGCTTCTGGTGGTGCTATGTCTGTATGTAAGGCATCACAAGCTCCCATGTGAAACTTCATTTGCTGAGTTCTGTAGTGTCTTAATGTTCTCAGTGCTCTCCTGTTAGTTTACAGTGTGCTAGTAAATGGCATTCAGTTGCATAAAAATCAAATACTTAAAGTATCCTTTCAGCTCTGTTGTGGAATTCTGAGAGCACTGGTCAGTAATGCATGAGATCTGTGAAACTCCACAACAGCAGTAACAAATGTGAATATTTCTAGCTCTGATACTCTTCAATGGTAAAAATTTCATGGATTTTTTTTCCTTAAATATGTCCTAAAAAGTCACATACCCTGCAGCTTATATTCTAAAGATTTGTGTAGGTGTTTCTGTTCTGCCACTGGCATTCTGTGCTGTGCAGTGAAGGTGATCTGTCTGGAACACTTGGAGATGGTTGGTTTGGTTTAGGTGCATATTTCCTCTGAGCCTTGAATCACAAACATGGATCCCCCTCTAATTGTTCATTAACTTTCTTACAGCCCAGTGTGTCTGTGTTTTTAGTGAACCCTCAACCATCAAATGGCCACTTCTCTACAAAAATTGAGATTAGGCAAGGAGACAATACAGAGACTGTGATCAGGCGCTTAATGAAGATGGACAGAGGCATCAAAGGTAAATACTGGAGCTGACGTACATGTGCCCATGCTGATCAGGTTAGCACTCTGTGCCTGCCTCATAACACTGTGTTGATGTCAGTATGGGTGCAGTACAGGTGCAGCTATGGCTCAGAAAGGTCTCTGCAGAAGGAAATAGCTTTACTAAGGGAACAGCAGCTGTGGTTTTGTTGAGGAGTGCAGAAAGTAAGAAAGGAACAAATCTGAATCACCGTGGAGCTGAATGTTAGTGGAAAACTGGGCTGAATCCAAAAGCTTCTGACAGCAGAGATATCTTTTACTTGTTTTTCTGTAACTTGTGTTTATATTAATGTTTATCTGTCAAACAAAGGTAACCACTGATGGATGGTGATGCACCCAGGGAGGAGTACATGATAACTTGTGTAGCAAAATGCATGCAGAGGGAAATGTGCTGTACACATAGTAAATGTATATCTAATGCCCTGCTGCAAGGTGAATATTTTGAGATCATTGGGAAGAAGTGACTCTTTCCAGCTCTGCATCTCTTCCAGAAGGTGTCACTGTTCTGTCGGTGGACAGGAGAGAAAGGCAGTGCTTGGAGGAAAGCATTACTGAAAGATACTGGGCTTTTTTTCTGGTCTGCTCAGCAATCTTCTGTTGGTGTGAATTTGAAAAGGAATTGTATTTCACAAAAACTCTCCCCTGCTTCTTTCCCCTGGTCTCTGAAATTAATTCTTCAAAACAAAGGCACTGCTAAGTCATTCACAGCTGACACGAGAACAGAAAGGCAGATGTGCTTGGAACGTGGCCTTGGGACTTGGGGATAGAACAGGCAGATGCTGTCTCTGCTACAGTTTGCTGTGTGACCACTGAATGGCATCTTTTAATGGGTTTAAGTCTTTGAGAATGTGTTTCCTTGGAGAAGATCTCTGGCAGTACCACGTTCAAGTGCTGTTGTGATGAGCTCAGTATCACGGTTTGTGTGTGGATGTGTCCTCATTAGCTGCTGGTTGTATTGCAGATCTCTCTAAAGTGAAGCTGATGAGGTTTGATGATCCAATTCTTGGGCCTCGCCGTGTTCCAGTCCTCGGCAAAGAAGAAGCAGACAAAACTGCTATTCCAGAGCAGGCAGTTTTCCACATCGACCTGGCTGAGAAACGTGTGTGCGTCACAGAGAGCGGCCTGATGAGGGACATAGGTGACACCATTGTGTATCTGGTTCATTGAACTGCCTTGTGCAGCTTCATCCCTGGCTGAGAGAGCTCGTGGAGTGACTTTGAGAGTATTTGTGACAAAGATGTGAATTTGTTCTTCAAAAAAAAAAAAGCCCCCCCACAGAAAATGCACCTTTTTTGCATGCAAACTTATCTCTACTCTTTAAAATGTGGATATAAGGAAATTATTTTCCTTTGGACCTTTGGGTTTTTTGGAAATAAACAATTTTTCCAAACATTAATGTGGCAGATCTTCCTTTCCAGCTTGGGCCTGTGTGCTCAGTAGTATATCAGGCTTAGCACTCTTTTCTCTCCCAGCCAAACTGGGGTCCAGGCAGAGAAGGTGGTTGTGAATCTCCTCTGCTAGAGAGGGAAAAGTCACTTACAGACTTCTGTCCTTTGCATTTCAATGACATCAGTGACTGAACAGCATGAGGGCATTACTGTATGGACCATCAGGTCAGAATTAGCTCAGTCGTGGTGAACTTTGAGGTAAAAGTATGGAAACTTCCATGCTGCTTAGCTTGTAAAATAAAGGCTAAAATCTGACTTTTTTTTCTTTTCATAATGCTGTTCATAAATGGCTGCCCCTCCTGCCTGGGCAGCCCCTGTGCCTGGGAGCAGCTCTTCCTGCTCTGAAGCCATGGCTGAGGTTAGGAGCTGATCCTTGGTTACCATTATAGATGATATAGTATAAAAAATCCATATGGAAACCATTTGGGTGATGGCAACGACTGCTCAGCATTGCACATCGTGCTGCAGTACCATGTTTCTGATGCGTGATCCCCTTTTGCTCAGGAATTCAGCTCAGAGTTTATTAATCCCTGCAGGTTCTCCTAGCAGAGGAGAGAATTATTGACTGTGGCAGCAGCAGTCTGTGTGGGATCGTTATTTTGTTTAAAGCAGTAACAGTTTTTCTTCAGTGCTGCCTCCCCACCTTAGAAGCATTGCCTGACCTTTGGTGTGAGTTCCTGGGCACAGCGGTGGGCAGCATTCAGTGCCTCCATCAGCAGTGTGGGGCTGTGGGGAGGTCAGTGCAGGATCTCCCATTGCTCTGTGTGGCACTGGGAGTGCTGTGCTGGCTCTGTGCTCCATGCAGGGCTTTGGGCAGCCCCGACTTCCCCCCCACTGCAGCTTTTCTGCCACAGGTGTAAGATACGTGTCTACGGGAGGAAGTCTGCTGCTTCTCATATTTTATTCCTTGGGCAGCAGATGGGTGTCTTAGAGTGGGGATTGTGTTGCTTTCCCCAGGTCTGCTGTGTGAGTGGAATGGTGCTCAGTGCATGCCTGCAGTGTGTGTGGGCTCCCGCTTCCCACCCCACGGCGTGGGGTTGGGTGTGCATGTGGTGTAACAGCAGTGCAGCAGCCCTGCAGGATGGGATGCACACCTGCCTGGTGCACAGTGTGCTGTGCCCACGCTGCAGCTCTGTTCTGCCCTGTGTGTGTCCTGCTGTGCTGCAGCTCCATTCTGCCTGCACCGTGCAGTGACTGCTCTGACCCCACCTGCGTGTTGCAGAGGGCCGTGCTGTCAGACACACATAAGTAAACGTTTGTAAACTTAACTGTGTTTTCAAACCTTTGTTTTTCAGTTACGGAAATAGAAAACAAATATTTGAATATGAATACAAACCAGGAAACGAATATCTTTTTGTTTATTGAGTTCATTCTTCTCCTTAGTGGTATGTTAAATTGAAAAAGCCTTTTTAAAAAATGAACTTCACATCATGGAAAAAAATATTGAGCGTTGCTGAATTTGTGCAGGTGCCTTTCACCCCTAAGGTAAATGTCAGTGTTCTGTTTGCTCTTCCTGCCCATCACCAAATAAGAAAAGATTATATATACCTGTTTCTAAACATACACATGTAAAACAGTCCATGCTGTGCTCTCATTCATAGTAATAAGACTGTTACATTTCCCTGCAACATTTGCTGGGCTCAATGCAGAAAGACATCAAAATTTGTGGCCTGATGAGCACAGTCAGTTACTGTCTGACCCTTCATGAATTCAGAAGGCATTTAGGTCAGAGGTTTGGTACAAATGGTCCTTTGTCCACCTGTCAGCAGTGCGTGGCCCCTTGTACCTGAGAGCACCCGTGGGGGTGTGGGGGTCCAGCCATGCAGCTGGGCTGAGTGCTGCCTGCTCTGAAATGTGGCCTCTTAGGGAAATACTGAGCCCAGGGGTAATTGGGGAGGGAGGAGAAAAGGAAAAGGGAAACCTAAAGTCTATATAGCTATAATTATGCGTGATATAAGTATTTTGCACAAATGAACCTTGAGCCATTCAGCAATGAGTAAGCCCTCTAAAATACTGATAAATATACATGTGGGCTTGCTGCTCTGGGCTGGGTTTTTGCCTTTCTGGGTGCTGCCTTGGTGGCTTAAGGAAGACTAAACAGGATCAGGTTGGGTAATAAAACGCTTGGAAGCAGTTCCAGGGCCTTGGAGTATTGCTGCTGGCAGCCCCTGGCACTGTTCCTGGAGTTCCTACAGGGGTTCTCCTTCAGCCTGGGGCTGGGAGGAACATCCTCCACCTGTGTGAGCCTTCATCCCACGGTGCAGCATGCAGCCCAGGTGCTGTGAGGAGCTGGGTTCACCCTCACTGCAGTTTGGAAGTGGTGGAAGGTGCGTGCAGTTGGGAGCAGCTTGACAGCACTGATGAGAGCTGCTGCTGTAAGTGGTGCCCTGTTTTCAGTTGTCTTTCCCTCCACGTTTTGGATGAGGGAGTAGCATCAAAGCAGTGACACCCTGTGCAAGGAGCTCCGGGATCTGTCCTAGAATGGCCTCCTGCTCTTAGCAAAGCAGCCTTTCCACTCGGTGCCTTTCCCCATCACTGCCCACGGCTGTTCACATGCAGTGGCAGAGCCTTTCCTTCCCCCAGCAGCTGGATGGATGCTCAGTGGTTGCCATCACCCAGTGGGTTGGGAGCACTTTGTGTGAAGTGTCAGCACCGCGCAACGGGCTGCGCAGCGTTGCAGTGTTCTCTGTGCAGTGCTGCCTTGGTGCTGTTTGTCCTGGCAGAGGGGAATGGTGCTCTGTGGCAGTGCTGTTCTGAGCAGAGGCTGGTAGGAGCGCTGCGTGGCTGCTGTGTGGCTAAATCACTGTCATGGATGGCCTGGGGCGTAATGCGTTCTGTTCATCTCTGGACGTGTCTGGGAGAGGGGCAGTTGTTCCAGGCTGTAGAGCTGCTGAGGTTTCTGGTTTATTTTTAAGGGGATGAGAGGAACCTTCGGCGAAGCACCGGTGTTTGCTCAGGGCTGTGCAGTGACACTGAGGGCACTGCTGAGAGCCGGCCTGTTCTCTGCCTGCACTGCCCCTTGTACCTGAGAGCAGCGGGCAAAGGATGCAGTGCTGCTGGCTGTGCTGCTGGAAATCCCTTTCTGCTGCTTAAAGAGAAAGGGTCTGAGAGAGCCAAGTGCAGGGCTGTGGGATAACGGACGGTTGTCAGTCCCTCTGTTCCAAAAGAAAGGCTCCTTTGCTGGGGCTGCTCCAGGGCTGTGGTGAGTTTGGGTCACCAACAAAGCTAATTCCACGGGTTTGGTGCATGATTAACGATGGATGTGATTTTACAGCAGTTTTGGATCCGATGTTCATCGTGTCAGATGGGCAGGGCTGGTCTTAACGCAAATAACGAGCACGTGAGCCGGAGCCCCATCCTGCAGGAAGGTGACGTTTGCTGCTTGGATCCCCGTGCGCACAGCTGCGGCCCCAGGGAGGTCACAGCACGCAGCGCCGTTCCCGCTGTGCCCGTCCTCCCCTCTCCCGCTTCATCCCCGTTCCCTGCGCGGAGCAGCCGCTCCGTGTCACCGCACACCCGGCCCAGTGCAGCTCCTGGGTCCCTGAGCTCCGCACCACCGCCAGGAGGCGCAGATGGGCGCGGGGCTGCGGGCGCTACCTGTCAGTTGGCGGAGACGCTGCTGTAGCTCTTCCTGACCGGGAAGGTGAGCGGCGCTGACAGCTCCAGCGATGCCGCCCGCGGGTGCAGCGCTCTGCGGGGGTGCAGGGGGCTGCTGCCCAGGCGTGGGGAGGGCAGTGTGGGCGGCTCGGGGCTCCCCTCGGACGGCGGGGGCTCAGCTGTGAGCACCAAGTCGGTGCTGCTGCGGGGCAGGCGCGGGGAGGGCTGCGGGCCGTGCCGCTTGGGCGGCGGGCTGTGGTTCTGGAACCGCACCGTCTTCACCTGCTGTAAGGAGAGCATCGTGTCACCGTCAGGGGCGGCATGGCGCCCGCCTTGAGCGCCAGGAGCCCCAAACCCTGCTCTGTCAGCCACGGACCTATTGGGTGCCCTGGGGGGGGAGAGCTGTCATCGGGGCGAGGGCAGGAAGGTGTTCCCTTTGTCCGGCTCTGCAGGGAGCAGCCCGCTGCAGGGCTCCGCACCCAGCTCTGGTGTTTGCTCTTTCAGTACCCGAGAGATAAGGAGAAATTACTTCTCTGAAAGAGCAGTCAGGTGTGGGAGCAAGCTGCCCAGGCAGAGGGGCAGTCACTGACAATGGTGGTGGTCCAGAACTGTGGAGATGTGGCATGGGGGGACATGGTTGGAAGTTGGTGGCTCTACTAGTGGTCTGGGGGTTGGGATCCTTCTCAACCGAAGCCATTCTATGGTCCATGGGCATGGCGGGGGTGGGTTGGGGTTGGACTTGCAGATATCAGAGGTCTTTTCCAGCCTTAATGGTTCTGCGATTTATGGGGACCCCAGTGAGATTCATGCCTCATATAAGACCTCAGAAAGCCTCAAAGTTTGATCACTGCCACTGAACTAATGAACACCGGCCCCCTCTGAAGGACACCCTGCAGCACTTTGCCTTTCTGAAGGGCTTAATTCGAACAGCAGAGCCAGCAGCACCAATATCAGTCAGCTTAAGGCAGGCACCAACCCCAGCAGCACCCATCAGCCTGTGGGCAGCACTCTGTACCTTGTCACTGCTGTTACGGGAGGTGTCCGGCTTCACCAGGATGGATGGCAGGGCTGATGCGGGCGGCCGGGGCACCGACTCACTCTTTCCCAGAGGCTCCGTGGTGTCCAGGATCACCGAACTGCAGACAGATGGAGTCCTGCTTTCCCCTCCTCTGACCACGAGTGCTGGCAGGGCTTCATGGGAGAAGTTGGGCCTCGTGCCCATCTCAGCTGTGCCGGCAGCGGGGCTGCTGTGCGGTGAGCTGCCAGCATGTGGGTACGGCTGCAGCCCGGCCGTGGGAACGCGGCGGAGGGAGCTGGCAGCCTGCAGCCCTGCCTGCCCCGGCCTCTGCAGGGACCCATCTGGGGGCGAGAATAGGGGGGGGCAGGGGAGGATGGTTAGCGGGGTCCCAGCGGGAAGGCACGGGGCAGCCGCATGCAGTGGGGACAGACGGCCCTGCAGGACGTACTCCCAGCACTGCCCGGCCCTGCGTGCTCCTGCACTGAGCCCAGGTGCCATGGGGGAAGCAGCACCCCACAGACCTGGCATTTCCCATCTTCTGCCGTTGTGCTTTTGGCCAAGCACATCTGTAAGTTTGCACCCCAGCCCTCCCCCATGGTTTGCTGCCATTGGTTGCTCTGCACTGCCTGCTCCATCTGGCAGCTGCTTTCCAGGCTGCAGCACTGGAAGTCGCACACTTAATTTCCTTGGCAGTGCCTCGCTGTTTACAAGATTGATTTTTTAATAAGAGCCACCACAGGTGCGTGAGGTTCTCTACAGCAAAATAGCTTTTAAGTCTAAAGCCTCTGACAGTGGCTCTTGCAAATGAACCAGCCAGCATCGCTGCCCATCTGCACCCCAACCTGGAAGCGTGCTGTGGCTGCTCCAACACATTCAGAAATCTGTTCCGAGGCAGCGTACCTTTCCACCTGCAGCCTATTCATGACTTCACGCACCTTGGATATTTCCATGCTGTAAAACTTGGCTCCTGAAATAGAATTATTCTATTCTCTTGCTCATCATTCCTATGCTTATTTCTAATTTTACTCTATTCTCTTTGAGTTATCAGAATATGAGAAGTATTCAGGATATGAGCTCACCAGCACTCCTACAATGGCACTGCAGAGTTTTACCCTTTTGTTCTGAGCTTCTTTCTTGATAACTCCTGATAATACCTTAATTTAACCTCCTGTAACTGCCTGTGCACGCAGAGCTCTCAGGTCCTCTGCAACAATCCCCAAACCTCTCTCCTGTGGACCAAACCTAACGCAGCTCCCAGCGCTGTTTGCACAGCCAGGGCTCGCAGCTCCCCATAGCAGCAGTTGGCAGCACCTCAGGGATGCCTGCACCCATCCCAAGCGCGGCTGCGCTGCCCATATCACAGCGCCCACCCGCACTCACTCTTCCTGGTGCAGCCGCGGCCGCGCCGCAGAGCTGTGTGCCCCGCGGGCAGCGCTGCCTTCAGCGCACGGCTCTGGCGCTGAGCGCTCTCTGATGCGCTGCCCTGGGAGGACACTGAGGAGGCCGACAGCGTCCACGAGGCGTACAGCGAGGGCAGCTTCGAGTCGGGCACGCTCGGTTTCCTGTTGGCAAAGGAGCAGAACGTCAGCTGGTGGTGGAGGAACGCGGCGGTGCGTGCGGACGGAGCTCAGCGCGGCGAAGTCCTCCGCCGCAGGCCGGCTCCGGTCCCGGTGAGGTGGGGTCCGTGCAGGCACCTCCCTGCAGGGCTGGGCGCCGCTGCTCCAAGTAATTCAGTGCGAATCCAGGGTGAGGTTTCCTGACGTCTCCCCCACATTCCCTTTGCAGACACTGTGCATTGTGAACCCACGGCCAGGTCTCTGCCCAACCTGGGTTTATTTCAGGGAAACTGAGGGCACGGGCAATTTTTTTCTCACCTAAAGTAAGCGTATATTTTAATGATTGCTCTTCCTAATGCATTCACTCAGTTGTATCCATGGCTTCCACCATTTAAATGCCTGCTCTAAAGGCAGTGACATCACTGCAGAAGCAAGAAAGCCACGTCCTACAGATCCCCACCCCTCTGCTTTGGTTCCATGCAAGGAAAAACAGATCTGAGGAGGGAAGCAAAGGAACTGCTGGGGAAGATGCCGGCCCTGCCCGTGGCCAGCAGGGCGCCCTGCAGGCAGCCGTTGTGATGCTGCCCCAGGATGTGAACCCCTTCACCCTTCTGCAGCTTCAGCTCATGAGGGCCGTGTGCCACATGGGGTGGAGAGCCGTGCAGCTGTGGAGACACGGGGACGTGGGGGGGCCTTGTCCTTGTGCCCAGTGCCTGCAGCACTGCCTGCAGTGTGGGGCTGTGTGCTGTGGGCACTGCGTGCCCGGGAGTCCCCCTGCAGCCCTGCACAGCTCATGGGGTGCTGCAGAGATAACTCACAGGGAAGAGGCTGCCTGCAGGGTTTGACCAGAGGGGATATGAATAAAAGGAGGGCCAACAGGACTGAAGAAAAGTAGATCTTGTCACTGCATCTTTCTCAGAAGCAGTAGGCAACCAGCCAAGGGCAATGAGCAATGGGAATGCTGCTGTGCCACCGTACCATGCAGGTACCCACTGGCATAAGGGATGGAGGACTAACGAGCACCTGGCCTAAGGCAAAGCACCATGAGGAGTGCAGATGTGTGCTCTGCCTGGGCAGCAGCAGCAAGAACGGTCAGAATCTGTCTCAAATCTTTCCAGTACTGTACCTAAATTCTTCCATCCCCCTACAACAACCTTCAGGGTCAGCTGCCCCAGCAGTCTGTGCAGCTCCTGCTCAGAACTGCAGACACCCATGCACGGCCCCAGCCCCAGGCACACAGCCCTGCACCCCAATGCCCCTCCTGCAGGCAGGAGCCCAGGGAGCAGCTGGGATGGGAACAGGGATGGATGCAGTGTGGAGTGCTGTGTGACCCCCCAGCACGATTCACATTACGTACAGGTTGGCTGAGAGGTGATGCTGCAGGTGGGGCAGAGTGACAATGGCTGCCGAGTGCCTCAGTGGTCCTGGAGCAGGATAGTAGGATGCACTGACCTACCGAGAGGAAACAATGCAGTATGTTAATATGAAGAGGGGCTTATTTTAGCCACTGGAGAAACCATTGAAATCACTGGACAGGCTTCATCCGTGCTTCCAAAAAGACAAAAAAGAGACACAGAACCTCACTGAGTTGCAGATGGATCCAGCAAATGAGGCGCAAGGTCATTCAACGAGAACAGACTTTTCTAGGGAAGATGAACCCTGCCTTTGGTCTTGAAAGCAAATCTTTCAAACTGCAGAAGCAAAACAATTGAATTTGAACTCCCTGAGCTGTTGTGGCTGGTTGCTGTGTGTGCCCAGCAGTGCAGCACAGGATGAGCAACACAGGGCAGCACAGTCCTGCAGCAACGTGCTGTGCTGCTGCTGGAGTTAGAAATGGAGAGAAAAAGGGAAAGAGAGGGAAACAATTTGTCTGCTTAGAAGACAGTGCTTTAGGGAACAACACAGGGACCCAGTGTGGGGCACCTGTTTTAGAATCAAGTTACAGTTAGTGCTTCTCAGTGGCACTTAGGAAAGTAGGGTTCACAGCCTACAGAGCAGGACAGAAACAATGTTTCGGGCAGGAGACAGTAAAGCATTGTAGGCTGGCACTGCCCATACCTTGAAGCACACAGTGATGTGCCTGGAAGCACAGCCCTTCCACACCTTCCAGCATCCTCCTGTCACTGCTCCACACCGCTCCCAGGGCTTCTGCACCCCTTCTGGAACTGCTGCCTCTTCTGTTATGTTTCTGGGCTCCCACCCCCCCAACATCTCCCACCCCCCAGCACCACCCCAGCACTGTGGCTGTGCCTCATTGGGCACTGTGCTCACACACCAACCAGCCAATGCACAGCACACAGACCCCTGTGTGTCCCCAGGAGAAAAATGGTTGTTCAGAAGGAAGGAAACCTGAACAGGCAGCACATCAACGCATCTGTGCTGCTACTTATGCTGTTGACAATAGCTCACACCGAGACACTTTTGGTAAAATTATATTGGGGTCATGAGACACAGTACCATTTCAATTGAATTATGGTTCTATTGTAGGGCTTCATTTCCACTCACATAAAAGAGGGCCTAATATCCAGGGCTGTTTGCAGGCTAATGCTAAGCACAAAATGCCTGCTGGGTTTTATTGTGCGGACACCGAACTGCCGGGGGCTGGCTTATTGCTTTATAAAACGTTGGAGCAGCCTTCAGTGTGAAAGATGCCACATAAATCTAAACACAACCTTTTTCCTCCCATTGCAGATGATCTGTGAAGATCCTCTATTGAGATCTTCAGACGGAGCATGAAGCAGCAGTGAGGCTCTTTGCCCCTGCAGCCGGCAGAGGACGCGCTCCCAGGGTCAGCCTGCACCCCTGGGTGCTGCAGGCAGGAGGGCTGCCCAGGGACTGCCAGTGTACAGGAGCCATCAGTCTGGAAGCAGAGAGCTGCAGCAGCAGTGGATTCAGGATAGGGCAGCAACCCCAGTTTCCAGGAGGGCTGACACCACCACTTGGAAGCAGCAGGAGGGGAGGGCACTGCTCCTGTAAGTGCTCTCACACTGTTGCATTTGCCCTTCGTGCAGAAGCCTGCAGCAGCCTCCAAGGAGAGCTCAGCAGATGGGTTCTACCAAAATAGGGGCTTCAGTCAGGCTTTTATGCTGGGGCTCAGGACGATGGCATGGTCCATGGGCCCCCCAGCCTCCTCCTGCCCCAAGTGCCACCCAGAGCAGGTGCCCAGGGCCACGTCAAGGAGCTTTGGAGATCTCCGAGGAGGGAACTCCAGTCCCTTACTTTCTATAGGTTCCCGGGGTCCCTGGGCTCTAAGAACTGACCTTCCCTGTTCAAAAGTGTCCCCAGCAGCCTGCTGTGCTGTCATCCCCCAGGTGCTACCAGTGCCACACCATCACACGCCCTCCATCTGGCCGCCCGCCCCACGCGGACCCGCAGCAGCCTCACCTGGGCGGGGGTCCCGCGGGGCGGATCCTCACTGCCGGCAGCGGCCACGCTGGGGTTGCTGGAGCTGATGAGCACCGGGGAGCTGATGCGCAGCGCGGGGCGGTCGGCAGGGGCGTGCACCATGCGGTTCAGCGTGTTGAGGGCCGTGGTGATGGAGAAGGGCCGCAGGCTCTTGCGCCGGGCATCGGGCGCCTTGTGCAGCTCCTGGCCCTGCGCCTTCGGGGAGGCCACGCTCAGCGGTGTGCAGCGGAGCGGGGTGGGCCAGGAGCCTTTGCTGCTTTGCAGGAGCTGCCGTGCTGTCGTGTTTGGCTGAAAGAGACACAGGGAAGGCCCAGGGACTGCTGCAGGTCCTCCTCAGCAGCACGGCCGCAGGCAGGACGCAGCCGGCTTCATGGGCATCTATGGAACATGGAGCTCGAGTGCTTCCCTGCCGTGCTTTCAGCAACAAGTTCTGAACACCAAATTATCAGCGCAGAGCTGGCAGCCAAATTAAAACTGGTTTGGAAAACACACTGCTCACACAGCCGGGCGCTGCCATCGAGCCCCCATTGCCTGTGGCTTCTGAGCAAGGCTGGAGCCCGCTGTGCCCCTGCAGCCCATGGCACTCATGGGATGCTGCTCCTGAGCAGAGCCCAGCCTCGTACTGGAAGTGCTTGTGGGAAGGGCCCAGCCCTGAGCATACAGAGGCAACGCTCAAGCAGTATTTCTTGGAAACTGCTGATCACTACAGCATTAATACATAGGGCATGTGGTGACAGTGTTTTTCACCAGGATGACTGCCAGAGGAATTAATCATGATTTACTGCTGACATGAACAAATTGCAAAACTTGGAGATTCTCACCCACTCATGTGAGGCAATGCGCCCGGCTGGGGATGAATGGCAGCGGCTGGCGTGGGGCAGGGAGCTGCTGCTCAGTGCTGTCATTCTGCTGCACGGATTATTTGTTCATTTCCTTCCTCCTCACTTCTTACAGCGAGGTTTAAAAAGAATCATGTGTGCACATGTACACATACAGGCTGGTCATAGCGTCATTTCTCTGTGCAATTAAACCGCAGCCAGAGCCCAACTTCTCTGCCTTCTCTAAGAGCAGAGAGCCCATTAAAGGGCACAGATGGGAGCATCAAAGCCAGGAAAGCCCCGTGCCTCTCAGAGCAGACACACCGCTGCTCCTCTATGGTTAATTCCTAACTCCTCGGTGGCTCTGTGTGGCCCTGCCTGGCTCATTTCTGTTAACGTCAGGCTTAAATGAGTTAAAACAATTTAATTAAATGAAAAGATGTTTTACCAAATATATTAGTGCTTCAAACAGGACGTTCTACTGCTGCCCTTTTATAAAACAGCCACAAAGAGGTGCTTGCTATAATTATGGTGATTATAAGTGTTAATTCTGTTTCGAGGAATTCTTGTTGGTGCCACACTCCCACTCTGCAGCTGCACCACAGGAGCACAATTTGTGTTCGGAGCGGAGCTGTGAGGGCTCAGCTGGGCTCTGCCTGCTGCCCATGCTCTGCCCCCGCCTTCCCCACAGTGCAAAGTCCTGTGGTGCCGTGCCAGGGCTGTACCCACCTCCACAAACAGCACGGGGAAGATGCCCACTTTGTCGCCCAGCTTGCCCTCGGCCCAGTTGCCATCGACTCTGCTGATGACGGTGATGATGTCTCCCTGCAAGGCAGAGCGCTGTTAGCGGGCGGCTCGCCCCACATTTCACAACGCTGCACCTCAGTGCTGCTCCCCTGCCAACCCTCTGCTCCTTCTCGTGTGTCTTTGTTCCCAAACACAAGTCCTTATTCAGCACAATGCTCAAGCGTGGTTTTTGTTTAAGGGTGCAAGCGTGGCTGAATGCGGACATGGGCATGAGCCTGGCGAAGGGGATGGGAGACACAGAGGTGCTGTTTGGAGGCTCCCACCTTGTGGAAATGTCTCTGCAATCACCACTCCCAGAATGAATAACAAAAATGGCATTTTAGCTCCAAACCAAGGAAAAGGTCAATGTGTGTGGTGGGGCAGTAAGGATCACACTGCCACAACCCTCAGCCCATTACTTCAGGAGCTGAAATTGCCTGATGCTATTGCGGCGCAGGTGTTGGAAGTATGATGGCAGGGGTGGGTGGCAGGTGGGGCGACAGGCAGGGGTGGGGTTCTTCCCAGTATGGGGATGCTGCCAGATCAGGGACACTGCAGGGCTGCAGGCAGCCACAAGAAGATGGAAGATTTTTGAAGGTCTGCATAACAGCCAGCTTTGCTTCTGAAGAATGAGCTCGAGCTGTGCTGCATGGCAGGCAGGTGCAGCCGGAGCACTGGAGCAGGCATCCCAGAGAGGTTTTGGTGCTCCTACATGCAGCGCTGCTCTGCACTGCTTCTCTCCTCTGGCTCCTCTTCTTGGTCAGGAGGCACAGGGAACTCCAGAATCTTTGACTCCTTGCCTTGCATTCACTCCACACTCAGCCCTGACCCGCTGGAGCCCAGACCTGCCCCTGTGCCTCTGCTTCCAGCTGGCCAGAGTGCAGGAGCATCTGTGCTGTGCTGGGGAGGGATGGTGGCTTCTGCAGGGACACTGCTGCCTCCAGGCACTGCTCTCTGCTGTGCTCTGCACTGCCTCACCTCCTTCTGGCAGCACAGGGACAGCTGACTGCTGGGAAGAGCAGTTGCACTGAGAGCCATATCCTCTAGCTGAGAGCAAACCCGAGCTCTGCAGACTTTGGGGAATGAAAGTAAATACAGGAAAAGTTCAGGTCCTGCTCTGCAGCGTGTGCCTCCAGCGGGCTGCCTGAATGTGTCTAGGCTGTGTAAGAGAAGAGTTCTCAGACCTGCAAGCGAATTTCTTTGAGATGTCACTGGGCATCTTTTTAGGCTCTCTTTCAGTGATCTGGTGGGAGAGCAAACTGCCACCAGCAGCTGCTGCTCATCAACTCCATCAGTCAAACCGGGGCCTGAAATGGCTGCTCAGGGTCGCACTGCCCTCTCCCAGGATGCTCTCATTCTGTGTCCGTGCACCCCCCTGGGGGAAGCTGGCTTTAGTCACTGCTGTCAGTGTCTGGTGGGGCTTGAAACCTTCCCGGCTCTCAGCGTAGAGCTGCTATAGTGCTGCGAGGCAGCAGAATGCGATGCAATCTAAAGAGCACCGGCCCGGCCCGTACCGCCCAGCCCCCGCAGGGCGGTGTTACCTTGTGGAATGACAGGCAGTCGTTGTTCTCACTCCTATCCCTGCTCCTCAGATCGAAGTTGTAAAGAGCCCTGCAGAGGGGCGGCGGCAGCGGCGGCTGTTTGATGACCTGCACGGAGCTGGCTGGGAAGACCCCGCTGACGCCGTTCAGCTCCCCCAGGTACCAATTCTGGTCCAGCTGCCGCAGCAGCACGATGACGTCCCCCTCGTTGAAGCGCAGCTCCCCGGGGTTGTGCCCCCGGTACGAGAACAGCGCTTTGGCTCGCGGCACCTGCGGGACGAGGAACAGCACAGAGCTCAGCCGGGCAGCGGCGCTCAGCGCAGGCACAGCTCCACAAGCATTTGTCATTGCTGGGAAAAAGGCAGAGGGATAAGAAGGCTGAAGCATGCATTTGTGCGACCAACTGCCCCCATCCTTTCTTGATGTCTTTTTCTAATGAAATCGAGCTCCAAAATACTTCTTCTAAATGTGTATCCAGATGAAAAGCAGGCTGAACTTGTCTGAGAATATTAAGGAACAATTAATGCCTTAATGTAGTCATCCCACGGGATCCTACTGCCTGCTGTAAGTTCCCTTCTAATAAAATCTCTCTGGGAATGAATTTGGGTGTTTCTGCTCTGGTGTGGCCAGAGCTGGCAACAGCTGTGCAGCTCCCAGCAGCTGCCACCTGCAGTGCCCAACAGCACGGGGCTGGGGAAGAGCCCTTAAGATTTTGGTCCTCAGTCTGGATTACAGGAAGAGAAGCTTCTTAATGTTACTGTTGTCATGGTATAATATGAGAAAGAAGAGAGATGCCAGAGCCAGCAGATGTGAGGGACTGTCATCGAAATAAACCCATAAAGTTCATTTAAAATAACAGCCTTCCTGACCTTTATCCACACCAGAAAACTCAATTTAACACAACAGGCAGCAGACCATTGCTCTGAATGAAGGCAGGCCCACCCTGGCTGTGATGCTGTGGGAGGGGGGGCTGGCAGCTGCAGCAGGTGCCCATCCTGCAGTGCGTCTGTGCTCTGCTGAGCAATCTGAGATGTGCCTTTGGAAATCAGCAAACTGGAAGGCTTGCTTTTAGTGCTGTAGAGGACTGATGGAGGTCCCTTGAGCACAGTCCTCTGTCCCACAGCAGCACATCCTAAAACAACGGAGCAGCCCCTGTTTGTGCTTTCAGTTCTTTGTAACGTTGCCATGTTGTGTGAAGCACGGAGCGAGGCAGTGAGGCAGAGCTGTGCTGTGCCCATGGATGGAGCTGCCGGCTGCTGCCCTGCATGGGGCTGCTGCTAGGATGGCAGCACTCAGAGCTGGGGGACCAGCATCCTCCTGGGGCATTGGTCACATAACTCCGCTACTTTAGCACAGTCTGTATTTGGACAATGAAGTCCCATCACTTGTCAGGTGAGCTCCATCTGGGCTCACATCAGCTCCCCAGAGTGGTCCACACACCACCTGCCCTGCCTGGACCTCTGGGAGAGCAAGAAGGGGAGGACAGAAACACAGCACTGGTTTGTTTGGGGTGACCAAAGGAGCACAGGAGAGGATTGCAGTCTGGGGAAGAGAACATCTTCCAGTGCTCCCAAATGCTGACAGGAGGAGAAAGGAACCAGGAGGAGAAAAAAATTTATGTGCTGCATTTTCTTCAAAGCATTTGGAACAGGAAGCAATTAGTTTAATGTTTTGTTCTAATTGACTCATCTTGTCTGTTAATTTGCAGTAATAGTAAACACATGCACTTGGCTTAGTAACACTGAAAGTGCATTGGTGAAAAAAAAGGGAAATCATAACAACCAAATTCAGGAGAGCTTTGCTCAGCGATCCCCACTCAGTGCCTGGGCTGGAAGTACAGAACCAGCAGTGCTGCCAGAGGAAACACACTGCAAAGGCCTTGCAGTGCATGGCCCTGTGCAGCACAAAAACCACACAGCAGCACAGGGCAGCCCAGCCATGCGCCATGGACACAGCACGGGTAGCACCTGTGTTAGGAGAAAAACAAAAGGACCCAACTGTGGAAGCAGGCGTGTAGAGGAGGAACACAAACGTCCGGGGATGATGAGAGAGTGGTTGCACAGGCCAAACATAAAAGGAACGGAGAACAAGTTATGGAAATGTATTGAAAATAAGAGAAACTCTGAAATGAAATGCAAAACTGTTACTACAGGGAAAAGTCAAACAAGCGACAGTGTGGAGAAGCCTGGAATGTTCTTCCTTCAGCAAGAAGAAGAGTGCTGAGTGGGATGGGGATGTCTGTGCAGAACTCAGCCCTGGGGGGTGAGGAAGGGGTCATTACATCCTGAACAATTCCTGCTCTTCTGCAAGAGCTCCTGGAAGGCAGAACTGTTTCCAGAGGATGGGAACTTGTTGCAGAACTTGTGCATGCAGACATCTGATTGTTAATGTTAATGCTTCTATGCTTCTTTAGCATCCGAAAACTATGCAGAATTTTGGTCTGCTGGGGGACACCCACAGCAGGAGCAGCACAGCACCTCTCTGCCCTCTGTGCTGTGGGTGACCGCTCCCACCCGATGGATTTGAGGCTGAGAAGGGAGAGAGAATTGTTTAATTATTTTCGGCATTTGGCATCAGCTGTGCCAGGCAGTCATCCAACACGTCTGAGTCTCCCTCCATAGCAAACAAAGACACAAATTGAATACATGCATGCGAGTGTAAGGGAGCGATTCAAAGCATCTCCTCATAGCTGGGAGAAACGTGCGCTGTAATTATCTTCAATGGGCTCGTTATAACCTCCTCACTATTGACAGCGGGTGAACGTGAGCACATCCTCACAGCACTGAGATATCAAGAGGAACGTGGGGCTGCTCGGGTCACGGGGGAGGCACGGCTCGGTGCTGGGATCGGGGTCCAGCTGGATGCTGGCAGAGGCAACGCATACCGGCGCCCTGCGCCCGGCAGCACCGCCTGTGCTGGCAGTGTGGGCGCTGCCTGCGGAGCTGCCCTGCATCCGGGCCGTGCAGCAATATTCCCATAGCACCCAGCAGCCTCGTCGAGAGGAACAGTTTATTTCTAGGATAGCGGTAATCTTTGCCAGGAAGAAATCCAGTCCTGGGCATCTTCCAGTTTCGTTGCTCCGCGTTGGCCGTGTGCGCGGTTCGGGACAGCGGCTCGTCGTGCAGCCGTTGGTTCTGCAGGGCTGCACGCAGCGCCTCGCGCCGCTCCCGGCCCGTTCTGTGCAGGCGGAGCTGCGCTCCGTGGGGCCGATCGCCATCAGCGCCGCGTCCCAACCTCGGCGGGCTTCGCGGGAGCCCCCAGCGAGGCTGCCCGCCCTCGGGTGCGATGGACGAGCGCTGCCCGTCTCCTTTGTGATAGCGCGGTGCTCAGGGCTCTTCGGGATCCAGACGGATGCAAGGAGCTATTTGAATGTAAATTAATTGCCATCGCAATTCTGTTCTTCTGCTTTTCGGCAGAGGAGATAACTCCCGCCTCGTCACGCAGAACAAAGCCATCCGAAGCAAACCCGTCGCTCCCATCTCCTCGGGTAATTACGTCTGAGGGCTCAGACAGCTGTGGTTTCTGAGTTCCCCTCCCAGGTCTGCTCCCACCTGCCAGGTGCCAGCAGCCGCTCCCAGCCAGCGCCAGGCCGGGTCTGCGTTCATGTGGGGCACGAGGGGCTGCAAGCACGGGGGGCTGTAAGCACAAGCCCGAGGCCGCAGCCAGGCATGGGAACATGGCCCACAGCTCAGAAACTGAAGGGCAAGTGGGGATGCGAGGAGGGGGACGGAGCAGCCTGCACAGCACGAGGGGCAGCAGAGTGAGGAGAGCAGCCGTGTCCTGCAGCCCCCCCCACAACCCTCGGGATCAAACCCGTTCTGAGCTGTGCCTGCTGTTGATGTGGCTTCAGGCCACAGGGAGGAATGGGAAATGGGGACAGTGATGTCAGGAGGCATAGAGCAGCCCTTATCGAGGGCTCTGCAGCAGTTTGTGACTCAGAGCCACCGCTCCCAGCCCTGGGGCTCTGTAGAGATGCCGCAGCAGCTGTGGCAGAGGACAAGGCCATATTAGGCTTCACTTGATATAAAGCCACAAGAGAGGTTCGAGGTGAGCAGAGCCGGTGCCAAGATGCAACAATGCAGGCATTCTACCTGCGCCTGGCCTTGTTTCAGAGCTGTGCTCCTCGGTGCAGACAGAGCTGGCAGTGATGTGGGGCTGAGGGCTGAGCTGGGACCCAGAGCTGGAGCAGGGCCAGGGTTCTGCTCTTTGGGCACCACTGCTGTACGTGGCTCTCAGCTGGCTGTCGGTGCTGCAGTCAGCACACCGCGATGGCGGCTGCGCTGCGTGTCACGGCTTTCAGCCGCATGGAAAACAAATGTGTCAGCCCTCAGCATGCCCCAGCATGACGTGCTGCTTTGGGACCACGTGGCCCCGCCGTGCCTGCCTGCAACGTGGGGAGGAACCCCAGCACTGCTCCTCTGCACTTTCCACCCGTGCGTGTCCCTCTTGGCTGCAGTGCTGTCAGCTGTGCCCATCGGGCCGTGGCGGGGCAGTGCTGTGCAGCAGTGCCAGAGTCGTGGAGGGGCTGAGGCGGTGGCTCATGAGGCTGCAGGAAGCCAATGTCTCCGTGCCTCTCCGTGTCCTTGCCTCTTGTTAAACCTGCCAGCACCTCGCACTTTGCTTTTGCCCTGCAATGGCAAAGCTTTGCTTTCGTGTTATTTCAGCAAAGTGCTCGCTTAAGGATGGTGCATCTCTCCATTCCTCTGTGACCTCTGCCTAGCAGATGTTTTGATGGTAAGTTTTCAGCTATATGTGACGTGTGATGTGCTGCCCTTGGTTGACCCACAGGCCAGGCCTGGAACAATCACTGCCCCCATGCCCTTGGCTGCACTCGCTGTAGCCCAGGCCTGCAGCTGGATGAAGGAGCCGCTCTCCTCCTTCTGTGCTTCCACTTTCGAAAAGAGTCTGACTGTCTCTGAAACCAAGGTATGCATGATCCCAGCAGATGTGGTTTCTCAGCAGGCAAGCTTGCTCTCCCTTCCCTGCAAAACCATTCAGAACTTCTGGGTTCCCAGTTGTCCTGAACCCATGAGGAAAACCTCGTAAGGGATCTGATTTCCACAGGAGACATATTTGTCTCTCAGAAATAGCGCCCAAGCTGTGTTGTCCTTCCTGGCATTGGTAGAAGAGGAATCTTCCCTAGGCCAGGAATGAAAAGCTGAGCTCAATCACCCACTTACAGGTCATAAGGAAAAAGTTTTCTTATAAATTTGTCATCACTCAGTTGTGTGGTGCCTCGCACAGTGCAGTCCTGAGGCTAAGTGGAGTTTGAGCACATGAAAATTAGTAACAGCAGAGCAAATCGTTGCACTGAGGGACAAGCACTGCAGATTCCCCTGTGAGGAGAGCAAAGGAGAGCCAAAGCAGAGTGAGAGACAGCTCAGCCCAAAACATGGCACTGGTATTCTCACTGCCTTGAGCCGTGCTTCTCTTGGGCACTGCTGAGCTTCGCCTGGCAGAGCCAGTGTGAACGTGCCTGTCGCAGTGCCCATGCCAGGGAGTGCAGCACATCCCATGCAGGTGCTGAGCTGCATGTGTCCAAGTGGCAGCCAGGTGACGGCAGGCAGCAGTGGCGAAGAGCCTCAGACTTTCAGCCTCCTCGCTGACCACGGCGCTTAGAGGTGAACACGATACCCTGCAGAAATCCTGCTGTTCTATTCCTGACTTGCCATCTGAGTCTGACTCATTGCCTTGGTAACAAATTAAAACACTTTCATGTATTTGCAGCTCAGCACCTCATTTTGTGGAACCAGGGAAACTGGCTCCTGCTGCTGTCCCGGTGCACAGAGTGGCCCAGGAGCGCCCGGCCCCGCTGCGCCTGGCTGCTGGAGGCACACAGTGCTGTGCGGGCTCTGCATGGGGAACCCAGCACCCTGCCTGCCCCATGGCTCCACGGTGCTGTTCTGCCTGTGGCTGCCTCTGCCCAGGACAGATGGATGCCCTGGTGCCACGCTGTGTGTAGTTCCAGCTCTGCTCCACAGCCACAGCTGAGCGCAGCGCTGTTGAATGCAGCTCTCTAGGGTATGCATTGTTGGGTGATGGATACGGATGTGACTGACCTTTACTATAGACACAAGAAGCTAAAACCGTGTGCAGAGGAAAAACCATGCAATAGTGAACAATTACGAGGTAAAGACTGACACTTGGGTCACCCTGATGGGAGCAGCAGAGGAGAACTGGGGCAAATCTCTCCTCCCAGAGCATCACCAGACCCCATGCATAGCAAAGTGCAGCCCTGCACTTTGCAGGTGGAAATGGCCTGGGGCAGGCTGGCTCTGCATGGAGCTGGGTTTCCCCCCGCAGCTCTGTGCCTGGCACAACAGCCCTGTGACAGCACAGTGACCGGCTCTCCTCTTCCAGGAGGTTTTGCAGATGGGTCGGAGATGTGTTTGCCCCTCCTGGATGCAGCCATGAAGGTGGCTCTGAGTGAGGTTTCACCAAGATCCAGCAATCCAAATCCTGTCTGTCAAATTCAGAAAGGAGCTGGAGCTGTTTCTGGAGGAGCAGAAAATACCGAGCGCAGGCTCTATATATAGTGCCCATGTGAAGGTGGCAACGTTGGAGTGCGATGTATTTTTATCCTGGAGAGCTGTTATCTGCCCATCTCCCACGACGTGCAGGAGGGGCGGCTGCAGTGCGCGGTTCCTGCGGGGAGCAGCTGAAGGTGAGGCAGTGCGGTGTGCTGTCCCGGCCGGCTGCAGGGCTCAGAGCCCTTGCCTTGCCTTGGCCCCCACATTCACTGCCCTGTATGGGCGCTGGCTGGGAGTGCTGAACTGCAGCATGCAGTCTCCTGCTGCTCACATGTCCGGGCTGGGGCTGGGTAAAGGGATGCTTTGGTGCAGCAAGAATCACATCCTGCACATGGTAGGGGCGGCTCCGAGGAGTTCAAAGGATTCAGTGTCAATTATTTGTGCGTTCACCTCCTAGCAAATGCTTTCATTCCTGAGTTCCAGACGGTTTATTACGTGGAGATCCTGAAAATCCAAAGTCTTGTCCTCAGCACAGACGGTGAAGTCCCGGGGCCCAGGCAGACCTCCCTGCGCCGCCTCCTGGGCAGCGCCCCGCAGCACTGCCACCTGCAGCCAACTGGGCTGGGCATGGCAGGGTGAGAGGGGAGCTGATGGGCAGGTAAGACAGAGCTCAGGATGGGCTGCAGCTGGAACTCCTGGCTCCTTGCAGCACCTGGCCTGCGTGCTGTGCTCCCAGTGGTGCTGCAGCTCTGCTGGGCCTGCTGGCATTTTGCACGCCAAGATGTGCGGATCTTTGGTTTGCTTTGGGGATTTGGTTGGTGTTTTTATCATGCTTATGCGGATGAAGAGCAACAAGCTGGCAAGAAAGCATCTCTGGGAGGCGAAACTTCACTCGAACTTGTGATTTCTCAGCTCCACGGAGTAAAGGAAGTTTATTTATAGATGGTCTTTTCTGTAAAATGAAATGTGTCCTCTATCCTGCCTTGATGGTGCACCAGGCTGCAGCACAGCACGGTGTGCGCTAATTTTATTTGCTCTGTAGCATGAAGTGGTGCACATCCCAATGGCAATCAGCAGTCTGCAGGCGGGGGTGGTGCTTCTTTGGAGACCCCACCACCTCCCAGCACAGGGAGCGCTGCACCGGGGAGCAGCGCGAGAGCAGCAGTGAGGAGCAGGATGCAGAGAGCTGTTCTCTGGGCTCCCAAAAATAGAGCAAGCGTTTGTTTGGGGGCGGCTGTCCCATGGGAGCCCAGCCTCAGTGCTGGAAGCCCTGCAGCAATCCCAGCACTCCCTGAGCAACTGCTGGATGGCTACGGCCAATCCAGGCAGTTCCCTTTGGGACCACACAGCCCCGCGGGGATGGGGACACAATATGCTGCCCATGAGGTGGTGGGGACAGCCACGGTCCTGGGGACTGAGCACAGTGCCACAGGGGCTGACATCAGAGTGCTGGGAGCTGCCCGCGTGTGGGATGGCTGGCTTCACTGCTGAGAGTGAGTGCTTTTGGCCCCGCTTTGGGATTTTGGTAATGGGGTCATTCCAGGAGTGTTAGCAAAGCCTTGAGGATGGTGGAGGAAAAGTAAATCAGCTCAGTTCAAACTTTTCCACAGAAGAAGTCTAAAAATAATCGCGAGCCCAGATTTCTGTTTTGGAAGAGCAGCGTTTGTTAAATTATAATGACAATAATAATAGTAAAAGTAGTAGTAATAGCAGCATTAAGGACTTCTGCTGCCTTAGCCAAGCCCGTGGAGAGATGCTGACTCTGGACTGAGAACAGGGTCCTTGGCTCTCTGGGCTGTCACTGTTTGGTGGCCCTGGCAGTTGGCCCAGGGTTGGACAATGGCAATGCCACCCTGCTGTGTGCTGCCCCGACCCGTGAGACTGCTGGGAACACTCTGGGAGCCCCAGCAGGGAGCTGCCATTGAGCAACACCCACAGCTGCCCCTGAGCATCCTGAGCACCGGTAAAGGAATGTGAAAGGGCTGAGAGGAAAGCTACAACCTGTGTGCTGCACTCCTTGCGGCGAGCTGCCCTCCAACTGAGTCTTGTGCTCTGCTGTGCATTTCAGGGCCATGCTGGATGTTGCCCTGCAGGAAGCCCCAGGCCATGAGCTCAGGAGGTTGGCTTGGAGCGGGGAGACCCTCTGGTGGCACTGAGGCCCCTGGCTGTGCGCATCCCCTGCTGCACAGAGCTCACAGCTGGGCAGAGGCATGGGGCCTCCATGGCACAGCAGTGACAGATGTGCTGCGGGTCTGCAGGGCTGAGGGGTGCCCTGGGCTGATCAGAGACATGGCACAGAGTAGTGCAGGTGGATGAAAAGGAAATTCAGAAATATAACCCCAAATTCAGGCAGAGGTAGGCTCCCTTCATAGGTCTCATGCTACATCCTAATTATTTCAAAAAAGCTTTTGTACTGTTAGAGAAAATGACAGGAACAGCTTACAGCTTTAAAATTAGCTGAGGAAAGCTTCCCTAGATGAAAGTAGAGTTCACTGAATCTCAAGGTGTTTTGCTAGGGACTCAAATGTCTCTTTACCTTCCTCTTTAATTCTGGAGAAACTGAGGTGCCTTTCTCCATCCCTGATAGTTACAGCCCTGCTGTGACTGATCTGACGGCTATCACACCCAGTGAGTCGCCTGAAAGTTAAAGCATCAGAAACGCCCCCTGAAAGTCAGGAGGGACCTGAAAGCTCCAGAGAAAAGCAGCAAAGTTTGTGTAAAGAGGAAGGCAAACCGCGTTTGTCTGAGCCTGGGGCTCAGCACAGTTACTGCTACGATGAGCTCCAAACAGAGAAATATCACAAGGAAACAGCGGCCAGATTTGCAAACGAAAGAACAATCTCTCTTACTCCAAACATCCGTGCAGCATTGCTGGCACGGCAGTTTGGCACCCGCGGCACGCAGGAACAGAGCTGTGCGCTCACACAGCCACGAGCGCGGGCGCTGCTTACCCCGTCCGTGAGGCTCCTGGGGGCGGCGGGCGGCCGGTGCTGGGCGAGCTGCAGACCCCGCGGGGCCCTGCGGATGCAGGCGGGGGAGGACAGGAACCCTGAGCGCTGCATGGAGCCAAAGCGGGGCGCATTCTGCCCGTACCTGACACCATCCAGCAGGCGGATGAGCAGCAGGTTGGCCGGCAGCTGCTCGATGCCGCAGAGGACGAGCGTCCTGCACTCGGGGCACCGGAGCTCCTTCTGGGACTTGAGGATCCTCTGCAGACAGGGCTTGCAGAACGTGTGCTGGCACGGCAGCACCTTGGCCGTGGCGTCGAGCTTTTCGAAGCACACTGGGCACTCCAGCAGGTCGAGCAGAGCCAGGTCGTCCATCGTCAGCACCGAGCCGCCGTCACGGCCGTGCCGGAGACGTCCACATGGCACAGACACGGGCGTTGGGCTGAGGCAGGCACCCTGCGCGGAGGGGAGGAGGAATCAGGCTGCTGGAGCCTGTACCGCATCCCACCTACATGGCAAGGCAGCGCCTCACGAGCCCATTTGCAAATGCCTACTTTGCACTCCCATCCAAGCTGCGGTGAGTCAGTGCTGATTCAGGAGCGAGGGGGCCGTGCCCAGCAGCCCCGCGTGGCACCGTGCGGTGGGGCAGGGCGGGCACCGTCCCAGCAGCACCCCGAGGAGCTCCGGCCCGGCCCTGCTCTGCTCTGCGGGCGCCTGGCGGCACGGCACGGTGCGGGCGCAGCCCGATAAGATCAGCCTGAGCTGTTTACTCCCGGCTCCGGCTCCAAGCAGCCCCTCGCACACCCATGCACCGCCTCGCTCCCAAGATCAGTCCTAATTAAGCTCTCTGCCTACCGGTTTTGACAGCAGCTCTATAAAAAGCCCTCCGAACGCAACTACGATCCCGTTTTACCTTGGAGGGACGTGGGGAACTCTGTGCCGACGTCCTCACCCACCAGGCTGCCTCAGCTCCCGCAGCCCAGCGAGATTATTCCTCCCACAGCGCAAAGTCACTCAACCCGTTCGGCTCCTTCGGGGCTGCGCTGGCTGCGCTCGGGCGGGCGGCTCTGGGCTCAAGTCACAGCTTGTGGGAGAGCAGCAGCTCCCGTGTGCTGGCCAGGTGAGAGCAGTGCCGCCCGTGCCGAAACCTCCCCTGGTGATGGTGTGAGAATGCGGAGGTTTGGCGGTGTGAGCTTCTCACTGCTGGGGCTCTCCCTGCCTTGGTGGTGAGGTGCCCGTGGCCATGAACATCCTCACACACAGCTAGGCCAGGGCTGGGCACCGGCAGTGCTGCTCCCAGGCTCTGAGCTGCAGATGCTTGAGCAAGCCAGGAGTGCTGCTGGGGATGGCAGAACCCAGCCTTGTGCTGCCTGAGCAATGTGGCTCTGTGTCCCAACATGAGTCCCAGCGGCGGCTCCAGCAACCCCATCTGTGCCCACGTCCTCCCTGCACGGTGATGGGTTGGTGATGCCCAGGAGGGTGCTGCTGCCTGCAGCACTGTGACACTCACACAGCCCTCTGAACACTGGGCCACCTCCACCCGCACCATCCCAGCACGGCTTTCATAGGGGGCCAGAGGAGTGGGAAGGTGCAGATCTAATGAGATTTATTTTGCACACCTCCATTTCTGGGTGGGCTGGACCCATCGGGCACACTGCACTCTCAGGCTTTAGCCCAGAGGGATTTGCTGTCCTGCTGGGAGCTCCCTGAGCAGCACCAACCACTGCTGCAGGGATGGCCGCAATCTCAGCTGTGTGTTTGCAGCCTATGAGTTAGAGGAAAGGACTGTAGATCTAAAGGGTTTATTTCTATTTGGTGCTTTTACACACAATGCAATACTACTGTGAGTGCAGGACACATTTCACTTCTCTGAGAAGGACTACTTCCAGAAGCATTCAGCAGATACAGTAAATGCGCTTCTTTCAGTGATTTTTCCGCACAGTGTGATTTTGTCAGAGCAATTTCTTTTAAATGGCGGCCATTTGGCTGAATTAAACACTGACATCTTCAGGATAATGCACAGAAACAATTACTTCACTCTGTTTCATCTCAGGTCTCCATTTACTTTGGTATTTCTTTGTAGTCTGTCATACGCTGATTCGCGCTTGGCTGACAGCGCACACTTTGTAATGAATGACGTTGAGAACAACATCCTGTGTCAGGCTGCTGCTTTAAAATGCAGTGTGTGACATCAGCCATACTGAGAACAGGTTTTGAAGTCTGTTTTTTGTCGTGTTTGTTGGTTTTTTTTTTACATTTTCTTCTCTATTTCTGTTCTGTGGTTCGTGCACACATGGTGTATTTTCATCTGACTGGGAACGAATTACAAAATACCGTGCAGTTGGGAACTGGTGGGGATGAAGCTGAGAGCTGAGTTTGTGCTCACAGGTAGCACTGCTCTCAGATGCAATTTGTTCACGAGTCCTTTAAAAATTCTTTTAACTTTTCCTAAGTCCTGATTTGAACTAGTTGTGGTCAATGGGTGGGACTGAAAGCTCCTATGAGAAGCTTGCACACCTCACCACACATTTCTCCTGCCCATGGTGGATTTCCATGGAAATCTGTGGGTGCTGCACAGGCGCGGGTGAATCACTGCTGCCCTGCATCCCAGCTGGCCCCAGACGCATCCCAGGCACATCCCAGCTGCATCCTGACCACATCCTGGCCAGTCCCAGCTGTGCTCCCACTGGGTTCTATCTGTGCTGGCTCTCAAGGCCAAGGCAGGAGCGGGGTGCTGGGTGCCAGGAGCCTGCTCCAGTGTCTGGGGGCTGCTCTTCTTTATCCTGAACAAAACAAGGCAGGTATAGTGCTGGCAATCTCCTGAGAGCGCTGCCATGTGCTGCAGCTTGGGGCAGATCTTTCTTTGCCCCCAGCAGTGTCCACACAGCTCCCTGCCTGCTGTGCACCACGAGCCCTTCAGGCAGGGGTGGCCACTCTCCTGCCCAGGAGTTTCCAGCTGCCCTGCCAGGCAGAGAGGATCAGAGAGGCTCTGATCCTGATTGCAGTCGCTAGGCTTTGCTGCAATATAAAAAATGGATGATTCCAACACTTAGCATTACACAACTCCTTAAATCTTCAAAGTGCTTTCCAAATACTAATTCAGCTGTGGAACGCCCCTTGGGCTGCGTGTAACCTCCCCCCCCTCCACTTTGCATGGAGGAGCTCAAGTATGAGGCCACTCAGCAGACCAGTGCCCAGTCTGGGGCTGGGCTGTGCAGCTTTCCTGCTTCTCAGTGTTCAGACCGTCCCACAGAGCTCTATCATCTGCCTCATAACTGGGGTTAAAGCACAAAGGCAGAGCTGTGAAGCTGCTGGTCCTTCCCTTTCATTTAAGAAGTTTGTGCTTGATGCTGATGCTGTAATTAGCTCTGGGCTGGATGAGGCCATGTGCTGCTCCTCTGCGGCTCCATTGCTCTGAACCTGCGTAGCAATGCACAGCCCTGGTGCTGGCAGGGAACCACGCAGTGCTGGGAACCAGCAAGAGACGTTCCAGAGGTGCAGCACTGAGGGGCTGTGTGCACATCTGCAGGAGCTGCGCTCCCAGCTCGTCCCCGCAGTCCCCTGTCAGCAGCAGCCCTGCACTGAGCAGGGTTCTGTCCGGCCAGGTCAGCCACTGTGGAGGAGAAAAGTGTGGAAACAGCATTTCCTTCCATCAGCTTTGAATTTCACATATTGTATCTGCTGACCATTTTGAGTTCTTGTGACTATGAGACAGTAACGTACAGAAGCTCGGGGCTGCACTCAGTGGGGCCACAGCAATGCGCAGGGTCACAGTGTGTGTGGGCAGCTGGGCAGCAGGGCACGGGCTGCAGCATCTTGTGGGGTTTATAAAAAGCTGCTGTCACCATATACAGCACTGGGTGGGTGCCACATGCCTCCTCCTCCAGGAAATGAGGGACCCTTCGTGCTGTTTTTAGATCCTGGAGGGCAGGGAGAGGGGGTGCCACTTGCGAGCAGCTGCAAATTATAGCTCTCATGCTAACAGCTTGTCCTCCTGCCACCCACGGCCCAGGCACAGCGCATGGCTCAGTGCCTGTGGGTGGGGCGAGCGGCCCCCCAGCCCTGCTCAGGGATGAGGTAAGCACAGGGCCACGTCCCCACGCACCGCTCTGGTGCCACTCGCACTGCTGTGTGTGCCCTGTGCTGGGCAGCCGCACCGGGGATGGAGCTGGGTGGGGGCATGGAGCTGGGTGGGGGCATGGAGCCAGGTGAGAGGACAGAGCCAGGCATGCAGACAGAGGCAGCGTGGCCGTGGCTTCGTGGTCTGGGACTGGAGTTGCTCTTGGGGTGGGAAGGTGTGGGGGACCCAAGGAGCTGCCGATGGAGCTCCATCCCTGCAGCACCATGTGCATGTAGCACTGTTGTTTGTGCCCACAGTGCAGCAAAGGGAGACAGAACTGGGAGCACTATGCCTGCTGCCTGCCACCTACCTGACAGGGGCTGAGTGATTTTCAATTTTTAAGATGAGAAGAAATAAAAGCTTTCAAGCAGCAATAGACCTGAGCACCAGCCCAAAAGGCCTTTGAATGTTGCCTTGAGTGCTTCTCAGCTGCTCCTCAAACTGACTGCAGACAAGGTCAGGATTCAGTTACCTCATTAAACACAGCTGCCAGCAGCAGTGCTATTGCTGTCCCTCCATGTTCCCAGGTCTCCTGGCCGGCAGGATGGCACCAGATGGGTTATAAATGCCCAGCAAGCACAGTGCTGGAGTGGGTCTGTGGCACTTGAGCAGGGATGGTGCTTCTGTGGGTGTACCCTGCTGTATGAAGGATGTGCGGCCCAGCCCTGTGCTGCTGTGACCGGAGCTGGGCTTGGCTTTCTGACGTGGGCTTCTGGGGGGTGGGAGCTGAGCATAGGGAGATCCCAGCAGCACTGCCTGGAGCCACCCTGCCTCAGCTGTACACCTGCCTCTGTGCAGGTGATGGAAAACAAGAGCTGCTTCTGTGCTTGTGGGGAAGTAGTATTTCCCTCTGTGCTGTTGTTGCTGTTCTGCTATTTGCTGCATCTGCTCTGGTTTTTCTGAGCCCTGGCTTTGCTGCACAGCTCCCCGCAGCCAGAGGGGTTTGCTGCCCGAGGCAGAGCCCCAGCCCTGGGAATTTCCCTCTTTGAAGCGCTCTTTATTGGTTTTTGTTTCTTTGTGACCTCAAGATTTGTGTGCATGCTCAGGGCTCTCCCCTCACCCACGCTGTCCCCAGGGCCAAGGCCATCAGCAGGAGCTGTGAGGCTGTGTCTTCCCCTTCCAGTGAACTCAACCCCAGCAGTACAGGGCTGCTCTGTGTGGCTCCCCTGGAAGCGTGGGGTCTTGTGGAGAAGTGGTTAATGAGCAAGGGACTGTGGAGCTCTGCCTCTGAAATGCTTTGTGGCTCACTGCTGACATGTTCTTCTGCTACATGAGAGCTCTGGCCCTGCCCTTTTTGCCATCTTTCCTCAGACTCACTGAAATGCTCTAACTTTCTTCAACACAAGTACACGGAGCACAGTAGTAGTTAGCAAAGAGAGGAGGGTTCTGTAAGTGAACTGCATGCTCCTGTTTGTTGCAGCAGAGCCTGGCTTCTGTTTTACTATATTGGCCAGAGATGCAGAAGGTGTAGGGTGGATCCACGTGGACCCAGGAGGCATCAGTGGTCCCAGCACAGAGCCCTAGGACAGAGCTTGGGATGGATGGCCACAGTGTGTGCCCACTCCCAGTACTGCTCTGATCCCACATGATGCTGTGAGGTCCCCACAGTTGGAAGTGCTGCACATGGGCAGCAGCCACGTGGGTGATCTCTTGGTGGTCAGAGCCACAGTCAGCTCCCAGGCACCCACACAGGGCACTGCAATGTGGCAGCAGATTCCTGCTGTCCCACCATTCCCTGAGCAGTCCCAGTCAGTGGGCATGGTGCCCATCCTGTCCAGGGCTGCTGCTACATTTCTGTGGCATGTTGGGTGTTTGCAGGCTGCTCCCTATGCAGCTCAACTGTGGAGTTTTGCTGATAGAGAGCACATGCAGAAAGGAAGCAGTTTGTCTTTGCTTCATGAGATCAGAGTGATGAGGATATCTTTTCCCTGGGGCAAGGAGAAGGATGGGGCAGTCCCACTGCGTGACAGTGAGTGGTGGCAGCCGACTGCATGGCTGGGTCCCTACGGCTGGCAGCTCAGTGCGCTGCTGCTGTTGGAGAGCTGTGCTGGGTCTGCTCAGCAGTGCATGGAAATGCTGTATGTGCAAATGGGATGGGGCTCAGGGCAGGTGCAGCTGCTGCCGTGCTGCTGACAAGGGCCCCTTTGGTAGCACAGGGTGTGCCTGTCACTGTGCCGTGCTGGAATGAAGTCGTGGTGCTGTGGGTCCCTGCAGTACAGACACGTGGAGAGCAGCCACAGGGAGCGAGGGGCCAGGCTGAGCCCAGCAGTGACAGCGCTGTGCAGGCTGCGGGGTGTGGGGCTGGGCTGCCCCTGCTGCAGGGAACCCATGGAGCAGCACAGGGAGGACAGCTTCCTCCTCTTGCTCACAGGCAGTTGTGGTTAATGTGGCATGCTGATATTTCCTCATTCACCACCATATTTACTGTGGTAATGCCACTATCTTCTCCCCCATTAGGTCTCACAACCTTCCTCTTTGTGCATCCAGGGGTGTCTGAGTGCTGGTGAGATTTTTCCCAGTGTTTATACACAACTTAACCTTTTCTCATCCTTGCCAGCAGCAAGGATGCCCACTTGTGACCCCACGAGGTATCTTTCTCTCCTGCTTTTACTTCTTGCTCTCTTCAGCACACAGAGCTCCCTCCAACTCCATTAGACAATGGCTGCAGCTGCCTTCCTGCCTGCTGCTCCCAGCGATGCAGCAATGATACGGGCAGTGGGACACAGCCCAGCTGAAGCCCCTGCTCACATCCCTTTGTGAGTTGCTGAGTGCATCCCTTCCTGCTGCTGCTGCTTCGTCAGGAGGAGCACCGCAGTGCTCCAAGGAAGCGAAAATGAGCAAAGAGCAACAAAACATTTCTCAGCAAAATGTGCAGGTGGAAACATGTCTTCAAAGAGCTGCAGTGCAGTTCACCACCACTTCTCTATCTGTCCTCGTTTGTACGTATCCTGTGTTGTTGCAATAGACATAAAGCAACATGTTACGCTCCTTAGGGCAAGGCTGTCTGCCTTTGTTCTGCAAACCTTCGGTATGCTTCCAACAGCATTCAGTGCTTCCTAGCATGCAGAGGGGGTGTAGGCTGGCTGTGTGCTGGGCAGACACGCTGCTAAATCTGGTGGACCAAAGGCTAAAGGGATAACCCAGTGATAATGCAGATTGTGGAGCCTGGTGATCTCTGTTGTGTGCAAGATCACTGCTGTGCCTTCAGCAGGATGGGGCCCAACATGGTGCTGTGAGCAGGGCTTAGCACAGCCTGCAGTGTGCTGGTGGCTGCAGGGCTGCTCCTGAAAGGGATTCTATGGGAATTCTGGGCCTGCTGTGGGTCCGTGGCACTGGGGCTGAGCTGTGTGTAACTGCACGTGGGAGCTGCTCTGCTCAGCTGCTGATGTGGATGTGGCAGTGGTGCTGTCATTGCCGCTTTCAACTTTGTTTCCTGTTTGATTGTTCTCTTCATCAAAAGAAAATGAACTCCAATTAAGGTATCTTACAAAGTGTGGTTCGTGGCAATTAGGACTGCTGCTGTGCCTTTGAACAGCAGGGCCTGCTTGGCGCAGGACGAGTCAGGGAAAGGGGTGGATGGGACTCCCAGGTACACACACAGAGCGCAGCCCGACGGATGCAGCTCAGTGCTCCTACCACGTGAGTGAGCTCCTCCCGTTGGGGTGGGCCGGGCGGTGGCACAGGCGCTGTATGGTGCTGGAGAATGCAGAGGTGTGCCCGGCTGTGCTCACATGCTGCTGCATGTCATGGCACCACAGGGAGGGCCATAGGGGCCTTCTGAGCCCTCCTGGTGCTGCATGGCCAACTCCTAATTAACATAATAAACGGGTGTACTGAGAATGTTAAGCTATAAGGCTCTGGTTGTGAATGATAAGCAGGATGAAAGCAGGATGCTCCGCTCAGGTTCCAGTCAACACAGCTCCTTCAGCAGCAGAAATGTGCTGAAATGCTGAAGCTTGAAAGGGAGAGCCTTCACCTGCTGTGTGTGCTTGGTGTAAACAGGTGTCGGGATCTCTGAGAGCTGCTCCATTGATGCATTCTGTACTAAATACACCTCTCCTTTTCCTGCAAGAGGAAAGGCGAGCCCTGGTCGGGAGGGGTCCCATGGGGCTGGGGGAGATCTGGGGACTGCAGCCCCCCAGGGCTGTTCCTGCTGCCCCACAGCCCTGTCTGCCCCCTGCTGCAGAGTGGGGCCGGAGCCCACAGCCTGCAGGAACTGCAGATAGAGGCTGAAAGCAAAAGGGGATGAAATCTTAACTGGATCTCCACCGCCCTGCAGAGAAACACGTTTGGATTAAAACGAAGCGGAGCTTTGTGCTCTCAGGGTTTCAGAGCCGGAACGGAAGAGGAATTATTCACAATTCCTATTTGTGAGAGAGGAGAGCTTTTCCTGTGAACTTGTCCTTGTGAATTTCATCTTGTCAGAATGGTGGGGAGCTGCGGGACGGCACACTGGGGCAGCGCTGATCGCAGGGCAAGGCCCCAAAGCACGGCAGTCCCCGTTCAGTCTTGTGGCCCCGCTTGCTCTGTTCCTCGTTCTGCCCTCCTGTTCCCATCCGCCGGAGCTCTGCAGAACTTGCCACTCATCTCGGTATTTTCTCTTTGTGAACTTCTATCAATATTTAACGCAGCAGTGTCGGTTTTGCCGTAAGATGAGAGGAGCTACGAGAAGCCTGAATTATACATGGTGTGACGGGGAGGCTGGGGAGCTTTCTGCGAGCCGAGCGCGGCGCCGCGGCCATGGAGGAGCCCCAGCAGAACCCCGGGCAGCGGCCCCGCAAGGTGCGGTTCCGAATCTCGTCGGCGTGCAGCGGCCGCGTGCTGAAGCAGGTCTACGAGGACGGGCAGGCGTTGGAGCCGCCGGCCGTGGAGCAATCCCGGCGGCTGCGGCACAGCTTTGAGCCCGGGGTGCTGCCCGACGGCCCCGCGCCGGGACTGCCGCAGAGCAGCGGCTGCGGGGAGGATGGGAGCGGCCCCGGCTGCCCCCCCGCTGGCAGCGGGCTCTACGGGGTGAGTGGTGCCGGCCTCGGCCCCGGGACGTGCGGGCGGGTGGTGATGTGGGCCCAGGGACCGCACGCGGGGCTTCGTTCAGGTGTAGCCCGCTTTGTTAGCAGTGTTTTAAATGCGTGCCCGTACAGCCTCGTCCCATCAGCACGGCAGCATCTGCTCTGTGCTTCGTCCTCGGTCCTCACCAGATTGATTTGCATCTGTCTGTTTTGTAGAGTAAGATGCAACGTTTCCATGTATCCCAGTATCTGTACAGAATAACCCCGACGCATCCAAACGTAAGGTGGATATTATCTCAATTAGCTACATTTCAAGCATTAGAGCTGCATGACTTGTGCTGGCAGAAGGGCTGTGCCCGTGACATTGTGTCTTGAAGCAAGCCCCCTGCTAATTATTAGTGCTAAATCAAGCCTCAGGTTTGCCTGTGGGAGCCCTGACTTGCTGATACTTGGATTGTACCAAGCGAATACCCTGGGCATCTGGTTTAACCGAAAATATCAAACCACTGTGAATCTCTTCTGCCCGAGACAGAGCACTGATGTGATCCTATCTATGCCGTTAATTGGTTCTGCATTCCTGGGTAATGCTCATCTCCATTCTCCAGTCTCCCTAACCGTAGGTACTTGCAGTAACCACGCTGTCCAGCCCCGGTCCTGCTCTGTATCAGTGTGCACTCAGTGCACGGGGACACCACAGCTGTGCAGATATGGGCACTCCATGCCTGATGCTGTGGGCAGGGTGGGTGCTCACAGCCCCTGTGGTTCTGTTCTGGGGCAGTGATGCCCAGCTGCCAGCACGGCCATCGGGTGCTGCAAGGCTGGCATGGCCTTTTGTTAGGAGAGCATCTCTTCTTGACGTGGATACTTAGGGTGAAATATGAAGAGTAGGTAAAGCAATAGGATGTGGTAACTGCCATGTGATACCTGGGAAAGGTGAGGGAAAGAATGATCAGGAAAGCAAAATGATGCTTTCAAATGTCTGTGACCGGAACAAGGCTGGTTTTAAAACCATTAGAAAAGAATATAAATGCAAGTGTCCCCATGGATGGCTATTTAGGCTGGCTGTTAGGAACACAGTTTAGCATTAGATAACAAGATTGTTTTACCCCATCTGACCACTTGGTCAGCATTAGCAAATTACAAAGAAAAGTTTTCATTTAGGTCTGGAAACCCCACCAAATGCTGCCTAATGGGTAACCACCATCTGAACTGCTACTTCCAGGCCAAACTCTGGACATCCCCTCCAAACTGCTCAGCCTTCAAAGAGATGTGGCTCAGTCCCCAGTGCAGAGGCTTTTTGGCATATGCCAGCTCTGCTGCTCTGAGCATTGTGCATTTTTCATTTCTTCTGGGTTGAAATGAGAATTTCCATCCCAGGAAGTTTCCCCACCCAAAACATGTTTGCAGAGCATATTATATGGGTGGGAAACTGATAAGATCCTCTTACAGGCTTCTCCAGTTATCGACTTTGGTCAGATCATCATCTACACCAACAACCTGAAAATCATCCGTGCGCCGATGGACCAGAGAGAGCTCATGAGAAGGATCATCCAGACAGAGGGGGTGAGCGACTGGGCCTTTGTGTACAGGGAAAGGAGAGAAAGAATTGGTGCTGGACATAAAAAGGATGTGGAAAAGAAGGCTGTCCGCAACCAGTACATGCAGGTAAGAAAAAACTGGAAGCATTTTTGTTTCCTGGTTCTGGTCAAACCATTCAGTGTTCCCATCCAAGCCCCATCTATGTCAGTATCTGTCACTTCAGCTAAATTTGGGTTAGGAGCATCGCTTTGTTCCTCTCTCACTTGGATGTGACTGAGCAGCACAGCCAGCACCCTGAGCATCGTTGTTCTGCTTCCAGTGCCCTCGTGCCTCCTGCTTGGTTTTCCTTTGGAGATCACTGACATTCAGCAGTGTGGTGGAGCTCCATCCTCCATCATTGAGAGCAGACTGAGTTTCTGCAGCCTGATGAGGCCAAACACAGCTGCTGTGTGGCTGAGACTTCCCCAGGCTAAAATTTTAATATCAGCTGAAACGAGATTGCGCCTTCCACTTATTTTCTCATGGGTTAGACTTTGTTGGTCAGAACCTCAATTAATCTGACCACAATTTGATCCCACAAAACAAATGCTGTCATGCAGGGTAAATACAAGCACTGCAGCTTTGCCAGCCCCAAACCACCCTGCTGTGTGCAGTGCAGAGTGCCTGGGATGCCCTGCTGGGAGCCTCGCTCAGGGCTCACTCACAGGAGGACCCCGCAGAAGCTGAAAGCAACCCAGGTATTTACTGACTTTCATGTCTGAGTAACAGCATTTTTCATGATGTTTCTGTTGCAGGAAAGAGGTGCTGAGCGCACTTGCTCCCAGTGTAAAGGATCAGGCTCTGCTCCTTGCTCGCTGTGCCACGGCAGCAAGTTTTCAATGCTGGCAAACAGATTCAAGGAGTCCTACAGGGCTCTGCGCTGCCCAGCCTGCAATGAGAGCGGCGTGCAGCCCTGCCAGGTCTGCGCTGCGTGACGGAGCTGCGCTGCGCCCAGGTCTGCTGGGAGCTTTGCATTATTTCACTTCAAGCAGCTCTGCTCTAATGGGAACTTTGAAAGACGGGAGAAGTACGTTACGTGAGTTTGCCATAAATACGAACACAGCGCCTCTGCTCCACGCTGTGCCTCTTGTCTGCTGCACACATTTGCTCAATCAGGGCCCTGTCCTGCAAACGCACTGCGTGCAGCCCTGTGGGGTGAGCACAGCCACGTGATGTGATCTGCACGTGGGGGCTGAGACACTGCAGGACTGCACCTGGCACCGGGAGCTCAGCGTGGGCAGAGCCTGCAGCACTGCTATGGCAGCAGAAGGCAGCAGCAGTGGGCACAGCTGGGTGTGGGTCTGCACGACAGCAGCACAGAGCGGTGCCTCCTCTGGGCTTTAATTTGCTGAACACGTTAACATCACACCATCTTTTGTAATTACCTCTGAACTCGTGGTGTCACGAGCGTTTCCTGAAGATTTTGCTGATTCTTACATCTGTTTTAATGGACAGAATGATTCTTTTGGGATTTGGCTTATGGTGGGAAACCGAAAACTTTTCCTAAATCAGGAGCCATAGAAATGTACAGTAATTTATTATTACAGCTAGAAACAAATAAGCTTTTAGCCTGCTTAGGAGGAAGTGCTGAACTGAAATTCCCCTCTCCACTGCTCAGCACTTTTCTGGATCGGGCTGGCAGCGAGCAAGACTCCAGTTGCCCAATATTAATCCCATGATGTAATCTGCAGAAGGTAAACTCTAATTAGTTAAGGTGGAGCAGTGATGCTGAGTTCTTTGCAGGCTGCCCCTGGTGGTGCAGAATGCACGGGATTCGGGAGGTGGAAGCAAATGGGGGAAATGTGTGTTTTTTCTCCCCGAAGCCTTAAATCATTGCGCTGCATATTCATGAGCAATGCTAAGGCTGCAGTAACTTGCACCTTACTGGTGAGACTCGTGAGCTCGGCGCTGCCCACCTGCGCCGTGCCGAGGCTGCAGGCCCGGCTCACTGCCAGCTTTCTGTTCGCTGATGGCTGCGAGATTTCTCCAAACTGCTTCAGTGGTTGGAAGCCCTCGGACTGCCACTGATGGGCCGCTGGATTTTCTCAGCGGGTGCTACTGATTTAATTTTCAAACAAAGCGCACAAAAATGCGGCTGATACTCGTTCTGCTCCGTTTATCGCACTGGGATCTGCAGTGTGAATAACCGCAGCCCTTCGGCTGTTTGTGAGGGCAGAGGAATCCTCGCGGCTCCGAGAGCGACCGGAGCGCTCAGCCCCGCTGCGGCCGTTTGATCCCTGCGGGCCGGCATCAAAGCTCTGCGGTGAGAACAAAGCAGCCGGGCGGAGCTGCTGCCTGATCCTTCAACGTTTACGGCAGAGCTGATGCAAGCACTCATCGCTGAGGTCACTGCTGCCTGCTCAGTGATTGCGCTGCTCTCGGCAGCCGTACGGCCGGGCTGTGGGTGGCAGATAAAGGCGGTGATGTGGGGCTGCTGGGTCGGACACGGAGCCCAATTCCTCACTAAGGGCCACAGCAGCGCCGTTATGGCCTCTAACGGGAACCGGGATGTCGGCTGTGTGAAACCCCGACCTGGGCAAAATCCGAATTTCCTCATGGGTTGAAATGCCAGAACTTTGGTACATGTGCTTAGTCTGGAATCTTTTATTGATCGTCTGTTCCTCTCAATCATTTACAGCTGCTCTTTTATTTCCCTAGAACAGGGCTACGGCAAGGATACATTTAAAGTTTTCTTTCTTTCTCTTTTTCTGTCTGTCTTTCCAAAAAAAGCAAACTGTTGCCTTTGTCCTGCTGTAGGAATCCTGGGCCGCTTCTCCCCGCTCGGGCATCGCATCGCTGACAGCCCGGCTTACACTGCCACGCTATGGCTGCCTGTGGATGTGCTCTGAAACAGAACTGGAAACCTTTGAGCAAACTTGGGAGGGACGGCAGGGGCTGCCGTTTGCTGATTCTCCTGGCTGCTCGGCAGCTGGAGGTCGGAAAGAAGCAGGGCTGCTTTATTTCATTGTGGAACACATGAGCGGCATAGAAATGCAAATAGAAATCGTATTCAGTGTTAAATTTCTATAGGACTTAAGAAGGGCAGTTGGAGGTGAGTAGTGAGGCTAATTATGACAGCCAGAGGCGCAGAGCAGAAAGGTTAAAATAATCCTCATTTCCATGTGCCAGCAAAGTGCACCACTTGCTTTTAACCAGGAACTCCGTATGACTGAAGAGAGGATTGCCACAGTTGCTCACAAACGCCACAGTTAAAGCTGATTCCAGCGCTCCTGCTCTTGTTGTTCCTGCTGGGGTTCTGGAGGTGGAAGCGCGGAGTGCTGCAGGGAGGTGCCTCCCTGTTCTCAGAGCCCGAAGTCAGACAGGCGGTTCGTGGGGCCGCGTCCATCCCCTCCTGCCCACCCCTCGCACTGCCTGCACCGCAGCATTTGTGCCTCTGCTGCTGGAATTTTGTCTTAAATTCTCATTTATTCTCAACCACCACCCCTGCTACACAGTCACAACGTGAAGGAACCTGGACAGGTTCAGCTGACTTTGCAGTATCACCACTTCATTTCCTTGGAGTTGAAAAAGAAAGAATTGGGATATTTATGCATTTAAACGTTATTATATTTTGCAAGTCTTTGAAGCTGTCAGTTTGATTTATGTGGGCTCCATTTGATTTTGCTGTAAAACCAGCCCTTCTCTGCTTCGAAATATTTCATTTTTATACAAATCATTACGTGTAACCTGCAGTGATTTCTTTCTGCTGCTGAACACAGCACTGCTGTAAAAGGCCTGCTATTTCCCCCAAGTAACTTCTAAGAAACATCGCCGTGGATGAAAACTGCTGCTTCTGATAAATGATGGCACGCATTCCCATTAGGAGAGGCATGAGGGGTCTTAATTCCCTGGATTCAGCATAATGAGTAATGGAATCAATTCTGTTTGTTGTTTCTTGTGGAAAGCAATCGATACATTTGCAGGAAGAGTGAATGAGAACAGAAATTACTGATTTTAATTGTCTGTTTTTGCTAGTGGAGGATGGGATGCTCCAGCTCCGGTGAGCGATGGGATGCAGCAGAAGGTGGCCACGCTCAGGCACTGCTGGGCGGGGGCTGTGGGGCGGTCCGGGTGCGGGGCTCTGTCCTGAGCGGCCACTTCTGGTGCTGGAACACGGGGGGGGTGTGAGAGCCTGGAGCTGTGGCACTTGGGGACGTGGTTAGCGTGCGTGCTGGGGCTGAGTTGGGGTCCGGCTTGGTGGTCCGAGGGGTCTTTTCTAGCCTTAGTGGTTCTGTAATTCTGTGTGGCGCTCTGCATCCGTGCCGTGGGCTCAAAAAACGCTCCTGACCGTCAGCTGCGGTAAAAAAAAAAGTCATTTCTGTGGTACCGATGGCTTAAAGACATCGCTCTGTGGTTCAGCGTCGAGGATTTGTTTGGGGGCCTCTCGCAGTGATGGAGTCAAACGTAAGCGGGCCGATCTACGGCCGCCGTCCGTGGAGCTGCTCAGGAGCGGATGTGCCGGGCAGCCCTCTGCGGGGAGCCGAGCCGACCGAGCCGAGCCCCGCAGCTCCGGCATCCCGGGGCGGAACGAACGCGGACGGGACTCAGGCGGCGCTGCCCGCCCGGGGCCGCCAGGGGGCGGCGTTCATCTGCAGCGGCCGCCGCCATCACCGCGCCCGGGCCGGGGGGAGCGGAACGGAGCCGAGCGGAGCGGCCCGGCCCAGTGCTGCGGGCAGTGCCGGGGCAGCGCGGATGGCTGCGAGCCCACGTTAAGTACGGCAGGAGCTGCTCGCCTCTGTGCGAGCCCGAGCTCGGTCACACGACGCGAGGAGCCGGGAAAGGAGCAGCACTCCGGTGTGCCAGCGATGGCAGCGGGCACCACGTCGGGGCCGTGCCGTGCCGTGCCGTTCTGTGCTCCCTGCGGGGTTCAGGCGCTGCCGGGAGCGCCCGGCCGTTGCTCTGCTTGCAGACTCGTAATATCATTTATTTTTCTGTGCTGTGCGGGAAATTGAGTCTATTTCTGTTTAAATACTTGGGTAATAGAGCCTGCTATTTAGCAGAAGATTCATGTCGATGGCTCTTTGTTTCACGCGATTGGGCATCACGGTGCGTACGTTGTGCTGCTAATGAAGCTGTGCGGCTGCTGCCATTTCAGAGCAGCACGAAGAGGAGAAGCCTCCAGCTTGTGAGCAACGGGACGGGAGAGCCTCGTGCTGTTAAAGCCAACCTGTGATCTGCAGCAATAGAAGGCAGGAGAGCCGGGCACGGAGCAGCCTGTGCTGGAGCCGAACTTCAGCGCAGAGCCCAAAGTTTTGCTGTGTTGGAATTTCAGAGATCCCATAAATGCACTTTGTCACTGCATCACACAAACTGATTTGGTCTTAAATGCAACTTCTCTTCCTTTTCTAAAGCTTCACATTATTTAACGTTGGTCATTATTTGGTGTTCAGTATTTCTTCAGTCTGGCATTTTTATTGTCGTAGGCCATACAGTAACTTTTAAGAATTGAGTTCAATACATTCTCATATGCTTTAAATTTTACGTTTCATTATTGATGAGTGTTGATTGCTTTCCACAGGAGGAGCAAGGTCCTTGCAGCCCCATCTCCTCAGCACCAGGGCTATTCCCTGCTCCTGCATGACAAACTGATATTTGCACTGTGCATTTCTCTCCTGATATGGCAGTCCCATGGATAAGCATCTGCATGGGAACTGCTGAGTCCTGGCCTGCACCACTGATGGAGCACCTGGGAAAGGACCCGGTCAGCCCTGGGAGCACAGGTGAAGGCAATTCAGCTGTGTGATAGGAAGGGGTGGAGCCTGGCTGCCCCTCTCTTAGACCTCATTTAAGGGCTGACTGCCACTGAGGAAGGATCTCTGGTTGGAGATCTCTCTTTGGGGAAGCTTTCCCCTGCAAAACTGGAATCTTCTGATATGGGTAAGCACTCTTCTTCCCTTCCCTTACAGCACCTTTCTAGCACAGTGAAGTCATTACACTTCTGGTGAAACGCTATTTGCCATCATGTTGGTCTGTCCAATTGCTACAGCATTTTATGGCTGCAGAAACAGTGGAAGTGTTGCTGTTTCCCAGCCATGTTGATGGGAAATAAACCTGCTGGGGTTGGAAGCGGTTGCACATAAGGCCCAGTGAACTGTGTGGGTTGTGCTCCAGTTACTAAGTTTGCAAGAAATATTTGCCATTTGGCATGTAAAGTAACGTGCCTCTGTAGGGCACATGTTAAGCAGTTATGGCACTGTGTGGAAGTCAAATGCCATCTGAATATCCCTGAAAATAATTCTCTTCTTTCAAGTACTGGGCCAGTGATGAGATTCTTATCTGCAGTGAAATAGGAGCTTGCCTCCTTTTAGTCCCAAGTGCTTGTGGGTGCTCCTTGTCATACATCTGGGGATGTCTTCTGTCTTGAAGCTTAGCAGGGCCCTTCATTCCAGGGCTGTGCTCTTTGTGAGCAAGTCAGTGAGAGTGCTCTGAGATTACAGAGAGCAGAGCATCAGTGCTGCCATGGCAGCTCTATTGAAGGCAGCAAAGCACTCATCCTGGTGAATGCTTTTCTGTTCTCTGCTCCATGAAGATACTTTGTATTACTGATGTGATGTATTTGAGTTCTGGAAGCTGAGCTCCGTAAAGTTTTCATCTCTCAGACCCAGCCGAGTGCCGCTCGAGAACATGCTTTTATCCCTGACAAGTCCTTAACCCGGGCTGCCTGCCAGCTGGCCTCGTGTTCTGCACCGTCCTGAGGTTTCTGTTCTTCATCTGGGTCATTAAATATTAAAAGACAAAGTGGTTCTAAAAGCTGGCTGTTTTTTGGAAATACAAAATAACTGTAATTTGTTTCCTAATAGATAGTTTTGTTCTTGTCGTCGGTCCAATTCAATGCAGAAATAAATGCATAATAAGTGAGACAGGACAGCACTGTAAATCTAATCACAGTGTGTTTCTCCAGGGAACGGGCTGGAGAACACGAATGGGGCTGTGGGCAGCAATGAGAGAAAGCTTCAGTGAGTGCTGCTGCCCTGCCTGCCCACCTCCCCCGAGCAGCAGAGGACGAGGTTACATTCAAAACAATAAAAATCTGTTTGCCAGCATTCCTGCTCGCACGTCTGCTGTGCTTGTGAGGTTTTTCGATGTCTCCCATTTCTATTAAAAAATGGTAATATCTGCTTCTTTAACACTTCTAATGTACTTTTATCATCAGATTTGTCCATGGGGATTATTTGCCGGAGGGGAATTGGACTGTAATTCCTGAAATCCTGAGAAAGATGATCATTTGGAAAAGTTTAGGTAAGTCATAAAGCTTAATACCTGATTGTGGTTTATCTCATTTCGTGAAGTTTTACATCTCTTATAAAAAGCTGCTCTGTAGTGGAGCTCAGAGGGAATTAAAATAATTCTTACTGGGCCTCTAGCGTGCTGCAAGTTATGTGTGGCATCCTGAGTCCCTGCACAGGAGGTGAGAGGAGCCCTTACAGTAGGAAATATAAGAACCCAGGGTGCCGTCCCTTGGTGCTCCACTCCTGTGTCTCTTCCAGTGGCTGTCCTTCCTTCACCGTTTGTGAGAAGAGGAACCTTGGCTTTGCATGCAAAGAGAAACATGGCAATGCGAACTCGCTGTCTATCTCACACAGACACAGCACACGTTCCTGGATGAGATGCCTCTCCAAGGACAGCTTGGAAAACACAAAGTGGCGAGGGTCTGAGTGCCTGCTGTGCTCCCCTTCCCTGGGAAGTGTTGTCTGTTGCCTTTTGGGTGCTTGAAATGAGTAACGATTTCCTCTGCTCTGTCTTGACTGTGTGTAAAGCAGTGCTGTCCCATGGCTTTCTGCTGCTGCCTTCAAGCTCTGGGTTAGGTTCTCTGGCCAGAGCACAAGGAATGGCTGGAAATTAATTTTCCATGTGCTGCTGTGCAGTCATGAAGTGCCCTGCTGCTCCGGCACAGCCATGGCGTCTGCTTTGCTCTCACGTCCACCAGCAGATGCTTGGCCAGCAGTTAAAACTTACCAGCTGCCTCCTGTTTAGCAGCCATTGGCAGGGAGCGTTCCCACTCCCAGACAGTTTTCTTTCTCTGATGTTTGGCCTGCTGGGCCTCAGAGATGTGAACTGCCATGGGGCTCTGGGAGTAAGTTTGTGCGGATGGAGCACAGAAATGTCTTTATGCAGGCTTCTGATGGGGTTAGAGTGGTATTCCTAATTCTTGCAGCAGTGGAATAAGCAGGTATGTGATATATGTGACTGTCTTCAAAAACAATTTGTTTCTAGCTGATGTCAACCCCATTAGTTCTTACTGTGCTCTGGTGTCTGTTGTAATTAGTCGTTACTTCTGCCTTGTGCTGTTCCCTGGGAAGTGTGGCACAGCTGTCCAGCACGTAGCTGCTGCAAGCTATGAGAATAGTTAATAAATCTGACAAAGTTCAGGTCCTTCTCATTCAGGTGTTTTTAGAAGCCCAGTAGTGGGAATTTGCTATTTGAGGATATGCTCCTCCTGGTTTATGAACCGTTTTGTTTTGGATTGCTGGGACCCCCTGCCTTGCAGCCCTGCAGAACGAGAGCCTGGCCAGCATTCCCTCTGGGCAGGGGATGTTTCCTCCCGCCAGCATTGGGTGCTGGTGCAGAATTGTGCCCTGCTCCTCCAGCAGCCCAAGCTGCTTCTGGCTGCCCTGGTCTGGGGGAGGTGCCGTCCTTGATGTTTGCCATGCTGCTTCCCCCAGCTGAGTGGGGATCTGAGGTGCACTGATTGGAAACAGGTTGGCTTCAGCTGCGTGGATGCCTGTGGTGATGTTCATGTCTGAATAGAGGCAGGAATTATGCAAAAGGCATAATATCAACATACTTGCACTGGAGGGAAATAAGAGAACTCGCCATGAGGAGACTTGAGTGATCTGATTAGTGGGGAAATCGTACATTGTGCCCCTGAAGAGAGAACAGCACTATGAAAGAGATGAGAACCCGAGTACAGAGGGACACCTCCTGTGCGCGGAGCTGTTTGGTTTCTCTCCCATGAAGCGCTGCCAGGCAGACTTCAGCTGCAGCTCCGTGGGGCTCCGCAGGGCACTGCGAGTGTGAGGAGAGCAGAAGTCCCAAAGCATGCGGTGTCTGTGCCAACAGCTTCAGCCTCCTGCAGGGCAGCAGAGCAGCAATGCCTCAGATCACACAGTGCTGTAAGAGCTGACACAGCTGTGCTGATGCCATGTGTAAGCGTGGCACTGCTGGAAGTGTGCAGGTTGAGCAGAACAAGAATGGCACGGGCTGTGAATCCGCATGCTGCAGGTTGTAAGCTGGGGGGGACCTGCAATGGGGAAGATGTTTCTCTGCTGTCACAGCTTTGGGTAATTTCATTGTTCTCCCTTTTGGGTGCTGCTGGCACACGCTGGTTCCTGCAGGACAGCAGCGCTGCTCAGGCACTGCATGGTGTCCTGTGCTCCAGCTGGGATGCTGGGTGCTACTGCTCCTTTAGTTTTGAAACCTTCCCCGACACCACCTGAACGATGCTGCTAGACTTTTTATACTAAAGGCACTTTAATTAAACTCCCATCATGAAAACAATTAGACCAAATTTGCTGTACTTAACCAGTCAATAATTTAGTAGCTGGATCTCATTAATAGACTTCTCCCTGTGAGTGTTAGGATGCAGTGCTGCCAGCTGTGTGCCCCAGGAATCAATCAGAGATCAATACCTTCCTTCAGCCACCTTTTTTTCTCCTAGAATGGTGAAACAGCAAAATTAATAAGTAATGCTGATCAGTATAGCTGGGTTTGGTGCTGGACATTCACTGCTGACATCCATCCTGCAGCCAGGGAGACTCAAGGGAATGATTTTCTAAAGGAGACTTTACAGTTAAGATTTTCTGAGTAGAGAAGGAAATAATTTGGTGTTCTGTCCCTGTTTTGTAGGGATCTGGCAGAAAGGCAGAGCGTCAGTTCTGCTCAGGTTTGCTGTGTGTTGGGAGCTTTTCCTCAGTAGAAGAAGACATGAAGGTAGGTTCATCCATTCCTTGAATTTCTTCCTAGAATTACACTGTAAATGTTTTCAAACCACTCCGTTGTCTGGATTTGAAATAAATTTGGTATTTTTAGTCCGGGTTCCTTCCATCTTCTGACCGCTGAAAGAATATTTGACCTTTTCTCTACAGAGAACACGCAGAACAAAAATGGTTTAGTTTTATTATGGTAATAGCTTTGTTTCAACTACCTTTTAAAGCACGGTGTGTGTGTCTGTATCAATTCCTGTAATTTATTCTTATTCCTGATTTCCCCCAGGCATCGGAACAGTTTTTCTTTCTAATGTCTCATTGCACGAGCTGATACTGTGATGATAATCTGCAGTTTTATAGCACCCTTGCACTGAAATAGTCACAAATAGCCAACGTGGATTTATATCACATCGCCTGCTTCTCTCCAGGAGTGTTGGCTGTTTTTTTGGCAGCATTTCCAATGGCTGCAGCCCATCCCGTGCAGCAGTTCTGTGTGCTCAGCAGCTCTGCCTCTCAGTGGGAGATGCGGGTTGGATGGGCTCTGTCTGGAGGAGCGCCGTGGGGCGCGCAGAGCTCAGAGCCTTTGGTTTGTGGCGGTGGTGCACAGCCAGCCCTGCAGCACCAGCAGTGCCTCCTGCTTTGTTGGGCCACTGGGATGTGCGGATCCTGCAGCTGTGTCCTGGGGAGGTCTGGGGCTCATCGTGTGCCTCAACTGGTAAAAAATGGCAGCTGTCAAAATGAGCAAAAGAAGTCTCCCTATTGCTGTGTAGATGAGAGTTTTCTGCCTTCCCCTCGGCTTTATCTTATTTCTTATGAGTGAAGGTATCTCTCTGTGCCTGCTTCACACAGCAGTTTCACAGCTGGGTTCACGAAACTCGTGTGCAGAACGGTAAGAAGCCCACGTTTCCCATTGGTTGTTTTCTTAGTTCTTTAATGGAGAAATTTGTCTTGTGTACTTGGAAATCCACAGTCCAGGTGTGACTTTAATTATTTGTGGGCACTGAGTGGTAAATACCTGTAAAGGTTTTCTTTCACTTATTTACTTCTATTTTAATGTGTCCTTTGCAGCGTTCTGCCTTCTCTCCCACTGGGACAAGAGCTGTGCCCCAAGAGCTGTGGATGGGAATGTAGTTCAAACCACAGCATGACCACTCGTTTGTCTGCTTATTCTTGAAAGCTGTACGATCTTTTTGCTGTTGCTTAAAAATAAAACAGCAACAAGAGAGCAAAAGTAGGCATCTCTGCTACTGTAAGCAATGACAGCAAACAACAGCACCTGTCTTGCAGGCTGCAGGCAGCCCACAGCAAGCAGATGGAGAAACTCGACCACGGAATTGCTCAGTGCTGTGTTAGAAATCCATTAAAAATGTTGGCTGTGTTTGCAGAGCTCTGGAAGAGAAAAATACAAATGAGCTGTGTGTCTGGAATGCATGCACAGGCTTTAGTTTTACCTCTGAAGTTGCTCTCCCTGTTAGCAACAGCTGTGTATGCATTTCATTACTTTTAAGCTGTTAGATTGGGTCTCTATAGTGGCTTGGCCTCAGCTTATTTCGGAGACACGTTTTGCCCACAAGTAATAAATGGCAATGGAAATAGTTATTATGTAGAGGTAGAAAAGAAGTTTTGTGTGAGTGACGAGGCTCGGTGAGGATTCTCCTCACTTCCACTGTGCCTGGCTGACTTCTTCCAGCACCTGGTTTGCTTCCTTCCTAATGGTGCTATCAGGCAGGCCTTGCTTTTCTTGCACCTGGCCTGGCTGGCTGGGAGAAGTAAGGCTGCTGCTTGCAGAGCCCAAACTTCACCCTCGTGGTCCCAACAGCAGCACTGCTCGGTCCTGCAGGGAGGTGAGGCAGTGGGGGGCGTGGGGCTGAGGGGATGGAGCAGAGAGAGCAGCAGGAGACAGTGCTGGGAGCTTCGGATGGACAAGTGAGTGCAACTGAGCTCATGTACTGACATGTGATGCTGAATACCTGTATGTTATGGGATGAGGGGGACAAGTTAACTGTTCCTGGAACTGTTCTTGGACATTAGGCAAAGATCTTCTTAGTCACTGTTCTTGTTACTGACGTGCAAATCTATTCTCTGGCAGCTCTATTTCTTTAAATGCATAACAGCCCCCCGTGTCCCACCCCGCAGTGCTGTGTCCTGCCCTGCAGTGCCCATCTCTCACTGTTTTGTCCCTGCCTTCTGAAGTCACGATGATCTCTGCTGGCATTAAGCACTCCAAGGGCAAAGCTAGAGCGATTTTAAGGCTGCACGATAAGGGAGCCATTCTAGCAATACATTTTTGTTATGTAGATGTGCGGTTTATCCATTGCCTCTGAAATGTTGCAGTATTTCAGTCACTTTCACTTCTTGATTTCTTTTTTAGATTCTTTTCCCTTGACTTGAATGTATATGGGCTGGAAAGTAAAGGAAGGCTGTAATGTGGTGTTTGCTAAATGGAGCCGAGCTCCAATAACAGTGTTTAACTGAGAGACGTTATGTCACAGTTCCGGAGGGGTGGAAGCTGTCGGCTCTGCAGAGGCAGCAGGGCAGGCTGTGCTGTGCCTTGCAGCTCCCCTGCTTGTGGGCTGGGAGTGGGAACGCACGGTGATCTGCACTGCCTTCACCGAACTCAGTGCAGTTCTGCATGTCGCTTAACTTCTTTAAAACTTACAGGGTTCGTGCGGGTGTGGGGTACCTTACCGACACCGTGTGTGCTGTCTGTCAGCTGGGCTCGGGATGTTACTGAATGCAATCCCAGCCGCTCAGCAGCGTGCGCTCTGCGGGATGCTCAGGGCGGCTCCTGGCACAAGGCACAGCGCCTCGCGATGGAGCGCTGAGCCGCGGCAGGCAGGGCGGCTTTAAGCTGGAGCCACAGAGGTGTGGAGTGCAGTAAGTAGGCAGTGTTCGCTCTGCATTTCGAGTGCATCATTGTGCTCTAAGTAGTGCAAATTTAGCTCCTTTAACCCTGATCTCCTGGGGCTGAGCTTTAAGTGTTTGAACTTTAGTTGAAAGGAATATATTGATTAGGCTTTGATTTAGTCATTGCTTGCTGGAAAGATACTGGGTAATGACTTGTATCTGCCCATTTGGATTTTGATTCATTGGATGGATTCCCCTCTCCTTCCCCTTTTCTTCCTCAACACTTTTCTGCCTAAAAGTCTGCAGTGCTTTGAGGAGAAATAAAAGAAAAAGCAGCTGTCACGCTGTGAACATAATTGATTCAATAAACAACATTTTCAAGTCCCCTGGGGTGAACCTCAGCATCCTCGCTTACGTCAATTAGCGCTTTATTCTGCGAAGTGTGGCACCTCTCCTTGAGATGGATGGGCCAAGGCAGTCAGCTCATTGTCTTCGAGGAGAAGCTGTGAAAGATGGACCGGTTGCTGTAGATAGAAAATACCCCGTTCATTTGTTATGGACATGTGAAAGAAAGCTTTCCTGACCTATTTGTTAAAGCTAATTGTCTTTTTTCTTGTTTTTGTGGTGTTTTTTTCTCTGGATGGCTCCAGCTGAGACGTTCTTTTTCTTTTGTTGCGGCAGAGAACAGCCCGGGTTAAGCCTTAGCCCATCTCGCTTGCAGATAACCTCCAGGCTTGCTTATGTCTGCAAGATCCGAGCAAAGTGGAGCAGCAGAGCTGGCAAATGGGTACAATTCAGCATGCAGAGTGAAGGTGTGGGCGAGGAGGGGTGCTTTAGGTTTTCTTCTATACAGTGACAGTGTTTTCTTTCTTCTGCTTTTACACCAAATGCAGAGCTGCTTCTTTCGCACTACTGAAGCTTGCGCTTGAATCCAAATCAGAGGAGAGCCTTGCTGCAAAACACCACGTCTAGCCCTGCCATGGAAGAGCACTTAACAACGGCAAAGCTTCCCATCCTGAGGTGGCTGCTCTGTGGGAAGCAGTTCAGTACATCCAAATGGGGGTGGTGGGGAGCACCTGGGCTGAACGACCCTACAAACCAACTCCCCACATGGTGCTTTACTAACAGTTTATTGTCTCACAGATCTGTTTCCCTTCACAGATCCGTTCTTGAGAGGAAACGTTCACCCCGTGGTCCTCTGAACAAAGTCATGGACACCATCAGTATTGGTTTCCTGCATTATAGAGTTACTGATGTGCACACCTTCAATCATTGCAGAGCCAACTGCTTGCCAAGAATACAAACGATGGCATTTTCCTTCTGAGGAGGAGTGCATCCAGGTGCAAGGGGCAGAACTGGAACGTGGTGTGTGACATAACTGAGTGCTGTGGGATCACAGCACCTTGGAACAGTGTGGGAGCTGCAAAGAGTCCTTTGTCCTCTCCAGTTCCTCTCTGAGAAGTCAGCGGTGTTTGGTGCCATCCAGGCAGCAGGGAACCTGCAGAGAGCAAGTATGGGATCAAAAAATGCTTTTCTTCTTTAGGGTGTTACTGTGTACTGTGGGGCTCCTCTTCCTGATGTGTGAGATACTGAAGTTGTGTGTAAAGCTGCCATTTATCTGTGCGTTTGTTCAGGCTATTAACATAATGGAGAGGCTTCTTCAGGAGCAGTGTTGTTGACCGCCCTCTGTGAGCTGTTGTAAATGCAGCATCCATCTTCAGGTGAGGAAGACTGTTCAGATCTGCGATGCCTATTGCACGTTGTGCTTTTTGCAGTTGTACGAGTGACACAGCTTTTTGTCCATTAGAAATAGCATGCAGTTTTAATGGAGTTTTCAAGAAAAATAACTATCTACTGCAATGTTAAGCTTAATAGTATCTCTGAGTTTCTGGACAGTGCATTAAATTGTGTTCTGTCTTTTTGTTCTTTCACTTAATACATCACAGTGTGGTAATCTAAGAAAGAAGTTGCTTCTATCTGAAAATTTCCTGCTGGAAAACAGCATCTTCAGGGTCTACCCATAGAGTGGGGGTTTGCTCAGCTCTGAGTACCTTCAGAACAAGAGCAAACGGCTGTTGGTTACCTCCTAATAAACGTTATGACAAACCTATGTTCTCTGCTTTGCAGGAGAAAAAGTACCTGCATTGTTTCCTGGGAACAGAATGTCTTCATTGCCATCATGACTCTGCGGCCGTTATCTGATCTTTGTTGTTACCATTTGATTGAGGGGAGAGAATTCCATGTGTGGAGGTAGGGGGGGAAAAAGAGAAAACTGTAGGCTGGAATGCTGGTTGTGGAATCGCAGAGGAAAAAAATGTAAGCTTGGGAATGGCATCTCCTTGTGAATTTGGTCTACCATCTCTAGAGACCACATTCGATCAGGGAACGTGGAGCCCTGCTGCACAAACAGCCCTCGCTTCCATGAGGAGCCCCGGGCCTCCCCAGCCCGCTGCTGTCTCTCCCAGGAGGCACGAGCACAGCCCATGCACTGCTGCGACATGCTGCCCCAAAACAAAGCTTGACCTCAGCAGTGCAGTGGGGCTGCTGCTTCCTGCCTGTGTCAGCGCTGCTCATTATTATGGCCCTGATGGCGGTGTTTGGTTACTGTGCTCCTGCCAGTGTAATTATACCCAACTGTAGAGATGTGCCTCAGTACAAGTTTTAAGTTACATATGTCTGAATTCTTTCAGGAAGTGTTTCTCTCCTGTTGTGTCTGAGCAGAGGCAGAAGGCTGCGGGGATCAGCAAGGTGCAGGAGTGCCCAACAGAGCATCTCCTCTGTGACACCTGTAACACTACAGCGTTATTTCAAACCTTTGGTGTGAAGCTCAGAGGAGCACAGACCCGCTCTGGTGCTTCCCTGCAGATGGGGGGTGGGGGTGGGAGAGCTGTGGTGTAAACCATCCCAATGAGCCTCTCAGTGTGGCACAGAGGAACAGAACTGCCTGGAGTGCTGCGTGGTTTGTGTTATCTGACTGCTGTGAGGTTGGAGTCCGAGTGCCAAAGGCCAAGTATTTATGAAACGTAATGGCCAAGACTAAATGCGTTCATTAACACATTGATTCTTCTTCAGTTACTGCTTCGAACACCCGAGGAAACCACACATGGCTTCTATTCCAACTGCTGTGTATGATTTTAGAGCTAATGGTTTTATTCCTGCACTGCTCTGGCTTTTGGGATGAGCACAGAAAGCACTTGTGTTCTCCCTCCAGCCTGGAAGCAGGAGCTGTGTGTGGCCACGCTGCCCCAATGGGCTCCTGTCTGTTCCCAGCATTCCCACCTGTGCCTTCCCCCCACTTCTGCCTTCCCTGGGAGCAGCGGCTCCTGAGCCTGGGGGTCCTCCCCCACCACGCTGTGGCCAAATGCTGCACTCACTGAAGCCACGTGCAGGGGGCGGTGGGCACAGAGCTGACGTGGTGAACTCAGAAGTTGAGAAAATCAGTATTTGATTCCCTTAATTACTGTATTACAGCTGATCTATGAACGTTTCCATCAGAAAGTCACCTTCTATGATATCAGCTCTGATCACTGGGGGCTGTGTGCTGAGTTCAGTTCTCCATTTACAGAATACTGCTGACACCGTTGTGTCTGTCCGTTTTCTCATGTGTTGTCTGCTGTCTTCTGGGCTTCTGCTGTGCTCCGTGAACCTGACGCGGCTCCTTTCTGAAAACCTCGGCGAGCATTAACTCTGTGGGTGCGGTGAGGTATTCCTACAGCACTGTGTTTGTTGGCACTCTTGTCAGGAGCCCCGTGATCTCTGTGCAGCTGAGCAGGGATGAGGGCACAGGAACCTGCAGCTCACCTGGGAAGGCGATGGGCTGTGATGGAACGAGTATGGAAAGAAATACAGAAGAAAAATGTTCTGCCTCTATCCTTGCCAGCTGCCTCCTGCCTGTTCCCATGGCTGAGGCCCTGTGTTCAGCTCTGTTTGCTGCAGTTGCATACAGGTGCCCACATACTGCACTGTGGCTGCTGGCTGTGGCCTGTGGGAGGCTGTGTGAGCGCTGCAGCAAGCCAGCACATCTTCCAACCCTTCCGTGCTGTGACATATGCACAGCCCGGCGTATCCAGAAAGATGACACATTTTGTTACATGGGGAAATTGAACAGTTGGTGGAGGAAAATAATTTCACTAGGAACAGGTTTCTGCTGTAGATATTTAATTGCAACACTGCCTGTGTCAGAGTTTGATTGGTAGCTTTGATTTGCTTTTAGAAACAAAACCCACGGCGTGTTCCAGCTGCCAGCTCTGGATCTGTGTGTGGGGCTGAGGTGTGATGGGTTGGGGGCTCTGCTGCCTGCCCTGGGGTGGCCCATGGGTGCAGCCCCACTTCTGTAGGGACCCCTCAGCCCTGCAGCCGCTCCCCACAGCCCGGTGCACCTGCAGCGCTGTGTCTGTGCTCCCCCTGAGTAAGCTGTTAGTTAAACTGTGCTGCTCTAAACCTGCTGCTGTAAAACTGCTTGTTTCCAGTTATCAAGCACGATATTATTTTTTTTTGCTGTTTATTTCTTGTTTTGTGAATTCTGTTTCATGTTTGTCTCACTAATGATAGCAACGTTTCTGTAGGAGTGGCAAGATTTAGAGCACTTAGCTGCTTTGCTATCCATCAGAGCAGCCGAGGGCCCCTGGGAGCTGTGTGTGCAATTCCCTCAGCAGTGGGCAGAGCTGGGCTGGGAGCTCAGTGCCAAGAGAGGCTGTGGGGAGCACCCAGCACCCGCTGGGAGCACCAACACCCACTGGGGTGCTCTCAGTGCCCATTGGGGTGCATTCAGCACCTGGCACGTCCCCACCAAAGTCACTGTGCCAAACTGTAGGAGAGGTTTGTTTGTTTGTTTTTCCCTATGAACGAGTGCTTGCCTTCCTGCAGCCCTGAAGACCTGGCTTGGCTGGGAGCCGAGAGCAGCAGACACAGGGAAGCAGCACACAGACAAGAGACCAATTAAACACAGAACGCTCCAAATCCATCTAGTGCCATTACGCTGTATTTTGCATTAGCTGAGGAAACAAAGTGCCCTGATGAAAATGGACTCTGCAGTCTGGCACCAATCTTTTGTACTCTTTAGAAAACAAGTTTTAGAAGTGCTGAATGCACAGTGGGCAGAATTGTCCTTCTCAAAAAAACAAGTTCCATTATGTTTTAGTATTTAGGAGATAAAGAAGGCATACGATTCAGTCCCTGCAGAGGACAAATGATGACACACTGGGAGCACCTGGTGCAAAGGGCACTGCACTGGGAGGAGGACGTGGTTCTGAGTGCCTCCTTGAAAAGACCCACATGTGGTGCTGCCATGTAAACAGGATGTGCTGTGAACGTTTCTGACATTTGGAGGGACAGCACTGCAATCGCAGGTCACTGGCATCTCTTGGTGGGAAGGGACAATGAATGCCCTGGTTTTTGTTATCTGCCTGATACCAGGAGTATGAAACACAAAAGGTCCCAATGTCGGGTGCTGGTTCTGCCCTGTGCAGAAATTTCAGCTCGCCCTTAGGTGTGCGGTCCCCCCCCCCCCCCAAAGATGTGCAGCAGCACACTCTGTCCCCAGGCATGGCTCAGCCCAGCTGTGCACCTTACCTTGCTTCTGCCCATGTCCACCTTTCTGTGTGCTCTGTGCTGGTGATATGCAGGCTCTGAGCACAGAGCTCCTGTCTCAACAGTGTTCTCCAGTTCCTCTATAGAGTTCCTCCAGACCCATTTCTCACTCGTGCTTTGGTTCTCGTTCATCTTAATCATCAGAGTCTTCAACCAAAGCAGGCTGGGCTCCCTTTGGCAATCCTCTTTTGCAAAATGCAGAGCAGCCATTGCAATGCCAGGGCTTAGTGTGCTTTTTCCACTCACCCCACCCGGAAGGCCTTGCAATACGATTAATCTGCTTTGATTGATTCATTCTCATTATCAGTCCTGAATTATTTGCAGAGGTAAATGAAAGTCTTTATTTTCTCATAGTGCTTTATCTTTTCACAAAAAGCATTCAACAAAGTTGCTAATGGAAAAGCTTTTAACCTTCTGTGGCCGCGGGCAATCTTTGCCCATTCCCGTTGCCATGAGACACGTGGAGCTGTGAGCACCATGAGAGCTTCCACTGCCCCCACCAAGGGTGTGGGCACAGTATGGGCAGCGCGAGGTGATGGGCAGCGCGGGGAGAAATCGCTCGCTTCAAGAATGAAAGAGAAGTGGAAGGACAAATCCATTCCCCCACTTTGGAGGCAGGGATGCACAACCACATGTGGCCTCACTGCTCCCACTGCATGGAGCCAGCAGCAGGATGGGCTCTGGAAATTTCTCCTCCAAAAGAGTGGTCAGAGCTGGCACAGCTGTCCATGGAGTGGAGAATCGCCATCCTGGAGGTGTCCATGAACAGTGGAGATGTGGCACTGGGTCAGTGGGCATGGTGGAGTGCACTGGGGTTGGGCTTGGGGATCTGAGAGGTCTTTTCCAATATTAATGATTCTATGATTCCCTCTGGCGGTTCTGCCCTGGCTGTGGAGAGGAGCCACTTGGTGTTGGAGGTCCCCAGGTGCCGGTCTGGCCCTGGGCACAGTTGTGGTACTGCTGTGTCGGTCCTGCTGCTCCATGAGGTGCTGCCTGGAGCACTGGAGGAGCGGGATGAACTTTAAGCATAAGTTACAACAATCCCCAGCTACTGCATTTCATTCTGTCCTTCACTCACAGGGTGACAATTTGTCCTGCAATGATGGAACAGATGGGGGGGAAATATTAGGAAAATTAGATCAAGCTGTGGTGTAATGCCATGAGATGACTCAGTTCGATTATGGTGTAGCCTTACAAAAACAGGACGTTGGACAGAATGTACTTTATAGGAGAAGGCTTTTTTTATGCTGTTATTCCTTTCTAAAAGCTGAACAAACACTTCCTGATCCATTGCTGAGTGGCGCTGGGCTCCTTCCTGCAGTGCTGCCAGCAGCCGCCAGGCATGTGTCCCATGGGAGCAGTGCCACTTCCCCACCTTCCTCTGCCTGCTGTCAGCTGTCTCATGGGCACCTCCTAAGGGTCAGTGGGAGCCACAGGCACTGTCCCAGCCCTGCTGCTCCATTTCCACCCTCCGGTGCCTTTCTGAGCACTTGGGGAAAAAGACGCAACTCTTAGAAAGAAGATAAAAAGCTTCTGCAAATATTTATGAACAGGAAATCGATCAAGCTGTAATGAATCTCATTATATAAAACAACTTTTGAGTGCTGTAGCTCCTACCTCTGGCTCCACAAGGGAGAACATCTCTTGCTGGGGGCATAAGGAGGAGGTACTGCCACACAGGTGTGGGGTAGGGGAGTGGTGATGCTGCTGGGGCTGTGATGGAAGCACCTGGGGTCCTGCTGGGACTTTATTGAATCCCATCAGTGCTAACAGGATGCAGGTGTTGCTGCTTTTTCCCAGTGCTGGTTTGGTCTCAGCAGTGGCTGCAGTCCCCATCTGCTCTCTGTCTGCCCCCAGCTATGGCTGCAGGTAGGAGCCCTGGAGGGGCTGGGGGAGGTGAGCAGGGCCCCACGTGCATGGTAGTTCTGGGTCTCCTGCAGTGCTGTATGTGTCCAGCTGGCTGTACTGAGGTGCAGGAGGTGTTGCTGTGGAGCAGGAGTTACTCCAGGCTGATACAAACCGAGGTTTTGCATCAGTAAACTTCCCTTCCTTTTCTTTCTGTGTTCAGCTTTTCATCTCTTTACACCTCAGGAAGGATGTCTTAAATACAACAAACCAGGCAGCAAGCTGTTGTGTGAGGGCTGTGGAGGTTCTGAGTTGTTGTGCCACAAAGAAAACAGTGTGCTGGAATAAATCTCATTAACAAGTAACTGTAATGCACGTTGTTCTGAGAATGCTCGACAGTTCTGCTACCTGTCAGCTGTGAGGGCGCAGCGTGGCCTGCTGAGGGCATTGCAGGGCCCATAGGTTGTCCTTTACCTGGAGGAAATCCAGAGCATGCAACAGCAGTAATTAATAATAATGCAGCGTGAGGAGAGCTCTGCTACCAGAGAGGCTCTTCCTATGTGTCAGCTGAGCCTCGGGGAGAGAGAACTGCAGTTGTATTCGAAAGCACAGCAGCAAATCACTAACAACTGCTGTATGTGAAAATCTGGATTTCCATCAGTTATTCACACCTCTCTTTGGTCTTTGACCCGATTGAGTATGGTTACGGTTGTAGTGTGTGAAGTGCCACCTGCCAGCAGCTTCTTGTGCGTGGTGAGAGCAGTGGGGTTGTGGCACTGTGGGGCTGGGGGTGCCTGGAGCCCATTTTGGGCCCTAAGGTGACCCTGAGCCCATTGCTCACACGCAGTGCATCCTTCTCCTCTGCTGATCGCCTTGCTGCTGGGCGGTGCTGTTACCTGGAGGTTCTGTGCTGCACAGCGACCTACTTAGAGCACTTTGTGAGGCTGGGAGCACGGCCAGAGTGCCACAGCAGGATTGTTTTCCCAAAGCTGTGCCATTGCTGCAGTGCAGGAGTGGGGCCATGGGGTGCAGTGCTGGAGGGGAGAGCCTGGGGTGAGCTGAGGGGTTGTTGGTCCTTTATAGAAATGCAGGAGTGCATGACAAAACCATTGCCTTCTCTGTAAGATCTGCTCTGTGCAGTGCTGGAGGAAGGAATACAGCTGCACACAGAGGATTGCTGTGTTACTGCGCTCCTTGTGTGCTGATGTGCTGGTGGAGTTCAAAGGGAGGAGGAGGAAGGCAGTGTGGGTATCCCCATTTCTCACGAGCAGTGGGTTGCTGGGGAGGCTTTTTCATTTCTGCCTTTGCTTTGCTATGGAAATCTGTTCCAGCACTGCTGGAGGGATTGGGATCTCCCTGTCAGTTTTGGAGGGAGAGGACAGGAGAGATGCTGTAGCTCTTCACACTGGGAGGGGATGATGCCGATGTGGCTCTTCCAGCTTAGAGACCTGGAGGCACCCACACCTCTGCTGCTCCCCCACACAGCCCTGCCCACTGCTGTCATAAACCACCTAAAGCACAGTTTGCAGGGCTTATGCTCAGCATTCACACCATTTTGTCCAGAATAATCCTGCCATTTTCCTTTAGAAGGGAGGTGGGAGTTATATCAAACACTGCAGTTAATCTGAGCTGTTTTCTGCAGCCATGTTTGAGTGCTGCTGGAACACAAATGAGCGGTGGCTGAGGGCTGTTGTTCCAATTAGAGCACCTTCTGCTCAGGCTCACGGGCTGCAGGTAATTCACAGCAAGTGCTCGCGTGCTGCAGCGTGATGGGAGGAAAGGAGGTCAGCCTGCACCTGAAATACACCCATCATTAGCTGCACTTCTCGGTGTTTCTACAAGGCATAATTTAAAAACAATTTTTTCTGAATTGCACCATCTGGAGGAAGAAAAAAATCAATACTGTGTTTACATGAGGTTCGGTGGCTCTCGCTGCTGCCTCTGCACACATGTTCTGCTGCTTTGCCATCACGGCTGTGGTGGTGGGCAGTGCTATGTGGTGCAGCAGGAGTGGTCAGGGGATGCACGTGTCCTGCTGCCATGCATTGCATGCTCGCAGTGCTCAGCAGCCGTGTCAGCATCCTCCCAGCTCGAGGGGCTGAAGGGAAAACTTGATTTACATCTATATTTATAGGCTTACATTTCTTTATGCCATAGAGGGCGTGCTGGTAATTGCAGCAGATGAAGGCAGCAATAGAGCTGTAGACGTGCATTAGTGCTGAAGCTGAAAACAAACAACCATAAATCCAGCCTGTGGTTGTAGCAGTGAAACACCATGGTTGTGGCTCCTGCTGGCAGCTGTGTGCCGTGCTGGCACTGCGGCATCCCTGGCAGTGCAGACCTGCACGGGGCTGGGGTGCGCAGTGCTCTGCAAATGCGCTCTGTGAGGTGCCTGGTGCATCTCCTTCCTGCGGGTTCTCCAGCAGATGCTGACTTGTTGCTGAGCCACTGCTGACCATGTGTTTGTCTGAACTGCACGAGGCTGCAGGTTTTGCCAGGCTATGCTAAATGCCTCCTTAGATGTCACTGGAATAACACATCTGTTCCACTCTTTGGGATCTCAGCTTTGCTGGAACAGGGGATAAACCAAAGGTGGACAAAGTGAGGATGTGAAATCAGGCTCAGCTGGGTTGGGTCTGCGTCCCAGTATGGTTCCAGCACTCTGCTGGCAGAGCTGTGAGCCTGCAACCAGCTGCCCTGTGACCCCCTGGAGGCACCTCTCTGAGCTGCTGCACCGGTGGGAGCTGCATCTTAGATTTGGACTTGCTCCTTAATATTGCTATAACCAAGGGCCTAGAAGATGATGAGTTAAATAGCAATCCTGTCTTCATTTGTCCATTTCCTTCCATAAAACATAAAATCCCTCCCTGATGCCCCATGACTGTGCCTGGCTCCATAGGAGCAGCTCTGCAGGGTGACTCTGCAGCTGGGCTCACCCTCAGCAGCACTGTTTGGAATCTGCTGCATGCAGCCCGGGGTGAGCTCCAGCTGCGTGAGCAAAAGGTGCTCATGGGGTGGGTGCTCCCCTGCTGTGCTCCCAGGAACTGTCCCCAGGAGAGAGCTCACTGTGCTGTGCTCCCTGCAGTGGCTGTGGGGTGACTGCCATCCCTTAGTACTGAGCCCTGTGCAGCTACAGGGGGAGAACAGAACACGATTGCTGAATCTAAGTGAAATTTTGCAGATCTAAGATCAATCACAGTGTCATCTTTCTCTGCTGAATCTGCTTTTTATTAAAAATAATAGCAAACTTGGAGATGGAGCACTAATACAGCGATGCCTTGTTTTGACACTTTTGACAGTGTTTAATGAAATGTTGTCAGTGGTTATTTAATAGCTCTTAATTCAGCGACATTTTCCAGCAGAACAGGTCTGGTGTAAACTTTCTGTGTGTGTTTGCAATTAGTGGTGCTGGCACAGAGGCACGAATCGTCTTTTAGTGCTCAGGCATATGGAAGTGGTGCTGCTAAATGTGAGCGCTGTGTCAGCACCGCTCGATGAGCAAAGAGGAAACATTCACTTCCTTCAGAGATGATCCGAAATCAAATGCTGATGTTTTATACCCATTAACTGAACACAGAGCACAGATTAGAACACAACGACACAACTAATAGCAAGTCTGTCTGCTTTGCAGTGTACACTGTGCCTTGACAGCTCCGGGTCAGCTTCTGCACTGATCAGTCTTTGCTTATTTTTGTGCATGGAGACAAGGTGCACGCGTCCCAGCCTGTGCCGGAGGGTGGGCACGTACAGGCAGTTATTTTTGTTTTGGTGATCCTTGCTGTGGTCTTTGTGCTCTTGAGGGCTGCAGGTGTGCTGGGCTGTGGGCTGAGCAGGTGGTGGGGATGGGGATCCTGGCCGTGTGCGCAGTGTGGGGACACAGCCCTGGTGTGGGGGACAGGGACTGAGAGCTGCATTGCTGTGCATGTGCACTGATCTGCTCTTTGAATTCCGTCTGCACCGCATGGACTGCTGCACCTCTGGGAATGTCAGCAGCTTTTGAGAATATGTGTTTCTGAGGCATGGTGCCAGTTGTTTGGACGGAGAAAATCAGGAGGGTACCCTTGGTTTCAATTAGGCATCCAGCACATTAATATTTTCCCAGAATTCAGGCTTGTTTCCTCCTTGGAAGCCAACCTCGGTTCCTTCTGTTACTGGTTTGGATGTGCATTTCTCTGTGCCTTCAGACCCGCAGCAGGTAGAGGCATCCTTCTCTCTTCCCCCAAGCACGAGTCAGGGGCAGCCTGGGCGCTGCAGGCATTGCACACTGTGTGTTGTGGAAGGGCTGCTCCAGTTCCCAGTGCTCAGCAGTGTGGTGATAGCACGGAGCTGCTCATGTTATTTAAACAGGTGATGAAAGTTTACCTTAGATTTATGAAAGGCCTTGGAAGTATAACTTATCTGAGTTTCTTTAAATTGCTCCTGATATGTACATACAGTTTTCTCATGTACAGAGCTGACTGCTTTGCAGCTATCAGCTGTTCATTCCATTGTGGACCCAACTCCTGCTTTAACACCTCAGCCTGAGGGCTGTTCTCCAGCTCTGCTGGCTGCTGCCATCAGCTGCAGGAGGGCCATTCGGGCTGGTTGGGTGAGTGGAGCTGCTTAGAGGCTGATCCCTGTGCTTTCTGCCTCTCTGTTGGCAGCAGCTGAAGCTGAGCCGGCACCTGTCCATGTGGGATCCAAACTGCACACCTTGAGCAAGCTGTGGCTTTGCTCTGCTTGGTATTCTTCTGTCAGTATCATAATTTTGGGACAATTCTCTGGTGTTTGTACTGGGGTGAAATGCAAAGGACTGGACAGGTCTTTCTAAGAAAATGTTTTCAGGCAGTCCTGCTTAGGAAACGTGTGAGCAGCTGCTGGGTCAGCTCCTGTTGGTGCTCAGGGAGCTGCAGTGGTGGAGCCCTGCGGGCACGCAGCAGCACACAGCCCTGGGAGGGGAGCATGCTGCTGGACAGAGCACCCAACACTGGTGCCATACCTGAAGCATCCAGGTCTATTTCATCTTCTAAAATGGAATAACAAATCTAGGGGATTTTCAAATGAGTGTAGCAGCATGGAAATTTGGTGTTTTGGATGTATTTTAGAGCTTTACTAATTTTAATGGTGTTGGGCCTGATGACTTTTATGTGCACCAGAGATGAGGAATATAAGGATTTGTGATGCTTCGTGTGGCAGTGTGGTTGCTACATCTTCCATGGGCAGCAGTGTCCTGTCACAGCGTGATCAGCACAGCGGAGTTTCTCTGGTGTAGATTCAATAAAACACCTCTAATTACAGACGCAATTAGTTCTGCTCATGTTCGTGGTACATTGTATGCTTCATTGGATGCTCCATGAATATTTATGCTGTCATCCACAGATCAGAGTTCTAAGGCAACTTGAAATAGCAGACTGCAATACATCTCCCTGCCGTCCATCCAAGCATCCCAGAAGTACCCTTATGACCCGAGAAGCTGTAGGTCCTGTTCTTTCATTTTGAATGAATTTGGATTTGCAAATATGTGGACGCTACTTTTGGCTGTTCTGAAATATCAGGAGAGTGTTTGAAGGTATCACCCACCTTTCAGCTTTAGAAGGTGTTTTCTGCTTCTCCCCCACAGTGACCCATCAATGCAAGTGTTTCTCTGCTGGAAGCCACTCACTGTTCTCAGCAAGGAGATATAAGGAGCAGTCAGGAGGAGCACAACCCCTCCACTGGCCCAAAGCAGAACCAAAGAGATATTCCTTTTCACACTGTTGTCTTTGCGTGGCTGTGGGTGATTAATTGCATCACATTCCAGCTCATGCAAAATACAGTTTGAACAAATGTCCTTGCTGTGATCTGGCAATTTAAATTATCCTGTCTGCAGAAGTTTGGGGTGTTTTAGCATTAACTCGTGCTGTCTGAATGAGGTGTGACTGAGGTAGCCCAAGAGCTAATTAAAGAGTTGCTGTGTTTTTAAAAATTCCATCACCATTAATGTTGGTGTCTGCAGTATCTGGAGCGTGCATCAACAGCGGCTCAGACCTGGCAGTGCTGCTCGGCGTTCCTTCTGGCGGAAGACCTTTCCCTTTGTGATGCACATCTTACTTCTGCAATGTTTGTTTAACTTCAGCTGTCACTGCTTACATAATGCCTCACTCTGCCTGCAGTTTTCAAGGTCAGATTTGGGTTTTACTTGAACAAACAGCGAGTGCCTGCGCAGGGAATAGAGAGCTGCAGACAGAATGTGCTCCTGATGTAATGCGGATACCTCCAAAATCTGGCTGCTAGAAGGGGTTATTGCAGCTGTCTCACACGCTCTGGGAGGATTGCCTTAGAGTTGGCCTTTTCACTCATGAAGAATAGGTAAAAATCTGAATTCTATGATGCGTTTTGTTGAGTTTTCTCCTTTGGTCATTGCTTTACCTGCTCACTGTCTTCATGGACAGGGCAATCTGTGTCCTTTAAATACAGGGAATTAATGAAACCTGTGCTGTGGATAATTTGCCTTATCAGCACTTCATCAGAAACCCAGGTGGATCTGATCTTTGTGAACACTCATCTTCTGTGGGTTCACCTGAAGCTGTGAACCTGGGCACACACTGACCTGTCCCCGTTTTCTAGTTCATTGCTGCAAAGTGTGCAAGCTTTGTGGCACTGAGGAGTTTAGGCAGCAAAGCTATTCTGATACCAGTGCTCGTACTTCTAATTCTTCACCTAATGGTCCTCCTTGCTTCTTGCATCTGGTCTTCCCGAAATAAGAATAAAGCTGGAGGAGGCACAATTACTCAGAACTGCTCCAAGATGCTTTCCAGTGATCAGAGGACTGTACGTGGCTTTGCAGTTTTGATTATTGAATTAGGAATTGGAGGAGAATGGAATATTGGCTTGGGCACGGTGGGCTGCCAGGTTGGGCTCAAGACTGGCTGCACCCCTGGAAACAGCACACTGCAGTGGGACCTATGGTGAAGCTCTCATCCTGCAGAGCTCTGATTGTGGCATGCTGAGCCTTTGCCAGGCTCCGGGGAAGAGGTATTCATGTAGGTCATAATGGGCAGCACGTGTTCAGAGGTGTCTGGGAGTTCATCTGTCTGACAACATCACTTTATTTTTCCAGCTGAGCAGCTGCTTGGCCGGCTTGCTGGGAGCTGATTGACTGCCTAGCTGGAGGGGAGAAGGTGATTAGACTCTCTCCCACCCATCAGCCCTGAAGGGAGAGTGTGATGGATGGAACTTAACTTATTTCCAATAGTGAAATCTTGATTTCTCTGTGTGGGGCACTTGCAAAACATTGTTTCTTACTGAGTTCCCCATCAGCAGAGCTGCTCTTGGCATTCAGGAGCAGCAGGGCCCAACCCTGCACTGACACCATGAGAATGGGGCTCAGAGGAAGGACCAGGCCCTCATCTCCTTGTAAGGTGAACAAATAACATGGGTTTGAAACCTCTGGGCTGCAAACAGCTTGGAAATCTGACAAAATGCATTGCTGCCACCTCTACTCCCTGACAGATAGCTTTGTTCTGTTATATCTGACTGCAAAGCTGTAAAGATTTCATACAGCACAGATTAATGCTGTGAGATGCTGCTGGTCTCAGACAGACAGAAAGAGCCACAACAACAGAGCATAATGTGATGCAGAGATGAAATTTAACATAGACAAACTGCAGCTGATCGACTTTTTAGTCTCTCAAAAGAAAATTCACAAACCACTCTCACTTCAAGTAACAAAGCAGATGAAACCTCCAGGTTTTGCTGTTCCCTGCTTCTGGGCTCCTTGCTGCTGGGGGCTCCTGTTTGCCTGAGGAGGGGGCTGCTGGCTCTTTGCGCTCATATGAACGTGGGCTTTGGGAAAACCTCTGGTATGGATATGAAGGGTTGAAAATGAGCAATAAATAATAGCAAATATAATAAATAGTGGGCTCTAAAATGTTCTGCTAAAATACTGGACTGTTTTCAGTACTGTGCAGATGACAGTTTTCTGTTTTCAATAACTTAAAGTGGAGCCATAGAATTTCAATCACTTTCCATCTTACGGAGAGCTGAATTCCTTCAGAATAACTCAGAGGAATTGACTGAACCGTATTTTTCATGTTTCCCAAATGAGCAGCTCTGTGGCATGGAAATTAGGATGGAACAGGAAACAGACGGCTGTGCTGCCTCCGTCCTGCTGAGGAGATGAAGGTCAAAGACACCTTCATTCTTCTCAACACTTCTCCTCCCAAAGGGGTTGTAAATAAGATCACAGCCTAGTGTGATTAATTGTGAATAAAACCAATTCCTATTGCCTCCGAACCAGATTGAGAGCAACTTCTGCTACAGTAGGTGCTGTGTTTGATAGTGTTCTCTTCCCACCGTATTTTGGACCTTGAACTGATTTATATAAGAGATAGCAAAATTAGGAGAACTTCTCGCATGTTTGACCCTGTGTTATTTCCATGTCTTTATCCCCTTATTGCAAGTTCTGCAACGTGAAAAAAGCCCAGTGTTTATTAGGTAGCCAGGCTGGAGGAGCCTTCTGTTGGCATGGTGTGCAGAGCTTTCCCTGGGCTGTCTTTGATTCCTAATGCTTCTGGTGAAATTGGAGATAGCCCTAAGATCTGTCATCTTCCCGTATGGAGACCAGCTTTTATTCCTTTCTATGGGGCACAGGTCAAGCACTGCATTAAACAGAACTCTTACATTTGAGTAAGTGCAACTAAAAATCGAGCACAGGAATCACTGCATGTGTCAAACAGAAAACAACGCCCTGCCTTACACTGAGGGCAAGTGCAATCAGATCTTGGCCTTGTCTACGTTTGACAAATTACGTGTGTTTGTTTCTGAAACCTCCATCTCGTGCTGCTGCCTTATCTGAACCCTTCCCTTTGCTGCTGATACCACTTTGCTTTCCTTAGCCACAAAGTGGAGACGTTACAATTTCCTCACGTGTAACACTTTGCTCCTTTTGTCTGAAATGGCACAAATGAATCTCCCAGAAAGTAAAACAGAAGTCTGCCTCCACCTGTCACACCACGACCCTCCAGCTGAGGTCTGAACCCTGGCCTTGGGCAATCCAGTTCCCGTGTGTTTGGTCTTCTCTCAGTTCTCACAGATACTTTGTGTTAGCAGGTTACACAGGGTTGGTAGTTACAATGAGAAACAATGAAAACCAAATGCAGCAGCTGGGCAGGAGGGATTATTTTCCCAGTGAAGCAGGGTGAAGTTCTCCTGAGGCATCTTGCAGTTATTTGAAGAAGTGACTGAATTTCCCACTGCAACTCAAGGGCTGTGAAGTCTCCTGTTCTTACTGCCTCCTGGTTTCATGTAAATATGGTATGTTGACATTTAAACGTTCCCCTGATTGCCGTGAGGACATCGCAGTGAGCGCACCCATGGTGAGCAAGGAGAGGGTTAAGCTGCTGAGCACAGTAAAACCTCCTTTAAGCCTGAGCTCGTAAAGGAAAGGAGGATTTCCAAGTAATATACTGCTTGAACTCATTTTAGCCCTCAGCCTTTCTTAGGGCAAAACCCATCAACTGTGTTAAACAGTGCACATACTGGTCATTGCCAAAGGGTTTAGCCTTCCCCCAGGAGATGTTTGGCTAACGAGGTGGTTTGCTGTGCATACAGACGTGTCTGACGAGCAGTCAGTGCTCTGCGAAGTCCTCACCTAAAGAAGAACAAATAAAGAGGAAAAAAACGAATAGAGCATGCAGTTTCCTGCATCCATAAAGCACAATCTCTGCTCTCAGTGGATCTCTCTGTTTTGTGTCAGGACTCCTCTGATTGGAGCTGTTGGCATTACTGAGCCTGACCTGCTGAATGCGGTGCTACCAGCTGCATTAATTCTGTGCCTTCTCTGTTACGTAAGAATCATTTTGAGTTTAATTTAAGGAAATTCTTGTTTACATGTTATACAGAACAGGAAGTCTGTGGTGGGCAAATGGTCACAGAGCTTGTCAGCCTGAGTTATTGGGAGTAGCACTTAATGGTTTTTCTAAACCAAAGACATTGCAACTCCTTTAAGCACGGCAGCTTACAGAAAATTAAGTGAAATCAGCTGCAATGAATTAAATGACAGAAGGCTCTTGAACTTACTTATACTGAAACTTGAAAACAGTCCAAGTAAGGATTTTGAAAGCACACGCTTGCTTAACAGGAAACATTGCAAGTGACTTTACGAAGTGACATTTAATCCACATTCATTTCTATGTATGGATGTTAAATCAGCTTCCGAAATCCTTAATTTGAGCCGAAGATCTGAATGCAGAACACTCAGCTGATGGCACAGTTTTCCTGTGAGCATGAGCTGCTGGTGCTGCAGAGCAAGGCCCCCTCCTGCAGCCAGCAGCACCCGCGCTGCTCTGTGCTGCACCGCTTCCCCGCGGCGCGTGGTGTTCTCCTCCCTTCTCTGCACCCGGGAGGGAATGGAAACATGGAACCACGTTGTCAGGATAATGTTTGGCTTCTATTATTATCTGTGAAGAATTTGGTCAGTTAAATGGCAACATGTTCAAATTGCAAAATCCCTACCCATCTTCATGCTTCTACCCCCGGTTTTGAATCTGTTTTCAATATTGTTTTGACAGATTGAGAATAAAAATCTGAGAGTTGAAGTCTTCAGATCTGAAACCTCCCAGCAGCCAGTGATCCTGTCAGAAAAGGGAACGAGTGAGTCACAGGAAAAGCCCGGGGGGCATCTCTGTGCACAGCCCAATTCCTCTTCATCTTGGAGCAGCCTCGTGCTGCGGCACAGCACCCGGGGTTGGTGGCACTGCGAGCGAGCAGAGCTGCACCGCCTCACCTCCTGTGCTGCCTCTCGGGGCTTTGGGATGAGGAGGTTTGTCTGCTCGGTGCAGGCGGGCTGCTGGGGGAGCTGGTGTTTGTGTGGGGCTGTCCCGTCCGAGGAACCCCAGCTGCACGTTTGTCACAGCGCGATCCTCCTCACTGTGCTGAGAGCCCCTCCTGCTCCACCCGCCCCTGGTGGGATGTGTGCCCAGGGCAGCTGTGTGCCCCCCGGGAGCTGCTGTAACTGCCCCTCTCTTCCTACCTGCCAAAAATCCTTCTGAATGCGTCTGTCTGAGTGCTGTAGGAAAGCAGAAGAATTTTGAAGAGAATGGAAAATATCTTCATCGCCACTCTGTGGCTCTGTCAAACAGCACCTGGCCATTGCTGTAGGAGCTTGGAAGGCATTTGTGGTTCCAGTTTGTTACCTTGATGTCACTGCGTGGACACTGCAGGGGTAAGAGCATCCCTGGGAAACCATCTGTGTGCGATGCAAAGCACAAAATGGAAATAGAAATACATCGGGATCCTCATGCAAAGTAAAATTAGAAAAACACAAGTCCTCTTCTTCTATTGGTGCGTAGTTGAGTAGGCACAGAATGCAGCCAGCTGAAAAATGTGAGGCTTCTGTATGCAAAGCTGGGGAAGTAGGACATGGCTTTGTTAAACTGAAAGGTCGATGGATTTGCCTTTGGTTTCTCCTTACTGCATTTCTACCTGTACAGAAGTTGCACTGTTTGATCAAACAGCTGTAAGGAGGTGCCCCAGAGCTCCTGCAGGTGTCAGTGGCTGGCATGGATCTGTGCAAGTGAAGGACGGACCCTGCAGTGAAACGTCCCCATCTCTGCTGCTTTGATGTATTGGCGGTGTGAAATCATCAATTGCACAAAGCGTTTCAATCCCTGTAGCACCGTGTTGCCAAACCTCTTAATAATGGCATTAGCAAACTGGAATTGAATTTCTCTTTGTTGGTTTGAGCCAAGTTTGTGACAGCTGATTTATGTCTGATTCACTCTTATTCACCACTTCCCAGACCCCCGATAAATCAAACTTTTTAAAAGCATTGAAATGTGTGTAATTTGCATTTATTTCATAAAAAGTGGGAGGAATTCAGTTCCTCATAGGATGGCAGCACTTCCCAAGAGATTGAGTTTTGTGTATTTTGCAGCAATCCAGACGTCCATAGCACCAATCCCTGCCTCTTCCCCAAATCTGGCCACGTGAGAAGCCCCAGATCACCTCACCCATGTCTGGAAGTTATTGGCTTGCTGCCTTTTCAAAATCTGTGTGGCTTCCTCCTTCGTGGCTCTGATGTTTATCCCTTGAATGTTTTACTACTTTTCCCATCCAGAAACCAGGCCTGAATTCATTTCCTTTTGGTCACCTTTGTTATGGCCTGGTTGGTGTTGGTTTCCCCAGAGCATCAGCTGAGTGTTGGACAGTTCTGTGGCAGCTGAGAACTTCTGGACTGTGGCTTTTTGCTTGTAAAGCAAAAAAGTCTGACCCAAAACATCTCCCAGTTCAGCTGCAAATTCACATCCAGGTGGGATCACAGCTGTCCTCAGCGCTGCAAGGAGGGCACGAGAAGAGCTCAGCTCACGTTGTGCTGCAGGGTGCTGCTGGCTGTGGTGTGGGAAGGTCAGCGTGCTGCAGGGCTGGGTCATTGTGCAGGGCTGTGTGCTTGGGCAGGGTATGGCTGCGTGCAGTTTTCTCAGCCTGCCACCAGCACCAGGGCTTTGAGAGGGGCTCAGAGCGGGCTGGCACAAGGTTGTGCTGGAGTCCTCCAGAGCAACTGGGTGCTGCTCTCGCACGATCAGTTCGTGGTTCTAATTATCGAATGCTGTTTTACAGTGCTTAAGTAACAGATAAGGATTGTGTGTGCTGCTATGTAAACATAAAGTAAAAATCTGCTGCTGGCTGGTAAATGTGTCAGCTGTCAGGAGCACAAAACAGGGCTCTAGCAGCTCACTATTGCACGCCTTCTGGCTTCTGGTATGGCTTTTTCTTCCTTACTATTCTACCAAGCTGAGGTCTGTGGGGTTGTACAATAATTCTGAGTTTGGCAATTTACATTTCTCTTAGCTGGAAAACTCTTTCCAGTGCTTATGACTTCGCAGGTGCCGTGAGGTATCGCTGCACGCTGGCAGTGCTCACTGAGGAGCCCATTGTGTTGGTGTTTCCTTGATTGCACCATCCTCCCCATCCTCTCCGTGCCATTTGTTAAAGGAAAAAAGCCCTGGGCATGTCAAATGCAGCCGGATCAGCCTCTTGCCTCTGATGTGGAAAGTGTTCTGAGTGTTTTGAAGGAGAAGCTGCAGCAGAAAGGTTAGAAAATAGTTGGGTCTTGTTTCCATGTAATTCTGGGGTGGATTTTCCACTTGGGTGTGCGGTGATGCGGCCAGGAGAGCTGCTTGTTTGTGCCTGTGTGGGGAAGGAGTGCAGCAGTGCAAATGGCAGCACTCCTCTGCCAGGACTTGGTGAGGAGGCAGAGCAGCCCTCGTGTGACCGCTGAGCTCTGTGAGCACTGTGTGCCCTCAGGTGCCGCCTCCCCTCCAGCTGTGTTAGCACTGCTGTGCTCTGGTTTGGGAAACAGCAGTGAGGGAGCGCAGGGCTTGAACAAGTGAATGAGGGCTGGAAGGGACTGCTGGAAATGAAGGCTCTGTTGGGATGTGAGTGAGGTACACGGCCAAGGCCCTGCGGAGAGCTGTGAGGGCTGATGCGGTGTGCTGTGATATGGTGGGTGCTCCACAGAGCTGTGCTCCAGAGCTGTGTGACAGAGCTGGCTCGTACAGCAGTTTCTGTTCTTCCTTTTGATTGCTTTCTGCATAATGGGTGCATCCTTTCATCTTCTTTCATGGTCTATGAGTGTTTGCCGTAACAATATTTCTGTAACTTTTAACCTCAGAGAGACTAATTGTCTTACTGCATTTCTTTCACTGTGTTTTGATATCTACCTCTCGAGTTCTTCTTCCTCTGCTCCTTTTTCTGGTACGGTGCAGCAGCATGGACAGCTGTGTGTAGATTAGAGCATCCAGGCTCCCAGTGGTGTGGGATAAGTTTGGTGATGTTCTGCACAGCTGCAGCTGTAGGTTCTGTAAGAAACGGCCTTTACAAAATATTCCGTTTATCAGAAGCTTCCAAAAGCGTTTTTAATTGAGATTGTAATTAAGACCTGCATGTTTATTATCCCGAGAGGTTAAAAAAATGGATGAATTGTAGTATTCTTTCTTCTCAGGTCATTTATATGGTACTCTTTCTGCTTACTGAGGAGGGAGGTTCTGTCTTCATCCTCCCTGGGGCTGAAGCCAAGAGCTTTTTTGCAGTAGGAACACAGAATGGCACGGCAGTGAATTGTAATAAAGCCCACGCACAGCTATTTGCATACAGTAAATACATTCTGCCCACTTCATGTATTACCTTTTCTGCTGAGCTCTTATTAAAAATGGGCAGAAATGGAAGGTCTAACGCTCATGGCAGAAAGCATCTTCAAGATCAATCTCAAGTTTTTTTCAGTCGTAGCTGGTGAAACCTGAGTGTTGTCTGAAACTTTTACAGTGTGAATTCCAGTTTCATAGTTCATCTGTATGGGGGCAGTTAATGCAAAATCTGAGCAGTGCTGATCCGTTCAGCAGTGCAGGTGCTCCCCTGGGGGTGGGCACAGCAGTGAGTGCAGCACTCCGTGTTGTAGCTCAGCTGTAACAGAGATTTCCCTCGTATGCCAGCATTTCTGGCAATGAGTTTTTTAATGGAATATGCCTAGATGTGTGCGTGCAAAGACTCGAATGTTACAAGTGAACTGGACAGATCTAAAATAAGTATTTAACTTTTTTAACTCCTTTTGTTCCTGAACCAAATGCAACCTATGGGGCACCGGGTGAGGGTGGGATGAGCAGTGCAGGGATGGGGATGGCTCACTGCTGCCTGGCGTCCTCAGGGCCTGGCAGGGGAACTGCTTGGCAGTGTGGGAGCACCGCGTGTCTGCTGCAGCACTCTGGGTTCAGTTCCCATGGCTATTGGGTGAGAGAGCTCCTGGGAGGGACGGCTGGGGGTTCTGTTACCTGTGTCACAATGCATGCAGATGTGTTTTACACCTCCTGCACGGATGCCAGCCCTCACCTCCTGCTCTCCTGTGATACTCAGGTAGGAGAAAGCACACCTTGATTTTGGGGTTTCCACCAGGTGCACTCAGTTGCAGTTTGCCCACACGGAGCAGCAGATGGAGAATGCCCATTTGCATTAATTTCCCAGACCGCTGCCTTTGCGCTTCCAAGATTTTATCCAATATGACTTCTTCTAACCTTGTAGAAATTGCTGTGATGGAAGATGCTTCAGCAATTTTCAGTCTTATTTCTTTTCCAGTGATGCCTATCAGCTCGCTTAACAGCATAATGAATGAGTTCACAGGTGCCTTTCTGCAACCGTTCAGTTTGAGAGGAGCTGTATTTTGGTCAATGAGACAGATGATAGAGATGAAAGGTGAACTAAAGTTTACCTTTTTTTTTGTCTATGTCTAGCAGAATATGACTAAATGTTAAAACTACACAGTTAATTCTGTGGTGTTTACCAAAAGAAATTTTTCTGAGGAGTGGTTGTTATGGAAACAGCAGCCCTCTGTCCTTCCAAATGGAAAATATTTATTTTAAGGGAGTGAAAATCCCTTAAATATTCAGCGTGTACGAAAAGATGAGATTGTGACATTCCTGGTGTGTGTCCTCTATGAAGCTCCAGAAACTTTGGTGGAAGGAGACGGTGCCAAGCAGTGAGGAGGAAAGGCCTGGAGCCTATTTCTAATGTGGGAGAGTGAAGGGGGGCTCCTAAAGAAGGGAAAAGGATGTTCATCAAGCTCAAATATGGACAAATCCTATGCGAGTGCTGCTCCTCTCACAGTGCAGGCTGTAAATTCCACAGTGCAGGGAGCCTGGGGGGAAATGAAACAACCGAATACCCAAACACCACCAAAACCCCAAACCCACATTGCTTTCCGTGGGTCTTTGCTCTCATCAGGGCACAGGCACTTGAGGCTGGCTTTCACAGCTGCACCAGGATCAGGATCTGTTTATGGAGGCTCTGTGGGCCACAAAACGGCACATAATTTAGATCTGAATTGTGTCCTTACAGTGTTTTCCTCGTGTTGCAGAGTACCTGCAGACCCAATCTCTACCGTGCGAAAGACATTTTAGGCTCAGCATAGCAGATCTCTGCATACCAGTGGCTCCTGTTGACAAATTAAAATACTATAATTTGCTGATCAAAGAATATGTAAAAAAAATAAGAAAACCTGGAATTAATTGCAAAATAACACGGCTGAAGCTGCAGTATATAGCAGGAAAATTGTTCCCTGAAGTACTTTTGTGTTGAAAATCACACATCAGCTTCACTGTATTCCTGCTGCTTTCATGCCATTTCAAAAAGCACTGACAGCTCAAGTATAGAACAAGTAATTTTTATTTTTTCCTTTGAAAATGAATTTTAAATGAATCCCAAATTTGAATTTTCATTTCTTTAATGGTTTTTAGCTACAGAACACGTTTATGTATGTACTGTTTCTGATATCGTCATGGTCGTATCTCTTTCTACGCCGGATGCTTTCAGGTTGCAGCTCTGACACGGCAGAGTTTGAGAACAATGAAGTATTAATATTGCGTTCATTTCGTGCTGGAAGGGCAGTGCAGGGCTGTGGCAGTGGCTGTGGGCACTGCTGGTGGGGGGCGGGCAGCACGAGGAGGAGGCAAAGCAACTGCGGTGGGAAGCACAGGAGTCATGTCCTCCATGGGGCTGCCACTGAACCTTGGCAGAATAGGAGAAAAATACACAGCCTCAGAGGAAAGGAGCTGCCTGGCCTGGAGGGCAGCTGCTTAAATGCGGAGCAGCATTGCTTTTCCTGGGCTCCATGCAGTGATGGTGTTTCCATAATCGTGCAGGAAGCTCCTCGTGGACGGTGGACTGTCAGACTTCCAATCAAGATGGTCTGTTTTACTCCTTTTTCAATGGAGTTTTCACTAATATAGAATTTATATGCCAACTCTAATATTTTCCTATGCAAGCATATTGATTACAATTAAGTAAGACACTGCTTGCAAACTTTCGTCTGAATTTAACTTGCAGTATTTCACTGTGTGCCAGAAACAGTTCATTAGGCTTGCAGATCAAACAGGAGCTAACACGGGCAATGGGAAATCAATGCAGTTTTAATTAATCTTTTGTTTTTTGAAGAGGGGAACGTGACGTTCAGTGAGGAAAAAATGAAATTAACCCCCTTCCAGCAGGGCTTTTGGTAAATTGTCCAAACATTGCAGGTGCAGTGGGAGAAGAATGAATGGTGGCGTGTCAGTATCCAGGCTTTCATAGTCAGGAATGCGTGTTCTCCCTACAGAAATAAACACCATTCACCACAGCAAATGGGGAATCATGTGGAGCCATTGTGCCAACCAGGGCCGTGCGTTGTTTGCTGTCTCTTTTGTTTGAGTGAAAATTGGGGGTCTGCAGAAATCACTGATTGTGCTCCCTGTCACTTATCCTCTATTTTGCTGCTCCTTTGCAATAAGTGACTGCCACCCTTTGTACACAAACTCGCTGGCTGGGGAACGAAGCAAATCTAGTTCTACCTGAGATGCACTGCGTTCTTTTCCTTGGGAGGAGTTACAATGACGTGGTGTTTTCCTTTTAGACCTCACACCAGAGAGAACATTTGTGCGATGTTAAGGATCTGTTCTGTAGTTCCAGCTGCTTTTAAGCACAGCCCCTTCTTTTTAGGCTGCGTTCCTTCGCACCCCAGCACCAAGCTCAGGCCCACATGCAGGCTGCTCCCCGGGGTTCCTGTGCTGCATGGCGGCTGCTGTGTGCTGGCCATTGGGTGCTGGGTGTTGGCCATCGGGTGCCAGGTGCTGGCCATGGGCTTCTGGGCCTGGTGGATGCAGGACTGATGGTGACTTGTGGCAGTCTGGTGTGCCTAAAAAAGTGTCTTGGGAGTGGATCTGGAATGATGTGCCAGTCTAGCCTGCAGTCTAGCAGACAGATCCATCCAGAAGGGAGCTGGATTTTGAGTTGGAAGGGGAAAATATCATTATTTGCTTTTCACGAATTTCATTGAAAAATGGGGAAATGAATTGCCAAGGAGACTGTAAGCAACACAAGGATGCCGACTGAGGCTTTTTCAAAGATGTGCATGACACTGAAACCATGATGAGTCTGGGGCAGGGACAGCCCCCAGGGTGCCCACAGCCACTTGTGGGCTGGCAGGAGCATGGCCTGTGCCAGTGCTGGGCTGGGTGCTGCGTGTTTGACACATGTAGCCCTGCGTGGAGGGAGTGCTCCAGTGGGGAATAGGGCTGTGAGCAGCCTGCTGACTGCTGGCAGGAGACCTGGTATGTGAGGTGCCTGCAGAGGGATGCAGGTGGAGGCTCAAAGTGGATGCATGCACTGAGAGACCCCAGCCTCTTTCAGCCAGCTCTCAGAGATCCACAGCTCACCCTGTGCTGAAACTGGGTATTTATTCCCTTTTATGCTTGACTGGTGAGTTCTGGGACAATTAAATAATTGCCATGAGATGCTCTGCCTTAAAGAGGTGGCAGATTGCATTTGGACTCTATGCAGGCGGTGTTCAGGGACTGCTGACTTGAATCATGTTTAGGCTGAGGCTGTATGATGTCTCCTGCAAGCTCTAGTGTGGATTTGATGGCTTTTGATTGTTTTATTGGCTTTGGGGAGGGAATTTGCCACCACAGGCAGTCCCAGAAGTCCTCCTGTTGCTGGCAAGCCCTGAAACAGCAAGAGATCCATTTCCACCCTTAGTTCTGTTCTTTTAATAGTGCCTTGGATCTACCTCCCTGATTACCTGAGCTCTCCTCCCCCCTCCCCAGGACCTGCCCCTCTCCTCTGCCAGCATCTCCCTCTGCTGCCTTTTGTTAATGGTTTGGAGCCCTTTTCTTAATGGAGTAGGCAATAATACTCAGAGGTCAGCCCCTGAACTTTTCCCAGGGCTCTTGAGAAATGCAGAGCTGCTTTGGAGATGCTACGAGTGAATGACAATTACACCCAGATCTTGATCTCTGAACCCTGCAGGCTCTAATGAGCATTTCTGGGGAATTGTGCCCTTAACGAAACAGCACTTTCCAAAGGGAAGTGATCCTGAACACATCAATGGATGTGTGTGGGAGCCCTCAAGGAGAGAGTCTGAGCCAAGCACTGAAATACCCTGAGCTCTTTTTTTTGCTCTGTATCTGAAATGCCAGTGCAGACCTCTAAAGCACCTACGCTCACATTTGTTGCATTTTGTATAGGTGAACTGCATGCTTAAGTGCCACATTTATAAAATCTTTATAATGCTATTTTCTGCAATATTTAAAATATATGAAATCTCTCGAGTCCCTCAAAGAGCACTAATGATACGCAGTGAAACGCTTATGTAAGATGCGTCTCAAGCTGAAAGTTTTGGGTCAAGAAAAGGAGCTTTGCATTGAATTAAGTAGGTGAATTTATTGCCTGATGTTGCTGCCTATTTCCTCTCCTGTATTCCTGTGTGATGACTTGCTCTGCAAAGATAATGGTGCTGGCTGCTGCTGGGGATGGCTTCTGCAGAGCAGGTTGATCTTCACAGGCGGTCAGCACTGCAAAAGCAAATTCCGCCTGCGGACTCCACTTCTGCAGCACACTGTGAGAATTTTACAGTCCATTTCTTAAACTCCATTTTAGAAACTTGAGAACAAATGGTTTTTGTTTTACATTTTGATTTATTTTACCAAAGGCATTTTCCCAACCCCCCCAGTTTGATGTCCTACCCCAAGTCCAGAGAAAGATCTTTACAGAGAATCTCTTTCCATCAGGAGAAAATAATTAAAAAACAAATTAAACCAAACTCTTGCAGAGCAGTAAAATGAAACAAAACTTTAATTGCTGCTCCCCACATTCTCTCCGAAACATGTTAAGTTCCAAGGTGCATAGGATGGCCATAGCCCTCACTATAGGTGCCAGCCAAGTATAAAAATGATTTCATTCCATATGTGTACACAGTAATTTTGGTATTTTATATATGTGGCCAGAAGTCACCTCAGCCCAGTTGTCTTTATGTACACTTAAGTATGAAATGAAGTCATTGAGAAATGGTTCAGCTCTTCCGATTAAATTTAATGGGGTGCTACTTT